AACAAGTGGGCTCTACTAAAAGTTCCATACTACAGCCTTTTTGTCAGACAAACCATTGAGCCCTTGGAGTCATTGGCTTCTAATTTCTCTTTACATTGTCACCATCAAATCAAATGTGAAAGTCATGATAATACAGGAAATAATCACCAATTTAGGAAGCTCTTCAAAGTCAAATAAATTCTCCTTGTCAGAACCATAGGAAATACAAAGTAAAAGTGTGGAGAATATTAACATTAATCTTGGGTGAATTTATGTGACCTGTTTCTGATACTTGTTGAAGTAAATTGAAGAAGCCCTATTCCAGTGGGAGATACAAAAAAATGAAACCTGGCCTGTAGAGAAACTTCTTTATACAGTTTTTTCTAATTCACATGCAAACTTAAACCACACCAATAACTGTGCATAAAATTCAGTCTGATGTGAACAACACTTGTAAGAGTAACAGATAAACAAAAAATGCTAACTTTGGAATTAATATTAAACAGCAACTATTACTTTTAAATATAGCTGTTGTAGTTACATTTACAGTTTAAATAAACTACTTTTACTCTTAGCTTAACCTGGGAACAATGCTAGTACGACAGGCATTACACAGCACATTACAAGTAAAATTTTCAATGCTTGTTTACTCTAAACTAGCTAGACTTGGAAAGAGGAGAGAGGCTGGAAAAATTTTTGTACAGTGAAGGATTAAAAGGACAATAATTAAGTTTGCATTAGTGGTGATAACTAATTTTACTGGAAATGATTAAGATGACACAAAACAGACAGTAACAACAGCTTCACGATTGTTAGTTTTCAAACAACTACATGACATGGTAAACGATCTGAACAAGTAACAAGGCCACAAATATGATATGATTATCAAAAAGGAATAAGATTAGTGCAAAGGTTATTTTTTAAAAAAACAAAAAACCAAAAAGTGACTGTTTACCACTAAAATCTTGATTAACCCTTTCCCTTCCAAGATCTCATTTGTAATCCTCCTTACTATCTATCATACAGTCATGTGAGTTCAGAGAATTTGGAATTGAATCCACTGATAATCCCTAAAGTGATAATTTCTTTATTCCCATCACTTGTCCGCTTGATATTATATTAATATTTGTAAGGATGTAAGTTAAGTGTTAATAAGTGTTGAACTCTTGACGGAATCATTTCTCAAGATCTATTTCAAACTTATTTCATATTTATTTCCTCAGCGGAGTAGATATAGCCTAGAAATGTTCCTTTAATAACTTGTGCCTTCAGGTAAGGGTAAGATGAGCGAAATTATGCAATATTGAATTGAAAATTGAAGTACGATTAGTGTAATTGACACAGCTGATGAACACGGCTGATGAAAACAGCTGATAATGCTAAACATAATGTGGAGAGCAAAAAGTTAGAATCGTGATTACAGTGAGACTATACAATTATGCCAACAATCACTGATGTATGACTAAATTAATCAGGCGTTAGAATTACGATATGAACTGACAGTGAGAGGAATAAAAGTTAAGGTGAAGCAGTGAAATTTACAGCGCTGTAGCGCTGCATGGCGATATCGCATGCATTCCCTGGATTGATTATTATCGTTGTTTCCGCTTACCTGTATTTCTAGCTGTTTCTTGCGCTCTGGAAAATCTTCATGGCAATTCCAAGCCTGCGAAATCTCGACCAAAACAACTGTTTTCAACCCGAAGTAATTGAAGAATTTTCACGGAGGAAAGGGAAATCTGCGCGTTTTCTACTAGCCTTGTTCCCAGGCTTTCCTGGCGCCGCATCCTCATTTAACAGAAACTCTGCAAGAGTCTTAGGGATGGACTACAAACTTGTATTGTTTCCTCAAAATTAGCGACAATCTCGCTCGGTCTCACCTTTGCTTAAATATCAAGAGCATCCTTTTAAATGTTGAGTCCTCTGTCGCAGTTTTAAAGAGGGATTCACAACGAGTGTAAACAATTTTTTGACAGAATTTCTAAATCTAAAATTTATTAAAACTTCTCTGATACGTCTTTTTTTCAGTAAATAACGCAAATGGAACAGTGAGATGAAAAATGAAAAGGTTTTGAAAATGTCTTAGCAAGCACTGAATACCTCATTTTATAACTCAATCGCCTTTGTCCAACATGAAACAGTATCTGAGGTCAAGCAAGAGTAACGCTATTACTACTGTGAACGATTTATCGTGACTGGAAAATTTTTACTCTTTTTTTGGCAAAAATAAAGAAAGCTTTCGGTCAGAGAATCACATGAGATTGTTCTTGATAATATAATTTGTTTCCCTTGAAGTATTCATAATGTTTTAGCGACGATTTCTCCCTTTACAAATCATGTAATGCTTTTTACCCTTGCAATTTTTCGGCAAATTCCGAAAGAATTTGAAACATATCATGTTTCGCCGAGACCTCAAATCACGAAAATAAAATACAACTCTCTTTTGTGCTCTTTGTTCAAAAACTTGAAAAAAAATCGCTCTACATAACTCTAATTAGCCCTTGGATAATTTTGAAAATTTGAACCGCCTAATAAAATACTTTCTTCTTTATCCTTGATTTTGTTTTGTATCATTTGTGCTGTAGGTTACCGATGGAATTTCTCGCACGAACTGGCACCTATATCTTGGTGTTTAGTGAAAATCCCTGAAGGAGCACTTTCACGTTATATAAATATTCCAAATGATCACTAGAAATAGCGAAGAAGTCGTAATTTCAACCGAAAATTCGAAGCTACATTTGATCCATACCAGGAGCGCCTGGATGTGAGCTGATCGCTCGGTAGACAAAAGCCCTTTGTGACTGTCTAACGCAATGCCCGATTATGAACTGCGGCAAGTTAGCCCACAAAATAGCGCTTACGTTCAAGTAAAAAGCTTAATTTCTTTTAATTTTACCCTTAAAGATAGATACTTTCACAAGCGGGAAATCCGAGCCTATAAAAACCACTAGGGAAAGGAGAGCTACCAGAGTTACCGCAAAACAAACGTCCCCCACATTTACAAGTAAATGGAAACATCTAGACACACAAATTAGAATGTGCGAAGGTATCAAAGACTGCTTCTGTTGAATTTTTCTGAATGAAAGTAATGTTTTTCGATAAATCTGTTGATGAACCTTCAGAATCTGGACAAGCGCATTTCACACGCATAACGTCGATATGCTCCACTATTGAAAGAGGGGTCCTTTGTTGCGAGAGGATATTCTACCGCAAATACGAAAAAGCTTGACCTAATTTTCTCCAGTTTTTCAATATCGGTAAATTTCAGTGGCCGGCTAAGGAGAAACGGTTAAGTGACAGTGATATTAACTTCCCATCTACGTGATCTCAACAGAGATCCATCATGATCATGAAGAAGCCCTTGTGTGAGTAGAAAAATGTGATGGGATCGCATGCGATCGTAATGTCTCCGCGCAAATTTGCGCCAAAAAACATTATGCTAAGCTGCCACATACCAAAGAAGCTAATCTAGTTGCAACCCAAAACTTATTAAGTATCCTTTAAAATAAAATTCAAGCTGCACATGCGGTAATAACTAGAAGAACACATTCCAGCTAACCACGTCCATCAAACTTACCTTGTCCTTCTACGAGAATAAATAATGAAATTCCAATTAGAAATGTCCTAATCGCATTGGAAGAAAACATGGTGGCAGTAAGCCTTCTATGACGGCCCTTGCTGGTGCAAAATGCTTTGAGCACTACACACCAATCTTTGGACCTCACAAAGCCACTACAAGTTAATAATGGTGGATGCGGTGGCAGTCGCTTGAGGCGCGGTTCGCGATCAGGCTCTGAGCTGAGTGGTGAACGAAGACATTCAAGACCCTGCAAATTGACACCACTTCTATTGTATTACAGACGCCAGATCAGACTTAGGACTGAGTTGTCTTTCATAAGATCACATCTCTATGCCCCTTTCATTCCTGCAATCCCGGGCGGCATTTCGGCCTCGCTTGACAGACTAAAACTTAAAAAATAAATAGCCGATTCATGAGATGAAATAATTTATTTTTTCTTCTTCTTGACACAAAACTCCCCTTCTCCTAATCTATTATTTGAGGCAATGGTTTCAAAGGTGAGCAGAGAAAACAGCTAACTCTGACAACAAACATTCACTGTCGAGTGGAATGCGTGACACAGGCCGTGTGACCTCTCTCAAGTGACCGCAAATGGTTTTCTCTTGGGGATTTAATAGCTTGAATTTCAGAATTTTGCCTCATAGTGAACAAACAATTGTTTATTACAATACCGTAAAGACTGATATACTTTTTCAATTTTATCTGTTATTTGAAACTGACTCAAAGAGTTCCGCTCTCATTAGCCTCGATTCCTAATGATATTTTCTGGAAGCGGAAAAGCAGAACTTTCTTAGACTTTCTGCTGTGAACTACACTACGCAATCAAGAAGGCTTTGTTATCATCCATTGGGAAGATAGTATTACAACACGTCAAAAGACACATGTAATGACGTGACAGAGAACTTCAACTTTTGAGGATTTGAAAGAACTCTACGGTCACAAAGCTCTAGTTTTCCCGGAACATTAATAATCAAGGTTAAGAGAGAGAAAAATCCATTTTTCTTCTTTCGCTGTTGCAAGTCAGAGACGTTAAGGGTTAGCTTTAAAGCCTAGAAGGCCTTTGGAGAACCAAGAGCAGGCGTGTTGCATGGCAAACTTGAGAGAGACACGCGACTGAAAAGGCACTCGCACCTTGGCTTGGGAGAGTACGGCTATACTAACTTAGGCTAACCTAACCCCTTGCCTCCTCTTCCTATTTAACACTGAGCAAAAAACCTCTGCTCTGATCTTCTTTATCATGCTTAGTAAAATAGAAACGACCTCAAAGGACGAAAAAAAATGAAAATAAATAAACTGTTGCCGGAAAATATACAAACAGAGAGGAGAGATAATGATAAGATAATAATTTACCGAGTAGCCCTTCTTTTCACCACCCCAGGGGGTCCCGCCTAGTCGGGTATCGTATATCTCGCCCCAATCCCATTCGGCCCATCCTTGAGGCGAGTCTAGTTGGAAACATGGCGGACTATTTGAGTTTTTGAGGTGTTTGACAAACAAAGTAGGAAACGGAATGAAAAAATCGAAACCACAGTCCAAGAGAGGGGTTCGAAATCCTGATCCTCAAATAATTTGCGAAGTACAAAGTGTGTTGCGCGGAAGAATTTTCCATGCCGATGTACCTCCTCAACTGCATGGCTTGGAAGAGCAAAAGAGGTTAGTTCTTGTACATGCAAGGTTAAACGAAAAGGTTTTTCATCCGCTGCGAGACCGGCATCAAGCATTTCTGTCTTTTTCTGAACAGGGAGTTACTAGATCTTGTCCAAAGGTGCGCACAATATGGAGAAAGCAACTCTGTTTTACTGATTGGTCCAAGAGGTAGTGGAAAGTCCCTGGTGAGTTCTCTTAACCCTTTAACTCCTAGAAGGGATCAACTTGTAACTTCTCCCCACGACAGCCATACATTATCCAGAAAACAGGTTATAAGAATACTCAAACTTATCAGGTAGAAGTTTTCATCTTGATCTTACTTCAAATTCTCATTACTAATTAACAAGGAAATGTAAGGTAGCCAGAGGGGAAAATTAACTATCAGATTTTGGTTGTAAATGGATTATTGATAACCGCTATTTTGTTTTCTTGCAGCTGGTGAAAAGAATCCTTGAAGAATTATCTAAAACAAAAGGAGTGAAGCAGAACCTATTAGAAGTGCATTTAAATGGTAATTAAGCACCCACAGTGCAAAGTTCATATAGACTGACACTGGTTGGTAGATAGCTCTCTGTTTCGTGCTCCCTGGGGTTCTTCAATAGAGTTTACTTTTGGAAGTAAGATGCAAGATTGTAGAAATTATATTCAGTTTTATAAAAGAACAAGCAATTATACTAAAGAATAAAGGGGATAAGTTTCTAAAGAAACTGTGGTGCTGCATTGGAGGGAGAGTATAACAGGTAATTTAGTGTTAACAACTGAGTTGAAAACGTAAATTAGTCAGTGTAAAGGGTAAAAAAACTGACGTTTTGAGTGTTAGCCCTTTGCTCTGACAAAGGGCTAACACTCAAAATGTCAGCTTTTTTAACCTTTACCATGGCTAATTTATGTTTTCAACTCAGTTGTTAACACTAAATTAACAATTGTACTAAAATTTTGGATTGTTATTTATAAGATGCAAATTAGGATGTGATGCATTTTTCAGCAATTCTGTATATCTCCTCATAACCAACTAGTGTTTCAACTGTATGGAAAAATTTTGCATGTATTTTTTTCTTCTTCTCCTCTGTCACAGCCAAACTCTATTAAGGGTGAGACTTTTGATAAATAATCTCAAAAACTGTATTTTTTGCTGGTAGGTCTTGTTCAAACAGATGACAGATCAGCTTTATTAGAAATAACAAGACAACTACAATTGGAGAACACAGTTGGAGACAAAGTCTTTGTAAGTAAGCTTATTGAATTAACCCCCTGTTACTGAAATTTGTAATAATGCAGCAATCAATTTGAAGCTTCAATGTCCTCCCCCCCCCTTCTTCCAGCCAACCACTTCGCATTTGAACTTTTAAAGATTAATTTGTTCAGATTCTGCCCCTGCTCCCACCACCCCTGGGGCCAAAATTGTGTTTAAATGCCCTGCTCAAATGCCTGTTTTGATCACCAATATTTTTGTTTTGTAAGAGGCAAGGGTAGTGATTATGACTCTCTTGTAATCTTTGCTTTTAACTCCTCTACATCAAAAGACAAAACACATTTGTTCCACTGGAGAGACTAAACAGTTCTGGTTCAATTTTCCCACCCCACCCAGGCAAGGCTCATATTCTTCAGGGACCAGGGGGGAGGGTGTGTTGGAGCTAAAAGTTGATCAGTATATATTAGCTTACAATTATGGCTTTTGGTTTCAGGGCTCTTTTGCTGAAAACTTTGCTTTCTTGCTGGATTCACTGAAGAGTGGTAAGTTTTTTTTATTGCTTTTTACAAAATAAAAATTATATGCCTGAGAATTTTTATGGTTACATTAATTAATTTCTCAGAAATGAACATTTTGTCCATATTATTGTATAGCACACTACTTATTATCATGGTTTTATTTAATGTATCCATTTTACATAATTTCAGGTCTTGCTTTTCTATGGCTAGCAGTTTTAAGTACAGAACTCTCTAGTTGATTTGCCACCTAGAGTGATATTTTTGAGCACTTAGTTGTCTACAGTGACACTGTGAGCATTACCTCCCTGTGAGGGGCTCTTGGAACATACTCCCTCAGAAAATAGTGGGAAAATGAAGTAGCTTAAACATGTATACCCCCCTCATATACACTTTTTTTTTTATCCAGGTGGAGAGGAGAGCCAGTCAATCCTGTTTATACTGGACGAGTTTGACCTGTTTACAAACCACAAGAACCAGTCCTTGCTGTACAATTTATTTGATGTGTCACAGTCAGCCCAGACTCCAATATGTGTTATAGGACTTACATGCAGACTGGTAATATAATCACAAAATTGTGTATCCAGCAAAGCCATGCTATACTTAAAGGCTTTGATATGTTTTATAGGATGTATTTGCAGACTGGTAATGAAATGACAACATGATTCTTATCAGTCAATCAGGACATGTACATGACCATTTGGGCTATTAGTGTTCATACTGAGGCACAAGAACATGATCAAGCTCTAATCTTAATTTGTTTCTCATGCGATTTGTAGTTTTTGATTCCTTACTTCTGTTTTTTTCCTCAGGATGTTGTAGAGCTGCTGGAAAAGAGAGTGAAATCAAGGTTTTCCCATCGCCAGATTCATCTTTTCATGTCAGAGACCTTTGAAGATTATTTGCAAGTAACAAGGTGAGGTCTGATTTTTTTTGTTCTAATAGTGGTGTCTAGAGCAGTTACTTTTCAAACAAAATGATTTATTTACTAGAAAAGTAAAGGCAAGTGATAAATTGTTATATCTTTATTTATTTGTAATCATTCACCATTTATAGGTGCTAACAATTGAGAGAAAAATCTTCTGTGTTAATTTAATAGTTAACCTTTTGACCCCTAAGAGTGAGGAGCATCTAGTTTCTCCTCACAATATCACCCTGGAATCACACACTAATGTCATGAGAATAGGGGAAATGATCACCTACCAAGGAAGCTCTTGATTGTTAAACAAATTCTTGTTGTCAGCACTCAAGGAAATTTATTGAGAAAATTATAGAGAATATTCTAGCTGATGTTATGCCCAATTTTTTAAGGTGGCTGGTTACAGTTTGGCTAAGCTGTGACAAGCAATATTTAGCAAACTTGTGAACCAACTCTCCCCTTTTGCGGTCAAAGGATTTCACACCTGGGTTGACAAAAGGATGGAAGTTCACAATAGTGGGTGCAGCATGGTAATAGTTATTAATATGCTCATGTTATGGGAAAACCCCATTAAACAGTTTTTGTAAATGCTCTTGAAAATCCTTATAATAGATATTTTTTTAACCTCAAGATTTTCATTTTTGCGGTAGGGCCACCCTGTTAAGCAAATTTCAATAAATTTGGAAAACTGTATCCAGCCACCTTTAATGTCAATGACACTCCCGGGCATAATGTTCAAACTGTCCTTACACAATTAGGTTGGTGATAGCCAATCACTTTGAAGAATTTTGTTATCACCAGTGATAATAGTTTTAATTTGTAGCGGTGGACCCACACTTTACAGGATATTAATTGAAAACCCTGCATGACCTTTTACATCTTTTGCCTCAGAACAGTTTTGGCATTACCCTCAAATTTCAAGGATAGGCAATTTGTGCAAGCCTGGAATTCCCACATTGAGGTACAGAAAGACTCTTAATTACAGTGCAAGCCCTTGTAAGCAGACACTCCACAATGAAGGTGTTAGTAAGTGGCTGGGGTGTAGGCTTCCTATAGCATTAAATTTTGTTCCTGTAAGAGGTACAAGTGATAGATAGGCATCACAATGAACACTGGATGTGTAGAAAGAAAGATTTTTTTCTTTTTGCCACAAGGGTGAGATATAGAGAAACTCTGAGTCTTTATGAGACTACATATTAAGATTATAGCAATTGTCCAACTAGTCCACTTTGGGCTGATTTGTCGGCATGGAGATGAGCATCCAATTTTTCATTACATTTTCTGGTGACTGTCATCCTTAGGAGCTGTTAGATAATGAAGAAGCTAAAGCTGTATTGATGAGACAATTCAGCATAGCAAAAGATGTACGGAACTTGCATCGTTTACTGGTGAGTTGAATATTACTGATACTTTTAAATGCTGATTGCTATGCACATTCTCATAAGCTGCAAGAGCAAGTTATGAAGATACTACAAATCTTCAAAATAGCACTTAAGGTGCTCATTTTAAATTAACCCTTTCACCCTGAGGAGTGACCAGAAAGGAATTTCTCTATACAACATTAAGCATTTGACCCCTTCAAGGGATCACCATCAATTCTAATTTCTCTTCATAATATCACCCTTGAATCAAACAGAAAGGTCAGGAGAATAAAGGAAATGACCACCAACTAAAGAAGCTCTTGATTGTTTGAGAAATTCTTTAAGCACTTTAAGAAAAGCCTAGAGAACAGTATGGAGAATTTGCAAACTGATTTTAGGGTTTAAACAGTTAATACATTTTCAGTGAGAAAGGTTTGGAGAAGAAAGAAAATTACCAACTGAGTGATTTCATTTGACTTCCACTAAATTCTCACAGCTAAGATTGTCATAAAAGTATATTGGAATGTGTGGAGAATTGATATTTGAATATTAGGAGTGAAAGGGTTAAGATGGCAACAGTTTTTGAAGGGCAGGACTTATTATTATAAACTGTGGCAAAATATAATTATTTATTTGCCATATAATGACTTGGCATGTACAATTTTTATACAAGGCTGACTCTTAAAGTTTTCTTGACAACACAATTGAGTCGTAATTATTTTTCCAAAGCTAACATGATCGCATACTGAAAAAAAAATAAGTTCATGTATAAATGTGCAAATTGAGGGAGGTGTTAAAGTAAGGATTTTACAGTATGAGTTGTTGAAAATACAGTTACCCTGACTCATAATATATATTTTATGCTCTAGACTGTTCCGGTTTGCAGTATTTCTGAAGATCATCCATTTATAGAACCAAAGGACTTGATGGATGCACAAACCAAACTTGGAATTGACTGCAAGGCAACAATGTTGTGTGGTAAACTACCTATAGAGTTTTATCCTGCTTTCAAGAAACTGCAAATATTTATATTAGTTATAGATTTCACAATATGAAGTGCTGTCCACTGGTTTTAGAATGAGTCAGCCTAATAGTCTTCAAGATAAAATCATCAGTGCTCCAATTCACAATTAGAATCCATGGTGCTGTGCATCTGTTCAATAACAGATCACAGAAGACATCAAAATGTGGTAAGAAGTGGCACAGACAGCACAGCTTAGTGTGTTCCTACTGCATTTTGATATCATCTGTGATCTATAACTAAACAGACACAGGGCAACATGCAATCTATTTGTTTTATCCAATAACAAAGCAAAGTTTGAAAATAGTGACTCTTCTGTGCCCCTGTACTCCTGGTCATAAGGAAGAACCAATCAAAAGGAGTGTACAATTCAGCTTTTTATGCGAATCTCTATGATCAATCTTTCTAGCTGAGTCTTGTTTCACATGCTACAGAACCAGAAATTGGTATTTTTGTGCCAAAGTTTACATCCTCTTGAAATTTTTAATGGGAAGAATATCATGCCTTGAAGACAACATAAAATAGGAGTATATTTAATAAAATGAATAAATTTGCATTTATTGTTAATCTTTTGTAGGAATTTCTGTGCTGGAGTTATGTCTTATCATTGCTATGAAGCATTTGATCACGTTATCAGAAGGAGATTCTTTTAACTTTGAGATGGTTTACAAAGGTATTTTAGAATCATCATTAGCTTTATCATTGCTCATCATGCTTTGGGAAATGTTCCTCCCCCCCTCCTTCCTTCAAACCCAATTTCTATCAATTAAAAATTATGTATAAAATTATGACACTGACTATGTTTTGGGATTCTAAAAATTATCCTTCCCTTTGGAAAACTGTTTGTAACTGCTCTAAAACTTTGACCAAGGACACTGCCAATTTGAATCTTGCCATGGCAAGTAATTCAGCTTTCTACCCTCTCTTTTTGCATCAGTTCATCAGTCAAGGTATTCAATTAATTAGGTTCCTTGTTTATTTGCAGAATATCAAAAGTTTGCTCAAAAGAAAGGATTTGCAATTCAATCTTTTGAAAAACCTGTTGTTCTAAAGGTTTGTGTTATCTATCAGCAATAAACCTACTACAAAAGTAAAATCCCACATCAAAATGCCACATCATCAGTTTTGGTAGTCAAAGTATGAGAAACATTGACATATATACAATGTTATGTTATGTTATGCAAGATTTAAACTTGAACTTTATCTCCAGTGACCATTTTAGGATTTGAAGTTTCCAAATGGGAGTTTAAAGAGATTTATTGTTGCACCTGTACATGTATATCAGCTGATTCACCAGTTTCCTGTGTTTTAGGCATTTGAACATTTAACAGCATTGGAGTTTGTGAAGTCAATTGACAGTATTGCAAAAAACACCCCTAAAGAATACAGACTTGTCACTTTGCTAGTTGATCCAACACAGATAAATGATGCACTACAGAGATATCCTGACTGTCCAACAGAAGTCAAACAGTGGGCTACAAGTGCCATTGTATGAGTATGCTTTGCTGTATATATTACATTTCCTAGAGGAAAAAGCTCTATCATGGAAACTTTGTCAGGCTCTGAATATATTTTTGTACTTTATGAATAAATGTTTCTGCTGATTGAAAATCAATTTGTTAGTCTCTTCACTTTTTTTTAACTTCTAAGCATCCTGTTCAAGCTTTCTTAACCCTTTCACTCCCAAGATCTAATTAGTAATTTTCTTTACTATCTGCCATACAATTCTTATGTTAGTTCAGAGAATTTGGTATTGGATCCACTAATAATCCCATGATTGATATTCTTCTCGATTCTCATCACCTGCCTGCTTGATATTGTATTGATATTGTAAGGAGAAATTCTGTCTTGGTCACTTGTGGGAGTGAAAAGGTTAATTACTTCTCTTAATTCAGCTTCACTTCACACTTCCCTTGCTCCTAATTACTTTAGTACAGGATCCTCATTAAGTGCCAGCTGTTAGCTTAAATGAAGTTACCTCAAGTACTGAGCCGCCTGCTTTGCGTGAAATAATGTGCGTAAGTTATGAACAAGGAGAACTACACCTCTGCACCATGCTGAGAAAGGTATACTGTACCCTCTTCTAGTTGCTCATCTAGACACACCAAAATTTTGTAACCTATGGGACTCAACTTTGATTGAGGCTCTTAGCCTATCAGAGCAACATGGAGAAAGAAACATCAAGGAGTAAATGGAAAATATGTAAGCATAGAGAATGATTTATCTGCCATTTACTTGTATTTTGTGACATATTTGCCTCTATTAGGGTGGTAGTGGAGTAGGCCTTTACTTACACTTGACTTTCTTAAAGCCTTATGGTTCGTGTGGGGTTTTCTACCTTGTTATGTTAGTCAGTACTTCACAATTACATTTTATGCGAAAAAAATTGGTAAAAATATGTATCATAACTCTCATAAGTAAAGGCCAAGAAGTGGCGTGATTTCATGTGGCTGTGTGCAGACTTTAGTTGTGAAAATAAAAAAAGGGAATGATCAGTTGAACAAAGTGTTGAGTACTTCCTATTTTTCTTTCATACTTATATCCCTCTTTCAATTTCACTCTTGTTTAAAAATAACAAACTGAGTCACCAAAGAAAATTTCAAAAGTGTTTTTGGGGTCAAAATTCACCGCATCTCCACTTCGTCCGCCATCTTTGATATGATGGGGGTGATAACTGACCGAAGAGATGCCTACTTGGAGGCTCATATCAAGATTTAGCCAATAGAATTCTAGAAAAGTGTTAACGAGAACCAATCAGATTGTTGCGCGGGAAACATCAACCAATCACCAGTGTAACAAAGTAGCGGGAACAGGCTGCAGAAACTTGCGCGCTATGTTTGTTGAGATGAAAGAAAATATATGAACTTGAATTTCTACCTCTTTTATATGACGAGAGGTTAGCGGGAAAGTGCGGATTTTTTCTCGCTCCCTCATGGAAGCTTTCCGAAAGCTTGAGAAAATTGGAGAAGGAACATACGGCGTTGTCTATAAAGCAAAAGATATCGAAACAGGACAAACGGTCGCTTTGAAAAAGATCCGGTTAGATGCGTAAGTAGTACAAAGTTTTGTGCATGCTAACCTTCGGTTCATCCCTGGAATTTCCAATATTTAGGTTCACTTTAAGGTCTATTCGAAAATTAAGGATAGTTTGACTAAAAAATCTTCGTGTTTTTTGCAGTAAAATTGAGGAAAATGGCTTTAGTTTCTTTAAAAGCGTGGGGATAAACGTGGAAACCTGCGAACGCTCATTGTGAGCTGGCATGAGTTGTTTAGCCATTTATTTTGTAGGCTAGTTAAAATTGCGTTACCTTGCATTTTTCTCTCAGGGAATCTGATGGAGTTCCAAGCACAGCAATAAGGGAAATTTCTTTACTCAAAGAACTAAATCACCCAAATGTGGTGAGGTAGGTGAAGATAATTGAAAGCTGTAATTGTTGTGGTTGTTTAGACCTGTGGTTTCTTTTGCCTTGAGCTCACTGCGATTAAAACAACGGCAATCAAATATTGAAGACACTGTCGGTGACTATCGTCAAATGGCACGAAAAGAAAATGCTTCTCTAAACGCCAAATAAAAACACCAAAAGTCCTGTAGGAATTTTGTTAATGAATGAATGAGTGGCGAATGTTGGACTCGACCAAAATGTAGTTAATTTCAATTTGTGAAAACCACCCAAAGAGCGTAGGATTATTGTCGTGAAGCCTCTAGAACATCTCAGACGAATACGTTATTTAATTTTTCGATTGTATTTCAACTTCAGCGCTTTGTGTAGCATTTTACAGCTAGGGAAAAGAAAACTATTTGTGGGATCTTCGTGTGTCCTTAATTTGTGTCGTGTGATGTCCATTGCGATGTTTTTCCTTATGTTAATTGGGTTCCCTCTTCTTATGAAATCCCACCAGAGTCACTCAGCCTCCGTTTAACGAAACTATTTTCATACATTTCTCTTAAGTCAGGCTTTTTATAGTTAGATTGAATGCTGGTAATCTCATAGCACTGCATTTGAGAATATTAGGCGGATTTCGATAGCCATTGCGTTCGCTATAATCTCTCAGATTGTTCATTTCGTCAGAAAGTACATAAATAGCGCTCACTGTCTAATTTGACCTGGGGTCAAACGGTAGAGTAAGTTTTCAAGGTTGATATTTGTGATAAGCAAAAGGAAAGCGACAAAATCGTTCCTTGTCATATATTGTTTGAATTACACCACCATATGTATTATACCCACGTGTTGACAATGGTGTGAACAATGGAGCTAAGCTTGCCCCTTTTTAACAAATGGCAACTCCTTGTAAAATATCGGGATTCAACAATTTAATTCAATTCATTCCTCAACTTGCAGTTTTGGTATTGTTGTTTCTTTTTCACTATTGTCATCTTAATCACAGATGGAACCTAGGTTTTGTCTCAGTTGCATTAATAATATTAAAATAATAAATATTACATCAATAGTGCTGATAATCTTGATGAAAGTAATCTTGTTTTACTGTCTGATTGGCTGTACTGTAAAAAAACCCTGTCAAAACATAAGGAACATAAGCAACATGCTTTCTTTTGTCCAAAAAGCTGATTCATCTGAAGATTTGTATTGCTAAGTTTTAAAACTTTGGGAGGAATTTGGAGGCAGTTGTAATCTTTCTTTCATTCACACAGATTGTTGGATGTGGTTCCCAGTGAAAAGAAGCTCTTCATGGTGTTTGAGTTCCTTGATAGAGACCTTAAAAAATACATGGACTCAGTACCTGCTGGTGGAATTTCACTACCTTTAGTCAAGGTAACATAATTTCCATCAGTGAAATTCTACTATGCCTCAGTGTTAACTGTGTTACCTGCCTCAAATTACTTTTTCACCTGCAAAGAATAAAATTCCAGACCTTAAAGTTTTCCTCTTGGATGTTCTGCAACTGAGCTACAGTGAACCCAATGATGAGCTAGGTCATTATTAGATCTATATGTCACATGCAGCCTGCTTACTGTAACGATCAGCTATCTTTTTGAACAGCCTAAATCCATTAAACAATTATGCTGAGATTAACCATCTGTGCCAACTCTAAAACTTTTTATTTCCAGAGCTACCTCTATCAGTTGTTAAGTGGTATTGCATTCTGTCACTCACACCGAATCCTACACAGAGATCTAAAGCCACAGAATCTTCTTATAGACGCTCATGGATCCATAAAGCTGGCAGATTTTGGTCTTGCTAGAGCTTTTGGAGTACCAGTTAGATCTTATACACATGAAGTAGTAACCCTGTGGTATAGGGCACCTGAAATTCTCTTGGGTTGCCGTTATTACTCCACCCCCGTAGATGTGTGGAGTATTGGATGTATATTTGCCGAAATGGTCAGTACAGCTGCTTTTTCCCCATAACTGCCTCTTATCCCATCTTTAATGTGTTCTCTTGTTTTTAAACATACCCATTGACTTTTCACAGATAACCAGAAGAGCTCTTTTCCCTGGAGACTCAGAAATTGATCAGCTATATCGAATTTTTAGGTAAGTTAAGGGAACAAAAAAGGTTTGAAACATATCTCCAATTAATACTGTAAAAATTCTCAAGGGTTAGTTTTCTTCAAACCATCACAGAACTGACACCATTAGTCTCTTAATGTTAATTGATAGAAGATTCTTATCCAAAGAAGAGATATTAAGTAGTGTGGCACTTTACTTCACAGAACATTAGGAACTCCAGATGAGAGACTATGGCCAGGAGTATCTGAGCTCCCTGATTATAAAACATCTTTTCCCAAATGGCCTGTGCAAAATCTTCTCCAAGTTATTCCTGCTTTAGGTCAATCAGGTGCTGATTTATTACAGGTGAGGCTAGGGGATATTCAGTGAATGATGAAACAATAGGAAAAATTGATAAGAAATCGTTATCACTCATTTTGCAGGCTAAAATAGAGATCAGCTCATGTGATTGATCAGACTGTTTTGTGAACCTTTTCTTTTTTTCAGTTTTAATTCTCAAAGCCCTTCAAACTGATAACAATGGTAACAAAGTATATGTTCTTGGGTACAAATGTTTCGTTTAAACCCTCCCCTAGCAGCATGGGCTAAACTGACTCATAGTCAGTTACTTCAAACATTAATTCAGTTATTTTATTGGTCGTAAAGGTTGATTCAGTCCAAAGTAAACACTTCATGATCTTGTAAATGAAAGAAATTCATAACTTAATTTATCCAACTCTGCCTGTGAGATAATCATCAACAGCACATTTTTGTTATTACTTCCTTGCAGCAAATGCTTAAATATGAACCAACGAGTCGCATATCAGCCAGGAATGCTCTAAGTCATCCTTTCTTTAGTGATGTAAGAAGAAGTGCACCAAAATCATGAACCACTTTCAAGGTTCTCCATCCTCCCCACTTCCATAACTAGAGGATGACAGAATAACTATTTATAACTAAAAGAGTGTTTATAAATGTCACACAAACTTATTCCTGGAGCTCAATACTCATGGAACTCACCCAAACAGCATGGTGGCCATAGTTTTGTGCTATTTCAGATAAGGCACTTTTCTTCTACTCTCATTACAATATTGTCACAAGAACATCATTTTAAAAAAACTGCAGTAGAAATGCAGTTTCCATACTTCTTTCTTTACAAGATGAATTAGAATTATTGCAAAGAAATGGCTTAGAGTCAGCTATATTTTAAAGCCACTTCAAATGCTGGTGCTTTTAAATTTACTATTTTGTGGAATTTCTGGTCATTAGCTTTACATTACTCATTGTAAATACTTGTACTCGTGTGCCTGTTGTACTGTAGATACATGATACCTTAAGATGAAATGTTTCCATTGTATTACTTAATTTAAAGTACTGATGAAAGGCACTAACAGGAGTGCAAATATTTGAAAGAAAATTGTACATGTATGACAACAGAAATAATACATTATATAATTCAAAAATAAATATTTCAAAATATATAATGTTCAGTTTTTTTCAAAGACAAACTTGTGGTCTCTGAAATATTTGCTTCTGAGCACTTAACAGTATTTGTTCCAAATGACTCCAAGAATCAGCATCCATCCCACTCAAGGCAAGAGTCTTGAATAAAATATACAAATGCTAGCCAAAAAGTTATTTTATTTAAAAACTCTAAATATATTACTGACACGGACAATTTTTGCAAGTCCTATACAATTCTCCACATAAAAATAAGCCATTAACAGATCTGAATCTCTTCTAAATGCTCTCAGTGCTGGCAATGACTTTAGATCTCTCAAAACAACCAAGATTTACTGCAATCAAGATCACAACAGGTATATAAATGTAATGAAAACTTAACCTTTTTTTTTTTCTTTTTAATAAAAGCTAACATGAACAAGAATTTTGACTGGGAAGGGCAAAACTATTAAACAAATAAAAAGAAATACCTTGATCAAGAAAGGTGTGCTTTAGCAAAGATGTGCAAATAGTAAAATACCAAAAGAAGAACATTCTTTAATTAATACTACAAACAAAAAAAACCACAGCCAGATTATAACGGCATTAATGGCTAAATAAACATTCTAGAAATGTTCCACAGTCTTTTTGTAATGAGAATCACAAGTTAACCAATAAACCAGAAACAAGAAATACTTGATTGCCTTGTTTTCCTCCAAAAAAGGATTTGGTCACACCTTGTGCTAACACTACTTGCAGTTACATATTTCCTTTCAAAAAAACGAGGGAATTCTGCAGAAAATACAAAATTAGTTGACAATATTGAAATATGATTACAATGAACTATCACAGTAGCCGAGTGTATACTATATACATGTGGCATCTTATAATAGCTTTTAATTACTTTTGAATTTGAAATTTGAAGTGCAAATAAATACATTGCAAAAGGTGTTTGACAAGACATCAGAGAATGTCATGTGCAATCAAACATTTTAATGGAATTTTATTTCATGAATCTGTTCATTATGGCAAACAATGTTTATTGAGGACAAACTTTGTGAAGAGAGAGAAATTGTCCACAATCGCTCTAAAAGCAAAATCCCACATAGCTCTTAAGATGAAATTAAATATACACATGAATGTTTCTGTACATACTCCATTAACTGCCACACCATAATTTTTTTTGTGACTTAGTGCAGAACTTATTCAGAGGCTGTGTTGAATTGAGGGTCTTGCCTGACTAAATGTCCTCATATTTCTTAAAATGAATAAGAGTAAAATAGGAAAATAACCAAAATATCCTTCATTGTCTTGATGGAAAAATGCATTTGCCTTCTGCACTGGCTTGCTCTTCCTTGGCAAAAATGCCTAGTCACTTTCCCCTTTGTGGTCTGATTCTGAGAACTGCATTAACACTAGAGGAACTGTCCTTTATTTGCAGTGAAGACATTGTTTTTAGAGAAATAAGACCAAAGTGTTCCTCATTTGTATATAAAAGTTTTATTCCCTGAACAAGCTTACTGTATTCAAGTAAAATTGTTATGTTATGTATTAAGTTCTCCCTCATTTGAGAAAAGTGAAGAAAATCTTTCTCTTATCTTCAAATTAGCTCAAAATCATCATCTTTAATCTTCTATTTAAACAAACATGTACTTGTCTCTTCCAAAAGATTTATTATCTAATGTTAACTTTCAGCTGCCCCTTGCTGTACACTGTTATTATGGCTTCAGTACACTGACCATGTGACACATACAAAATTCAAAGTAACAGTTTTTTGACTACAGTTATAACAATGTAGCATTGTCTAAATTTTTTGGCACTTCTGGTCACCACTATCAAGGACAAAACCTTCAAGATAATACCTTCTATGAACAAATAGGCTAGCCCAAATCAGGACAGCATTGTCTACTGAAGAAAAACAGGATAGACATATAAAGCAAGCCAATTCAAATCAATGTTTTTTCCAGTGGTATCAATAACCTTTTCCATAAGCAGCTGGCAGTTGTGTAATAGGTGGGTATGCCATAAGACAAAATCCAAACATGAGAACCTGCTTGAAGCATAGACAGACAGCTGTCTTGAAGACGGCAATGGACTGCCAGTGACCAACTTATTTAAACACCTGCTTAATCCAGGGTTTCCATTGGCATACTATAGTTGTAAAGTTTAGGCTGAAAACTCTTTGTCGTTATGGTCACTCTGTATTCATGGTTACCCAGGTACAAAGACTAAATGTTGGCAGCCATTAGAGTTGATTTTCTTTCCTAAACAAAATCCAGGCTCCCAATGTAACTATGAACTGATAGCAATTGTATGATAGGTCTAACTTTTCTAGAGAAGTCCAATTCCAGTACACATTCTCACTGATAAACACAGAGTGTGTTTTGCCAAAGTATTTAAAGTTGACATTCATACAGTAGTCATGGTCATACTGTTGCTTGAGGATTTATCCACCCATGGATAAGTGGCTATAATAGGTGGGGCATTAGACACAGGACCATTGACACTTGACAAGCTCTGTGAGTGTGATGTGGGGTAGTTTTGGAGAATCTTCTGCACAGGGTTACCACTTGATGAGACAACAAGACCCTCTGGGTAGTCCTTTAACAGTTCTGAGAAACGTTCCTTCACACACAGCGCAGAGAGTCTGGCATCTCCATCTTGATCCCAACAATCTTCTATAGTTTCTTTCAATGTTCTTAGACCCTTTAAAGTTAGAGTAGATTTAAGCATTGATTTTGTTTTTCTTATCTCCTCTTAAAGCTGCTTATCTTCATCACAGTCAATTAACTAGCAAAACATTATATGGGACAAATTCAATCGTCCTGACTGAACTTGCCTTGTTGATAAAGGATTTGACATAAAGCATTAAAAGGTTCCATTCAAGAGTTACCAAATAAATTGCCAAATCTTTCCCTGTTTGTCCTTTTGTGTGAGTGTTTGTTTTTGTCTGTTTTTCATTTTTTGTCTCCAAGATATGTAACAGTAAAACTTCCAGTGCCTCTCAAAGTTCTTAAGACACAGGATATTTCACCAAGGAAATAAAAGCAATTTCAAGTAAATGGCAGATTTCTCACAAAAAGTCTACACTTAAACAAATGCATTGAAAACTTAAATACATGGAAAAATAAAACTCTCATCATCTGATAATCAAGACGAGAGCAGTCCAAAAAAGACTGTTGTTGAAGACAGAGATTGATTTTTTTCTTACCTGGGCAGAAGTTCTTAACAAAGGTAAATGATTGTTACTTCATACTCCATTTCTGATAATTACTTCTAAGTTTGTTCAACTTTTGTTCCCTTTACCAACAACCTTGTTTTTCAAGGGTACCCTCCCTCGTGTGATCTGACCATATTAACAACTGCATTTAAAATTACTAACTGGATGATTGTGTTTCCACACATCTGGAAACCCTGGCCTCTTCTTCTGCCTGGCAACATAATCCTGGATGTCTTCACTTGTGATGGATGAGCCCAGCTCAGCTTCAAATGGTGGCCTGAAGTCTGGCACAGGCTCATCTGGAGGGGAAAGAAGATGAATGTTCAGAGGGACACATTTCAAACAAATAAGTAACTAAAAGAAAACTCCAAAAAATTATTGCTTAAGTCTGCCTTCAAGACCAATAATCATTTGCAAAGCTGTTGAGCCTTTATTTCTATAGCACAAATTGACTAGGAGTGTCTACTCCCAGATACAACAAACTTCATATCATGATTTCACTTTGGAATGGCTGATTGTACAGTTTCTGAAGCATACTTTTCCTTTAACAGACAGAAGAGCAGTACCAAACTTACTTCCATAAATGTCAGACCATCTCATTCCTACTTCCCAGAGCACAATTGACATGGCATAAACATCGATTTCTTTCAATGATGCCTCACACTCCCTTAAGTTAACAGCTCCATCTAAAACTTCAGGAGCCATATAACGAAGTGTTCCAACCTACAATAGAAAATGTCTGAGCATCACAAGGGGAAAGTACATGGCTGTTGATGATCCTGCCTTACTTGATTGAATTGTGCAAACTTACCTTGAATAATTTACCCTATAATGAGAATGCATATTAAGGAAAGGTCTCTCTGCATCTGTGACCTGAGCTTTCAAAGCTTTCATTGAACTGATATGTTATGAGGTTCTGTACTGAAAAGACAGTCCGTACCATTTTCAGCATTGTTCAAGTTTGAAATTATGCATATCTTAGTTATCAGTCATACCTCTGTGATTATGTCATCACTTCCTTTAGTAGCTCCAATTTCTGGCATTTTCATGGCAAAACCAAAGTCCGACAGTATACAAGTGATATTTGGACTGACCAGAATGTTCTTACTGCTTATATCACGGTGAACAAAACATGGTTTACCTTCATTGTTATCTGAAAAAAAATATAGTGAAAATGTCATGATAAACACGCTTGGTTACTGTAAGAAGGGTCTCAAGGAAATGACATCACATATGGTTCTAAGGAGAGGGAGAAGCAAACCTGGAAAACAAAAAGACAGTAAACTTGACCTACCACAAATGAAACCAGAAACTTAAAGCTCTAAAGAGACCAGGGGTAGAATTTCATTCTATCAACTAATTAACTACAAGTGTACTCTAAGTAGGTGATAAAAATATGCCAAGAACTGGTCAAGTTACAGCTGCAATGATTTTGAGGAAAAATTACAGGTTACGCAATTGAAATACAAAACTTAGGGCTTGAACAAACCAAAAGAAGAAATTTATTTGATCAACTTCAACTCTTGCGTGAAATAAATCAGATTCTTTCACAGGAAAGAAGAACCTAAAGAACCAAAAATGACCAAAATTTTAACCCTCTAGTCTCTGAGAGACACAGGTGTGAATCCCATCAAAGCCTAAATATTTTCTTTAGGGTTCTTTTCTGCAATTGCTAAAATTGTAGTTAGCCTGTGAGAATCGTTACTTTACTAAATGAAAGTAAAGTAAATTTGAGGTTACTAAAATACATAAAGAGGACATATTGAGCCTTTCACTCAAAAAATCTTTTTACTAATTCCTCTCATTGTGTACTATTCTTAAGATGTTATTTTGCAGAATTTGGTATTGAATCAACTAAAAATCCCCTTGTTGATATTTTTCTCTATTTCCATCACATGTCTGCTTGATTATGTAACAAAAAATTGTGTCTTAGTGAAAGGATTAAAGCTCTTGATTTACCATCATTGTGTAAGTAAGCCAGCCCAGATGACAGTGAATGGCCAAGACTGCACATTTCTTGCCAGGTCACAGTGTTACACTTTAGATACTGCAACAGGGAACCTTTACTGTGGTATTCAGTCACAAGCAAATATTCTGGTCCATAACTTTGCTGCCTTTGAGTTGCAAAATAGAACTGCAATAAAAAAAATATATACACACTTGTCCATAGTATGAAATTAACTTAGGGAATAAAATGCCATCTAGTAGCCTCAGGTGGAATTTTCTGGACTACTCAAAAGATTAAACTGAAGATTACAGAGGGTAAAAAAAATAATCAATGAATTTGAAAATGTCATCAAATTTGCGCATATTTTTTAAACTGTTTAGCAGGGAACCCTTAAGTTAAGTAATATTAGATCACAGTATTAGATTTTTCCTCCTGCTGCTATACAGAATTATTCAACTGAATATTCCCCTGTTAATTTACTCGCATCATTCACAATCTTGTATATAAATAGACACCCTGAACATGCTGCAGCAACTTTATTTGAAACAAGTACAAACAGAACTGCTTGTCACAGGCACCCTTCACTCCGACATGTTGCCTGAATTGTGCTGCCTTTTAATACAGAAAAGTCTATTGATGCAAACATACCCTTAAGATACTTGGATGTGATAACTGTCCTTCATACACCTCCCGTTCAGACTCCCATGTGCCCCTGTGCCCTGGCGGAAATACTTTGACAGCCACTACTTCCCCTTTAAGGTAACATCTCCACACCGACCCATAGCGCCCTTGTCCAACCATTTGTTCAAAGTGCAAACCACTGATGTCAAGTTCAGGTCCAGGAGGTTCCTTCTCTTCGGGGTCAGCTGCAGCATATTTACTTTTAAAGCATTTAGACTTGTACGCGTAGATAACACCCACTGTCATGCATACAGCCAGAACAACAAACATAACACATGCCACCACAATGGCAACCCTGTCTGATCTATCCCCAGCAGAAGCTGTAAACCAAGGAAGTAAATAAAATGTTAAAATTTGATTTTTTGCATCACAATCCACACCCATTTCTCTCCTGTATATGGGAAGAAATGCTGTCCAGTAATTCTTTAAGGTGTAATGGTTACAATGGTGAATGTACTCGTACTTGCTTTAAATCAAAGTCAAATTCTTACTACATTCTGTAGTATAAATGAATAAAGGGGATAAGTTTCCAAAGAAACTGTGGTGCTGCATCAGGTAATTTAGTTTTTTTTTTATGACATGAGTAAACAATGTGAATTGACTTCCATGAAGAGCGCTAGTCATTCATCACAACAATACATCAGCTTTAACAGGTCTTTCTGTTGGCCAATTTAAATTGTCAACTCTGTAGTACTAGTACATGTGTATTTGCTCACCTGTTGACATGTCTGTTGTTGCCGTTGTTGTTGTTGACTCGGTATAATAAACAGGAGTGAAATTCCTGTTACACATGTGGATGTTGCAGCAACAAAACCCAGAGACATTATGACTTCTGAAGGCATCATAATTTGGATTTTGAATACAATCATCTTTACAGTCTCTAAAAGCCTCATTAACAGACACTTGAAAACACCCTTTCTTCAAAACTATGTAAAATGTTTCATTTCTTTCATTGACATCGTCTTTCCACAGAACGAAGCAGGAATACTCTGCAGTATCACAGGTTTCATTTCCATTCAAAATGCCCTCTTCTGGGTGGTATGATTCACATGTTACACCTTTTCCACCCTCACAAGAACCTGGAAATAGAATAAAAAGAGCCAAGAGTGTTTCATTGGGTAAAATTACAGGGGGGGGAAGGAGTTAAATATTAAGTGATCATCAGTGTAATTAACCCTAGTTTGGAGGTTGAAGGACTCTCTCAATGTAACACGGGCAACACCTGTGCCACTGAGTGAATTCTCTACACATTTCTCAGAGAAAAACAGCTTATATACAGCTTTGATCTAAAAATACATCACCTCTGTCGCAGAACCAGATAAACATAAGCAGCCAAAATTGCACGTTTATAAATTTGATGTGATCCAATCATGACATAGTTCAATTTTTGGTCAACAAACCCATTTCCCTTGTCAAAATATGCATATGATTGTGTATCAGAAGAGGGGCCAATATTTTCTAGTATCATTGTATGTTAAGCTGCGTATATTTCGTTTATTTCTCTCACGTAAGACTGTCTGCGGTTAACATTCATTCACACCCTGATAGCTAGAGGGCAATTTCTTGTTTACTAGGAGCATCGTCAAGGAGCGATGAAAATTTAACTTTCTTGACAGTATGCCCTATCTACCTCTAGCTGAGGATGTAGACGTGGATAACTTCTGTTCCAAGATTAGTGCTCCAAAATTCATTCGCCATAGACGTTCAGTCTACGAAATTGATCTCGCACAAACCCTCGAGGCCATAAAGTCTTGTAATGGATTTAATGCGGTTGTCCCGAGGTAGAATTCTTAAGCATACTAGTCAATTTACTATCTAGATAGGTTTGCTGATGCATTCTTACCTTGGTTCACACACATCAAGGATGTAATAACGAGCAGGAATAGGAGACAGGAATCTTCCATCTCAACAAACGATCTTTACCAAACTGCAGAAGGATAAAATCGTTAGCGTGACTATAGCTTTTGATATGGAAGCACCTTGTGTGTGTCTGGGCGCCACAAAGGGCAGCAAATCGAATAGTTCTTCCATAATGCGTAAGTCCTCGAGAGACGAAAGTATATTTGAAAACAAATGCAAATTTAAGAAAAACAGTGACTTGGGAAAGTTATAGGTCATAGTAGACAACAGATATCTTAAAACGAGAGTACTTTTGCCCGAAAAAGGGAAAGATTTTGAATTGAGACTGTTTGCTTAACCATGTCTGGCTACGCGGAGTTGTCCATAAATCGAGAGCAGAGGTGATTTGGTGTTTTCGGGTTTTCGTTTGACTTCCTAAAGTCCTTCAGATATAATTTTTTGCAATAAAACGTAAGATAAATTCTACATTCAACTCTCAGAGATAACAAAAAGACGTTTTTACAGCCATTCTAAATCACATCTACTAAGGCAGCCTTCAAGTCGCCATTAACTGAAGGGGTACAAATGGTCTCAGCTAAACGAAAAAATCGAGATTTTGGCATACATTAACAAACTCTAACCTTTCTTGAAAAAACAGCTGTACATTTGGCATGAAGAATCAACAAGACAACGCTTCGAATGATAAATATTTCCTTGGAATCAACGATAGTGTAGTAAATACAGTCTACCTCCCAGCAGCGAATATTTAGCTGCATGTATTGAATATCGACAATAACCAATCAGATGCCTCGAGGAGAGACGTCAATCAAGAGAAACTTATCTCAGGTAGAAATTTGATCCCCTGTATAATAAATTCCTTACTTGTTATGGCTAAGCGCTATTATTTCGGAATAGCGAAATCATGCAGCTGTTTTCGGTTCTTGTGAAGACTTCTCAACTCTCTGACACGTCTTTGTAAAGACGCCAGAAACATACGTAGCTTGGTCACGTACTTAACGCAACAATACGGAGAGCTTTGTTTTCAATGGGAAGGGACGATTTGACTCTTGGAAGAATTAACAAAGATTATGTTTTTAGTGTATGGCTCCCGCATGTCTGCGTCCTTTCGGAGTCAATATTGCCCAAACGCCATTAAACATAAAACAAATTATGTATTTCTAAACTTCGTTCTAGGTGATTTTCTATCACTGAAGACGACATTAATAGTTATGTGATGTTCAAATAACCTTCAAAATGCCCTGAGGCTTGCCCGCTTAATTTTCAGCAGATAAGCCGATTGATTAGACACAATAGCGTTTGTCGCGAGAGGAGGGTTGTAAACAGTTTATTTCAATATAAATCCTCGAATAGATTCGTTTTTTTCTTTATATCTATTAATTCATCAATTCAGCCACTCATCGATTCATTCACCCCTTCATCTATGCATTCATTCCCGATCGTTCATTCACTCGCTCCATACCTCATTCATCCACGCACGCACGCACGCACTCACTCACTCACCCTCGCTCATTTATTCAATCATTTTCCAACCACGAACGCGATCGCAATGTAGACCTCATAAAAATCAAAGGGCATGATGTTTGAGTTGTGGCTGAATTTCAATTTTGGTTCAATTTTTCCCATAATTAAATGATCTATACTAATTTTAAGTCGTCATTTGAAAATAAAACAAGGAAATGAAATTATAGACTGTTATATTTGATTTTAGAGCAGGGGAAATGAACACGCCGAAGGAATCAAAGGATGAAATCTGTCGGTTTTTAAGAACAGAAGAACCGTCTGGTAGCCTCCGAGCAGACACTCATAATTAGCAACAGCGTTTCGGCAAAAGCGTTTCTTCGGCCGTGAGAAAGTATGAGGCAACGGAAAGAGGTCCTCAGGGGATCTAGTCCGATACCGTCTGAGACACATTTTGATTCTTAATGTTAAAAAAAAAGAAAAGAAAGAAAAATAATGGTTACCCCCGGATGCCTTGGTATTTAGTAGACACTAGAAAATAAACTAAAAACTTATATCTTATCGATTGAAAACTTTTCATAACATCCGAAAAAAAAATTTTTTACATTCTACCTTGTAACTATATAATTATCAATTTCTTTGACATTAAATTGATCCGACAGTGATGTTAAAGCCCTCTCAGTTTACAATTATTTTCACTATGCAAACAATTTCGCTTTCGGGTTTTGTTTGTCTTTTTTTGTCTTTTAATCCCTCTCCTTTACCTCTACCCGATTTCTCTAAGAAGAATTATATGACTAGTCAATTATTTTTTGCCTAGGGAGAGGAGGGGGGTTGGAGGATTTTGTGAGATCACATGGTTTTCAGCGGGAAGAGAGGGGAGATCAGTCGTCGCTAACAGAGCAAGCCAACGTGAAGCCGTACCCTCCTCCCCAAGGTGAAACGGAAGCGAGGGAACGTCGTTCCCTTGCGGAGGGAACGTACCTTGAGGAGGAGAGGTACGGCTACACGCGGGCTAAGAAAAGTAGTGCTTTAGAAAATTGACTGCTAATGAGGGAGGGGGGGGGTAATTAGAATACTACAGAGTTTTAGGGGGGACTAGAGGGGGGTAATTAGAATACTACATAGTTTTAGGGGGGAATAGGGGAATTTTATTGTGACGCAAGCAAAATCCTCCAACCCCAACCAGGTCTCTAAGGCAACTCTAATCGCAGAGTAAAACATATTTCGAACTGAACTAGTTCACAATTCATTCTCTGACTCCAGAGTGGAGTAAGGTTTGACAGTGTTAGAACGCGAGGTGTAAGTAGTTCCTGACCGAGACGAAATATCATCTTCAACTCTACTACTCTCATCGCCAGTTGTTGTGGATGCAACGACATTCTTCAACTCTTCGGATTTAACATAATAAACGAGTTCATCTTCTTGGTTGTAAAAATCGTCCATATCTATATCACCAAAAATTGCCTCTCTTCCGCCTCGGTAGGGTTGCGCCTGTTTCTTCTTCGGCAACTTATTATCACCCTGTTCTTCATCTTCCGGTGGTTTTTCGCTTCCAGGGAGGCCAGAAAAATACGAAAACGAGTGCATTCTGTTAATTTCACGGGACAAAAATGAGTAACTAAATGGAAGAGACCTAAACCTAGCTAGGGCCAGGGCCCTGTCATAAGCCGTCTTGTGCTGCTCCATGCATGTGTGGTCAACTTCGCTGCCAATTTTGTTCATTTTTGTTTCTCTCGATTTCACTGGAAGCTTAGCCCTTAGCTCCGCTGTTTTGAGTAGTTTGGGTAATTTATTGTAGTAATCTTGTGCTTTTTGTTTCAGTGCATGTTTACAATGTTTATTTCTGTGGAGCCTTTTTCCAGATGGGTCCTCGTTCCCATTTTCCGTCAGCTCTATTCCACCCTCGTCACCAGACTGTTTTACATCTAAATCGTCGTCAGACATAAAATCGCTGCTGTAGTCGTCGCCTGAGTTTCCCTGTAAAAGAGATAATAGATCCGGACTAGACAACCCTCTATGAGACTTCCTAGAACGACTTGACTTTTTGGAATCTCTTAGTCTTAGGCCAGTTGAATCTGCGCCTTGATCGCCTGCTGAGTCGAACTCTCCATCCGAGACCTCATCTCCAGAATCAAAACTCAGGTCGATATCACTTGGGTCCAATCCCTTGTTTAATCGTGTCCGTTCCCGTCGCTTAGAGCGCGCGAGGGACTTGGCGTCGATAGCGTCGGTGTCGGACTCCGTCACGTGATCACTGAACACCACCTTACGCCGACTTTTCCCTCCGTTACCTCTTTCATTTTCTTGTTCATTTTCATTTTTTGTTGTCATTTGTTTATTTCCCTCTTCATTTTCACCGAAGTCATAATCGTAATCTTGGAACTTCGTATCAAAGCTCATACCCTTAATGTCCTTGGAAGTTTTATCTATTAATTTTTGGAAGTCATGTAGATTGTCTGTTTCACCGTCGGTGTTTGCGAAGTCAAAGTTAAGGGGGCTGTCTCCCGCGTCTGCCCTCATCTTCATCAAAACACGATCATTGTAAACCCGTTCGCTCATTAGATAATAACTTTCACGTCGCTTGGGAGCCCATTGGACCTGTAAATGAACAACACGTGTTCATATTCAATCAGACACACACTGGTCTCATGCACTGCAGTCGTTTGGTCCCATCACGCAGCGCGTTCTAGGCGTGGTGGGAAGAGAACCCGTTGCATGACGAGACCAGACAAGGGCTGCGAAGGACACTAATCGGGAGAATGAGGGAGTAGGAGGGGAGGGTAAGTAGTTTCCTACACATTTTTTTTTTTTTCTCTCTCTCTCTCTCTCTCTCTCTCTCTCTCTCTCTCTCTCTCTCCCCCCTTAAGGTGGGGCTGTCGTGATATACATGGATGAAAATGCAGTGCGATTCAAAGACTGAAAAATAACACTAAATTCCCGTAGGTTAACATACCAAAACTGGTAATTTATGGGCCCCTTGTTCCCTTGCTCTGAAAAGCAAAGCTGCGCATCTCCTCTGATGATGACGTAATTCGTTTAAATCATATCGAGGCCGAGGTCTTGTTCCAAATCGAGAGGAGACTGGTGTTTTCATTGTCGGTGTTAACTTCTTCTGCGCAGAAGCTTTTTTCTTCTGCTCGATCAAAACGTCAGCGCATCGCTGGCGCTCACTCTTCAAAGCAGCTTCAACTTTCTGAGAATAACAAAATAAAAAATGATTTTTTAGAGCTTAAAGGAACGCTAACCCTCATTTTATTAGCGATACACTCAAATACTGGACCAAACGACGGAGAAAACCTCTCTTAAGACAGATTAGTGTTGTTGCTTTTTGCCCCTTTAACTAGAAATTTCAAGGTAGACATGAGATTTCCTCCGTTGCAGCTCTTTTTCTTTCGTTTCATTTTCATATGGAAAAATCATCAAAAACTTGTGTTCAAATGGTTACCTGAGTGTTCAAAGTACTATCACGTCCAAAAAAATAAGGTTTTATGTAACAAAAGGCTAAATCTCTCAAAGAGAACACAAGTGGCTGAACTCAAGCGCGGGAAAAACGCGAGTGACCACGTCGCGAATAGTTTCTTTCTGAGTATATGATTACTTGAGAAGAAGGGATGACTTCTTAGGACCAATCACAGAGCAAGTGCATGAGGCTCCTCAGAGATTCAAACCTGCGTGCAAGCTAGGCACTAGTACGGTGTCAGACTTTGCATTAATACATTTATAGCAGCTGTGCGCATGCACGCATGAGGACTCGCACGTAAAACCTAGGAATGCTCACTAATTAAGGAAGGCAAATTGTACGTGACTTACCTTTCTATAGTGCTCTCCATATGTCATTTGCGCGTATTTGGCATCGAGAGCAGGAGTCATGCTGCCCAATATGCGATGACCGGTAGTAAAATGTCGGCCCTGAAAACAAAATGATATAATGATATGCATTGAATAAAAAGGTTGCTTTTTACATATGAAGCAGGCCTCATCTGCAGAGAAACAGTCCTGTCCCTCTCTGTGTTTTCAAGGAGGGACTGGTACACAAGGAATAAGTCGTTCACTCTGCAAAAGAGATCGGCAACGATACCTCCTAAGGGTTTTGGTTTGTCATCCGCCATGTGTTTCTCGTTATCTCAAGTCTAACTTCTTCCTAAGCGTTCTATGCTCTTTTTTTGTCCTCGTCGTATCCCTTAAAACGTAGATTCATTGGAAAAGCGCAAGGGTTTGTAATTTGTTGTCCCTTATCCTTCAAACGTGTCATGTCTGTGCTGGACGACTATCCGACCCTTTTTGTGTCAAAAAAGTCAACCCATCACGAATATTTGAAATGGAATTACTATGTGTGATGAAACACGTGGTCGACTATTATTTACAAGCTCTCTCTGACTTTGAAAGCATTTCAAATTTAAACGACTGTTTCATTTACTTAGCTGAGTGTTCGCAGTGGAGCAAAGAGAGCTCTGATCCGTGATAAACTAGCAAAATCTTGATTAGGAAAATTTAATTAATTTACCGCCGAAAGAAGCTGAAAGTTGAAACGCAAAGCTTTAGAGCCGGTTTACATTCAGTGTGCAGATACAAGCTATGTTCGAAGCTTTGTATTACATTGTTTACAAACACTTTGAGAGGCAAATGAAAATAAACAAAGCGCGCAGTCATTTAAGCGACCAAATTATCCTCAAGAGACTTATTGCACAAAAGATTCAGCAATTTTAAGAGAAAGATAATTGCGGAATCTTCTTAATCGAAAAGTGCCTTCCCAAGAGATTGGGGCTACTGTGGTAAGATTAAAACTAAAATTTGCATCCGAAAAATACGTCAAAGAGGGCTTTATTTGCAGCGGAAGCTATTGTGCAAATAATGTTTCACTTTTTGAGGAGTCAAGCTTTCATTCTCCCCTATTTGATTAAACAACTAAGTTGTCACATTATTATATAAGCAAAACATTTGTTAGCTTCATACGGTCCCAAACATTGCAAGCGAACACTGAAGTAAACTGCGTTTGCTCAACGACTCCGTGAAAACACAATTAAGTGAACCGGTGCAGAAAATTACTCAATGCTGTTCTTTTCTTGCGTTCACTGAAAACACAGCCTTAAAAGCGTACATTGGTAATAACTTCGTGCAGCCGCGCTGTGACGTTTCAACATTTCATTCGGGTTTATCATCATCCCTGATTGTAAGGATTCGGCGCGAATAACGAGAAGAAGATCAGATAAATGTCGTTCACTTAACTTTAAGAACCTGTGTTAAACGCAACTAAGGTCTACTTGTTACCAAAAAGATCCTGGTAAAACTTTAGAGATTCAACCGGATACCTTTTTCTTTTAAAGTCTGGTGTATATAGGCTTAATTCACGAGAAATCGTTCAGTTTCCTGGGTTTTACACTAAAGCAGCTAGCAATAACTTCTAAATGAAACTTTTTTAAAGAATTCAAACTTCGAGGCCAAAGTCAAATAAACAATCACAACGAGACTAATTACTCTCAAAACATTTGCTTCAGTTTAAAAATAGGTTACCAAAAACATTTTTTTGTCTCGACTGAGTGAAATGTTTATCTTATGGAGTTCTGTTGTTTGCTCATTCATCTTTAAACAATCTATATTTACCAAGAAAGACTGAACTTCACATCAAAAAGAGGAACAGGCACTAATATTCCTTTACCCAAGTTATTGCTTCAGAAACACGTTGTTTTTCCTATTGCTAGCTGATTAACAACCTTCTTTTTTAAATTAAAGAATCTTGAATCTAAAATATTTCCCTAACTGCTGGAAATCGTAGAGTAAAACTCAATCTAGTACTTCGTTGTCAAGCAGCGAGACTACAGTACACAAAGAAATTTCCCAACTACATACCGGCTGTGCTTTTGGTATTGGCACAAGATCTTCCAAACCAACACCTTCTGCTAGTTTCCACAACATTATGTAAAATTTGCCTGCAATATTTCAGGAAAAGACAGTCGCTTTTTAGTCAAGATTGAGATAATGTGCTGTGTACTATGTAATGTCCATTATCATTCAACGTTCTAACTGTAATCTTCATGCGTTTTGTAAGCATACACTCATTAATTCACGTGCTTAAGTGATTACACGCGCGGCAGTTAAGGTACAGAGGTGTGGTTTGATTGGTCAACAAAAGGGTTTCGTACCTAGGCTTCTGGAGTGATGGTTGCTGGGGCTCGCGTTTTGATATCTACGTGCGTAAGTAAAGAAGTAAATTCTTATCAGCTCAATCGTTACTTATGTTCCATTGACTTACAAACACCTTACTTCTGCGGCAAATTAACAGGTCAATTTAAATGTGCCTTGTAAAGAAAATTAACGAAAGATGAACTGTTCCTCTGTCACGAACGTCGAGCATAGAGGATTGGAACATTTGTCCTAAGGGTCAGCGGTTTGTTTCTCTTCAACTGAGCTCCAGAGAACTCGATAATGAGTTGGCGCATATATTAAGAGTATCATACTTGACATGCGTCTTGTAAATTGCGAGATTCAGTGGTATTGAAGCCTGCGAGCAGGCCCTAATTGTTAGCGCTTGTGTTGCTTAAGGCAACACGCCTTCTCGCGAGCGATGAAGCTCTTATACCGAAGCGCTAATGATGGTGAGAAGTGTCGGAAATGTTGAGTACGTCACAAACGATCAGGCTGAGTTTAAAAAGATTAATTTTTCTAATCTATCTGGAAATCTGTCAATACCAGATCATTCGCTTTCACAATCAGCAAGTAGGTTAAATCATTGATAGAATTTATTATTAAAAAATTCTCTTCCTGCGAGAAAGACGTACTTTCTATTTTAGATAACTGCCCGCTCCAGAAACTCAACGGCGGAAACTTGGTGGAGTAACAAAATTGTTTAATAAGAAAAATTATTTTGATCAAAATAGCAATTTTATCAACTTTTATGCAACTTAGCTTTCATATATAGAAAGAAACTTCTCTAACTGATGAGAGATGTTACGTTTTAAAATCTCATCATGAAATCTTTAAAAATAGGGAAACCTGAAAAATGAGCATTATCATGAAAAAAGTAATTAAATAATTTGTAAGTAAAAGTTTGCACGTCATTTTTATCTTGTTAAAAAGACAAGCTGAAAATCTCAATTTTTACAAGCAAGGAAAATAAAAAAAATAAGCCAAAATTAAAGGATGAGAAAATTGTATCTTTTCTTCAGATAGAGGGCATAATTTTTTTTCAAACATTTTTGTTCAAACATTTTTTTCACTAGGAAAGATTTTCGTTTTTTTAGCAAATTTCGATGGATTTTAACAGCCATCTTTCCCTGCTTTAAAATTGAGAGCGAGATTAAAATTCGGATTTTTAATAAAGGGTTAACATCTCATTATTTCACCAGGAAAGTTCTAAGAAAAAACCATAAAAGATTTAAATTGAACAAATTAGATTTCTTCTTCAGACAGGGGGTGTATTTGTGCTCAAATATTTTTGTTGGGTACGATTCTAAAGAGCCTTGTTTCTTTTTGTTTAAATAAGATTTAATTGAAATGCTACTTTTTATTTGGAGAGTGTTATAAATAAAACATCAAACTAATTAAAATGAAGACATTTCCGTAAACCAAGCGTGTAAAAAATGCACATATTTGCTGCACTTCAGAGGGCGCTGCTCACAACTGAATTTTCAATAGCTGCATTTGCGTCTGCCCTCGCAACGTAATTATTGGAGTCATTGCTTTTCGTGAGATGTTTCTATCACATCATGACATCTTGCAGAATTCTGACCACAGAGGAAGCTAATTATCATTAAGACAATCAAGAACCTCGAACATAGCAACTTGCGTTTTCCCGCAAGTTCTTTACAATTCATCTCCTAGTCTGTTGCCCCGGGGGAAAATATTTATTCAAGCTTTCAGTCGCTTAGGATCTGGTTGCTGACAAAAGACTTACGCCTTTCAACAATTTGGAAGCGTTTTTTCAGAGGATTTTTTTGTAGCATTTCGATTGAAACAAAGTTAACCAGCTAACAGAACGCTCATCTTGAAATGAGCGGGCAATGAATCTTTGACTGTGAAACGCCAGAGCGAGGATTCAACAACCGCCCGCCAATTGAGAACACTGAAGAATTTGATCGAAAAACTAACAGTGCCAAGCAAGATATAAACTAACTCGACGAAATGGAACACAGTACCTTGATAACATCCACCAGTTTTACGGGGAACTTTTCGACTACTTCTCCGCCAACAAACGGAACTTGTAAGTTGGTTAATGTCTTACTTATGCGTAGCCAGGTTAATGTAAGTCAATGTGTTTATTGGTATGGAACGCCAAAAGTTAACCTTGATATCTGCTTAACCTTTTAGTGTTGAATATTGAACATTTAATGGAATTTTTACTTAGATTACGGAGTTTGTTGTTTTAACTGGCGTAAGTCAAAAGTACATACATTTAATATCCCTCAATTTGCGAGATAGTTATCAAAGTAAACGTTGATAATAACGAATTCACAGAGGGTGGTGTGTAGCCCCTTTCAAATGAAACCAGACTTACACGAAGACAAAAAACACACGATATATCTCTACTTTTAAGCGCAAAATTACTCTTTTAACCTCTCCGCACCTTCTTCTCAAAGTGAGAGGTCAAATTTCGTATTTAATAAATCATGGGGAGCTCTTAAATAATCGTGTATCGTAACATTGTTATGTGAATTTAGTTCATCGCCTGCGCATTACAAAAATAGATTCGCGACTCAGACCCGCAGTCGTTTGAGTTCGTATCGTTTTCTTTTCCCAGTTAGCACCTTTGTGTAAGATTTCATTCCATGCTCAAACGAGCAGGTTACGTTTATGTATTTGAGGAAAAGTATTGTTATTAAATTCCTAAAATGAATAGCCAGGCTCATGCACATAGGTCCGCAAAGCGTTCGTACAGAAATTAAACAAACAGAAAAAGGTACAAACAAGCATTGATAGACGCTTGTCTTCGGTTTTTCGAAATACTTGTTCCTGGGTGCAAATAAAAAGAGGACAGAAAGTCTTTCATATTAAGTATCAACTTCCACTCGATCTTGAACAACACTCTTCAATTTCTGGCTTTTAATTCGAATTTCGTTCATTTTAATATGATGCACTGTTATATTTTCTTATCACAGTGGTAGACAAGTACGCGGGCGCAGCCATTGCATTCGTTACAGGAAGCAAGGCTGGGTTGGTCGTAGGAATCATTGTAGCAATCATCATCGTCATAGTGGTATTGCTGTGTATCCGTCAAGCTTATAAAGGATTGAAGGAGGCAAAGGAGAGAGCTTTGACAAAACTTGAAGCTCTGATAAAGAGAGATGCAAGCGTTGAATTGCCTGATGCCGCCCCCGATTTGGAGTTGACAGCGGTGCAGCCGGCCTCAACGGATAAAAAGAAACTGGTGAGGAATATGATAGCAATTAGTTTGTTTAGTTTGATATCTAGTTTAAAGGTCAAAGTATAAACTCTTAAAGCAAAGTTTTTTTTATTGATGGTTTGGTGCAGAGGTCAAATGATGTTTGTTTCAAGGTAGTTTGATACTATCAACTGAGTTGCTAACCTACATTGGCCACCGCAAAGAATTTCAAAGCTGACGTTTCGAGCGTTAGCCCTTCGTCTTCCCTCTGACGAAGGGCTAACGCTCGAAACGTCAGCTTTGAAACACTTTATGGTAGCCGATCTACGTTATCAACTCAGTTAATTATACCAAATTACCTTTTAATACTCTCCCACCGGCGCAGCACCACAGTTTGAATAGAAACATACCACCCGGCTTTTTATACAGATGTTTGTTTCAGTCGCGCGGTTGCTCATAACGGACATGGACAAGCATTACAGACCTATCTTGACCCTTACCAATCGAAAAAGCAGTGGGCGTACAAAGAGCTCAAATCTGAGTTGCAGACGCATACGCAGGCAGCTTCTTATCGGCGCCTGTCGTAGCACCATGTGATCAAAATGCAACCAGCATGCGCGACTACTCAAGAAAGGGCTCCTAACAGGTTAATTTACCGTTTGATTCTTGTAGGAAAATCTTGGAAGGATCAAGTTTTCTCTTGCTTACGACGAAGAACTGTAAGTAGAGATACTTGTGCAGGAGTCGTAGAACTAAACTTTTTCTTCCAACTTCTTGGGCAGAGAAAAAAATTGTAGAAGTTTAAAACATAATTTTAAGTTAATAAAAGGAGTCTCCCAACGGGTTTCATTCCTAAACCTGCTGTCACATGAGGGTTGACTCTGTTATGAGAAGTCGTTTTTACCTCAAATTCTCCATGAAACAAACAATATTCTAAATTCAAATTAGACCAAAAACAAAGGAGAAGCAAAGCCCCATCGTGGTTATCCGCTACCACCACTCAATATCTTTATCCGTATTCATCCGTCCGACACTCCCACCCTTAATTATTGGGACACTTCTCCTGAACAGCGTTTAGGATGTCCATTCACCCTTCTTCTCCCTTCCAAAGCCGTTCGTTAGATATGCCTCCATGGAATTTGCAGACCAAGATTGAGAGGGGCAGGATGGGAGAATTGAATTTCTCTCAAGTTTTCCAAGTTGAGGTCCATTTATTTCGATGGTAATTATTTTTTGCAGATCTGAATTAAGAGTAAAAGTTTACTTCTGCGACGGATTGCCAATGAAATTCGTAGGTGGAACAGTTTACACTTACGTTGAAGTAGAAATGTTTCCCTTTCATCGAATGACTCCAACTAAACCTCGAACAAAGTACATCAGAAACGAATTTAGTCCTGTTTTCAACGACGAGGTTCGTATCAAAATTCTCAAAGAAGAAGTCGACGATCAAAAGATGTATCTTCACGTGTGTGACTACAATCAGATCTCAACCAGAGATTTGATTGGCTCCTACAAGTTAGAGCTTGATGACGTCAGCTTTAAAAGTAAAGCCAAAGAAACTACGTATGAAGGCGACCTGAAATGGATTGATTCGGTGAGTGACACTTTGTTCTATGATTGCGCATTCGCAACGCCATGCAACGCCGTAGTATGGATTCAAAATTGAACCGTTGATTGCATTTTGCATTGATTTTGTATCGACTTTTCGTCGCTTCTTATCACGTATCCATTCGTTTCCCGCCAAAGTGTTCTCCGTCCTTTCAGTTTTCGCTCATTTTCCCGCCAAATTTTTATATCTCTGAGGCACCCTTCCTCAGCGCTCGTTTAAACTCTTTTTATCTTTTTCAGGTCCGTGGCGCAGAGCGCGGTGATATTCTAATATCGATGCGATACTACGGAGGAAATAGCGAATTAACTGTCAAAATTAAGGAGTGTAAGGGACTGAGACCCTCCCCCGGAAAAGTGTCTTGTAGTAAGTATTCCCTCGATTTTTATCATCATTTAAATTTTGATAAATAGTTAAGTATTCACGGGTGCAGCCTCTATAAAAGTTTCTTAAACTTTGAGATCTAAACGTACAGGCACGAAGAACATACGACGAAAATACAACTTGCCTACGACGAAAATACAACTTGCCTACGACGAAAATACAACTTGCCTACGACGAAAATACAACTTGCCTACGACGAAAATACGAGGAAACAAATAGACGAACAGACGAGTAAACGAACAGTCGAACAGTCGAATACACGAGCACCCGAACACACGAACACACGAATACACAAACACACGAACAGCCGAACAAACGGGCAAACGAACAAACGAACAGACGAACAGACGAACGGACGAACAGACGAACGGACGAGCAGACGAGCAGACGAGCAGACGAGCAGACGAGCAGACGAGCAGACGAGCAGACGAGCAGACGAGCAGACGAGCAGACGAGCAGACGAGCAGACGAGCAGACGAGCGGACGAGCGGACGAGCGGACGAGCGGACGAGCGGACGAGCGGACGAGCGGACGAGCGGACGAGCGGACGAGCGGACGAGCGGACGAGCGGACGAGCGGACGAGCGGACGAGCGGACGAGCGGACGAGCGGACGAGCGGACGAGCGGACGAGCGGACGAGCGGACGAGCGGACGAGCGGACGAGCGGACGAGCGGACGAGCGGACGAGCGGACGAGCGGACGAGCGGACGAGCGGACGAGCGGACGAGCGGACGAGCGGACGAGCGGACGAGCAGACGAACAGACGAACAGACGAACAGACGAACACAAACACCTACGAACAAATAAAGTATAAGGAGTATTAGGCGCTCTTTGCTTACGGTTCTCTCTATTTAACTACAGACTCCTACGTCAAGCTTCACCTTGTGCGAGGCTCAAAAATAATAACGTCAAAGAAAACAAAGGTGATGAAGAAAAACCTCGAGCCAAGATTTGAACAAGAACTACAATTCATAGTAGAGGAAGATCTTCTAGACGAAGTCAACCTCATTATACATGTCAAAGACAAGCCGCTGATTGGTCGAAAACGTCTCATAGGCGAACTTTGCATTGGTTGCCAAGGAGTTGGACAGGCGCTTGCGCAATGGCAGCTTATGGTAGAGAAGGAAGTGGTGATGTGGCATCAACTTGAACTATTGAATATTGTGCCGGGAAAAACAGATCTTCAAACCACCATGGCAACTTTGCATGGCTGGGAATCGACTTCGGAGGAGGAGAGCGAGGAGGATGAGGGGATATTCACAGGACTCTTACCCGGAGGCTTATTTTCTTCAAATAATGATAAACCTGCAAAAAAACCTAAAAAGCAAAAACTGTCAAAAAAGCAGTCCAAACTTTGACAGCTTTGTTTCGCTACAAAACAACGTTAATTTGGATCTACTTATTCAATCCTTATGCATGAACTCACCCAACGCATCTTCAACCCAGATTCCGCTCGCAAAAGTTGTTTGAAATTTGGGCCGAATGTGGAGATGTGGCAAAGTCATTACGCAATGTTCCTACATTGCCTTTCAGCAAAAATAATGACAACAATGATCTGAAAACGAAAAAATTCAAAACGGGGTGTTTCTCCGGCTCCGCGAATTCAAAATGACGACAGAAAATAGAAGCTTAGTTCGAAATCCGAAGCCCTTAAAAAAATCATTGGCAAATACAATAAAAATTTAGTACTAGAGCTGGTTATTCTTAAAGGTTAAAGTCACTTTGGTTAGAAGCTTTTCAGAGAAATGTGTGACTATTTTGAAAAATAATTGTGACAGATTTTGAATAACTGTACATTATTTATATTGCGTTTGTAATAAAGTTTCTTGTTGCTTTTCCCGTTGTTAATTGAATTGAGAATCCCTCACTTAAAACGGGATAACAAAAATTTTAAATTTAGTGTCTTAAATAATCCATGATTGCATTGCTTTTTCTTAACTACGTTCTGTGATTGGTCCAGAAAACTCCCACCTCCCTCTTAGCCAATCAGAATTTAAATTAAAACCGATTGAGCCTGGGTCGAGAGAGTTTTCCCGCGCTTTAAGAGTCTTGCACAATTTTATCAACGATTTTGGTACCTAAAAATAAGATGGATTAAAATTTTTTTTCTTAATTTCTGTGTCTGAGTAAAACTTTGTTCGATCGATATTGGACACTTTTAGGTTCTAAAACAGCTAGGACTACGAATTCGACGACAATGGGGAAAATCGAACCAGCGAAGAACATACAAAATGTACGTAAAATTTTGCTGCAGAGGTTAGGTCTTGGATTCAACGAAATGGTCCTAAAGGTCTCTATGAACGGGAGGTGATAAAATGATGATAAAACGAGAAATGAAAACTATTACGGCTAGAGAGCGATAAAAAATAATGATGATGGTCTTGCGTTTGCACCGTGGGAAAGAAACTAAAGCACGCTCTTTTTATCATGAAGTATACTTTGTCATATGAACATGTTCTTAAAAGATTTTTTTCGTTTTCGAATGGCAATGATTTCTATTAGACTAAACAATGCAATTCCTTTGACATATTCCTTTGCAGAACAAATATCAAACAGTTTGCGTTATGTTTCCATGGACCTAAATTTTTTATTCTCTGAATATAGAAATCCAAAATATTGGCACACTCTCCCTATTTAAATCTAAATTGCGAAAATTACTCCTTAGTTAACTCCTTTTTTATTCTTCTTCATTTATTTATTTTTTTTTTTGTATTATTATTTTTTTTCTTACTTTTCTCACGCTGCTTAAATATATGTTCGTTTGAGTACCTGCTATTGTTGTTGTTGTTTTATATGTGTGTGTCCTTTCCATTTTAACCTAAAATATCTCGTTCCTAAATCACGCCATAAAACTGATACCTCACTGTTATATAATATAAGAAGCCTGTAACTCGCATAAGTCTCATGGTTTCCCTATGGGTTTCCTCGCCTCATGCTAAATCTTCAGCTATATCATATGTATATATATGTAATTCCTTTTTCATTTCTTCTGACGTATAATAATTACAAAATGGCAAAATAAAAATAAAAAAACAAGCTTCAATCATGATCTCAAACATTTTAAGACTCGTTGATCATATGATAAATTAATCATCGACTGAGTTCAATCAGGCCAGACAGGAAAGTATCGAAAAATACTTTGCTCTTGGTCATGACGCACAGACCTGACGGCGTTCGCACAGTCATGCATCTCCTCGAGTCAAATACTTTCCCGTGCAGCCCTCCCACTCAGTCAATATGTAGACTATATATACCTTTTGTATCGATTAAATCCCCTCGCATGCATTAAAGCGGGATTTTCATGAGAGATTTTCCTTCGTGAAACAGCTGCAGAAAAACAAACCATCGAAACAATTACCTTAAAAATCTTAATCCATCCCAGTAAAAGCCTGCGAATTCAAATTTAAAAAACTAGAAAACTAAGATTATTTTATGTTAACCATTTAAGATCCGAAATTAAGGATGGTATCAAGATGATTTGTTCTTCCTTTCAGCATTTTCAATTATTGTTAAAAAACACGTTTTAAACCCTATGGTACACGTAATTGACATAAGATGTCTGAGCCTCACGCAGGAGGTTAATATTGTCAATATCGCTGGGACATTTAGATGATAACTATTAAATATTGCCTCTTAAACGAAAATAAACATTTCCCTCTTCCAGTTTTCCAATCATTTTAGCTTTATATAAAAAAAAGCTTTTCAAGGAAGATTGAATTTTTTTCGAACTCTTAAGTTCAGCGTACTGCTGGCTGTAATCAGTAAACAAAACTCAACTGCTGTAATTAAATTCTTGTCAAGATCAATTATATTTCAGGAAAAGTATCATTATAACAAGGTTTATTTCAACCGCACAGTACGAAAAGCGAGGCTAATTTCCACACCGTCGTTTCGATAAATATCTGCGGGACTTTGCGATACAATTCAGCTGAATTTCGATTTGTTCAAACATGTGATTTCTTAGTGAAGACTAAGAGAGCGTCTCTTGATCTAGACATGATCTACACGGGGTGATTTCATTACTTTTCAGAAAGGCTGCACTATATTTAGACGGCTTAAATCTGCCAAACTTGTTCGACCCTGAATGATAAAATAAAGCGCCAAAATTTGGAAATTTACGGTTTGAAAGAATAGAAGCCATGTTGTTCTGGAATGCAATATTTTCTAGTTTCGAAACAACCTATATCGAACCTTTCATTCAAAAAAGGCACATAATATTATGTTTGTTACGTAAAAGTTCTCGAATCTTTTTAAAATTACTTAATAATAATAAATTCTTTGACCATCTTTTTTCCTTCAGCAAGAAAGCCAGCAAGCTGTGTCGCAAGACATCAATAGCCATTTTACTTCCCCGATTTTTAACTCTAATTGCTGCAAAAAGAAAATCATTTAAGTGTCGGGGTTCTCCTAACATCACACTGCTTTGTATGCAAATTTCAAATCAATGCAATTTAAACGCTGCAATATCAAACATGCTTTAAACTTCGTCTTTGTTTTGTCGCTGTTATTTGGTCAACTGTAAGACCAACTTCACGCGTTGCCCAGTGTGATTGGTTGAAATCTCGTGACAATCAAAGCCGAGTAATTTTAACCGTGTGTGAAATTGAAGTTATTCCCAACAGAACGAGCAACTGAAATATACCGTCCGGCGCATAAAATGCGCAGAAATATTATGGCTAGGAACGAATACTCAAAGCTTACTCAAGGCGATGAAGAAATTGGCTGTCAGTTTATAAAGAAGGAAAAAGACAGTCATGAACATGACGCGAGAAAGCGTTTGATTATAGCTTGCGCTTTCTGTACAGTGTTCATCATCTGTGAGGTTGTTGGTGAGTTCTGTGGCTCGATTATATTTATTTTACCCTCTGATGTAATAGCAAACAGTAACAACTAAACATTTTCACTTTGTCAGTGTGGCGAGAGCCGATTTTTATTCAGTGTATTCTTGACAAAAAAAAAAAACGAAGCCTATGGTTTTACATGATCTTTGCGGAAACGAGTAAATTTAGCCGATGGGTTTTTCTTCTCTGGAGTAAGCCGAATATCGTAGTCAAATATATCTCTGAAGTTAATTGTGTGGCGTTTATTTGCCATTTATATCTCTCCTACTTTGGAGCATTGACTCTTGGGAAAGAAAATTCTTATATAAGAATAGAAAAACCAGCGGAGATTCAAAGGAGTTTCTTCATTCAACCAATACACACTCTAAGTTGTCGCTTTTCATTTAACTATTTGGTACTAAATGGTGTTAAATTGCTTTGACGATAAAGTGTATCTCTTGACAACGCAAATTGTGCTCCATTCAACTCATTGAAAAACGGAAAAAGCAAATTGTATTTATAGCAATAAAATTGAAACACAATAGTATTCGATTTCTTCCATATAGACACTGACCGGGAAACTCAATCCGTAGAATTCACGCGAGAACTTTGTAAAATGAATTATTAGTTCGATAGCTTTGTTTGAAGTTTCGATACAACGACAAACACACCATTTGTACAACAGCCGGGTGCAAGCTTCCTAAAAATGTCAAACATGCTTTTGTTTGCGAACCTTATCAGTGTTTTTGTTCTGCTTTCACGGTATCGGCCGTTGAGTGGCATTATGCCCTTACGATGAGTTTGAATGGTTTCCAGAGTGTTGATATATTTCAATCAACACCTTTTGACCTATCTTTCTGATCTTCTACCTCGATTATGTAACCTTTTAGAATATATGTATCCTATTTCCTTGGCTACACGAGGGACTTTCATCCTTTCTGCGAAACGCAAATCGGAGAATTCTCCACGTAGACTAATGGCACCTTGTCTTTATCCAATCAGAAAGCAGTATTCAGAAAAGCTTTTTAATGTCCGCGGTGGGTTTAAATGGTCTCCCTCTGTTTAACCAATGTGAAACACCTACTTAAAAGCCTTTTGATCATTTTTAAATTGGGAAATAAAAGAAATTTCCAACGTTGACCGTTCATGCCTCGATTTTTCGGGAGGATTAATTAGTCTAAAGGACCTCCGTTTTTCTTTCCTTCTCTTTTCTCTTCATCTTTTGGTACGTAAAGTAAATATGTTCTGTTGTAAGCTTGACGATGGCGGCTTACTTATTGACGCCTATTTACACCTCGTCAGAAAAAAGAGCAGCTAATTAGTGATCATTTAAAAGGACCTCTTGTTGCAGCGTTTAGATCACCCCTGATGAAGGCACTAGACAGGAGTGTCGAAACGTTGGGTCTATGAATTGTAACTTCTTCGGTTACATTTATTAAATCTGTAAACCAGAGTAGCATCAAACTGTGTCTGAACATAAGGTTGTTGAACATTTCTGTTATTGTTTAGGAAGTCATAAGTTAATTTTCTCCCATAAACTGCAACCCTTTGAGACAAACTGTCCGTGAGCCACTATTTAAGATAGACCGAATCAAACTTCGAAGGATCTCATCTATTTACGAGTTGAAAGAGAGAAAGATGAGAACTGAAGAGCTCAACGGCGTATAAAGAAATACTTTTAACATCATTTTGTCGGATGTGTGATCTGAGTCTCCCCTCAAGATTCGAGCTCACAGACTTTTCATTTTTGTGATCTGAAGACTCGTCCATAAGCAGGCTATAAATTAGATTTATATTTGACTAGCTTCAGCGGACTGTTAGAATCAGAAATGTCGGAGGCTTTGTGCTCAGAGAGACAACTAGATCGTTGATAAATTTGAATGGTATATGGTCGAGTATAGAAACAATTCTCAAACATTCGTCAAGAGCGGGATACAAAGAATATTATTTATTAAATTTTATGCTTTTCCCTCTTTGTTGCAGGGGGAGCTTTGGCCAACAGTCTTGCCGTTATGAACGACGCAATCCATCAATTCTTTGACTTAAATTCCTTACTGTTAAGTTTGGCTGCCTCGTGGATCGCAGGATGGAAACCAAACGACAATAAAACATTCGGATATTACAGAGCTGGTAATCCGATTTTCCTTTCTTAATCACATCTTCCTCTCGTTAGTTCTGCTGACATGTAAACCAATCATTATCATCTGCTTATAATCTCTTGATGTAAACCCTATGTAACTGTGTCATTTTTTCATTGGCAGAAATACTTGGTGCATGCGCTGTAATAACCACGATGTGGTTGCTAACCGGCGTGCTCGCATATGAATCAATTTTAAGACTCATCCCAGGCCACAGCGGTCATCACAGTCACATTAACTCCAACGCGATGATATTGACGGCAGCTTTAGCTTTCAGTGCCAATATCATGTGAGTATGTAACTCAAAAAGGCAAATGTTTCTGAGAGGATACTGTAGTTCTTCGTTAGGAGTTGTTTGCTGCGTCTGCAAAAAGAATTTATCTAGGGACTGGTCATTGTTTATCGGTGGGGGAGGGGGGTCGCAGGAGTTTGGTTTTCCCACGGTAAAATTTACGTGATTCTCTAATAAAGTTCTAAAATATCCCTGTGTTCTCCCCTCATCGGCAATTAATTCTCTATGGTCTCCACTGTATACTCTGTTAGCGACGAGTCCCCCCATCCGCCCCCTCTTCTGAAAACTATGTGATCTGTAATAATACCTCAAAAAATACGCGCTGTGCTCGAGTTTGCGTCTGGACTTGCATCAAAGCACAGTTTCCAATATTTTGACGTCTGAAAATGCTGCGTACCATTGCGTTTTTACGAATCCATCACTGTTTACTCGCGTGCAGAATTATTTTCTTGCTGAATGGTCATTCCCATCTTGGAGGCCATCACCATCACGAGACGAACATGACAGTGAAAGCGGCCCTTCTTCACACGCTTGGAGACGTTTGTCATAGTTTCGCTGTGCTGGTTGGCGCAATCCTCATCAAAATTAATGTAAGTTAAAAGTACGAGTATGTGCATGTGTTGTACAGTTGAAGACACTCTAAGAAAGGCACGCGCAGAGGCAACAAAAGCCGTACTTGTTAACTCAGGCGTCCGGAGACTGATGTGGGATGCTGGAGACGTCCTTATGACGAGATTGAGTAACTGGCCATGACTGTGTAACATAGGGAGGTATCAATGCGTTCACTTATCGAGCTTTTTCATTTTGTCTTTATCATAAAAAAGGGTCTCTACGCATTCGACTTAGGTTTCAAAGATTTCTTTCTTTCTCTGAGAACAGCAGTTTTCAGAATACAACAGAAGCACAGAAGCGTAATCTTAACAGAAAACTTTTTACAAATTTTCCACTGCACACTGATACTTCAGGTGATATTCAACGTTCCTGATGTCTCTCCGTTTGCTTTTCAGCCCTCCTGGGAAATCGCCGATCCAATAATAAGCCTGGTAGGAGCATGCGTGGTTCTGTTGTCAACTTGTCCTGTTTTAAGACAGTCTATCAATATTTTACTAGAAGGTATGGGTTTCCGAATTTAGATGAACTGAATAACTCCGAAATCCTTGACATATTCAGGTGGCCTGTTGCGTTTGACCCCTTTGTTTATGGCTCATCTAACTAGCGGGTTCTGTGTAGCTTAGTGTTAGAGTATTGAAGCGTGAACTAATATTTCTCGGCTGCGGTGCTAGTGCCGTTTCTTGTGGTACGTACGAGACGAGGGAGGGTACAAAGAGTCAGACACGCGCGAGAGGAGGTGCGCACAGAGTCGTCTATCTTTTTCGCTTCTCTGTTTACGAGTGCCTCGCCCCTGCGGTTTCCTCTCACTTTACGCGCACTTTCCTCGAGCTTTCCTTGCACTTTCCTTGTGTCTTCCTTGCGTTTGCTGAGCATTAAACTACGCTCTCTTGAATGACGTTTATTCCGTCTTACTTATTATTTACCTATTAATAGTTCTAACTGCCTCGTTTTCAGGAGTGCCTTCCAACATAAGGATTGCTGACGTAAGAAAAGATTTGACTAATACGGATCATGTGATAAGCATTCATAAGACGCATGTCTGGTCTATAACCACTGGTAAGACGATCCTATCGGCTCATCTGGTCGTAGGTATGTGTCTCTCCAATTGTCAGTTATTATTCTGCACGCTCCTTCGTCCTGTATTAACAGGAAGAAACAGATGTATATAAATCCTATGCCATCATTTTTCGACTCATCTTTCACTCGAGGAAGAAAATGACCCTATTTAAGAGTAATGAAACTCGGGATGGTGGTATATTGTTCCTTAAAGGTGGAGGTTGACTGATTAGTTACCACTGAAGTATTTTAGGTAAATAGTGGACGAATGAGACAAGTTTTCTGTCGCATTTCAAGTAATACCTTCCGAAGCCGAGGCACGCCAATGAAATACAGGTCTTGTATCATTTAAAGATTTGATCCTCGGCCCCAAACCCTCAGGAGCCACTCCGAATGGCAAAAAAGGCCTGAATACGAGTTTGGTTCTCAGCCCAAGAAGATTGAAACGAATTTATTAGGGAAGTGACCAAGCTGATTTTTCTGGGTGAAATATTAACAATTCTTGACATTGGCACTCATGCCTAGTTTATTACTTCACAAAAACATAGCGCAATGGTTTTCAAATTACATCATGCAGAAGGTAGGTCTGTGGGAAGATGTGGAAAATAGAATTTTATGGAATGAAATGGACCCAGGTTTTTTCGAGAAAAAAGGCGACACGACCCCATGAGGAATTCCAAGAAGTGTCCCTGAGTTCTCGTCACTGGCTCTTTTGTTTCTCTCGACAGATTCCAGAGCGAATGCCAACACTGTGTTAAAAGAGGCAACACGGAAGATGTGTGAAAAATATCAGTTTTATTACACTTGTTTACAGATTGAAATTCCACGTACTGAATACAGAATTAATATTCAACAAAATAACAAGACAGAAAATACAGAACACGACAATGGAGATTAAGAAATCTTTAAACTGCAAACGAATTAATATCATTCTCGATTGAGAGTGTTCTGAGTACTCTTAGTTAGCAAAAGTTGTATATAATAGATCACTTTTCTGAAAAACCTGCATTTGCAAATTAAATTATTAACGTGTTTAGCCTTCATGTCTAATGCAATGGCACGCACACACACAGGTACTAATAGGCCACTTAAAAGACTGTATGGTCTGGGCCTCGGTTGTTAGAGGCATGGAAAACGCTATCCACTTACTTATCCGCTGGATAACGATTTATCCGTTGGATAGCGTTATCTGCCCTTTGAACAACCCGGCCCATTTTTATTAACTCGTTAGGAAACTTTGATCGTATGTGGAACGAGACCATATTTTTTCAGATTAGTGTTTTATGATAACTTCGAGTCAATAGTCTTGAACCAAATATAATGGATAACAACCTTTATCAATAAAGGGCAAAATTACTGAGCGCTGATTGGTTGAGAGAGAGGGCATTTTTTCTTAATCGAGGGCATTTTTAGTAATCAAGAGAGGGCATGATTACCTTGTTCAGTTAAAAGCACTTTGTTGTTTTTCTGTTGGCAGAAACGCTCTGTTGAAATGAGCTTTGTTTTCTAGACTTTTGGCAGTGTATCACGACACAGTTTTGGAGAATAAAATTTCATTGAATCGATTGGTCAGTTCAATTTGATTGATGATTTGCCGTAGCGCTAAACAGGCTTCCCAGATAAAAATAGACTGCGCGCGTGATTTTCCTTCGTATAAATTTTGCCCTTTATTGATAAACAAGTAATCCCATGAGACCTCGTACTATTAAGGATTAATTACACTTGAGTTTTCAAAATTTTCCAAATTGCCCTCGTCGCTTCGCGACTCGGGCAATTTTGGAAAATTTTGAGAACTCTCGTGCAATTAATCCTTAATAGTACTTGGCCTCATGTGATTACATATACTTAATATTTGCGCTTCTGATTAAGGCGTTCCCACGCGCGCGTTCAGCACATTAAAACAAAAATGTCTAAAATTATTGCTAACCCAATGCTCTTTTTGCATATTTATCATTAAAAGATCACCTTCCAGGAGGAATGCTCAGAATAGTAAGATAGGGCCGAAAAAAAATCGGAGCTAAGAGTTAAGAGGAGATTGAAATAGAGAATCTAATTGCGATTTGACTGCGCTTGTTTGCGGAATATCTGCAAAGGATCATATCCTACGCATACGAAATTTTCTAGTTCAGGGAAACTCATCTGATTTCTCTTCTGTTTGCTTCGCTTTGTTTAACGATTTGGTCATTCAGTGCAACACACTCAAACGTCACGCTTAATTAACTTTCAAAAAATATGAATAATGCAGCGAATAATTATCTCAACGGTTGTAAAAAAGTGGCGCTTTATTTTCAAGCATTTACACACGGATTCAGAGCGTGCAACGAATGGATCGAGAACATGTAGGCGCAAGAAGCCTTGGAAACGGCTTGCTTTCAAGCTTGCCGTGAAAATGGCAAAGCTTAGAAGCTTGTAAAATTACTTTTATTGGAAAGTTTTGAGATATTTTGCCGAAAGTCGAGTCCGAAACTTCCTTCAGAACTCGTGGAAGTGAATCAGTCAAACAGTAAGCTGATTTTCAGAGCATAGTGTTTTAAAAGCTTGGGCATAATATCATAGACGTAAATTTCAAAGGTGAGTTTTAGATATGGTTGTTTCGAGAGTATCTATTTCAATTTGTATCATCATCAACTAAAATAAGTTTTAAACTGTAACGATATAGATGTTGACCCAAACGGTTGCTGGCAGACGTCAGGAGTCAAATTAATATTTATAGCTGTAAATTTCCTGCCGAAAACAAACTCAAAGACCTTGCCTTGTCACATCTATACGTAAAGATGCATCCCCAAATACTAAAAAATTGCAAACTGTAAATCAGCACATTGCATGATTTGATGAGACAAAAGTTTTGCCGTTACGAAATCTTTATAATTATACAGCGTCACCGAAGAGTATGCACTCGAAATTTTTATATTTTGTTTAGTTTTGGTATTAGAGCTAATTTCCCGACCAGGAAGATAAAATACGCTCTTCTAATATAACTGTCGGTTTTCAAGCCTTGTTTACTATTTTGCATCTCCTCAATTCAGTTTCCGCCAAATTTCTCTAAGTATGGTTTAATGTGTTTACATAATCCTTTTGCTGTAATGTGCATTTTTCCAAGCTGCGCAAAGGTCTGTGAGGAACTAATTCATTTAGGTTGCACATAGTATTTTACATACTGAGGTATTTAATAGAAGTTGGAACTCTTAAACAGATTTCTTGAGGTTTTTAGCACAGTGAAAGGAAGTTAATTGATTTACATGTTAAATTAGGAAGTTATTATTCAAGCTTTAAATTGGCGGGAGCTTTCATGAACTCCCTTTTCTCAGAAATAACTCGTTTAGCGATTCGTTTCAATTCGATTTTTACTTTTTAATTAAACTAATCTATGTAAAATTTCGAACTTGATCTTTCACTTGACGATGAGTTTCAGTTTGGCGAAATTCTACAAATTTAGAGCCAGTTTCTTCCAGTAGACAATGGTTTCTTTGTTAAATAATTCGAAATCAATCAGCTGTAAAACGCAGAATCCTTACAAATTATACCTTACCACAAAGCCTAATTCTAACAAACATTGCATGTATTTTGTTCTCCTTCTTTTCAGTTAAAAAAAAAAATAACTGTCCTGTCGAAATAATTCTCTTCTGTCATTTGGCGGGCGTGAAGTCACTGCACTGAAATATCGATAAACAGTAGTAAAGACAAAGTTAACAAAGAAAACTGAAGGATTTCAAGCGAAACAATAGTTTTACTAACTAGCTTAACAGTGTAAGACTCCTGGAGTGATACTTTACGAAGATATTAAGGAGAATTATTTGAATTAAAAACGTTTGCTCGTTTTTCAGTACTGTCTCTGCTGAAAAGTTTGCGCATGGAAAGTACACAAATTTGATTTTCTAAGTCAATAGACAACAGTTTTTCAGGCAAACCAACTAAGCTAAAATTTCAAATTTTTGGTCTCGATTGGAAACAAATTTAGAGAGAAGATTTGCGCAATAAACTTTATAATAAATTTTGCCAAAAGATATGTTAAGGTCGGATTGTTTTGGCGCTAAAATAATGTCCTAGTTGGAATGAAATTACTCCTTAATTATGAGAAAATATAAATATGTCCAGAGGCATTTATAAAATGAATGAAATACTCCAAGCGTCCTAATTTGGCAAGTTAATTTTATAATACAATTGACCGCGCACTTTTTATCGGTTTACCGGCATAATAACCCACTTAAAATTTTTTGAAGAACACTCGAAAAGTTTGTGAGTCAGTAGCCACCGGCTGGTGATTTACAAACAGTTTCGAGTGTTTTCCCAGCATCAAGCGTGAGTTATTACGCAAGTTAACTGATTTAAAGTGCAGCCTTTTGCTTAATAAAGATGTGAATAAAGCCTAAACTGATATGTATTTTCACTCAGTAACCCTGAGTGCACCTGTCGAGCCTCTGTCGAAAAGTTTTCAGTTCTCTTCCACTCTGCACCTCTTATGCTCCTGTAAAAGAACACCAGAGATCTTTGCCAAGGTCTTTCTAGAATTTTTATACAGGGATTCTTCCTCTTAATTTTGACTCTCTTGTCTAAGATTAAAGACCAGTACCCCTCTCTAACTTGAAAGAGCTTCCGATCTAAGGAAGATACCATCCTGGCATGGTCAGTGGTTTTGACTATCAGAGTTTAATCTCTTTGTTTCTTTCAGAGTGATTCAAGGCAAGTTCACATGGCCTTGGATTTAGCTGCGGTTATAGTGGTCAGCGTTGTTCTGTCGTTGTTAATTTGCCTTTACATTGCCTTAACGATAAGGTTCGCACTGAGAAAGGCTTCGGGGAGGATCTCTGATGATGACCGAAGGAACTCTTTCCTGTATCATACGGCAGCATGGTACCCTTTCGGCGTGGCAGACACTAAGTGCATTCCAATACAGCCCAGAACATACGATGAACTCAGAAGGGTAACATTTCTTCATATCGTATTATTCGTTATATGATAAGCTAAATTGCACACGCATTTTGATTGGTCCTTACTTAAGATCTTTCGGAGGACCGAAATCATTACCAAGATTTTGCATTTTTATAACTTAAAACAAAATAATTTCATGTTGCCATGGGTCTTTACTCTAACATTTTGACGTCATCTGTGATATAATACCGATCAGACCCACGTTAAAATGGAATCTTTTTGTTAAATGATGGTCTACCGTCAGTGGTCAGCGACTTGTTGTGAGCTCTTGAGAACACACGCGAGATAGAGGGGGTTTTTCTGTCATATAAAAAGCATCAAGGTACGAAAAGCTCACTGAGTTTTGCCTGGTTCCGTCACCCAGTGCCTTCTTCCCAAAAGTATACTGTGAGCTGATTGCGTGATGAGCTCTCTTTGGTTCTCAGACTCGCATGAGCGACAAACTCCTCAAAATTTCACCCCGTATTTAGACTGGAATTGTGAAGCGATGACAACTGAAATCATTGTTCGACGTCGCACGGGCGTCAGATTGCTTGAATCATCTCGAGTAAAAGGCGGCAAAAGACTCCCTACCCATCACACCTCCCGCTCCCCATGTACAGCGGACTTTCTATTGCCCCAAATTAAGAATGAGTCGTATATTGTCAAAAGTGATATCGCTGTTTGTGTTAAACTTTTTGAGAGCTCCTTTGAAAGCTGCCTTAACAAGTTGAGTGCTCTTTTAATTATTATTGTCATAACATTATCATTATCATTATTATTAAATAATGTAGGTCCATAAGTGTAAAGATTATTTTCAGAGCGAAGAGAAGCTGGTCGATTCAGGATCAATGAAAATTCCGCCGGAGAAAATTGCTGGAAAGATCAAACTGTCGCTTCAGTATGATTATATGAGGTAACAGAGTAATGCAGAGTTTCAAGTACTTTCTAGTAGACTTTTATTGTATGTGGGATGTAATTTCTTCTTAGGTGGATGATTCACATTTCAATGATAAGAATATTGAAACTCAGACCCAGGGAACACTGATCTGAGGATCTCCTCTCGGTTCAGTTTTCCTTGCTGGCATGACATCACAGCTCACGTCTAAACAAGAGCTTACAGTTTTCAGGATAGCCTTGTTCTAGGCTCTTGGTCGGGAGGGAGAGATCAGCTACAAAAAATAAGCGCTAATGAGCATCTTTTACCCAGATCTCCTCTCCGTTTTGAAGACGGAGAAGACTTGGGTATGAAATAAAAGCCAGCGCACGTAAGACACATAACATTTGCTTTACTTCCGGTCCTATTCACGCCCAGGTCCACTCTCATGGCCACCGTCCACACAGTCGACCTACATGAGCTTCCTTCCACTCTTGACGCCAATTATTACGTTACGATGAAGATCCTGCCGCTGAACCATCGCTCGTTCCAGACCAAAGCAGTCAAAAGGGACAAGAGTCTCGACTTCTTAAAGGAGACGTTTGAATTTCGAGTTACGTTCGAGAAACTTCACGCTCAAAGTTTGAAGATGACGTTATGTTGTTTCGATCGATTTTCCCAGCATGAGCCTATTGGTGAACAGACAATACATCTGGCTGACCTCGAGGCCCGCGGGCTCAGCCTCTCAAGGGAGATAACGTTATTGCGTGACATTCATGCAGTTCCAAAGGTAAAATTTGCTGATTTTGTCACTTGTACCCAAGCTCTCGGTTGGTAGAAACGAGAGAAGTGAGCGTGGGGTAAGCAGCCGTTTCCAGAACACCCGCAACCACCATTTGCGCGGGAAATTGGCGCGAGGCCGACCAAATTGATCTCCTTACATACGCTTGACATTTGACCGCTGTGTTTTCCCAAACCCTTACTTTGGAATAGAGTTGTGGCGTGCCTTTGTCTACTAACGTTTTTTTTAGTAAGCATGGTCCCACTCACTTTTGGTGAACATTTATGGGACAACGTTGTGATGTTATTCCCATCGCTCGTAAGGGCTCGTTTGCATCATAATCTATTCTTCATCGTATCATAATTATATTCCTCTGAATTGCAGGCATCGGGTGTTCTTGGGGAACTGATGATATCCCTGGGGTATCTAAGGCTTACTGAAAGATTAACGATAGTTGTAATAAGGGCGAGAAACCTTCCTGTAAATGAAGACAAAGGAGATCCAGGTAAGTGACTCTGATGAGATTTCTGTCCAAGTTTTTAAACCGCAATTTTATATTAATAATCTCGTGATTCTGTTTCGATGATACTTGATGTCGGTCGTATGGTTAGTGAATTACTGCAGGGGTTCAACGTTTTCTAGCACTTCCCGTTCGTTGAGGTCCAGTTCAGGAATGATCTGTATTCTCTGCTACTGCCTACGGGTAGAAGTAGCAGTCTCCCTACCTCACTCCCCCTCGTCCTCTTTATCGCCGGCCATGAACACATCCAAAAGCCAACACATCCGAAAAACCTTTGGATGTGTTGTTTTCGAAGCGAGTGAGTAACGAATGTTCACTTAATAACACTGTTTACAAGACAAATTATGAGGTGTGAGCCAATCGATATCAGAATGGAGGGTGGTGGCCTTGTCGCTGTGAGAGTGATGGGGTGCACAAGACCAGATTGAAACCTTACGCATACATATTCCAATTTTTGGATGTTGTTCTTTAAGTATCATTTTCAGGTAGCAATATATTGGTTCAAAAGCAGCCCGTTACTTAACATCTAGTTCTTCTCTTTTAGAAACAAAACTTTAAATTCCAAGCTCTCGCTAATCCACATACTGGTTTCATGTTTTTTACCTTGATTGTTATAGTCATTTGCGTTTTGCTTGAAGTTATTACAACCAAATCCTGAAAAGAGTTAAACTCTAGTTCTAATGAGAAATAAAGTTACAACCAAAGAGGTTTCTCAGTATCTGGTTTAAATTACATTAATTGGCTTAAACCTTTCTTTTTTGACAGCTTCATACGTCGAGGTCTCCCTCATTCACGAAGGACGAATCCTAAAGCAGAAAAAAACGGTCGTTAAGGAAGAAAACAGAAGTCCTGTGTTTAACGAAACCCTTACATTTCACATCCCTGTTGGTATCCTTCATCAAACAAGTTTTATGTTGTCCGTGAAAAGCCAGACTCTAAAGAGGACAGAGGACGATTTACTCGGAAAGATTTTTCTCGGCCCATCATCCACTGGGGGCGAATTTGACCACTGGAATGAGATGAGGATTAACAACAAACCAATAGCACGCTGGCATAAGCTTCTTGATTGACAAGCGCGATAATTCAGATGGATTTCCATTTTACATCAGCCATGAAAATGAAAGCTTTCAAATAGTTATGGTGCTTAACGTTGTAGTTCAGTTATAATTTCGAGATTTAGAATTTTAAGTCAGCTTGCATTTTCAATTTTTACTCATATCAAGTGAGATTTTTTTATAACTTTTATTTTTTTTCGTAAACATTATATTTGAAGTTTTATATATACAATTAAGTCATGCAAAGTTATGAAATAGATTAAAGGGGTAAGTTTCTAAAGAAAGTGTGGTGCTGCGTCGGTGTGGAAGTAAACAAGATGATTTGGTTTTATCACCTGAGTTGATAATGTAATTTGACCACCGTTAAGAGTTTGTAGAGCTGACGTTTCGCTTTGACCAAATTATCTATGAAATAGACTGCCTCTTTTTAGCATCACTGACTAGCAATTTTTACCCCTGTTCTCTGTGTTAATTCTCGTTCTACGAAAACTGCAGAGAAGGTGAACTTCAGTTGCCTTTTTTCCATAGCTGCTCATAAATTCTCTGTCTAACGGTTTCCTAACGGTTTAAATTCTTCTCCCTTCAGGTGGTATATTATTTTGTCCCATTGAAAGGTTTAAATGTCTAAAGAAAGCTAATAGTTTTTTTTTTTTGACACCGAACCCTGCTTGGCGGCTTACAGTCTTTTAAATGGCAACTGCAGCGGTGCGAGATATGCTCCGTATAAATTGTTCAATAATATTATGAAGCTTTCGCGTCGGTTCCCTGACGTGAAATTTTCCACCTTCCTCTCTGTTGTTTTCTCAGTAAACTAGAGTATTTTTTCCAACTTTTGCGTGCACTTTTGAAGCGAAATTTGATACTTGTCACAGAAAAATTTGTCTTTTTCAAGGAGCTTAAAATTCTTTTTATGAAGAGTGCTAGGAAGTATTGATCCATGCAAGAAACATGAAAGCCTGGATGACGAGAGCAGTGAAGAAGTAGAGCAAATATTGGCAGTCTTTATGTAGACAAGAATTCTGTTAGTCCTTCGAATAAATTTCCTCATAGCTTATTTAGGGATCGTTGAGACATTGGAGTCGAAGATAGGTAAAGAAAACAATTCAGTTGTTGACGTGACAGTTTTGTTTTTCATGCTCGATGTGACAACTTTCTCTGTTGATGACCGTAGTGTAATCGAAGACATAACTGCACTCTCGTATTTCAACCGAATTACAGAACCTTTTAAATCCGGGGCAGTGATATTGTTGCGTATCGTCTGCGCTGTTCTTCTTGTCATTTCTTAAACCACACGGGAGATTTCAATCTATCGAGGACTTTCCAAGCTTTCTCTGGTTTGAAGCATTTACGAACCGCTGAAACTGGCCAGCGATGGAGCTGCCGAAGACATAGCGAAACGCCTCGTCTCATTCGAAGGTATGAATTTGTTTTTCAACCTCCATCACGTTCTGTAACTAATTTAAGGGAGGAAAGTTAAGCTTTGGTACCGCCTATTGAAGTGTTTAATAACTTAACAGTTCTATTGCATCGTTTAGCGCTGAATTTTCGCGATCAAACTGTCCCATTAGAGGCATGATCAGCTAAAGGGCAGGACACCAAGTAGATTTCTGAGATTTCTTTCCTTCCATGTTTTGACAGAGGCTTTACTGGAATTTTCATCGTCTTTCTCTATCGATGAGTTTCGCCTCTATTTCCATTTAACCTGAAATCACAGGACAAATTTTTTCTTGAAATTCAGAAATGTTAAGTTGGAACCTCATTATCTTCTCAAATGTGTTTTTTATTTGTGAAGAATCTTCCGCTTGTTGATCTCTGTCTTTCTTAATGACAAATTAATTTTACAAAACGTCGTGATGCAGTGGCAAATCTCTCAAATAATAGCAGATGTACAAGAAATGCTTTGATAGAAGAGATATAAAAGAGAGGCAACAGATCTGCTGTTTTTTCATACAGTCCCGATTGCAGGAGATAAAATATTTTATATCTATGTAGGGAATCAGTTCTTACGAGAATTGTACATCTGTGACCTTTTGTCTCCGCAATAGCCTATTCAAGGTCAGAAGTGTTTTTGTGACGTGTTCTTAAAGCACGGCTCAGTTTTACGCTGTGTGCTTCGTTCCCTTCATTCTTCCATCAATATTTATGCATTTTTCGCTTCGCCAAGCTAACTTTTTTTTTTACTTTTGTCTATATGCGAGGGCTAAATAATTTTTGGGCAAACTATTTCCTCAATCTAAGGTCTTGCAGTAATACTCCACAGGAAATATAATTCCTCGCTGTAAAACTCTGACTAACAAGGTGAAAATTGGTTGTATTAAACGCTTTGAGGAACTATTTTAACCATACTGTATTCTCTGGTGTAAAACTTCTTATCATAATGTCTGAAACGATTCAGAAAATTTTTCCATCGTGCTTTGTCATAAAGAATATTGGTTGAACATGGCTACGAAAGTTTGACATGTGATTCTGTGGAGTAGTAAGGTAAAATATTTCAGGAAATGTATTTCCTATTGACACGATGCATTCACAAGATCGCTAAATTAAGATCTTTATGATAGTGTCTTTTTGATCTGGTTTAACTTTGCAAAATTTTGATTACCTTTACCTCACTCGTAGAACTGAAATCAATAACAATAAACTCTTCCTTACTTGTCCCAAAATCGTGGAGTTTTTTAATTTCAAATGCAACATGCTCAAAGCGGCATGTTTCCTTTTTGTTTTGTTGTTTTTGTTTTGTTGTTTTTGTTTTTTTGTTTTGCTTTGTGTTATTTTCAAGAATTGATTTTATTGTTAATTTTCAATTGAATATTCTTGCATTAACAATGTCTACCGATGGTTTGGTTAAAATGTTCACAGATTGCAAAAAGAGACTACATAAGTAAAAGTTGCGATCGAATTCGGTTCTTCGTGATAAATCTCCTACTTTACCAAAGTTATCGTAGATTAGGCAAAAGAGAAAAGCCCTTTAGAGCACCATATTTGAAACCCATTTGATACAAAGTCACGGGGTCGTTATCTTCAAGAATAACATCATTGTGATATCTCGATAACTTTTAGGACAAGACATTCTTCTTAACAACGGAGACTCTCTGTTACAAAATATTTTTGTACATATTGCCGCGTGTCTATGTTATATACTACTTTTCATATTCGGAAGCTATTAAAATTGGATGGCGTGACTCAATTTACAGAACAGAAATCAGGATTTACTTGTTTCCTTGACCTCGAGCTTTAAGCTGATATTTCATTGTCTTTTGCTGAGACTTTTTGATAATTAGCTTTTTTACTCAAATATACCCAAGTACTACTGTATAGCAAAATATTCAAAATATATCATAACATCACTCAGCTACTTGCTTTCCTGGTTTCTGCCGGTCGCTTGGTAACTTGTGTTCGAGCCGCACTTTTTAAAAAGTAATCGTTTTTTTTTTTTCGGTTTACAAATATCGCTCCAGGCCAGTATTTGAATTAATCTCACTGGAAAATGACTTTGAACTGCTTTATTTAATTCTTAAATGTTTACCTTTTGCAATATCACTTTGCAATCTTCTTCATCTGCAATCTAATGATTTCATGATGATAAATCATTTATAAATAGAATCTAACAGGTGGTTTTTCAACTCTAACTGAGACGGTAAAATATTACGTGGTGCGGACAAAAATAAGCTGAAGTCACTCACAGGATATTGCGTTTCCACGAAAAATATTTTTGTACAAACAGTAGCATCGTGTTTACTCTCTGAATTAATTAACTCTAAATATGATTTATTCCACTCGAATTTTTTTTTCAGCCCCCAGCGGTCTGCTTTTGAACTCAAACGAATTTTCCATGGGGTTTGCAACTTTCCGCATTCTAGAGCTTCAGACAAGAAAATGCCTGTGTCTTAGCGCAATCTTATTGGTGTTCAGCGTTAGCGCTTTGTTCTAAATCGCGAAGGTTGACCGAAAAACGTTACGTGATTTTGCAATTCAAATGAGCTGGATGTCAACATGTTTTTGAATCCGTTGGGAGATCAGTATAAACCACAAAATAACGACACGTTAAAAACTTTCAGCTGATATCACTGCGGGAAATCGTCTTAGATTTGACATGTAGTGTTTCAAATGCTTTGAAGTACGCGTAGGAAAGTTTTTTTCGACATGTTAGCACGATGGATTATCTTTTAAAGATTCCCAGGTAGGTGAAATTATCAGGTTGTTTCTTGCAGCGAATTGATTGAATGGAATAGGCATGTTGAATAAGCTTTTAACTTGCACTATGTGATCAAAAGTGAGTTAATATGTATCTTCTTCAGTTGTGTAATCATCTGACTCCTCATGACTCCAGTTTTGTTCTTTACAATAAATTGTACCTCGTCGAAGACTTATTTGACTCTTCCAAAGGACATTTACGTAAATAGTTTTTTAGTTTCAAAGGATAACAATCTTTCTGACCAAATACATTGTTACTATCCCTGACAGATGTGGAGTCAAACGTAGGAAGTATTTCCTTCACACGTTATACAAAGTCAGAAACCGAATTTTGAAGATCGAAGTCGAAAGTTGAAATCTTCAAACACATAGCTAGTGTTTACATCCGGTGAGTTCATTAGCAGCGTCCAGCTTTTGTCATGCTTTTAATATTTTTTTAAATGTTGTTTGGTTAACATTTCTGCTTCACTTGTAATTAACCCAGAAATTCTAAGCAAATTTACAACCTTTCTTGCCAATGCATTTATTTATTTTCACACTTTTGACTGAATTTTATAAGAGATGCAGCGATTTGTGTTTCTATAGCTATTAAAAAATTGGTAACATTTCGCAATCTTGTCCTTGGAAACTAACCGAAATTAACTGGCGCGAAAATGCAAAGCAAATGCGAATGTTATTACTAACCTTCTATACATCACAATTTAATAAACATCTAAATAATTTGAATTCCTATCCTTTTCCTCTAACGTCGTGCTCGCGTGTGCATCTAACGTTCTAATTTGGCTAAAAAAAGTCATCGGTAGAATTTAAGGATAGATATTGGATCGGCAGAACTCACTTAAACCGATATACTGATTTGTTTAATGAAGAACTTAAAAGATTTTATTCATCGCACAGAATTTAAAAGATAGATGTTATGCTACGTGATTGCTAATAGAACCACAATCACGCCAGGAAAAAAAAAAAAAAACGTGAACGAAACCAGATAAATACCTAATTAATATGCGTCTCAGTGTTTTTTTTGTTATATTCGTCGATTGGATGTTAATTTCTCTGTATTTCCTCTACGTATAATATACTGGAGAATTTAGGCGCCTGCAGACTTTCGAACTTACGAGGATTTAAAAAAATAGTTGCTTTCTAGGGATTAGGTTACGAATTGCTAAGTTACGAATTGTCAAGCAAGGGGTTTTTTTCAGTTCTTGTTGACCGAAGAGCTTTATTGCCGATGAGTTCTAACATCTGTATCTGAGCAGAAGGAGAAAACTGACGGACATGAATAATATTCGGTTAATTTTGGCCACCGTTCGCCCCTCTGATAGAAAAATTCTAAAATAGTAAGCTCGTCGTCATTTCAGTGTTATACAGTGTAATTGTTGGAAGTAATCAAATTTTATTTTAATATTAACTCTCCCAAGGTTTACCAGAGTTGGTGGTGCATGAATCAAACAATTTTTTTCAAGAATGATTAGAGTAATATTTTCAGCATATCGAGCTAAAAGAAAAATATTATAGATTGTTATCGAGTTCTTGAAATTCGAAGTGGTACTCAAATAATTCCTAGAATGACAACAACCTTTATTAAACACTTTTTTTCTTTCTGCTGTCTATTAAATCCCACGAGAATTGCGTAACTTTTGAATGGTTCACCGTCTTGTACAGTGGTAAGGTGTTCCGCTCCAAACAATAGCTTTTAAAACCGTAAAGAGATTCTATCTGGCCTTAAAAGAGATAACAGTTTTTGTGTAAAGTAGGTGGTATTTCTTTGGACACCTTTCAGGAATTGTACTTATCTCGCCCCATCTCGTACCAAATACCCTCAAGTAATAAATAGTCTCCATATTTTAAGTTTGTACCTACAAATTTTTAGTCAAATCTCGGTTTTCGGTAGATCATGAATAACACCGCAGGACCATAATTCAAAATTAAACCACGAAATACTGGATAATTTTCCTCCAAAATTTAAATTTCTTTAAAAAAAAGGATATAGCCAAAGAATTGGGCTTGGCTTTCTCAGCATTAAATCTAATTTTTTTCAAAAAATAAAGAATGCTAAGAATTTGCCCCATTCTCTTCTCTGTCATTTTCATTTGCAATTCGATTGTAAGATTTCTTCAGAGTGTTTTTCACCATGAAAATATTAAACGTTTTAGATAAAATTTGTAAAAAGTTAAACTATATTGCTGCTGTTGGTATCGGGTGCGAGTATTTGAGTGACTTGACACTTAACAATACAGAGCCAAACCATTTCATGAGAGGTGCCCAAAATTTCAAGAAGTCAGTGTTTGTTTCAAGATGTAATGACCTCCAATTAGGATCGTGACGTTTCGTCGACCGCACACTATGGGCGTTGTAATAATTGACTTCCACTCCATGATATAAGAAAAATTTTGATTTAGATGCAATCACACGCTATTTCCTCTTAATTGGGCTCGTACAATTCTTTTTATTTTGTTATTTTTATGGCTGCAGTTTTTTTCTTCAAAGTCAACATGCAACGCGCCCAAACTAATCTTATTTGCGTCGCATCGGAAACTGTTTTCATGAACAAATACTTTCTCATCCGCAGCCAATTCGAGTAGGATCTTCAAACAGAATATCAGTCATTTGATCGGGGAATTTGATCGTCCGTGTGAAAGAAGTCCTGAGAAGAACTTCTGTCGGTAATGATTTGACAACTTGGCGCAAGTCGTTTTTAAGAGTTGAGTCCTTCTTAGGACAATACTAACACAGCGGTCAAACGTTGGGCATGTGTAGGGGGGTTTGCCGGGCGTGCGCCGATTTCCCGCGCAAAATCTCCGAGGAAACTTAAGAAGCAACCGCTGTCATGCAAAATGTGCAAAAAAAAAAAAAAAAAAAAATGTTGGAAATCTGTAAAAGGTAGCAAAAGTAGGGAAAAGGGAAACTCGAGTCTTTTTTGTACAGAAAGCTTATTTAATTAAGGATTTCTGGCTGATTTAACGCTTCGTTTTGAGCTTTTCAAACATCGCGACCTAATCGCTCGTGTGGTTGTTTACAACTTTCACAAAACAATTTGACTCTGGCGGCCTGAGAGCGCGCCAGACACCAAGCCACTAACACGTTTGCACATGCGCAGACGTATGACCGCTGTAGTTCTTTCACTCAGACGATCAGACTACACCATCAATTGTTACTCGTGGACTCAAACCTTCCTATCCTTGCTAGAAGACTACGGAAACTTTTATTTTGAAGAATCGAAAAATAAAGAATAAAACTCTCCAGTCTTTAGACTGGAGGCTCAAAATGTTAAATTATTCACTGGAAAAAATTATAACTATAAATAAATGGTAATCATTTTTGACATTAGTATATTGTTTCAGCTGCAAATAAATTTTCAATTATATGAGCTTAGATAGAAATAACCAGACTTCATGTCTGTTTCTCGAGAAGACAGCTTGAAATTGCCACGGTTTTAATTTTTCGATCCAGTAAAACACTCTCCAAGGCCACTAGAAAGGTTAGTTGAAACTTCATTGGTGACTGATTTCCTTTAAATCGAAGAATTTCTCTTGATTTTATCGTTTTCCTTTGTCTTATCAGGCCACTTGGATATCGCAAAATTTGAATGAGTGAACACGTACTAGCCAAGACCCATTTTATCAACAAATTGATATTTTCAGTTCAAGTACTTTAGACCTGTCTTTCTTAAAATCTATCACAATACGTCCAATATTTCACGCCACGTTGTTTGTTTGTTCAGTAACACCTAAATCCCCTTGAACTTGAATAATCTTTTTCCTTTCCCTAATTCAACAATCATTTTTACGTCATGCACACGTGACAATACCTCGTTTGCGACAAACTGAACATGTAAAACATGCAGGCCAAGACAGCCAAGTCTTCATTTGTCTGCTTTAAGATCGTTTTGTTACCACTGAGTTTTTCAAATATTTGTAAAACGCATCAGATCTGTTCTTACTATTTAAATAAGACCTTATGAAAGAGAGATTCTTTACAATCATTTTTCTAAAGCAAAGCGCCTCACGGACTGAGTTACGTTTAATGTAGCCTGCAGAACAGGCGCACTTATTTGAGGAATATGCAGACTTGTTTGGGAAACAAAAAAGTTTCACCGAAAGCCTTTTGGACATAATTCCGGTTGCTTACACAACTGGAGTTCTGGTCTCTGTGGCACATAGAGTATTGTTACTTTCCTGGATGATATGCTGGTTCATCGCAAACTCCTGGTTTGGGCGAGGCACTGTGAGAGTCTTGTCTGAGCAGCCAACACAATGAGCTGACGTGGGCTCGATCCCACATCTCTCGATCCGGAATTCGGCGAGCTAACCACCTGGCACCGGTTGTGCGAAGGATAGATAACGCTATACCCTGAATAAATCGCTATCCGGTGGATAGCGCAGTACATTTTATCAACACTTATGCGCCGGATAGCGATGGATCCGATAGATAGTGCTATCCGGTGATAGTGCTAGCAGGTCAAAGCCCAACCCACCCAGGGAGAGGGCTACGTGTGTGAGATTTACTTGTCTTGTTGTTCTTACCCTAACTTAAACATTTCTCATTTTGTATCATCATTCTAGCGGAAAGATGCACGGATATGTTGTTACTATCTCCATCGTAGCTGGCGTCTGTGTCTTTGTAGCCCTCGTCTATCTGGTCTTCAGAATCTACAAGAAGAGGGCAGAGCTTGGAACTGATGCAGAGACTGTAGGTCTGTGTCCCCCAGCATCATTCTGACATCCGACAGCCCCGGAATTTCGAAAAAAAGACTTTACTCGCCCATCAGAGAAAGAGCTGGATCGAAGGAAAAAGATGAAAAACTCAAAATGAAAGAGAAGAGAAAGGATATTAAGAGTTTGTGGCTTCCCAAGAAGAAGACAAGTTTACCCGTTATGCAGACAACCATGGTTCAACCAGCTGTACCTGAGCAAACAAAGGCATGTCAATTAACTTGTCGCTCGCGTGATTGCACGCGTATGTGGTTACTGTTTAATTGCGTGCTTGGCCATTGGAATGGTATTCCCGAGCGCGACACTTCTTTTCTCTTCGGGTCATGGCAAAAAATGTTCGCGAATTTTCAAGTGTTACGGTTTCTAGCTAATTTACTACTGCAAAGAGAAGGAAAAGTTTCGGAAGACTGTCCAGTGGCCAAAAGAAGAGCTTTCGTTAAAATTTATACTAAAAACTCCAGATACTCTCAAGAAATCAGAGTATTTTGTCTGTTTTGTATTACATCCGATCTAAAAGGCAACGCAATTTTCTATGAAAAATTTAGATTTAATTTCAGCAGATTTAAGACAATATCCTATCAATTGGAAACTTAACCACTATTCCTAGTGAATCTTGTTTTTAAATATACAGTCGCGTTAGCTTTACAGTCCGTGTCGTGTAAAAGTCTCGAAACTTATAACAAAGGCTGCCTTATTCTCGGTTTGCAACTGAATCATTTCCAGTCTTCTTCATAAAGTTACTGAATGTGATCCACGCGCGTTTTTAGAGAAGAGACAACTACGCGCGAGTTAGGATATGATCTGTGTTTGATTTTTTTCAGGATCAAGGTGGAAGAGGCCGGTTGACTTTCACTCTCCATTACCATTACCAGTATGCGTCGAAATCGTAAGTGGATCTTGTTGATCTTTACGTCCTACCCCGTTTCTCTTCAACTAACAAAATTACCTTTCATCAAATAATGACCCAAACAGTCCTGTGTGCGACACACACCTGTCAGTGTTAAGAGGTGAGCGAGGGCGTGAGCGGGGCCGGAGAAAGCCGTTCGACCCCGCGAGACGCGATCTGAGGAAAAAAAAGATGATCATGAAAAAAGTGACTGTCAAATGGCGGAGTGCATATTGACTGATTTCGGTCGTGCTAGACACAAAAATACTTAGCTCTCGGTCTTGACTAGCCTACAGTGCAGGTGTCTTATTGGTGCGAGCTAACGTTATAAGCTCGCGATCGTTTATCCGACCGGCCATGTTTGATTTGCAGTTAGAGTGGACGGTGGGGGTAGGGGGCAAGGGAAGGGCGAAAAGACCCCACCACATCCCCACCCATCTCCTTATTTTTGAACGTCAACCGCCCCCTTGGTACAAATTTATTTCTCTCCCCAGCCATCCGCTGTTATTAAAATCAAAGACGACGGCCATAATATTCGTTATGAAATTACTGAGCACTCGCTCGCCAAAATTACGCCTGCTCTGCAGGCTAGGTCTTGACGAATGGGGCTAGCTGCCTTCGGTTCGTGGCTGCTTTCGGTTGGCCTTCGGTTCGTTCGTGCACCATGACCTCGAGACAAAAATTTTCCCGCACGGCTCTCCCACACAGTTGGTAAGTACACATTGTTGGACGTGTGTGAGCTGTATTTTCCATAACGGGGTATTACTCTTGAGTTTCGATGGCATTTAAGGGTATTCTGAATTACTTTGCCGTCACAAATTATCAGTTTTCATCGACAAAGAGGGACACAGCCCTACTTTCCCCCCAAGAATCCTCGTAGCCATACCTGCTGATTCTACGAAGAATAATTTTCTTACATATTTAACTTTTATAAATCTATACAAGAAAGTTTCGACTTGTATTCTCGCAGATCCGTTCTGCTCGTCAAACTTGCTAGTGCCCAGGATTTACCGCTAAAAGATGATGACGATCCCCCGGATGTGTTCGTCAAAACACAACTCGTCCCAAGCCGCAAGCGAGTTTACATCTCTAAAGTGCATAGAGAAACCTCGAACCCAGTCTTTGATGAGACATACGAGTTTGATATAGAATATCAAGAGCTACAACAACAAAGGCTTCTATTTGAGATTCTTGACTACGACTGCATGTCCAGATACAAGTCAGTTGGAGAGGTCAGCGTTCTTCTCGCAGAACTTGGAACACATGGTTTTAACATTTTGAGAGAGGTATCTCTGTGTGTTTACATATCTAGACCCCGGAAAGAATGAATCGGCCTATTTTAAACGTATTTTATTCGAACTGATTTTATACATGGTTTTTCTGTCATTGATTACAATGTAAAAAAATATACGACGGGCCTTCTTCACAGACCTGCTATTTAACAATGAGATTTTGAGCTCGAGATTTCTATCGCATAATAATTGATGAGGGCGAATTTGAATGGGGATCAAAAGTGGATAATCTTATTGTTATAGTTTAAGTGTATTAGATGTTCAAATTTGACAACAAGACAGGCCCAAATTTTTGTTACCATTATTTTGTCTAAACCGCACACTTTTTACACAGCGGTCAAACGTCTGCGCATGTGCGAACGTTGGAGTTGCCAGAGTCGTGGCTAGGTAGCGTGCATTCAGGCTTTTAGGACCGAGGACCAAGGACGAAGTTTTCCTTTTCTTAACTTTTGTTTCCTTTTACAGATTTCTTTGAACTTTTCCATTTTCCACCCATTTTTTTCGTGAGAGAAGTAGTTTCTTTTGTTTTCCTTGGAAATATTGGGCCGGAAATTGGCGCGCGGCGAGCCGAGATTGATCTTCTTACACACGCTCGACGTTTGACCACTGTTTTGTCTACTGTGTTCACTTTACTCATTTTATTATCAATCAAAACGAGGAAGGGAAACACATGACTGGTGGCTTAAAATCATGCAACCGAGAAGAACACGGGAAAAAGTCAATTGAAAATGACTGATATATTGGCATAACAAACATAAATAAAATAATGTAAAGTTGTTTAGCAGATTGTGTCCGTGAGTTGTAGGAAAATTATTGTCAAATTTTACTCGCTGATACTTTATATGTTGTAGATATTTGCTCAAAAATCATCATTTAGTTTACCCATTGATAAATTATCAAAGTATTTTACTTGTAAAAGGCATGAAAGTTGTGTATAATTGTTTAAGTTTTAACTTTTAAATAAAGAATTTTAAAACACTATTTCTTGTGGCTTGGCTGATTTCCCACTATTCAATAGTTTTACAGGATCAATATCAGTATCTGAACAACTGAGGGCCGGTTATTTTTGCGGGGTCTAACCCAAACCACGGTTTTATGCAAGTAGTGGGCCATAGGTATTCTCGATAAGAAGCTTGTTTTAATTGAATAAATTTCGGTCCTCTAGACACTTTTCACAAAAATAAATGTCCAGATAAAAGATTCAGCTAAATTCAAGACAGTTTAGAACGCGATTATTTTAAACAACGGCTAAACTTTGTTATAATAGGTGGCCTTAACTTTTTATGAGGAGAATGTTTTTTAGGTTAGGGGAGGGGTAGGTGCGCAGTTACTGAGACACTGACACTGATCCGTGTTTCTATTTAAGAGAAGATATACGCTACTATTGAGTTACAAGGACTGACAGAAATACAAGAAAATCTCTTTCGAAAAAATATGCTGATTGATCATAGAGCGATTCCACATGATTGTCGAGGAACTTAAGTACCGGTAAAACCACAAATAAAAAAAAACAGGATGCAAGAAACTTGCTCTGTGACACAGGGGAAAAAAAACTATTGTCATTCTAAACTCATCAAACTAGACCAATTAGATTTGCGCATTTTGCTAGAGCATATTCACGTGCAAAAGTTTTCAATCTCCGTTTGTTTGGAAGGTCGCGTTGTCCGTCAAAACGTTCTCCGTAAAATTTCATCTTCTCTACACTGGAATTTCTCTGATATTATCGCAAAATATTTTGCCACAAATTTCAGGTTAGTCGCAAATATTTTATATATTCTAGCAATCTGTTAAATTCTTTTGTGGGGGTTTTGTTTTCGATGCCCTTGTTTAAATTGGCGAGTGTTCAACACAATGAATACGTGATAAGAATAAGAAGTAATTTACGAATTTAGTTCTGGACATTTTTTTGTTGCTCCTTCGATATAAAAGCCGCATTTGTCGCCGGGTGAGCAGAAGGCAGGCGCTTAACAGTTTACTAACCTTATCCTTTCCTCACGAACATCAGTATGCAAGTTCTTCACACTGTTCTCTATACATCGCCTATGGTACTTGCACGGAGAGTTTGCTCAACAATTAGGAGCTTGTGGAGCTCGTGATCATTTTCTTCATTCTCATGACCTTAATGTGTTTTATTCAGCAGCTACACTGTTGGGAGATAATAGATGCTTATCACTCTTAGGGGTTAGAGGGTTAACTCAGTTGTTGGCTTTGAAGGTACCTCATTTATTGTATATAAAGTGATAAACTTTTACGTTTTAAAGGCAAGCCCGTCAGATCTTACCATAACATCGTTGCGAATATGGACACAACACTTGTCTACGCTCTTCCCTTTGTGATCTTGTCATTTCTGTTTGCTGGATTGGTGTCATGTCTCCTCATCTTGAGAAGAAAGGGAGGAAGGCGTCGCCGTCTTCCAACGTCTTCTGAGCTGCGGAGTAAAGGAATTCCAGTGATCGAGAGCACGGAATTTTGGGTTCCAGGGAAAATGGGAGATGTTGTTGGAATAGAGATTCAGCCTTCGCCTCGGATGCCGTTCTCCTTTTCAACGCCAAAACCACCCCAACGTGAAAAAGGGGTGCGTGAGTGTCAAGCCATCTAAATGCTAGCCTGCGGCACACGGTGGTTCGTGCGGCTAGCACGAATCACGCGTGAAAACGTGGCACTTTAAAAAGTGGCGCTTGAACGTACGCCATCGTTTTAGTTGTTCCAACTTTCATATTTCAATGTGTCGCCTAAGATACCATATTTGTTTCGCGCTCCTCCCTTCGTGGGCGATTCGCCCTCGCGGTCGTCTCGCACCTCCTTCCGCGCTCCTAACTAACCAAACTTGTCTGGCAAGAAACGCTATTGCAGACTTGAAAACTTCTTCTCGACATTGTGTCCGCCCGCTGCTCTTTAGAGAATGTTATTATTTATTTTTTCACAGAATCGAGATGAAGCCCCGAAGCTTAAATTTTCAATCCAGTATCACCAAGCTAGGTAAGACGTCTTTGTGACTTAACCTGCTTGAATAATCGCGTACGGGTGTTTCTCTTTCGCGCGTGCATGTTTCTCGTGCCCTTGCTGAGCACCTGCTTTGTGCAGGCTAAAGAGAGAGCTTTTCAGCTAGCGATGTTTGTTCATCCGACGGAGTCATTTTCCTCTCGCTTTCAAATCTACAATTTACAATTTACGACACGGCTTTTTTTCAACGCATTATAATGACAAAGGTTTTTAATTTTATATAGTGGTTTCCTGGAAGTTCAGCTTATTGACATTCAGAACATATCTGAGGGCAGTAGCCTTGACGAAGACGACGACGAGTTTTACGACTCAATCTTCACGTTCGCCGACGTTCAACTCACTCAGCAGGTGAGAAAGTAACAATGAAACCGGGAGGTCCCCTCTAAAAGAGGTTTGATATGTAAAAACGAACAACAAACAGCGCACGGTTTTCGGGGTCTCTTGTGCCCTCAGACTATTTTCATCAGCTTTACTCGAAACCCTAAAACAGGGTGACTTTGGCGGCGTTCGACTCGCCAAGATATGCTACATTTTGCTCCGCAAACTTGTGTGACCATGAGATTGAGTTATAAATCAAGTCCCCATCTTGGAAGCCAAAATGACGTATGATTGGTGATTGGCCACATGATTGGTTAATTTGTATCAGGTGGTGAAAAATCTAGAAGACTAATTACTGTGCCCCACAGTGCCCCCGTATAAGACTTTATTGGTATCAAGGTATGCCAACTTTGTCAACACCGAGATCATAAAAAAGGCATGTGCAAATGATCAACTTTCGTTAGCAGCGCGTTAATATCCCGCGCAAAAACAAATGACTAATTTGCCAAAAATTTGGAAAAAATTAAGAAGTTCGAGGAATATTTTTAGAGGAAACCAAAATAAAGTGAGAAACATTTGAGACTTCTCGAAGGCAAAAAAATGTTATTACAGTAGCCAATAGCAACAAAGGTAAAGTCAACATAGACTTAAATTGAACAAAAAACGAACGAATTGACCGAAGCGCGGGAAATTTGAATGGCCAAGATGCAATTGGTGCTAATTTGTCATGAACCATTTACAGGGCGATGTGACGGAAAACTAATCCAATCCTGAATTACTTATGACACCCAAAGAAAATTGTTAAATTTTCAAACTGTATCGCCTTAGGAAGAGACAAACCAGAGAATGCGCCTGATGTCTCGTCGCCGGCGCCGACGTCACAAGTCTTTTGAAATCGAGATGAGCTACGAAGAGCTGCAGCTTCAGACCCTCCAGTTCTGTGTTATGGGATTTGACCGGTACTCAAGACAAAAGGTTATCGGTGATGTGTTATTACCACTTGCTGAACTTGCGCAGGAGGGTGTTGACATAACCAAGGAGCTTGTGATATGGAGGGATATACAAACGAGCCAATCGGTACTGAATAGAATCTGTAAAAGTTTTTATGATTCCTTCCTTTAAAAAAAATTATAAAGCGGGGGATTGTGTCGGCTCGATTATGCTGCGCCTTCAAGTTGGGGAGTGCAGGCTCATTTCCTGAACAGCGGCTGCTTATTGAACCTGGTTCAGGCGTGGTAAAAGAAATTATTGGTTCAGGCGTGGTAAAAGAAATCTGAACGTAAATAACAAAATTTCTTGATGAAAAATTCCAGTATTCATAAAAAGAAAAACCCATCAACCAATTCTGTAGGGGAAATAGAAATCATGCAAGTGAGAAATTTTCACATCAAATTTGGGCTTAACAAGCTCACCCCATCTACGAAATTCTTACCCTCTGGCAGTTCTACCCCAACTGGCCTTTGAATCGATCGGTCGATACGTGCATCTAGATCTCGCCTTTTTAATCTTTCTTTAATATTGACAGTGTTATTCGCTGTGTGGGGGAGAGGGGAGGGGGGTTAGACATGCACCCGTAGTTGCTCAGCATTGTGTTTTTGTTGTCTCTTCCAGGGTTCATCAGCTCTAAGTAGAAGAATAAGTAACCTGTCCACTATAAAAAGTACCATGCCGGAGAGAGACTGTCAGCCAGGAGCCACAGGACAACCAGCTGAACGCAGATGCCGTCAGTCATGACGGACTCTTGGATAAAATGTTTTTCACCGCTGCAAACGTACTAGACGGAGTGGCACCAAACACAGCAAGGACTTATGATTCATATTTCCCATTCAGAAGGAAACTTTAATTACTTTTCCTTTTTTTAAAATTGTTATTGTTTTGATTGATGTTGCTAACGTGGACACGTGATGCATAAGTCACACATAAGACCAGGAGCAACAGAGCACGCGAGCACCTTACAGGCCAAACAATTTTTCAACCTAAAAGAGCGAAGCAAGAAAAGGCAAAAAAACAAAAAAAAAAATTAATTGGCTGATTTACATGCTCCTCGTATATCTTAAGAGGTATCTGATCGCTTGCAGTCTCATCACAGTTGAGTCCAGAACACACAGTGTGCGGAACAGGCGTAACTTTTTTTTGCGTTGTTCCGGCGAACAGAGGCAAGCGCGAGTCACTCGCAAGCGGAGGAGCTCCTCCCCTTGCACGCAACTTGCGTTTTAATCAAAGAGTTTTCAACTCGCGCTTTTACCAATTTCGGGCCAGCTTCGTTAACTTTCAGTGAAAATCTAATCAATGATTATATGAATTTGTCAATTTATAAACCCCACTCCAATCTTACACTTTAGTGCGTAGGCTGTTTGTCCAACTAGTCAACTCTGCGCATGCGTAATTGATTACCAAAGGCAGACCTCCACCGCGAAGTGGTTAGCGGTTTTATTTTAAGCTTCCCTTTCCGTTTTGCGCTTTGCTCTGAGCCTTTTCTTCCTTACTCGCTGAAACTGGAAGCTTTATACACTCGAGATTAATATTTGTCGTCCCAGATCCTCTTCAGTGATTTGTCGCGTGCAAGACAGCCATCTTAAACCGGAAATCTTTCTTTCTCATGGAGTGTTAAATAGTTTAGGCTTCAAACACGATAATCTCGCAAGATCGTGATCACGAAAAGAGGGCCTCCGCGAAGCAACATTCGTTGAACTGTTTAAAGAACCAGATTTACATCGTTACAAACCAAGATTTATACAGCGAAATCTTTAATTGTAGTTGATTAAAACTTGAAATAACATAATAAAACTCTAATCCACCGCCATGCCTAAATAAACATTCTTTTGTTGTGACTGTTGAGCGGCGAACAAAGCAGCCTTGAATTGGTTAAAGTCGTGTTACTGAGAACACCTGATCAAACCGGAAATGATTACAAAGCCGCCACTTGTTGGTCGGGCAGGAATTAAAAGAAAAAGCAAAAAAAAAAAAAAAAAAAAAAAAAAGAAAAGAAAAGAATGATTTTGAATCACTTAGATAAGACAGTCATTTTCCTGCTAGATTCAAAATCTCCAGGAGGTGCAACTCTGACTCGAGGATCCATAAATTTGCTCTAGAATTTTAGGCATTATTCTTATCAGCCTGAAAATGTTGAACTTGAAAGTTTGATTGATTTGACTCTGCTTGCTATAATGCCTCTCTTCTCGGTTGAAGTAAAGAATCTAAAATTTTTCATCGCTTCTTTCGTCAAACCGTTCTGTATCATCTTGTTCTGCAATTTTAAGGCAAATTGAGTTGATCAGCCGCGCTGAAACAAAGTCTGAATTAAGTTTTGCAGCCTCTAACATTGAATTATAAAGCATTCGAAAAACATGAAATAAAAAATAACAATTCATAAGATAATTACAATTTCGAAAATTTCTGTTTAGTTCTTGATCTCGTCCAAAATTCCTAAGACTAAGTTCTAGTAATTTTAGCTTCTCGATCGATCATTCGATTATTTCCTACATCGCGCGTAAGTTTCGAGTAGAACCCACGAGAAATTTGAATTTGTGGATAAGTCGTGTAATCCCTTTCAGTCGGTTTGTGAGAGACTCTGACTCCCGGTTTACTGAACGCTTTACTGCTGTAAAGCCGAGATGGACGTTGCTCCAATTAAGTGCATTGTTTGGGTTTTCTTTTTGTCTAGTTTTGACACATGACGAACGAAGTGCACAAAATGCAAATATGTGTATTGAATTCTGGCCAATCAGCGAGCGAGATTTCAATAGATTTACGGGTAATGACTCTGTTATTTAACACGGGCTCGCGGCTCGCGAGTTCGTAATATTTTTACATCCCTGAGAGAATTCATGTTCTTGAGTGTTTTACATAAATCAACTTTACATCTCGCGTAACCAGTTATGCGCGCCATAATTAGTGGTCGAAAAACTCTTTTCGCGTGGCGCTCGGCGATCTCTCTCTTCTCAAATCGTCAATCGTTATAAATAGCCTCCTCAAATTATTGTTACTGTTTATACACTATTCCAGTTAAATTCGTGTCAGCGAAAGGAAATAAATTCCCCCTATAAAACCCTACCTGACTATAATGTTTAAATAATGAAAAAGCTGCATTTTTAAATTCTTACACGTTTTGTCCCTTTAATTTCGATGGAAAAGAGCTAACCTTGAGTTCCAGAAGCGTGAAGCGACAATATTTCCTGAGGTAATTTGAGATTTGTGACAATCACACTACTTGATTTTCCCGTCTCGCTTCTAAGTTCCTAATCTTCGGGTATTTCATTTAAAATTTGATAATATTTCTCTTGGATTCGCCGTGTATAGCTGTTTGAAATACTGTGCCATATATTAGGATTATTTCAGTACTGGTTTGCTCAGTCTATCACACTGTGATCTAGTGTATTTTTAGACCAACTATAGCGGGCAAAACCACTCGATCTGTAGTGCGTTTTTTTCAAGTTCCTCAAACAACGAGCAAAGCTCTGAAACCGATGCAACCATTACGAATCGAAATCGTCCTGCTCGCGTCACCAAATCCAGGCAAAAAATCACTGGGAAAGTCTTGAAACTTTAAAAATACTAAGTTTTGCTAAATTTACATAGAGCACAGCCACGGGTTTTCCTTTAGGGCCATTTTTACCAACCGGCGAATTTCAAGACGAAATTTTTTCTCGGTCAGGCCAGCTTTTGGTTCGTGATCCGAGCAGATAACCTTTGAGAATTCTCAAGAAGGAAAATTGTTGTCCATGAAGCTTTTCCGGTCGCCAACTGGCGAGAATTTGGGGGGAGGAGTAATGAGATGAAAGTGGTAATTCTTCACCGTAACTCGTGGCGTAGCGAGTCAGTTTACTTTTGATTATTTCACGAGGCATTGTTTTACAATTCTGTGACGTCACGTACCACATGCGCCTTATGCTTTCCTTCGCCCTTCTTTCCTCAATATCGCACCAAACAACCCTAAAAGGTAAATTTTCACGTTCATTCCAAGTTTCGCCGCTTTTTTCAATACCCAATAGTACTGGAAACTTCAGAGACTCTGTAGTTGTTCATAAATTCGCTTCGCTCACGTGTTGCAGCTTTTCCAGAGCTCGCTTTTGCAGGTTTCCTAAGCTTTCGAGAGTTAAAATTCCCTCCAAACGCCATCCAAAATGGCTGTTTTTGTCTTAATTCGACGAAGGCCAGATGATGCGTAGAGGAAAGGCTTAAAGTTCAAGAAAAGATTGGAAGCAAATCAAGAACGACTTTTGCCGGTAAGAACTCGATTTTAATGTATTTCCAGGCTTCCTATCCTGATCAAATAGTTTGTAACTTTCCTCTGCGTACTTCGTTGTAATTTTGTCGTTAAATTCAGGGCGGGGAATTACTCGGCGAAGCAAATCGCTTTTGCTAGCTTTTTCATCAGCTTTTTCAACTTTGGTCGACGGAATAATACTCTGAAATAGTTTTTCTAACAGTTGTAAATAAACATAGGTATTAACTACGCATAATACGTCTCTCATTGCTCGATATTCTTGAGTCATCGTTTGCACGCATTTCGTGGTCACCTACATATCTAGTTAAGCTATTGTTTCGTTCGTTGACATCGTCATTTCTAATCCCCAGGCATAGCTGCGAGTTCGAAATACCTCGCTGTCCTGGAATGGATCCTAGAGACGTCCCAAATCACAGTCCCGCACATACACATAGCTTTTTCGACGGCAATCCAGGTGAGCGTTGAGTTTAACATCGTTTTGTTTAAACGTTTTTTTTCCCTGCCGGTACTTCGCCGTCTTAAAACAATTGTCGGTGAGATTTCGTTTTCGTTTGTTTAAGATCCTACTTCGAAGATAACCTCCCTTGTAGTCAACCTAATTGTTGGTTAAGTTTCCATAGTTCAGCCGCGATGCAAGCTGGTCGTTAACTGTTTTAAGCTTTTGTTTTCAGGCCATGCTAACACAGTACTTCGCTCACCTCCATTGTCCCACGATCCCACTTATGGAATGCATCCTAGTGCATTTCCTATGATGGGCAGAAGACCAGGATTACCAGACTTCAGAGGCCCTTTAGACCCCATTCTCGGTTCTCAGAGCAGCTTGACGTCCCCTGGAGGATTGCATGGGTCACTCAGTAGCACTGGGGGTACCGGCTGGTGGTTGCCTCCCCATCCACGTGCGCATGGAATCACACCAGAGTACTTCACCAGTCATCTTGGAGGAAGTTGGCTTTCTCATGAGCACGACTGTGCAATGGCCAATCATGAGAGACTAGAGGAATGTCTGTATCAATCTTCCAGGTCAAGGAACTCTCTAATGAATGGGGTGAATTCCTCTGGAGTGTTTGGAAGTGGATCAGGAATTTTTTATCCTCCTCCATCAAGTCCACAATCTATGCACAGTTTTGTACATCAGGCAAGTCCTACTACAAGCACATCAAAAAGTGGATTATCTCATTGGAGTAGCCATGGCAACCATGATGGTAAGGGTTTTCTTGACTTGGGCGAAAGTCGTGATCTAGATATGATTCCACGTTTGAACAGGAAATCGAGCAATTGCAGTGAAGAAGGAAATAATAGAGACAGTGATGTACGACCTGGTGATACAACATTACTTCACAAAGAAAGAACAAAGGATACAAAAGTTGAACGGACAAAAACCAGCAACAGCTTTTCTGAAAATTCAGATGCAAGATCTGAAAATTTGATGCAGTCAAATTCAAGCAGTGAAAGCAACAGCTCATGCAGTCAAAGACAATTGGATCTCCCTCGACATAGTGATGTTAGCAACATTCCAACTCAGCAAAGTAACTTGCCATTAAAAAGTAATGATGCTAAATCAGTTCCAAGAGTTGTTGATGAAAATCACAAATCTCCTAGTGCTACATCAGTCACTGAACCTAGCAAAGGTATGCCAACTCCTCCAAAGCAGCAGAAGGTTAAATCAGGTCCTCCCCCACGCTTGCAAGTACCACAATCAATTTTAAACAAAACAGAAGGGATTGTTCCTACAAACCCGGAACCACAAGTTAAAGCCGGAAAAGACATTCAAGCCCTACTCAGAGAGGAAATGTTGAAGCCAAGCAAAAAGGGAAGTACAACCTCGGCAAATGCTAAACCCAAGCAATCCAAAGCAGAAGTAGCACAGAATATAGCCCCGAGTGATCATGCAGAAAAAAAGTTGAAAGCTGCATCTTCTGAGCACAAAATACAGAGTGTGTTAAAAGGTGCATCTGGTACTCAGAAGTCTTCATCTGTTACTCCCCCTAAGCAACCAAAGATTCCATCAGGTAAACCTCCTTTAATTGCGCAGTTCCGTGACGTGAAGTTTGAGAAGGATAGCAGTGATGATGATAGTGACAGTAGCAATGTTAGTAGCGGCAGTGATAGTGGGAGTGGTAGTGAAGACGACAGTGATGAAGGTGAGGATGGTGAGAATGAGGAAGATAGCAGTGGCAGTGACACTGACACTGACGGCAGTGATGAGGAAGAGGAAGGGGGTGAACAACATGATGACGATGAAGATGAGGAAGATGACGATGATGTTGCTATGGATACCCAGGAAAGTGGGGCATCTTTTGAAGATTCCTCTTCACACAAAAGGAAAGCAGATCAGAGCAGTTCAGGTATAGTTTTCTTTATTTCTTTTTTTCCCTTTTTTTTTTCTATTTTTTCCTTTTGTATTGTAAGATAAATTATTATTTTAAGAATGTGTTTAGACCTTAGTTATGAGAGTCGAGAAAGTATGTGTGAAATTCTTAGTGACTTATGATGCAACAACTAACTCTCCTTGTGGCCCAGGGGAATATAAGATAATATGAGAGGAGAATCTTGAAGTCTATCAGAAGTCACATAAAGACATTTTTTTATGCCCCCTTAAAATATGGCAGGGAAAGTGCTGATATATTGAATCGAGAAACATAATTCTTATTTTAAGTCAGATTGGTTTTTTACACATCCCATTTTTGAATCATAGTTTATCAAGTATCTGTTTTTCTTTGATTGGCCATTTAAATGTAAAATGGCCAGAAAATATGATTACGTAAACAAGATAAAAACTATTCCAAGGACATTCCTCCTTCCTGATTGAATCTTTAACATTTTCAATGTGTTAGAAATTTAGTGAATTACTGTCTTAAGTTTGCTTATTTTAATATTATGACAAACAGAATTACTTTATGAGAATAACAACAACAACAAAGACCGTTAACTAATTTTAACTAAAGGCAGACTTTACACATACTTAACATAGATATTTGAGACTCTGGCAGTAATAATAACTATAACGTGCTTGTGAATGTTTTTTTTTTAAATTTTTTAACATTTAATATTGTTAATTTAAGGGTATGCAGTTTATTACAAAGTGTTATTATGTCCTTCAAAAGCTGTTCAATATTATTGTATGAATTTCAAGTAAATGGAATACAAGAATACTTCAAGGAGACCAATATTGAGATAATAATTCTAAATGTGATTGCAATTTAAATCTCTGTATCAACATGTTGGACAGAGTGAAAAAAAGAAAGATTTTTGAATGATCCTTACCTGAATGATAGAGTTGTCTTGCTTCTAAATTTATTATACACTGGTATGACTTATGTTGTAACTGTGATATTGATTATGTGAAGGTTTCTTTTTCCTGATTCCTTGATTTATATACTTTCTTACTACAGTCATCCAGTTTTTAACCCTTTCACTCCCTAGATCTAAATAGCAATTCTCCTTACTGTCTGCCTTACATCTCATGAAATGTTTGTTTCAAGAATTTGGTGTTGAATCAAATGATTATCTGCTTGTTGATGTTTTTCTCTATTCTCATCACTTGTTTGCTTTCTATTGTATGGATATTGTGAGGAGAAATTATGTCTTGGTCACTCGTGGTAGTGGAAGGGTTAATGGGTGTCTTGATAATTTTTTTTTCCACTTATTAAGCTTTTTTTAACAGAGTTGGTTGATATGATACTTGCAGGCACTCCAAGAAAGAGGCGTCGAGCAGTTAGTGAAGAAGACGCCAAGATTCCTCTGGCCAAGGGGTAAAAATGGGCTGATTTTATTTTTGTCATCAATTTATTTTGCTATTTGAATTAAATTAACGTTAAGAAAACTTCATTTGCATTAATGATAGATTGTAATGGAGAGGAAGTAAATGTTTTTTTGAAAATATTTTGAATTGGATTTGAATTTCTAGATGGAGACGGCAGACCCGCTTGCGACAAGTGGGAACAGCTGGTGGATTAAGAGGGGATGTTTATTATTTTGCTCCTTGTGGCAAGAAACTCCGCACATATCCCGAAGTTACACGGGTGAGTGGTAGCTTACCGAGTCTTGCATTACTATTACTTTTGACACTCAACAGAACATTACGTCAACCTGGCAGTTGTGTTTGGTTTAGGTATAATGTTAATTCATGTTCTCTACCTATTTTGCCAAAAGTATTCATCTCATTAATATGAGAAAACGTGTTGTTTTTTTTTCCAGTACCTTAACAAGAATAGTATCACTGATGTTACCACAGACAACTTCAGCTTTAGCACTAAACTTCATATTGGAGAGTTCTTGGAATGCAAAGAGGTATGGTGTTGCTAGTCATGAAACATGATTCATTTGTAATAATGGGTTTGTAAAATCATTTTGCTACTGGAGTCTTGCAGCCAATTGATTCATGGAAAAAGTCTGCTAGGATGAGTACTTGTTCATTCTGTTTTGCCTGAATTTCTCTCGTCTATTTACCAGGGGTCTGTGTTTGAGCCTCTGACAGAAGAGGAAGTAAAACAAAGAAAGCAGGCAGAAGATGAAAAGAACAGAGTTAGGATGGAAAAACTCCACAAGAAACAAGAGAAGAAACAAAAACAAGCAGGTAGGGATTTTTTTTTTTTTAACCTGAAGCAAGAGGTGTGGATGGCATTGTATTTTGATAGTGTCACTCACATGGAGTACAGTCAAACCTTTCTTATCTGGACCTCAATCATGCTACTTTTCCCTGGTCCCAGTTTTTTCATGTTGTTGGTTTGATTTAATTACACTTGTTGCAAATACTTTTGGGAATCATTAATGCTAATATCACTCACACATTCCCTTCAGGGAATTTGGAGAAGTTTTACACAATGATTTGAGGATATGCTTTAATTCATGCATGTTATTTATTAAATGACTTGTTTTCTCTTTTAAGTTATTCAGTTTCATTTTTTGCACATTGATATTCTTATCTTTGAGTATTCGAACTCTCAATTATCTGGACTATTCAGTGCAGTCCCCACCAGTCTGGATAATCAAGGTTTGACTGTGCTTATAAGTAATTGTGAAAGGGAAAACTTCAAAGTTTGGGAGCAGTATTAGAATATTTAAGGACAAATGTTGTCATAAAATAATTCTTATCATCATTATTATTATTATTTTTATTATTATTTAAAAGTAATCATATTACACATTAAAGCATAATGTTATGATTAAAGAAATTTAAAAAAAAAAAAAATGATTATTTAATTATTATTTTCAACATATTATGATTGGTATCACTGTGAAATGATAAAGTTGTAACATTAAACTGACTGAGTAGAAAATTAAGTTGTCTTGGATTTTCACACATGGTTTACCTTTTAACTCCAAAGGTTTGATGGCTAATTCTCTCCTCTAGCTACATCACATTTTCTTATAAACAAGTTATGAGAATTTGGTGTTGGATAAAGATAACTTTTACCTGACAAGTAAAGTAACGTTGTGTCTTGTATGCTGGATCATGTGTGGATATAATAGGGAGAAATTACATTTCAATCCCTTCCAGGAGTTTAAGGGTTAAAACAAGTTATGAACAAGTGACTCAGATCACTCCAAATTTTTTTGTTGCAAAATTGAAAAAAAAACTAAGTTTTGGTGAAGATATGCACCTCAAAATTACAAAATAATTCCATGTGATAAGGTAATAATTTTTTTGTGGCTGTTACCAAACCTTCTATGACTGCTTCTAGAAAGAAAAGACAAAGGCTGACCCCTAGTTAAGGGGTTTGAGTTTTACTCTAAATTTGATTCAGTGAAAGTGATTTCAATCTTTCAATTTTCGATCTGATTTTGATCAGAGATGTTGCAGAAGGCAGCTGAAGCTAAACTTGTAAGAAAGGCTCAACGGCAAGCTGCTATGGATGCCGCTAAGCTGGCCAAGAGAGAAAGAGGTTATTTAAGACTAATGTTGTTAATCTCATTGATAGGACTGTCTGTAACACAGGTTAGGGTGTAATGGGGCAAACGGCTGGACTCTAATTTACAGAAAAATTTGACGAGACTGAATTGATAATTTACAATGAAAGAATTTGGGGAAAACTATGATCCACCTCAACCTGTGTGAAGCAGTTCTATTTGAATTTACTGTAATCATGTTAATAATGAATTTTGAGAAAAAAAAATTGTCTTTTGAAACTGAAATTTGGGGCTGTTTTGTACTGAATTCAATCTGTCTTGAACATGTGATCTTGCTGCCTTTGTTGATTAACACTTGTACTTTTAACCAAGCTTTTAGGCTCATCTAAATCATGTCAATATTTAAAAAACCGACCAAAATTTAAAAAAATTCTTATAAACATGTTTACAGTAAATTGTACTTTAGCATGTAAGCAGCATATGCCATCAGCAGTGTAATGCGATGGCATTTGTATACTGATCTAAATCCCTCAAGTGTGTCTTGTAAAACAGATCTAGAACTAAACTGATTCAGCAGTTAGTCAGAACCTGTTTGTAAGACACACTTGTCCTGTTAATGTTGTATTTTCCTTTTGGCCATGTTTGACCATTTCATTTCAGAAATGGCCCAAAAAGCAGCTGCCGTTAAACGGCTTGAAAAAAGTCAACGTCAAGCTGCTCAGGAAGCAGTTAAGATGGCCAAAAGAGAGAGAGGTTTTTATCCAATTCACATCTTTATCATTTGGTGGCATTGCACTGCCTCTGCGAACTTAAACTGATGTTATGAATGCTGTAGTTACAGGGGTTTCATGAAATTTTTTCCATTAGCAGCAGCTGATGGTGTAATAGGACACCACCAACTTACCACTGGATTTAGGTGGTCGTTGGTCATCACTTTTGACAGTTAAAGTTAAATTGCTGAACATCAAGGTTCAGGTTCTACACAGCAGTTGTGTTTTCGTCCCAGGTCAAGTGTGTGTCATGATGGCAAAAAGACTGCTAGTGATGTTGTTCTCCTTACATGGGATAGCTTTATTTTGAACTTATTAGAAGTGTAATTATCTGGTGATATCAGAGAAGCAAATGATTATGAATTGAAACTTCATTCTTGTGCCTGAAATGTTTTCATTTATTTCCTTGTAGCTGAAGCAAGAATTAGGAATAAGGCAATGAAACGAGAAGCCCTGCTGGCAGCGCGAGAGGCTAAAAAGGAAAGGGGTTAGTATAGAGAATACCTCTGATCTCTGGTGTTAACCATTTACACCCCAACATTGGTATTCATATACTCCACACTGTTCACTTTACGTTTCTTATGGCATTGATAAGGAGAATTTTTTTTTTGACAATCGAGAGCTTCCAAAATTGATGATTATTTCTATTATTCCCAATAACGGTTACATTTGATTCAAGGGAGAGACTGTCAGGAGAAATTAGAAGCTAGTCACTCTGATGGGTTGAAAGCAAGAAGATTTCAATTTTCCTATTTATTGTTTGTAGTGAGGATGCTGGCTGAACAGAAGCGACTTGCCAAAGAGAGAGCAAGAGAGCAGAGACAGCAGGTGAGTGTGAATTATTTCTTCAGGTCTTATCTTTGGGATCATTCCCTCCTGCACCCTATCATGGTTAAAGTTGTTGGCATCAGTCCATCTTTGGATTGGTGGTGTAGCACTGGATTGTTCAGTTGAGTCTCTGAAACACTCTCCCTTAACCCTTGACACCCTAACATTAGTATGCATATTCTCCATACTGTTCTTTATACATTTCCTTTGGTGCTGACAAGGAGAATTCTTTTAACAATTCTAGTTTTGTAGTTTGGCAATCATTCACTAATTCTCCTAATTTTAATAAATCAATCAGCACTATTATTGTAAGGAGAAATTAGATGCTGGTCACTCGGAGGGTTTTAAGGGATTAACTGGCTGTAGAGGTGCAACCTTGAATGGTAGTCTCTTGCACAGATGTGAAGTTGAAAGAATACTGTGCTCAGGAAGACTCTGCATGAGCCTTCCTACTGTCTTTGTTGTTCGGGATTTGGTCATTCCTGGCCAGGGTGTGGCCCTTCAAATAGTCCTCCTGCAGGTGGCCTTGGCAAGTGCTCTTACAACAACATTTTCACATGTTGTTTCAGGCTCGGCGAAAGAAGAAGGAAGATGCTGCTAATGCTAAGTATGAGGATGCCATGAAGAAAGCAAAGGTAAATGAAACTTGCTTGGCTTTGAGAAGTAGTAGTATTGGTGGAGAATTACCTCATCTTTATCGCCAAACATTGCGTTACTATATTCTGCTGTGCACTGTCAGGATTTCCAGGGAAGTTTAGCATCTTGCTGGAAACTTCAAGATATCTCAATTGTGAAAAGGTTGTGGTTATTCCTGCTGGTGAAGTGAGTGAAACAGCATTGTGAAAAGGTTGTGGTTATTCCTGCTGGTGAAGTGAGTGAAACAGCAGGCTGGAGCTTATCTGGGTTTCCTTAGCATGAAGCAACAAGAGTTATCACTACCCCTCCCCCTTCCTGAATGAAGGAAGATTGCAAGTTTACCCCCAGCATCTCATCAGGATTCCTTTACAATTTGCCAGTACCCATTTATACTGCTGGGTGGAGAGAGACTCTGAGAGTAAAACTTGTTTTGTTCAAGGACTTGTCACATTGACCTTGACCCATTGACCTTGACCCATTGACCTTGACCCATTGACCTTGACCCATTGACCTTGACCCATTGACCTTGAACCTAGACCTCTTGACCCAGAGTCCAGCACACTAAACTTAAGGCCACTGGGTCTTTCACAAGAAAAACATTGGTAATGAAGGATTATTTTTTGTCTCACAATGTGGCTACTTTTGATGTGCTTCATGTTGTTTGACTGCATTTGGCTTGTCTCCATCAGGCGGGAGATGGAGATCACTGGTTTGACCAGACAAATGATAGGTAATGATTTCTAATTTTTCTGTTTTTCCCAGGAAAGGGAACTTAAACGTCAACAAGCAGTTCTTCTCAAGCAACAGGAAAAGGAACAGAAAAAGCAGCAACAAATGATGATCAGAGCTATTGAATCCCAAAGGAAACAAGAGGTGTGCCTAGATTAACATAATGTAAACAAAAATATGAACCAATAACTGATATTGATCCCTAAGACATGAATAACGGGCCAACATGTGGTGCTCAGACACACATGGAACTGCTGTCAGGCAGACCTTCAGATAGGCAATGCAAGCATACATGTACTGATGGAGAGACAGACAGACAGACAGTCAGACAGACAAAAAGGGAGAGGGGGCTGCAGTTGTGCATAGAAACAGAGATGGACAGATTAACCAAGAGACAGACAGAACTACAGAGGGACAGGTTTGCACCCAGCCAGAATGATCAACAGACAGACAGACAGAAAGATATGAAAACAAAGAGGGACCAGCAATCTAGCATAGATAGACAGATGAACAGACAAGCAGATGCTCAGACAGACAGATCAGCAGAAAGACAAATGGGCAGGCAGACAGACAAAAAGAAAAAGGGACAGTCAGTCCAGCATACATAGTCACACAGTTGGACAGTTAAACAAAGGGACAGGCAGAAGTACAGAAGGGAAAGTCATCATGTAGACAGCCTGACCAACAGATAGACAGACAGACAGACAGACAGACAGACAGACAGACAAACATCACTGCTGATTGACATGTGATCACTTACCAAACTCAACTCTTTAAATGAACTGTAAAATTGTTTATAGTTATAATTAAATACCTCTCTTTCTGGTTTGATTTCAGGAACGTGAGAGACTTAAGGAAGAAAAGAAGATGGAAAAGAAGTTACTGAGAGAGAAGAAGCTTGTAAGATTTAGTAACTTTGTGTGATAGGTTTACTTTTGAAAATACAGATTAAGACAAATGTGTGGGATTTGTTCAGCTGTGATGTCTCTAATGTGTGAAAAGATTGTGTAGAACAATCATATTGATTTTGTGAGTTGGAACAAAAATGCATGTGATTTTTTTTTTTTTTTTTTTTTTTTACACAGGAACAAAAGAGAAGAGAAATGATCTTAGCTCGCGAACTGAAGAAGCCAGTAGAAGACATGGTGCTGAAGGACAGTAAGGTAACCAGACATACACTGCTCTATATTGAAATAATTTGAAACAATTTTCTCAAGCATTCGGATTTTCTACCAGCTGTGCTACAGAAACCTTTTTGGTGGGTTACACCATATACTAAATTCAGATATAACAAGAATCCTTGGTTCTGCCCTGATAAACATTGTTGAAAGCATTGAGATTTAGAAAGAAAACCTTGCAAATTTTGAGCTTGGTTTTTGAACAAAAGCAATTGATGGTAAAGAACATTTTGAGCAAGAATGGATGAAAGCTTAATAGCTTGAAATATAGACACCTTATTTTATGGTTTAACATGTGATGTGGGTAGACATTTTGCAAGTCCTTAGAAGTAATGAAAAAAGTGAGCAGTGAGCAAAATGTCTGCTTCAATTTTTGTGTATTTTGTTTAAATATATCCTAAGGCCAAGAAACACATGTGTGGATCATTCAGTGTGGCCATTTTGTTGTTCCACTTTTCGTCTGTATTTTTGTTATGTTCTACTTTGTAATAGACTTCTATGTTGAAATACTCTCCTTCTCCTGCAGGCTTTGCCAGAGTTGATGCGAGTGTTAGGTCTCCAGATACCTGGTGGGGCATTTGCTGACTTACTGATGGTGCAAGAGTTTGTACACAACTTTTGTGATGCTTTAGAATTAGGTAAGAAATTCTCTAGTGCTAAAAATTGGCCAAAACCTTGTAATCTCTGTACACTGTTGATGTAACTTAGTAGCTTGAATACAGAGTTCACTTGAACAGTTTTCACTTTGCTCAGATTCTACAGATATCCCCTCTCTTTGGGAGATGCAATCTTCCTTGTTAAATGATAGCAGTGAGGATGTTCTAGTACCACTTTGTCAGAGTCTTCTCATTTCTGCTCTGGAGGATCCAGGTTGTGAGGGCCCAGATGTGAGTTTTGACTGATTGTTTTTATTTTTGTCTGAGCACTAATTGAGATGTATGCTCCAGAAACAAAATCATTTTCTGTCCTCGTTAAACTTATTTTTGTTATCTGTCAACAGTCTTTCACTGTGTTAGGAGTTGCATTGTCCAAAGTGGAGCTGAATGAGACGAATTTCTCTGAAGTGTTGAGACTTTTTATACTGGCAAGAAATGCGGGAGACCCACATCCAGTAAGAAACAGTGTTAATAATTTTGAGTATGATGTACCTGCTAGTGCATACACATTAGTGTCAAAATCTTCTGAAAGCTTTGGACATTTTTAGTAGTCGTAATCGGACTGTCTTTGATAATGTTCGAAAGTTGTCACTTTTTTGTTAAATTTGGGCAAACATGGGTATGAAAATCAGAATTATTGACTTGGGTAAAGTTGATCAATGCAGAAAACAGTTAAAACATGGGAGTAAAAGTTTATTGTGAAACTGCATGGGTGAGGGTTTTCCTGAAAACAAGTTTTGGCAACTATGTCAAACTTGAGTCTGATTTTGAATTCAGCACAGGGTGTTGGAAAGCTGCAAAACTCTGGAACAAAAATGTATCTTTCACATCGGCACTATTAATTCCCAGGGCATCAACGAACACTCTTCACTGAACAAATTAATTGTAGCGTTTTTCACGTTGCCTTGTTCACGCCAGAAAGGTATCTCCATCTCTCAGTATATAACCAACACAAAACCCCAAATTCCTCTATTTGCTCTTACAAAGAGCTAACGGTCGGATCGTCGGCGTTAGGAACTCTCTACGATGGCCATTTTTACATTATCAACTTACTCCCCTAATTATTTTGCGATTTGGTTTGTTTTCAGCTTGCAGATGCTCTTGTTAGTACTCCTTTTCAAGCGCTGACCACGTCAGACAAGGCTGGAGTTATGGCGTATCTTTGCAATGAGCTACTATGTAGCAGAAATATCTGCAAGTACGATTATTAATCTGCTACAGTTACACTACTTTAGCCTGTGACCAGGTCCTCATTATGGGGCCTTAAGCGATGCGAGTCGACGAGAGGTCTGGATGCTACTGATTATTAGTGCTAGACCCTCGGCAAACCTCTTCACGACTCGTGTCCAATCTTTTCGCGAGCGTCCTGCGGCCCTATTTTGAGGGCCTGCTCGTAGGCTAAAGTCGCTTGGTTGCTGGTCTCTGCTGATTCCTCTAATCCTCAAATAGTCGATAAAGGTTGATCTTGATGAACTGTTTTTTTTTCCTAGGGAAATTGAAAGTAGCATTGAGCACATGTCGAACCTACGACGTGACAAGTGGGTTATAGAAGGCAAAATAAGAAAGTGAGTTCATCGTTTGTAATTTGTAATCTGTTTTTGTTACATTACTAGAGAGTTAATTATATTTTTCTTCGTGTTTAGGTTGAAGGCGATTCAAGCAGAGAAGTATCCTGTTGTGAAGGTGAAGAAGCCGCCAGGACGTCCCAGAGTTGTGGCGGACCCTGATGCCGAGAACAGCAACTCTGTAGCGGACGACAGTATGCAGGGGAATGAGGATGAAGAAGAGGAAGAAGAAGAAGAAGAGGAAGAGGACGAGGAAGATGATGATGACGACGATGGAGAGGGGGGTGGTGATGGGGCGCAGTCCAGTGAGGAGTCTGAAGAAGAAGATGTGAGTTGGCGCATATTGGCGCAATTTGGTTTTGGACTCGAGAATTTTATTGCGTTGATTAGAGCAAAGCCCGAATCAGCTATAACGCGATAGAAATCTCAGCGAATAATCTAATTGTTTTGGTAGGAATCTTAATATTTTTTTGAAGTAGTGGACATGAGTAAGCGTTTGTTGTTAATAGTATAGTGCACTTCAATAATAGCTGGGTGAATGTCTGATATAGAGAAATTTTCTATTTCTCGGTAGGATGCCACTGAACCCACGACTCAAGAGGAACTTGAAAGAAGGCTTAAAAAGCTTGAAAAGGTGATTTCTTGCACTGTGTAATAAAGATAATCATGATGACGCTGGTGTGAAACTGCCACTGAATTTCCTTAACATAACAGCACTTTTCAATGGCGTCGAAAGTAATCCAAGACTGCATTGGTTTTATTTTCGCTCTGTAATTGGTCCAGAAAACTCGCGCCACTCTCTCAATCAATCAGATGCAAAACTTAAACCAATCACGGCTTAATGGCCCGCGTTTTCCCGCGTCTTAGGCTGATTAGTTGTGTTTAATTTGAGTTCCCATTGGCTCTCAAAGGTATTTTTCTATCGTCCATCATAATTAGTTTTTGTCTTTTTCCAATCGAGTATCTTACTCTGTAATGATGAAATTTATTGCTCTTCTTATTAACTCACAGAAACATGCACAATTCCGTTCCAAATTGTTTGGTTCATCACATGCCCTGAGAGCTCTCTGCCTGGGTCAGGATCGGTATAAAAGACGCTACTGGATCCTTCCTCATGGAGGAGGTGTTTTTGTTGAAGGAATGGACACTGCAGAAAAAGAAATAGTACTTGATTTAAAGTCCGAGGGCGAAGAACCAAATGAGAGTATGCAAGTTGATGGAATAAAACAAGAACCTAAATTGGAGCAGGGGAAAGAAGGTGTAGTTGGAAATCATACCGGTGGAGAAGCAAGCCTGAAATCCCCCACAAACACTTCACTCAAATCTCCTCTCAAATCGTTGAACGTGTCTTCATCTTTAGAGAATATTTCCAAAGCAGACACTAATACTGGGAACGGTGCTCCATCAGGCGACGATAAAGGAGGCGTGAATAACATTAATGGAAATGCGCAAGGTCAAACAGCGCAGCCGAAGCTTAACAACACGTACATTCCGATGGCGGCGAGTAGGAATGCTATGGAAATTCAACGCATTGAAAACCTCTTTAGAGATGAAGCGTCAACTTCAAAACCTGATCCATCACACCAGAAACTTTTAAACGTAACACAGGGACATGACGGAAAAAGTAGACCTTGGTTTAAACTGCTACCGCGCATGCCCTGCGATGAGACTTCGCTGACTCTCTCTCATAGTCCCGGCAGTGGGCACTTTGTACCAACCTACAGCAAGAGAGGTGGAGATGCAGAGAATGGGAGCACCCCTCCGCCCAAACGTCCTCCGGGTCGACCACCAAGGATTTCCAATCCGAGTTACGACAGCGCTAATCGGGTAGCAAGCCCTCAGAGTAGCGCCTTACTACAAAACGTCGCTAAACAAACGACAACGATTCAGTTCCTTCCTCAACTACCTGTAAAGAGGCCCCCCGGAAGGCCCCCGAAATCGTCCTACCAGACTGTGAATTTGGTGTATTTTGATGGGCATCCCGGGGGAGACTTGCCAACATCAACTCTGGCGCTCAGTACTCAGTCAGCGTCAACCATGTCGCTGTCATTTGAAGAGTTGAAGAAGAACGTTTTGGAGTCTCTTATGCAGGAACCTGCTCCTATCCCCCCTGGTTAGTCTTAAACCTTTACCTCTCAAGATCTGATTTTTAACTCTCCCCTCCAGCTGCTATATATTTCCTTGTAAATTAGTTACGAGAATTTAGTGTCAGATCAAGATAACGTCTACCTGATAAGTTTGAGTATTCTCGTTACCTGTCTTCTGGATAATGTATGGATGTTGTAGGGAGAAGCTACATGTTAATCACTTCCGGAAGTTAAGGGTTAATGTCGGCCTTACCTTGTCACAAGAAAGTTTCTAGTGATTGAAAATCTTAAGATCTTTGAACTTCTTATCTAGCTGTGTTTCCTCAAGAACGAGCATTACTGTTTAAAACTTTATTTTTTGGGTGGAAATGTCTCGAAACTAAATTGATCAACTTTAATGAAAAAGTCGCCGTCTCGAGTCTTGTTGAGAGCTATTGTTACACTGAAGGACGTCTAGGCAAGAAGATCTTTTCCTTCTGGGAGTTAAGCCTTTTAATCCCAAATTGTATGTACATGTATCAGTTCTTCTAACTGTTTGCCATACATCAATGTTCTCAGAGTTACAACATGGTTGGTGGAGGATAACAGACCCTGCCCAAGTGAAGGAGATTGTAAAAATTCTACACTCGAGGTAAAGAAACAATTTCTTTATACTTCACGTTTCTGACTTGTCTTTTTATCTGCAACGGAAAAGCTACGAACTTGAATTACCCGTCCACCACGAGTGAAAAGTAAAATCCTTTCTCGTTCAGCACCGAATGTTTGTAAACTAGCTTTTTTTTGTTTGGTTGTTTGTATAGTCAATGCCTGGTTTTGATTTGCCTTGCAGAGGAATAAGAGAAAAGATTCTCCAGAAGAATTTCCAGAAGTATTCAGAGTATGCCAACAGCTCATGCACAAAGGGCGACCGAGGTGAGTGACGTCACTTTAAAAACAAGAACTGAAAGTAATAGCAGTCAAAGCGCGGGAAAACGCGGGCGACCAAGTCGTTATTTGTGTCAGTTTTTCATCTGATTGGTTGAGAGAGTGGTGTGAGTTTTCTGAACCAATCACTGAACAAAGGAAAGGAAAACCAATGCAATCCAACGCATTGGACATTTGATTGAACATTGCTCTAACCGTGGAATTATCACTGGTATAATTAACAGTTATTCCATGAGCGAGCGTTGGATTTGAGATGGTAAATAGCCAACGAAGTTTGTAGCGCCGAATTGGTTAAAACCAGTCTCGTATCCAACAAGCGCGAATGAAATAATGGTTGTATTAATTTTGATTTAAGCTTAAACGTTTGGATATTTAGAGCCTTTTTTCAGCTCCGTAGCAGTTGGCGCAATGCATTTCCATACAAGTTGACTCGGAATATTAACTGATAACCGGGGTTGAGTAAACCAATCAGCACACTAGAAATGCTTTTATTGCTTTTTAATCTAATCCTGTTTTCCATTTTTTTGTGATAACGAAAGTTGAGAGCGATTCTGATGATGATGATGAGAAGCAACAAACATTGACCACATCTGAGAAAAACAAAAACGTTCCCTTCGAGGATAAAACGTTTCCAGAGGTAGCGTTTGCCGTCGACAAAGCAATTCTGAGAGAAGTTGAGGAGATGGAAGAAAAAGTGTTCACTGCAAGTTTGCAAGTCAAGGTAAAGAATCGTTTACAGTTCTTCTAATGTATCCAATCTGGGGCCTCTCTCTTTCTAGCTATTTGATTTTCTTTATGGCTAATGCCTCTCCAAGAGGTGTTGCTGGGCTGGCCGCTGAAACATTTCTGGAGAAAATTTTGTTATATCGACTGACGGACGTTTGGAGAAGCACCCTACAGATTTTCGACTGATCAGTCTTGCATGTCCTTGTTGTTTCGTAGGGTTGGAGGTTGCCTACCAAAGCATCGAAGGGACTGAGTCATAACTCAAGTTCTGGTAAGCATGGATTCCGCAGTTTTAAGACTTTGTGAAGCTCAAGAACTTAACCGAGTACAATTTAGAGTATTTTAACGAACTTAAAGTAAACAAGCACAGTGTGCAAAGCGCGGGAAAACGCGGGTGACCAAATCGTCATCGGTAGATTTAAATCTGATTGGTTGACAAAGTGCTGCGAGTTTTGTGAACCAATCACAGCGAAGTAAAGCAATTCAAGCGGTCCAGGATTTCTTTCGACACTCAAGTGGAAATTTCTTAACCCTTAAACTCCCATGAGTGACCAAGACAGAATTTCTCCTTACACTATCAATACAATATCAAGCAGACAAGTGACAAGAAAAAAGAAAACCATCAAATAGGGGATAACTAGTTGATCCAAAACCAAATTCTCCAAACTAACATCAAAAGAAAAACTGTGTGGTAGACAGTAAGGAGACTTACTAATGAGATCTCTGGAGTTAAAGGGGTAAATGCTTTAATGTTTCAAAAGGTTTGTGTATATAATATCTATGTTGCTTTCCAGAATCGAATTCGGACTGTGAAGAAAACCAAAGTCCTTTAGCTATTGCCATAACAAGACTCCTTGCATTAGAACAGGCCGTAGAGAGACGTTATCTGAAGCATCCGTTGAGGAATGAGTAAGTTGTTCCTGCATTTCAGTAGTCTTTTATCTTCTCGGAAAATTTGATGAATTCAAGGTTCAAAATTCAGGTAATGTATTATCGAAAAAAAAACTTGCAATCGTCCCTCAAGGAGAATTTTTGAAAACCTGTGAAAGCCAGTAATTAATCATTTTTGTCTCAGTGTTTTCATCTTGATGTAGACGGTCACGCTGAAACTTTTTGACGCAGATGAACTCCCATCAGGAGACAAACCCGAAACAAATCTAATCGGTGGTAAAAACGCCATTTTGGAGCACGATTATTCCCCCTATGCTTCAGGTAATTGACACGCAATGTCCCCATAACTGAATATGTAAACACTACGCTTCAAATGCTTCTTTTCAGCAAACTCCACATCCCCACAAACATTGGAACTGCAGCTGCTCCAGGAGAAGTGCCCTCAGGTGAGGTTTTTTCTTTCCCTCTTTTTCTCATTTCTATGTTTATATATTTAGTTTTTATTTTAAGTTTTTTTTTGCTGTTTTATTTTAATGCCTCTTCACGTAAACCCTGGTAGAAATTTTCTCAACCTTTTTTATATCCTTCTAACAAGAGTCTTTTGCCTTTGTAGAGGATGGTCAGCCTAAAGAAGCTGAGAAGTCAGAGTAAGTCACCGACTGCATTTATATGCTATCAAGTTATATTTACAAGTCGAGAATAATTCGGAAAAATCATAACTTGCTAAATTATCTTCCTCACGGTGCTCTAAGCAATTGCACATCAAAGGACTATGATTGGCAAAACATTGTGTTATCACTTATGTTTTATTTTTGAATTTGATTGGTTGATAAACTGGCGCAAGTTTGTGGAACCAATCACAAAGCAAAGAAAAGCTAAATCAAGGATTGTTTGTTGTAGTATTACTGAGGAGGAGATAATGACCCCGGCACTGAAGATCTGGCGCAATGCAGTGGTGACATCACAATCCGCCTCTCAGTTGGCCATGTGTCTGAATATGTTGTATGACTGTGTGGCTTGGGAGAAGTCCATCATGAAGGTGGTAAGTAAATGGGATGGGTTTGATGGAGTCCATGCGTGCTTGACATTTGACAAAGATGAGGAAGCCCTGGGTGTAGCCAAGGGGGGTGGGTTTGGGTGGTATAGAATGCATGATATCACCGTCTTCGTTAAGTTAAAGTGATAGTTTTGTTTAGTAACTGACTAAGCAGTCATTACGCGCGCTGTGATTGGTCAATTCAACGGGCGGGCTGCACTCCGCCGCATGGCTCTTGGAGATGTGAAGCTTTTGCGGAAATCTTCCGTTGTACATTGCCACTGTTCTTATTTACTGGTTCTTAAAAAAAGTCGGGTTTTACCGGGATGGGTCTTGTTGTGTGCGAGACTCAAGTTGTACGAGTCAATCGTGGTTGGTCTTAAAGCGTAATTTCCGGGTGTTGACAATAGATCTGTACTACTTTTTTGAATAGTTCTGTCAGATATGTCGCAAAGGCGACAACGAGGAATTACTGCTGTTGTGTGACGGATGCGACAGAGGATACCACACCTACTGCTGCATGGTGAGTTCGTGATATTAACAGCCCGTTATACTCTAAGAGAATTCTACCGTAAGATCTCTGATATATGATGCCATATTAACTGTAAGTTGAAATGTTAGGTTACATATTTTCACTTCTCACGTTGATCCTCAGAGACTTAGTCCTTGCTCAAATTTTCACTTTCAATGCAATCTGCAACCCCTACCATGATTGACGCATATCCTTTTACTGAAGTATGAAAATTCTAAAGTTGTCCTTTTCTTTTTTTTTTTCCAGCCTAAGCTCTCGTCGATACCCGAAGGAGACTGGTACTGCACTGACTGTATAGTTCTGGTAAGTATGCCTTACTGTTCACAGTCTCTTTCCGCGCGATGCGAACGCGAGGCGCGACTGGTTTAGCGTGAGGCTTCTTGTGTGCTCTTCGTACTCTTACCTTCCTCCGCTTCCCTCACAATTTTCGCTTCGCATCTCTCCGTAACATGCGCACCCTATCAGGAAAAAAGGTAACAAAATATAGAGCATTAAACTTTCACGAGAATGTGAACAGCACCTCCTTTATCTCGCTGTGTTCATTTGCGTGCCTAGGCAGCAATGCAGGAGTTTTTTTAGGGGAGAGTGAATCAGTGTTTTAAGCGCGTGATCATTCTTTGTGACGCCATGTTTGGTTCAGAGTCAAGGGGACGGAGAGGGCATGGTGCTTACAAAGGCAAGATGTCCGTTTTCTTGCACTTTTTCTCCCATTATAGTTTTCTCTCACCAGTCTCCCACTTCTTAACATGTCCAGGATTGCGGCAAGACTTTCCACGAAGAACTAGGGAGCGTTTGTTGGCCTAAAATGCGTTTGGGAAAATGATTGGTTAATTTTCTACCGCAATTTTATGGACAGCTGTTTTACATGAAGTTCTAACTGTCGTATTTAATTTCAGGCTGCTGGAAGCGACAACTGCTGTATGTGCGGAGGGGCTACAGGAAAAATGGCCAAGTGTGACAACTGTCCAAGAAACTTTCATTTACAGTGCCTCGAGCCGCCGCTGAGCAAGTGAGAATTCTGTTATAAGCAATCCACTCAGACAGTGACAACCAATCAGTGGGTAGAAATGAAACTATAGATTCCGACATATCAAATGTTCGTTACAAAACAGTGAAATTTCATCTTTTTCGTTGATCGATGATCTTTACGTCACTGCGGTGTCAGCAACCTGTGTAGTTCAACTGGAATAAGTTTATGTTTCTGACGGGTTCCTTGGCTGACTTAGGTCATAAATGAGAACAAAGTAATATAGTGTCGCTCGTAAATTTGTATCGGCAAATTGTAAGCAAGGTTTTTGTTGCCGCGTCTAGTTGACGCTTGAGATGAGCTGATCGCTTAGGTCAAGGAATAGTGTCTCTCCATCCATTCCCCCCTCCCTCCTCCCTCCCCCTCCCGCTTCTGGCCTATACGCACATACACACACATTACGTGTATTAAGTGTTACTAACCAACAAACCGTGAGAACAGCGTGCTAGGACCATCGGATGAGATGGGGGGGGGGGGCATATCGTTTAGGGGAGGTGCTGGGGGTCCTTCAGGAACAGAAGTTTATAGCTGGTGCCTTTTTTCCAAGAAGATTTTCTATGTGTTTTCATGCTCATGGAGTTCTTTTCATATAATAGGGTTCCAAGGGCGTCGTGGACGTGTCCAAACTGCAAAAGAGTAGGTTTACAGCTTTGTGTCTTATCTGGTTGCTGCATATAAATTTTTTTAGGATCAAGGAAACCACTCGATAACTAACATGTTTTTCTTTCTTTATCGTTCTAGAAACGTAGCAAACCACGGAGGAGGCGAAAGATTAAGGACGATGACGAGGAGGAAGACGACAGGCGACCTCTCACCCCTCCCCTTAAGGAGGAAGTTCGCCCTCACGCCAACCGGAAGCAAGCTTCCAAAGACATGGCGCCTTGCCGCATGATCCTGGCGGAAATGGAAAAACACGAGGACGCCTGGCCTTTCTTAGTTCCGGTCAATCCTAAACAGGTGAGATCACACTCGCTGTTTCCTTTAATTTTAAACTCTTGAGTGAGTTACCAGTTGTTGGCTTTCGTGCCCATTAACACCGTGTGGGAGAGGGTGGGGTACACTAGGGTATGCGTGGATTATAGAGCAAGCCTGTAAGCAATGCAAATTAGCTACCTCGGTAATTTACTCACTCTCCGTCTCACTCTAGTTTCCAGAATATTATAAAATAATCAAGAGACCAATGGATTTCCATACTATGAAAATAAAGCTTCGTGATTGCCAGTAAGTATCTGTTAAAGTTAAGCAATAACCTATGCCTCCCTTTGATCTCAAAGTTTTATTTTGTCATCATTCAATCTAGGGATCTCATGAAATTTCGAATTTCAATCCCAGAAATCAGTGTGAATGCTTTCCCGCTCCTGGTGGAGACGCGGATAGTTTCGAGCGGTAAAACTTAAAGCGGATCATTTCAGAATTTTCATGAGAAATTTGGTAGCAAGAGAATGGTGTAAAATTATTGAAGAAGAGTTTCGGCGTGTGAATGAAAAAAAGGCTCAGGCCATGGAAATTTTAACCGGAGAACTCTCCGATTTCTCGACATCTCCTCAAGCCTCTGTAAGTTGGTGCAGTTCTCTGACATATTCTTTGTTATGTTATTCGTGATAATGAACGCATGATGCCCTCGCCAACAGGTACCAAGGACCTAACGAATTTGTGGATGACGCACGAACAGTTTTCTTGAACTGTGAAGAATTTAACGAGGATGATTCAGAGGTAAGTCACGTGAAGTCTGAATGGCGTCATTAGAGGAAGCGATCTCTGATCTCTAGGATAGGATAGGATAGGATAACTTTATTTATACACGGTATTTCCATCAGTTGTTATGTCGGAAATGAGACTAAAGAATCTGCTATGTTCCGAAACTTCACGTTTTATTTTATAAAATCAACTTAATCTCCCGCTCTCTCTCACCGTTCTCTGTCTTTCGCTCTGGTCTCTCTCATTTTAAATATATAATATGATCCTATTGTTCAATCATCTGTCACTTATCGCAAAAAATCAACCGGAAATCAATTAACGCTGAATAATCTCTCACACACTCCCCTGTTTTTCTCAACGGAGAAAAACACTAGAATGGCACACTCGATGAAATTTTGAAATTCAATGAACGAAACAGAAAGTTAGTCCAGTATATCAGTTCAGTGTTCCTAAATATCTCTAATCAGCATCAATGTTCGCATCTTGAATGCGATAACGAGCGGCTACCGCTGCATCCCTCCTGGGCCTGAATGTCGGGGCTACGGGGTTGAGCTGTAGAGGAGCCTGTACATTCTCCCGATCGTAGGACAGCTCCAGTGGGTAAAGGTGTTGTACCGCCCGTTCAAGTGTTCCTTTCCCCGCTCGAAGTTTGGCAGCTCGAACGATTCCGTCTCGTCCCGAAATCAGATCTTCCACGATTCCAATTTTCCATTTATTGCGATTTCGTTCCTCGTCCTTGATGATGACTACCTCTCCTTTGGCCAAGGGCGTGGTTTGACCCTTGTGTTTCATCCGGTGTCGTTCTCTCAACCCTCGTAAATATTCGGTAGTCCACCTGGTCCACAAAGCCTGCTTGCACCTTCGCAAATATTTAGCTCTTCTACGCAGATCAAATTCTCTTAGATGGTGTGGTTCCAGTTCTGGCAGCTGGTTTGATCGAAGAAATAGCAGTGAGTTAGGGGTAAGCACGGGTAACTGTATGTCGTCTTCGACGTAACATAAAGGGCGATAATTCAAAGCAATCTCCACATCCAGTACCACTTCACACAGCTCTGTCCAGGTCAACATTCCGCATCCGATAGTCTTGTTTAAAGCTGTTTTTACCAGTGCGATGAGGCGCTCGAACTGCCCTCCCCACCAAGCGGCGCGGCTGAGGTTGAATTGCCACTTGATGTTCTCATGTGCTAAGTAATCTTGTGTCTTCTCGTCACGCATAACTTGTTTGAGCCACTTCTCGGTGCCAACAAAGGTTTTGCCATTGTCGGAATATATCTTCTTCGGACGCCCACGGCGCGCGATGAGCCGTTTTAGACTTCTTAGGAATTCACTGGTTGCCAGGTTTGGTAGTACTTCCAGGAATAATCCTCGGGTAAGACTGCACGCGTACAATGCAAGATAGGCCTTTCCTTCTGTTTTGGCTCTGATACGGTACTTGATGGGCCCTGCAAAATCGACTCCGATAACCTCAAATGGGGTGCTCCCCTCTGTGCGGTCAGTGGGTAGGAGTCCGGGAGGCGGCGTTGCCAGTGCCATGGCCTGAAAACGCTTGCAGCCTGAACACGCTCTGAGAACTTGTTTTACGAGTGCCCTTAAACGCGGTACCCAGTATAGCTCTCGCACTTTGGTCATGGTAAGGGCCACTCCTCCGTGTAGTGTGTCGACATGTGATCGGTGAACTAACTTGCGAGTGAAGGGCGAGGAGTCTGGCAGAAAGATGGGGTAATGGCCTTGAATTCTTCCCCTACACTCTAATATTCCCTCTTGGTTTCCTTGCACATTCAACTGTAAACGGTCTTCTTCAAATTTCTGGCTCGACTTTGCTTGTTGTTGAGATCGCTTGATCCAGAACGTTGTCTGTTTCTGTATTTCTTCAGTTGTAAGGGGACCAACGATTCTCTGTTTACGGACGGTTCTTATGTTGTGGAGGAATCTCCAGATCCAAGCACCCACTCGCAACACACGCCACAGCTCGTACTTCTCCAGCAGCGCATCGAAGGCGTCGTTGTTCTCTGTTTTCTCTACTGCTAGAGCAAACAACTCGCGAGTTTGTTTCGCTTCTTCCGCTTTTGATTCTTGAGTAGATGTCGTTACAAGGTCTGGCGGCCAGTCCTGTGGTTTTGCTAACCAGCTTGGTCCCTGCCACCAAAGAGCTGTCAATCTACTAACATCTCCTCCCCGACTCCCCACGTCCGCAGGATTCTCTTCTGTTGGTACATGCCTCCAGTTTATTTCTTTTTCTTGGATCTTCCTCACTCGATTTCCCACGAACTGTTTGTATTCGCCATTACCACGGATCCAATGCAGTGCGACTGTGCTATCCAGCCAACCATAGACACTTCTTACGGGAAAACCCTTCAGGACTTCTTTCACATTTTGTACTAGGTTCGCAGCCATATGTCCAGCCACTAGTTCTAATCGGGGAATCGGGAGTCCTTTCTTCGCGAGCCGCGACTTTGCCGTCACGAGGCCTCGATTCGTGCCTGATGGTTGCTCCACCACTGCATAAACCGCGGCTGCAACTCCTTTCCCGCTTGCGTCCCCGAATGTGTGTAAGTCGATTGATAATATCTTCCCTAAATGCTTGACGACATTTCTTGGCGCGTTCACGTGCTCTGGAAGTCCTTGCTCCCATTTCTTCCATTTGGCTTGTAAGTCACTTGGTAAGGGCCTATCCCACGCGATCTTCGTGTCGCAGGCGTCTCTGTAGAGCATTTTTCCGGAGAGGGTCACGGGTGAAGCCAGACCGAGTGGATCGTAGATTTTTGCGACTTTTCCAAGGATACCTCTTTTTGTCGGCTCAGCGGTTGAAATCGGGAAGCTGACTTGAATTTCGTCCTTTTCTTTGTCCCAGGGGACTCCTAGCAGTTTTGATTCGCCCTTTCTGGTTCCCAGTTGTTGTTTGGCGTAACTCTGACTTTCTTCATCTACAGTCGCAGTTTCAACTTCTAGTTCCCGATCGTTGGAATGCCACTTGTGTAGCTTGAAAGTCGCCTCACCAAAGATGGTCGTGGCTGTCATCTTGATTTCTAACGCTTGTTCTGTTGTCTCCCCACCACTGATTAAATCATCCACGTACATACTGCGCTCTATCTCCTCTACTAATTCCGGGTTCACCATTTTGTATCGCTGTAGATGTTCTTTGATAACTGCGGCCAAGAGGAATGGAGACGGTGCCAAACCAAAAAGTACTCGAGTGAATCGCAAGGTATCTACTTGTTTGCTTGCCAGATCCTTTATCCAATGAAAGCGTAAGGCATCTCGGTCTTCTCTTCGGACGCGAATTTGCAAAAATGCTTGTTTTAAGTCGCCAGCTATTGCCACGGGATAGAACCTATTTCGTACCAGCACGTTCCAAAGCTGGTTCTGTAGTGGAGGGCCGATTTCGAGGCACTCGTTGAGTGAGGGGACACTTGCATTAGCTCTTGCAGAAGCATCATAAACAATGCGTATCTTTGTAGATTCTGCATTCTCGCGCACGACCGCTTTATGAGGAATGTAGAACTCTTTTCCGTCTTTGACCACCTCGTCAGCGTGTTCTACGATCCCTTGACTCAGTTGAGTCTGGATAATGTCGTTGTACCTCTCCAGCTCGCCTTGTATCTCTAACTTCCGCACGAGATTTTTGAGACGTTTTAAACTTCCAGTGTGATTGTTCGGTAGGGGGGGGTGATTTCCTTTCCAGGGCAAGTTCGTCTCGTACCAGCCTTCTGAACTCCTAGTTAGTTGCTCTTTGAATTCTTCGTAAACGGTTTCCTGGTCTCCACTTGGATTGTCCTTTAACCCCAAGACGTCTAACTTGCACAATTCTTCGTAATCAATTGCGGAGGTCTGCGTTAACAACATGTTGCTGAGATCCAACTCCGTTCCAGGTGACAAGATCGTCCAGCCGAACTTCGTGTATTCTGCTACTGGTTCTCCCGAGCGCCCAACTCTTGGTCTTGCCCCTGTTTTGATCTTAGCGTACTCGTTTGTTCCAAGGATCAGATGAACAGGCAACATCGCTTTCTCGTCGTTATCATTTGTGGTTACGCCCTTCAAATGAGAAAACTGAGCTACGATTTCTGCGCATTTTGGGTTTTCCAATGTCAACAACTCTTTGCGGTCGACTTTGTTTACTTCAGTTTCCAAGGTGAATTTACCATCAACGCTTCGAATTTGTAGGCCATAGATGTCTATCGCTTTGTTTGAAGTACCAAACATCATTTCAATGCGCTTGAATTGTTGACGGATAGGGCGCAAATGTAAACAGTTCAGAAGCGTTGATGAAGCGTAGGAACTTCCGGCTCCTGTATCCAACAATGCTCGGCATTTAACACCGTTCACGTCAACTGTTACCATAGGATACACCACTCCTTTCCTTTCTGCGCTCGTTGTGGTCATCAGCTGGTCTCGCGATGTATGTTTGTCACAGATCGATGTATGATGTCTTCGACTGCAGATCTGGCAGCCAGAACGACATTTGCATTCAGAAGCACGGTGTCGACTTCCTGTGCAGTTAAAACAAAGCTGTTTCAGTCCTAATTGCTTCCTGCGGTCTCCAACTGTCACAAACTTGTCGCAATTCACAGCTCTGTGGTCAGTTGCGTCACAGTAGACGCACCCTCTTTGTGTTGGCGTAGTTTCGTTTGCGTGAAATGTTTTCTCGCGATCGCGGAATTTAGCACCTTGCTTCCCCGCATTATCCGCGCCGCTCCCAATGGGGTTGATTTCCTTCCAACTTTTCAAAGCTTTTATCAACTGTGGGAAGTCCCAGTCCTGCCAGTCCATTTGTCCTCTCACTAGATCTGCTTTTACACCCTTTAGTTTGTCGAGCACACTCCTTGCATTTCCAGTGACGTCTTTCAATTTGCCCAGTGTCTCCAAAGATTGCACATTGTACACGAGCTTCTTGTAAAATTCGTGGATAGGCGCAGGTTGTGTTCCTGTAATGACAGGCAAATTCGCGATGTTCTGGACGTACGCATTCACGATCTCGCTCGTTTTCCCATATTCGCCGATGAGGATATTCTTTGCCCTTTCGTAGCCCTCTGTTGTGAAAGGCAGTCCGTCTATCTCCGCTCGAACCTTTGGATCTACCAGCTCTTTTAGGTATGCAAACTTGGTCACAGATGCAAGGTTTGCTTTATCAATTTCAGCTTGAAATTTGTTCCAGAACGGCAGCCATGCTTCATACGTCCCATTAAACTTTGTGATCTGTAGTTTCGGTAGCTTTGTTGTCCTTTGTTCAATCTGATTGGCCTTCTCAACAGGTTGCTGTTTTGCCTTGGTCTCTTCCAGTTGGCGTTCGAATTCTAGCTTCATCTCCATTTGCTCTCTTTCGAATTTAAGCTCCTCTTCACGAGCACGGGCTTTCCTTTCCTCTTCGTCCTTGTGCTTTCGATGTTCGATCTCTCCATTCGTCTCCACGAGCCATTTTTCTAGTCGCGAAACTTCTTCGTCAGCTTCGTTGATCGGTTCTTCAATGCTACTGCTCCAACTTCCAACGTCTTCTGCACTTTTCCCGGCCTTGAACATGGTCTGTTCAACCTTTAGTTTAAGCGCGTCTACTTCTTTTACTAATGCATGTAGGTTGTCGCGATGTCGCGCGACCGCTCCTAGGTTTCCCTTTTCCACAATGCCACGTGTTTTTCCATTAGTGTACAGCAACATCTGCAATTTAGCCTCTGCTTCTTTGGTTAGTTCCTCCATGCTTCGCGCGTCCCGTCGGAGGTGCCACTGTGTCGGAAATGAGACTAAAGAATCTGCTATGTTCCGAAACTTCACGTTTTATTTTATAAAATCAACTTAATCTCCCGCTCTCTCTCACCGTTCTCTGTCGTTCGCTCTGGTCTCTCTCATTTTAAATATATAATATGATCCTATTGTTCAATCATCTGTCACTTATCGCAAAAAATCAACCGGAAATCAATTAACGCTGAATAATCTCTCACAGTTAATTATCTATAAAGGTATATCTATCTTCCTAACTATAATAAAATCTAATAATAACAATTCAAATAAAAGAAAAAAATAAAAAAAATCTGCTTTTCATGGAGGCCGTGTCTAAAATTTACTTAAAATTAAGATATTACTTTAAACTGTGGCGACTTAATTTAGATTTGAAATCGGTCAGTGAAGACGCTTGTCTTAGGTCTAAGGGTAAGTCGTTCCACAAGTGAGCTCCGCTGTACAAAAAACTTCTCTTAAGATAATCAGTTCGAGGTTGTGGAAGAACTAATTTGTTTTCCGTATTCCTTAAACGATAAGCACTTATATTGTCACGATATACAAATCTTGATCTCAGATAATCTGGTGTCATACCATGTAAAGTTTTATACATTAAGATAGATTTTTGTTCCAATCTTTGATGGTAGAGTCTTCGCCACCCTAGTGCCCGGAACAAATCATCTAAATTACTATCATAGCTCGCAGACATTAGGATGCGAGCTGCCCGATTTTGAAGCCTTTGCAGTTTTTCAGAAAGGCCCTTGTTACAGTTTCCCCACACTACATTACAATAATCAAAATGTGGTTGAACAAGGCTATTATAAACTTTAATTAGAACATTAAATGGAGTGAGGTGCCGAATTCGTTTAATTGCAGCAATGGCACAAGCTATCTTCTTAGAGATGTTTTCAATATGACACTCCCAGTTGATATTTTGATCGACATAAACTCCAAGGGACTTAGCGGAGGTTACTTGTTCTATTGCGATTTCGTTTATAGTAAGAGAAGGACTTTCCGTAAATTGTGATAACTTCTGCCTTGATGCAATAAGCATAAACTCAGTTTTTGTCATATTTAGGGTAAGCTTGTTAGCACTCAGCCATTCGTACACATTACTCAGGTCGTAATTAAGGCAATAATTTATATGATCAAAGTCAGTACTGGCAAGCGTCAGGCTGGTATCGTCTGCGTACATTCTGGGTTCCGAATATGTCAGACAATGTGGTAAGTCATTAATATATATTAAAAACAGAAGGGGTCCCAAAATTGTTCCCTGGGGAACACCACATCTTAGATATTTCGGAGTTGACTTACAAGAATTTACATGGCAAATCTGTGTTCGATTATCTAAATAAGAAGCAAACCATTGATGACTGGTCCAACAAATCCCATAGTATTGCAATTTTCGTAGCAAAATTGATTAACCTCGATTCCAGAATTTCTCCTTGCAATGGAACGGCTTTTTACCTACTGTTAAGCTCATTGTTGGAACGTTTAATTAATGCTGATACTATTATGTCTCCCCAGGTTGGACAGGCTGGAAAACGACTTTTTGAATTTTTTGAACGCCGCTGGGAGCAATTGGCTCCAAATATGGACTGAGAGAGGGAAGGAGGAAGGAAGGTAAAGTTGATGCAAGATTGAGAATGATTATGATAGTGGTAGTGTGGTGGGAATGAAATAGAAGGAAGGAATGAATGAATGAGAATGGAAGAATGATGACGAGCGAGAATGAGAACGAGTGATTGAGAGTTAATGCATGATTAACTGAATGAATGATTGCGCTAAGAACAGGTAATTGAATCATTGAGAATGAACGAGAACTATAAGAAGGATGAGAATTTATCAACGCGTTATACGATCTGGTTTATGAAGAGAAAGATCGACATTGAGTACACCTATTGTCTCATCGTCACTAAAAGAAAAAAAATTTAGTTGAGCTGCACGAAACAACGTTTACAACGACGGGGAGATTTCTGTAGGACTGAATGGAAGTTTTTTTGTCAACAGGTTTCTTCAGACGGAACAAAGACTAGCTACTGCTTCCATGTGAAGAAAGGAATATTTCTCTTTACGAGAAATGTGAAACAAAATCAACGATGCATGACCGTGCTATTTTTCTGGGGGTAGGGGTGGGCATGTTTTGGTTTATTCATGTCACTATTGAAGTTTTGTACGAGATCAATACTATTTAGATGATAGAATGCCATGTCAGTTACGTAATCAGTCAATCAACAGAAACCTGTAAAACTTGTAAATAACCAGATTGACCAGTCTAACGATCGTTAAAACACGTATTTAAACCAATGAGAACCACAATGGAGTTTTAATGTAAACGTTTTTGTATGAAATTTTTACTCTTGTAGGCTCGCTGAAATAATAAAAATGTTTTGGCTCTTTTTAAAATTCCGTTTACTTCTTTTGACCACCTATACTGCTATCGTACCACAATGCTTTACAAATTCAGTTGGGTGAATCATCAGGTAAAGAAATTAGAGTAATTCCTTAATCTCCTTCTCCATTGTTGAAGGGGAAAGACAGAAAGGTGAATGAAAGGTTAAGGTTACTTAGGAGAAGAGGAATTGTTGAATTTCGGGAATTTTCAATTTCGCCTTGCTCGAACCTTTTGCTCATGGAAAAGAGTTTCGAAGGCCAATTTTTTTTTCTTTTAGGGCAATTATTCGTTATATTTGCCTTTGTTAATCTCGGTTCCTTCTTTATGGTGCGCTCAATGAGACTTAAGAGAGGGTACGGGATATGCGTTCGGGGCTAAAATTGGAAGAGGTTGTGAAAGAAGTTGTTAGACTTAAGTACCAAAGAAGTTCTCACCTTTATTTATGAGATGAGATGATAGCTGTTTTTGTCACCAGTCAAAAAAAAAAAACTACCAAAACCTTTTTTTCAAATGCATGATAATTTTTGTTATTGTAAACTAGTTTCCTAAAATGAACAGCAAGAATTATTACCTATTAAACGTATCTGCGTTTCGTGACTTTTCTCACATTTGTCGATAAGTACTTCGTGTTATCTTTGAATTTTTGTGCTTATAGGCTTTACACATAGCCACACATGCATCTTAGCAATTTGTCCATTAAACGAGTTTTATAAATAATAATACATCAAAGAAATAGCGATAAGATAGCCTCTTGTGCTAACAGGGGCTGCTACTTCTAATGTTAAGTCAAATTCTTGAGCGAGGTCGTCAAATACTTAATCTGTGATTTCGTAACAGCCATTTTCCGAGAAAAGAAAATATTTTCGACCCCATCAGAGAATACAATATGTCCTAGCTTCGTCAAGAACGTTACTACTATCCAATTCACTGGATTCCGATCATTTTTTTATTATTATTATTAATGTGTCTAACTATTGGAACGTCGCTTTGTCTTCATGACCTGCATGCATACACTCCGTTCAAATACCAGGAAAAAATTAAATATTTGTGGGCGATTTTTGGTTTCGTATTCTTCAGGAGTGGAAAGTGAATGTCGCGTAATCTTCAAGAGAAGAAAATGAAGACAAATGACGTTGTTATACCTCTCAACTCAAATACTTTTTCCAATTGGAGGAGAAAGTGTCACGTGCGATGGGTCAAAACTCCCTTCCCCTGGGGTATCACAATATGGATTTTTGACTCACACTTGATCAGGTCTTGCATCCTGCAGCCCCGACAAGTATGTGTGCCAGCCCGTGTCAAGAAAAATAAATATATCTTTTCAGTCGTACTATTATTGAGTTGTAAGGTATAACAAAACACTTAAAAACTGGCCTTCTGGAAAACCGTGAGTTTTATTCCCCTTACCCCCCCCCCGACTCTAACTGTTCCCCTCAGCTTCGCCAGTCATTAAGTGCTAATTGGCGTATGAGGCTACTTGATAACGAGTGTGACTAACGTAACTGATGAAACTCTGTGGCTCCATTTCCCTGACTCTTTTGTTCCATCTCAAACATTAGGAGAGCGAGTTGTGAGCGAGAAGCCATGCCTTCTGCCTTGAATTTCAAACACGTGTTGTATTCGTCTTCTTCAAGATGAGGATCACATGTTACTTGTTCATATCGTTTCCTCAAATCAATGTCGACTGCTTGGAGCACGTGTAAAGAACTAGCAGCGAACACCTAGTGAAGAAAACCGACGGTTAAATTAAACTAAAGAGACCTCGTTCAAAAACACAAAAATTTAACCAAACTCTAAAACGTGTTTGACTAAATAACTATAAAAACTGCAAAAGAAATGCTTAAAAAATGGATTAGTCGAAATTTACCTCCATCAATTGCAATGTTTGTGATTTTTCTTCTTTAAGGAAGTTGTCACTATTTATCCGAATGTCTTTATAGTCTTTGTTATCGAAACAAGCCATTTTTCTCGGTCCTGGTGCCCAGTGCCCCGTGTCCTTATGAACGGGTATTACATCCGGGATCTTCGCTTGGCGGAATACAATGGCTGGATCATAATACGCAAAGGGAATGGGGAAGAATACCTAAAGATTAAAAGAGTTAGAAAAAAAAACTTCGGGTAAATTTTTAAAGAATCGTTACCTAAGAAACAAAAAGGAAGAGAGGTTGAAACTTAGTTGTTTTAGCTTATCGGAAAAACTTCGGGCTTGCTCGTTGGTGTTCTCGGAGACATGTTCGTTGCTGGTAGTTATACTTGGCATCGGAAGTACATCGAGCTTGTTCCCTGATATTCCCGAATACATTTCGTACTTAAACGTTGAATTTTCGTGGATCGTCGGAAAAAACCTAGTATGTTCGGAACCTTTTCGTGCCTGGTCGTTTGATGGTCGGAAATTATCGGAACAACGTCGAGGTTGCTCCTGGGTATTTTGGGAGACATTGTCGTCCGTAATGGTCCTAGATCATAGGAGACGGAAATTTGACTCACCTGCTCACCACTAAGTGCATTCACTCTGCACCTGCTAAGAAAATTTACGTTGAACTCGACTTCAAGAGCTGCGAGAAAGATCAGTGCATTGGCTGGAAGCTTCATGGTAACAATGTCCATGAGCAACGTAAGGGAGTTGTACTTGACTCCAATCTGTATCCACGGCAACTGCGCCCAAGTGTATTTCTGTTTGTACCTGCATTTAAAGAAGACGAGTAGGTTAGCGCGCTAGACTCTTGGTTGCGGGGTCTGGGTTCGACCCCTGGCCGGGTCATTGCGCTGTGTTCTCGGGCAAGACACTTAAATTTCAAAGTGCCTCTTTCCACCCTGGAGAGATATGGGTTCGGCGAGCTTTCTGGTAAACTTTACGAACTGCTAAAGGGTGGAGAGGTGTGGGATATATGATAACCATTAATGGACTATCACCCCGTCAAGGGGAGGAAGGGGCAATCCTAACACTCTACTTGCTGAATCGCTTTAGCGCAACAGAATCCTAGATAAGCCAAAGATTATAAAGCCACGCAAATTCAGCGTACTACTTATTGGTAATAAGTGTCAAAGAGGCTCTCTTTGTGGATCAGCGATTGACTAAATGGACTACACGACGGTAGTTTACGACTTACCGTGAAATAATCGCTTTTCCATCAGCAAATATGTCCCCTTTGTTTTTCTCTTGGCCTGCCTCCCTAACATTCACAAATACAGTGAGTAGTACCACATTTTCTCCAGTCTGTAAGCAAACTTTCTGATAGATCTGAAAAAAGTCATCCAATCTTTTGGTGTCGTTCCGAAGGACGGGAAGAACGAGGTGGATTCCACGTTGCTCGATAGAAGTCGGCATTAGGATATTTTCCACCATGGTGTACGGCCTCAGAAGATGAACTCGTCTGAATAAAAATTGTTCAAAAAGCAATGAATTTAATGAGGTCACAATACCTCTAAAAATGACCAAATGAGAGAAAATTTGGTATCCATGAGTAACTGAATTTCTTTTAAAAGCCCTTCCTCTCAAATTATCCTCCCCCTCACTTATAAATCCCCCATCTAAAATCCCTAGGATATCAAAAAGTCCCTCCGCTCCCGATCCCTGTTAGAGAGTTTATGGCGTAGGGTATTTTACCACACCTGATTGTCATATCTGCCTCTTTCCCAGTTCCCCTGTTCTCCGCAGCACCAGGCTTGATTCCAATATCCAGGATGTACTCAGCTCCTCTTCTTGGATCAACTCGTCGGTAGCCATTCATCAGAAGGAACTGCTTGTTTACGTTAGAGTATTCTCGTGTCAACATTTTGATGGCCGTTTCTTTGACGTCCTCGACGTCTTTCTTGTAATCCCCCTGCAAAGGTACCTTTAGAAAGAAGAGGGAGCGGCTTAGAGCGGTTTTTAATCACGTGCGAAACCATAGCAACTTTCAATCAGAAGAAACCTCTACAACACACAATGAAACACCTGCGTCATGAGGCACCAAAGTGCGCGAGTTCAAATTACTTTTTCAATCAGATTTGGTGAAAACGTGGCGTAAGTTTTCTCATCAACCAATCAGAACTTTCGAGAGAAAATACAAAGAAAATAAAGGATCTTACAGTTTACTAAATTTACCTTAGGATTGACCTCTGTGAATCCGTAACTTGACGTATCTGTGAAATATTCCCATTGCAACACCTCGAAACGTGACTGAGGTTTAAACGGCTGACGGAAACCAATCGGCCATGATGGTCTCTTTTCTGGAACACCTGAACATCCAAAAAAAATTCATCCAGTTTCACCTGATTTGCATTTTAGCCTAATTTCATCTTGGCAGGTTCTCCCCGTCTCCTAATTTGGAGTATCACGTATCTCATCACGTCACAAATATCATGATTTCCTTCATCTCACGAAACTCTAGTTAAATTGGGCCCACATTCTAAGTTTGCTTTTATGAAATTTTTCACTCAACGGAGCAAATATGTAGTTTTGACTTCACTTGAAATTTCACTTTTTGCCTGACTTTTCCTTAACCTTGAAGAAATTTGTCTTTCCTGACTTGTGACAACCATCCAATATCATTGATTTATTTTTACAACACATGTACACCACATACCAAAAGATAAGTTCCATATCAAGATTAAAGTACAGATATAATATTGCTGGATATCGAAAAACTTCTGATGAAGATACTTGATTTTCAAGCACAATATGATCTAAACAATTCTGTTCCTAGGCTTGTGTTCAAATTTTGACACAATCAAGTGGAAAAAAAAGAGATTTCCCATAATTCAACAGGAAAATAGCTGCAAGGCAAAAGTCAAAGACTTTTAACACATTTTTGCTTCCTTCCATGAAATCAATACCATTTCCATATACCTGTATTTTCACAGGAATACAAATTCTTAAGAATACTGGTCCCTCAGACATTTGACAGCTGGAAAGTAATATTGTTAACGACTCTTCTCCTATTACCTAATACTATTATTGTTTTTCAGAGCTACTGTCAAAGTGAGAGCAAATACAGAGATTGTACAATACTAGCAAACTGTAATGCACCCAAATAAAGTTAATAACAAACACATCTTGATATATTTCTCACATATTGCAACCAAGATATATTTAAAGGGTGAAAGATAGAAGTCAGAAGACATACTGCTACAAACATACAGATAATGAACTAAGAACTGTTGGTAAGATGGTGCTGCTTTTAATCTGCACTTGAAAGAGGATGATATTGAACTTTTCATATCTTCATTTATTGAATTCCAAATAACATGGCTTTGAAATTGGTTACGTAATTACCCTTGGAAAAATTGTTTAATACAAACAAAAGTTTGTAAAACAGTGCCTTTCTGCAAAAGTTATTCCTTAAAAATATAATATTAAATTTTATGGGAAAAAAAAAGAAAAAAAATTATTTTTATATCCAGACAAGTCATTCTTGAAAAACTTAGTTCCCACCTGAAAAAAAGTAAAACTGGGCAACAAAAATTATATATGGCCATTTTCTACCAAAGCTTTCATTTGCAAATAACTTGTAGCAAGATCTTCATTACAGTATTTAAATCATTCAGCTTTCCAGGAACACAAATGTTTATTGATAACTTACCTTTTGGTAAATATGGTAGCATATCTTTAATTGCATTCTGAAGAGTTCTTGTTTCAACAAATGTTTTGTTCAGCTCTAGCTCAGCGAAGTAGCGATGAATTTTATACATGAGGAGTGGATTGCTGACGGGATGCAGGGAGATGGTACGAGCCATTCTCCTTTCTTTGATGAGATTTATGATCTTGGTTTCACCAGTGTCTTTGGGGAAATGATAAAAGAGATCTTCTGCCTAAAAAAAAGCATAAAACACAGTCAAACTTCTACATAGTGTGAGACTCTTGTAGGTTTTTGGTACAATCTACAAATTTTGCAGATTGTCCTATATTGGCAAAGATATATTCCCACAGAGGAAACATCCTGCAAAATAAAATGCTTTAAAAATTGATCCTCTTCAGTCATTTAGAATACTCTGCATGTCGATCAAGTGTCAACTTGTATATTTTAAAGTGCGGAATGACAAAAAATATCCACCAAACAACTTCCTACCCTGAGATGATTTTGAAGGTTGACTACAATCAAAGAAACAAAGAATTATTTTGATAATCAAAACACTGAAAAAAACCAAATCAACATTGACAAAAGAATTTGGTAGATCTCTTTAAACAAAATTTTCATAGAATCAAAACCTTCCTTCAAATTACCCTAGTGGAGCAAACTTTTGACTTAGTTCATTGAAAAATTCAACTAACTGTTTGAATGAAAATGGAAAATGTGCCTCAGGAGGCAAGGTGACATGTGAAGGTGTCTTTCCTTGTCAAAGTAGGAAGAGTAACCCTCTCAAGCATGACAAATTTTTCTCATATAAACACTTTGGCTTGCCAACAGGGTTGTTAGGTTAAGTTGTCTCAAGTACCAAAAATGGCCTAAATTCCTAGTGAAAGTTGCCAATTTGGCAGGTCCTGTGATCATGCAACAAGATAGAATGTTTTTACAACCTAATGTTTATAGCCTTAAGTTTCAATACAATAACCAGTTGTATAAAAAATATGGCTATGACTTCCTTGTTTCTCATTAGCCTTGGCGGTTTTGACGGCAACGTAGGTCGTGTAATATTGCAAAAGTGCTGTCCATTTAAGAATTTCCGCTCCATTTTTATCTCTATGACCAATTTCCGATTTTAGGTTGCCAAACAGTGTAGCAGTGTAACAGTGACTTTGATTAAGTTGAACATTTTCCAAAAAGAAAAATGCCCTCAGTGAGGTAAAGTTTGTCATCCATCGATGTACCCTCTATTTTTTTAGGTAACAGGAAGTGAAATGATCCCTAACCCATCACCATAGAAATAATGGTTGATGTTAATTAAATCCCAAGAATCAATTATCACCATTAAATATAATCAATTTATAGCCCCGATCAGGCAAACACGACACAATCGAAAACATTAATTAACTACAACGTCTTTCCACCTCATAACTCCATGTGCACTGCAATTGGACATTCTCCAAAAGGCATCGGCCGAGCTCTACGTCTTCTTGTTCCGTCAATGCGTTCTCTAGGCAGTTTTCCAAATGAGGGGAAAGTTTCATCAAAGCACTTCTTGAAAGAGCAATTCCTGTACCACCATAACAATACTTATCATTAGAGTACAAATTATCATCTCCATTGTCTCCTCCCTTCGCCCTGTATGATCCTGGACGGCCAAGATAAACATCCTTTGAACTGTTCACGCTATTGAGCAACTCGAGAAGTTTCTCTGGTTTTAGATACATGGAGTCTTCGACACGCATAAACCATTCATAATTGTTAGCATAATGATCGTACATGTATTTCAACATTTTAAAAGACAATTTTGTTTTGGAAAAATTCTCATCTTCCACGTCGGCAAGTTGAACTATTGGTAGACCCAACACTTTGTTGTATTTTTCCGAAAAGTCAACATCTCTCGAGAACGGAGTGAAGAATATAATTTTTGGTAGTAAAGGCCCCCATGTGTTATTCACAGCAAGCACCAGCGAGTCAATATTTTCCTCAGTAGTTAGAATACCAACAAGTAATTTATCTCTATGGCCGAGTTCGCTAGCAACGTAAAATGGCCGTAACCCATAACTAAAGTGTGTGACTTTCGGCGGTACTGCGTTGTGAACAACCGGCTTTGATTCTTCAGTTCGCTTTTCACTCGTGTCAGACATACCAGGTTGTTGGCGACCCAAAATCAAAACTTGTGACTCTTCTAAATCGTACAAACATTGCTGTTCCACAACAGGAATATAGAACATTGATAACGCAAATCCTAAGCTAACTCCAATTATCGCTGGGAAAACCGGACGGAATCGCATCCCACGGACAGATTTCATTTTTCTTCTGAACGAAGTTGATCCTGAGTAATGATAACTGGTTTCGTCTACGGAGGAACGACTAACAACACCATCGAACTCTTCTAAAGAGTGGCTCTTTCGATGAAACATAGACATTGCGAGGGCTTCTATAGCTGATACGGTATCTATAACACTGTAGCTTGCCCTCGACCATTATTCGAATAATTTACCATAGATCAGAGCTCATTAAATCTCTTGTTTAACAGCTCTTAACAGCAGCGGCTAAGGAGGCGATTTTGCCGGTCGTTATTGGTCTGTAGAAGTGATGAATATTTCATAGGATACTTGTCGATCGCTTGCGCTTTTGTTTCTGCGGCGATGTTGACTCAGGTGCAGTGATTTCCCCGCAGATTTACATTTTGCCAGTTTTTTTTTTAGCAGTTGTTCGAAAACTTGCTCTGGATCTTCGCCTTTTGAAAGAAAACATGAAAATGGACAAAAGAGTACGTTAAAGGGAAGGTAGGCAACATAGACAGAACTGAACCTTTACGAAGTGAAAGTGGGAACGCTCAGCCTTACCGGGAGGGGGCAAGGAAGTTTGGCTGCTAGCCATTCATAGGCTCGCAATGCATCAAAAACTTGTATATTTGAATCGCGAAATTACAGATTGATATTGAGAGCATCTAAAAATTCTGAACCACAATTATTTGGCTTGTCGTTAATGACGAAGATAAAAAACAAAGCTGTTAGTGTTCCATATAGCTTACGTAGCTGGCGATTTTGCGGCGAAACCGCGAATACGTGTAGGTAGGTATCTCAAGCCTTTCGCGGCCTTGCTGCTGGTTTACCGGCTCCGTCGATTAAAAGCTTCAGCGCGCAAAACCACCAGTTACGCAAGCTACAGTGTATATGGTAAACGCATAAACATTATTTGACAAAATAACACATTTTAAGCTATCAGTAAAGAATCTCCATAACTGACGTCTTCATTAGACTAGTAGTTTTCCGCATCCGAGCGCTAGCAGAGAAGCGGCCATGATTTCTTCATTGCAAGAAGAAGTTCAAAGCTAACAGCTAATAGGAGACTTCGTGTGACTAGCGTGAATTTAAGGGAGAAAAAGAATTCCAAGTAATTTTAATTCGTTTTCTTCTAAGAAGATTGTACACTTAAACTCACTGCAACAATTCTCACAATTACCTTCAAAATCTGTCCCTTGTAAACGGTCGAGTGCCTCAAAGGAAAAAGCTTCGAGAGTGTTTTTTGTAAATTGTAAATGTGTTAAATACCATACCGAAAAACTCCTAGCTTAGATTTGATTGGTTGACTAAAGAAAGCATTAATTTAGACATTTACACTCAGTTATTGTTCTGTTTTCTTTAAAAAGCAATCAAGCCATTTTAACAATGTATGCGAAAGAGAACTCGTTAAAATGTCATATCCATTTGCCTTGAAGTTCAAGTGTTAAAAACTATTTCCCGTGGTGTTCTGTTGCTGTGTTTTTGATTCCTCGGAGACGAATTCCGTACGCTTTGTCTCTTAATTCAATGGATGGCAAATTTTTCTTATTGTCCGAAAATCCCACTTTATATACCATTAATTTGTCTCTTTTCTCAGAATTTCAAATCATCATCATTACTAATATTTCTTTTTCCCTTTTTTTCTTTTTTTCAAGACACTGAAATAACTATGGTTTCATGTCTGCGGTCAAAGTATTGACTGCCATCTTACTAGGGATAAGAATTATGGAGTTTCCAAGGGTTTTTAATTAAGTCTTCTCATATTTGCTAAGAAAATCATTTTTTTGATCAGATTTTTGAGTTGTCGTTAAGAAAATTAGCAAAATATATGGTAAAATTTCCGCACAGCCCCATACTACATTATGCGTTCAGTTCTTGAATAGAGAAAACAATGACAAATACAATACATTGCCATTGGGAAAACAGATTTGTTTTACAATAGTATTGGGCTGTGCGGAAATTTTTTTACCAAATATGTCTTTATCTAAAAACTGATCTTCTGACAGAAAGGGTGACGCGTGATGTACAGCAACCAAAGAGGGCTATGGACTTTTTCGCAATCTGACGTAGTCCTTTCTTGTCCCCCGGAGCTACTCGGTTTCACCCCCATTAAATTTACCACGTGGTCAAAACAAGACGAGGTTTCTGGAAATAATCTTAAATAGGTTTCTGCGATCATATGCATGCGTTTCCAAAAAATGGTACGAAAAGCAACAAGAAGTTTGAAATAAATTTACATGCTTGATATTCAACTGACAAACTGAGCAGTGGATATTGTAGACGGTGTAACGGTTTCAAGTCGGACTCGTCAATACAGAGCGCGTGTTAGATCAAATCTTTAAAATACTGAGTACAGATTTAATGAAGGGCACGTGTCATATATTGTCTAAACAGGAAATACTTTCGCATCGTTATAACAGTCGACGCTGGAAATATTGATTCGCATTGGTGCAAGATGTAATTTATCAGTAACCTGTATTGTGTGTAGCTGTGACCTGACCAACAACTGACGCTCACGAAAATGCTGAAACTTACTCTTGGGGGGAGGAAAGAGAGCGGTAATATGAAATAAATGATAGAATGAGCAGTAGAAGCAGCTGTATTTCTGTTACATTGTACTGTGCATTCTGTTGCCTTTCTCTCTCTGCCTTACTCTCAAAGCAGACTTTGGACACATCTCGGACTTTGCTCCCGCCTTCTCCCGACTCACCGGGTTCGGAGCTGAAGAAAAAAGTAGTAAGTACTTGAGCTGAGACCTGAACTTGTATAAAGCATAAAGAAAAAGCTGGAAAAACAACGCAGACCTTTGAGTCATGCAATAATCTAAACGGAAAAGACATGAATTGACGTTTAAACAATCAAGAACACATTTCGTCCTTGCAGAGGAATGTTACGTCACACTGGTTTCTTCTGAAGCTACAGCGTTTTCGTGACATAGCACTTAATTAGAGAAAAATACAGTTGTAACCTTTATGCCGAAATTAATCCCGTTCTCAACATCAACTTAGTTCTTGATGGCACGCACTAAAAATAAACACTCCCACCATCCAACCCCCTCAACTTTCCAAGAGACTGTTTCTAGCCTCGTTATGAGGTCACTCCTCTTTCTGTCTCAGCAACGAGGACATTAGAAGACTGTTCCTTTTTTCAGTTTATTTTGATTTTAATAAATAAAAATTAAAAATGGCTTTAATTTCAAGTAGACAAATTCCCATCACGGCATTGAAGTAACACAGAACGAACAAAAGATCCTAACGAGAGAAACCGTGAAAAACAAAACTTAATATCTGTACAACAGCATCGAAATAAAAGAAAATTTAAAGATGAGGAGTATTTACGATTTCGACAGATATAGAACGATGAAAGGATGTTTTTTACAAAAAAACGTCATGGTTATTTACAGGAAAATAATTATTGTAAAATTACATCTTCAGAGTATTCTTAAATAAGACGTCGCAGACACCAGTTTCCAAAAGGCAGCCATAAGCCGCTAGTTCCTTGATCATTCCTACCCATTAAACCAGTAACGGTGATGTGAATTTAAAAAAATTTTGTTTGTATCAAAAAGGAGCTTCATTCGTTTAAATACAACTATCTCTCTCTCTCTTTTTTTCCTCGAATTTCCACATTTACAATTTACTCTAAGCTTTGACGGACATTGCGCTACCTACCGAAATAAAGAGGCAGGGTCGAACTCGAACTCGCAGCCATACTCGTCATTTAATATAAAGATCTCTAATGAATGGCTGGAATTATCGTGAGATAGCTCCAACGAAATCTTTGTGACTTGCTCTTAAACAACCCCTTCGGGAAGCCGCGCAATTCTCTGATAAATCTGCGCATTTTGATGCGACGATTTTTCTGTCCTAAATTCCATCGACGAATCTTGCGCAAAATCGTCAGCAATAGTGTCTTCGTGGTTATTTGCAGACTGCAAGCCGCATCCATTTGTAATATTTTCATCCATTGGTTCTACAGGAGTTTTTCGAACACGGCCGTTCTGTCTGTGTTCGGGCAATTTCCCCACGTCTCTAGTTGGGCGAACCCTATCCGCGTTACTTACACGACCATTAGAGTTAGGATCCCGAGAAGTAAAATCACCATTTCTTGATATCTGAATAAAACTCGAGTCTACTGAAGCCTCACTGTCTTGAAGATAAATTTCATCAGATCCTTTTTTCCGTCCGTAATCATAGGAGTCTAAGTTTCCAGCTGGTTCCTCTTCAGCAATGCTTTCCAGGTTTGCAGAGTTTAGCTTTTCTACATCCGTTTCCCCCTGCTCCGATTGCAGCCGGTCTCTCAGCAAATTCATACCCCCCTCGGAAGGGCCTGGAAAAGAGGTAGGCCTTGGCGTCGAATCCGATAGCAAATTTGGAAGACTACAACTACGTTGGTCAACCCGAAGGTGACCGTTACCGGCCAGTAGTGGTAAAGCTGCATGAGCAGCGCGTAAAATGCCTCTGTCCAATCGAACACTCTCAGCGAACTCATCAATTGCGCTGTCGTATGACGTAACAGAAATCACGCTCTCCTCTGGGTAACAGTGACTCGCTCGTCCCAGGCTTAGCCGCGCTGAGTACTTCATTTGGGGTTTCTTTTTTTGGCGGACTGTTGAGTGAACCATTGCAAATTATGTTTGAGACTGTAGAATTAAGTACAATGAAGGAATGAGGAGAGATTTCTGTAAGAGGTATGTAAAGAGGAATGGTAGAAAGAGGGAGAAAAATTCCAATTTCATTGTGTTGACATTCTTTACAAATCAACTTCTGAAAATTTTCAAGCACTTACAATGCTGCGCTAATCCACCTCCAAAATTTCGATAGGCTTTTACTGCTACGCCAAATATTGTTGAAGCAACTACAAGATTCATGGCTCCTGGAAAACAAAACAAAAGGTTGATGGAAATTAACGGTTGGTTCAGGCGTCAGCGTGTGCTCCTTGAAATGTGAAGAAAGCGGGAAGTTTGGGAAGAACTATAGATGCGTAAGAGTTGCACAAGGCGAAACCGAGAACAACTCAAGCTTCGTGAGTCTTGAGTTGATGCATGATGGTGGAATGCTTATCGTTAGATTCTAGCGGCATCCACGGCTGACGCATGGACCAATTGCTTCATTACTTTTTAATGCAGAAGTTTAAATGTTTTATAACATTACATGGAGGAAAAAAATACTTAAATGCTGATTGGATGTGAAAGAAGGCTGTAGTGGATTGCTTAAGTCGAAGGCCGAAGCTGATAACCCTTATCGCGACCTTGATTGTTCTAGATATCGCACAAACCTATTCTAATAATTGTTTTATTATACAATGAACGGAAATAAAGTGGTCACGACAGGAAGTGGAATTGATAATTTATTTCTTAACGTGTAAAAATATACAATTAGCAAGCAACACAAATCGCGCGAAATTGATTACCCTTTGAAATCATGCACTGCGGTCATACATGACATGATTACCCGTGACCCTGAGTGACCTTGAAATGATTATTGTATAATCTGCAGCTAGATGACGTCCCAGGCACTAATTTCGAAAATTCACTGTACGCTTTAGACCATTCAGAAAAGAGATAGTGAGGTGAATGAATATTAACAATCCTTAAGTGCACTTCGCCTCATAAGATTATCAGTCTAAACAAATAAAGAGAAAATTTCCTCTAGAGGGTATACATACCACATAAGAGTGCAAGTAGGAATATGAGGCACGCTCGTGTAAATGAATTTGACGATACGAAATTGCAAACTGTGCCATAAAAACTATTATTCCAGTATACCATAATGATAGGATTTGAACTTGCATTCATGTATAAAACCTACCTAAGTATACAAAATGCATAAAGGCCTCGTCAGGGATGTCTTTTCCATCAATTTCAAACTCTGGACAGCCATTGCAAGTGCGAGTAACAAACCTGCAGGGATCAAGAATTACAAGCAAAGCATGAATTTTTTACCCCATCTGGCCCACTATCATTGCCTCACTAGATTACAATTTGACCTCAAGTCTGGCATGTAATTCAAATTCATTAAATGTAGTTTTGAAGAACCGCTCAACAAATAAAGAAAATTGATTCAATTTGGCAGCAGCAATTCTATCAGGTGGCTCTTTGTCCACTGTTTTCCAGATCAAAATGAAATGGGAAATTGAGAGTTGAGAGAAGAAAAAACCCTAAAAACAATGATGGGAACCAATATTAACCTCAACCACAGGCTATCTCCAGTATTCCCAGACTTTTTGGCATTTGGAGTGTTGAGTTTGTTGGTGGAGGAAAACAAGAGAACCAGATAAAAAAAAAAAACCTTGGGGCAAGAATGCGAACCAACATTATGTGATTCCAGGTTTGGGAATGAAACCCCAATCACAGTGGTGTTAAGTAAGCACTCTCATCCCTGCACCATCCACCATTCCCATACTTACCCATAAAGTTTATACAGAAAGTAACCAATCCCACCCAGTGTCCAAGTCAGGAAAAATAGCATAAGCACTCTGTTCTCATGGCGCACCTGTTAACAAAAAACAAGTTAGAGTACATCCACCTAAATATATACTTTAACAAATAATTTATGTGAGTGTCATCAACACTTGAAAAGAATGATCTTTAGGAAGAACTACAATGCAAAAAGAAAAAAAAGGTTCCCCTTCTTGTATGTGGGACAAGTGTGGGACAGAGACAAAATCTGAGTTCTTACAAGAATCGTAATCCAGACTTTCAAAGTCCATACTCTGATGCTCTACCACAGAGCTTAATCCTATGACCTAAGAGTGATTACCATCTAATTCTCCTTACAATGGGAAATGATCACCAATTAAAGAGGCTCTTGATTGATAAGCAAATTCTCCTTGTCAGCACCTTAGGAAATGTACAGAGAACAGTATGGAGAAAATGCAAACTGATGATAGGGTGTAAAGGGTTAAAGAAATGCAAAAATGTAAGAAATATGTAATCCTTCTTCTCTTGAGTGTGGAACAAAGAAAAAAAATTTGATTCCCAATAAGGAATCCTGCCAATGAACTTCAGATCCAGTGCTCTTAGATACTCTGCCACAAAATGAACTACAGAGAGTTCTATGATGAGGTAGGCTGTTACTAGATTTATATGTGATATATAACATTGCATTTCACTCACCGCGTAATAACCTATACCAGCATATATAAATGTTAATGGTATAAATATCATGCTCATAACATAGAGGATGTTATGTGAGTCACGCAATAGAACCAGACTGTGAACAATGGCAAACATTCCCTATTTAAAGGAAAAAAGAGATACATATTGAATCATTATAATGCAAGCCAAGGATCCTTTTTAATGCATTTTACAGGTAAGTTGTAGTAAATGCAAAGCAAGTGCGAGGAGATCACAAAGTGTGAGGCGTGAAAGTAGGGAGGAAGTCTGCTAAAAAAGGTAATGTCATCTTTGTCCACCTCTTCTTGATTTCTTATCAAATTCTCAGATCTAAAATTATTAGAAAGATATGGAAGTTCATGTGGAGAATTGATACCTACATCTAAGAAGTGAAAAGGTTTAGACTCACTCACCCAATACAAAACCTCCATTTTCAAAAGGCAAGATAACACTTCATAGATTTGATAAATTCCTGTTCAAACAGAAAAGCATTCATAAAATAGAGTTCAACACTAAGATAATTGAAGAGGATTAAAGAATGCAACCGACACAGAAAGACACAATTTCTCGTAAGTTGCTACTGGAACCATTGAAAAAAAGATTACAAATATTTAGCAGTGGTTGTAGAAGGTAAAGTCAGCCTGTAAGCCTCAATGGCTATCTAGCCATGATTATCTTGGTTTCCCTAACGTAATGTGAAAGGGAGTATTATTACTCTACCCTCCTCCCATAGGATGTTCATCCTAGGCAGGTTACCTCCCCCCCCCCTTTATATTTCATCATGAATTCCTTCATACACTTCTCTTGAACCAATTTACATTCCTGGGTGGAGAGAGGCACTGTGAGAGTTACCCTTTAACTCCCAGATAAAATTTTTAATTCTCCTTTCTGTCAACCATACAATTCTTATCATGTTAGTTCAGAGAATTTAGTGTTGGATCAACTAGTTATCCACAAATTGATATTTTCTTTATTCTCATCACTTATCTGGTTGATATTGTATTGACTTTGTAAGGAGAAATTTGGTCTTGGTCACTCATGGGAGTGAAAGGGTTAAGTATTTTATCTAAGAACATAACATAATGACTCCACTTGTGTATGAAGCCAAATCTCTTCCTTTTGAATCCAGCATACAAGCTATTAAGTAATTAAGTAAAATTTTTTCAGTAAAATTAGTAAAATAATTCAGTAAAAACTCTTACCTCTGAGCCTGATGTTGAAACGAACTCTCTTATAGATTTTCCATCCAAACTCCATGTACAGCTTGTATGAGAGGTATGTAAATACAACATTGAGCAACAGAAGAGCACTGGCCTGAAAAAAGGATTATTTGGAATGAAAATCCATTTTAAAAATTTGATTTAAAACAAGTTATTCCATTGATAAGAAGGTAACGTTGGTGATGATAGGCCTGCAATGCATACAGAGAAGGCCTGCTATGGGTGTAGAGGATTGTTAATCAGAGGTGTAGACACAAATTGAAATAAACTTGGAAACAAAAAAACCTGCAGACTTACATTTGCTAAAACAATTTTTGGAAGGGCATCATTTTTACTTGTTCTTAATCCATTGTATTTCTTGAATCTAACATGATATACTGAAAAAAACAAAAAAAACAAAAATAAAATAGCTATCAGATTTTGTCTTTTAGAAAAAAAGTTTTGTTTTTGAGATAGGGAATGAGAAATCTGAGGATTTGTTTGATTGAGTGCAAAACTCGAATAAAATGATTGAAAAGCAGAATATTATTGTTAAAAAACAACTTACGATGACAATAAATAAAATGAATGCTAGGGTTGTTAAAGCAGAATCTTTTTCATATCTTGCCTTTTAAAAAATTTAATTATTTCCTTAAACCCTTCAACTGCCAACATCTGATTGTTAATTCTCCCCTGTAGCTGCTACACATTTTCTTGTAAATAAGTTACAAGAATTTGGTGCTAGATCAAGTTAACTTCTGCCTGATGAGATTGAGTATTCTCATCACCTGTTAGTAGGATAATGTATGGTTGTTGTAGGGAGAAGTTACATGTTTATCACTTCAAGAAGTAAAAGGGTTCAGCCATACAAAAGGAAAAAAGGAAAAGGCCCACAACTTACACTGAATGAAGCTATAAGTAACGAAGGCAAAGTTCTGCAAGTCAAATGCTATAATTTCCATAAAGTTCTGTCTTTTGACCTGTCAAAGAAAGGAAATTATTGAACATTCTGTTAAGTAACAACTGACTACTTTTTCTCAAAGGTAACCAAACACATAACAGAAAATCCTCCAATGACTTACTGCAAATAAACACAAAAAACATGTGTACACAACTGCACCCATGTATATGGCCATATAAATCCTTCTCCCAGGTCCCATTCCAGGGTGCTGTAACACAGAAACAAAGAACAGTTAGATTTTCTTCAGTTTCATGCAAGATAAATCAGAGTTATCTGCTTACACAATGTTTCAAGGCCCTGGGGTTCAAAGGGAGAATAACATTATTCAATGGATAAAACATTATCCATCAGATAGGTGTTCACAAAACCTACTCTGGTATCCAGAGGATTAAAAGATTTATCTGGTGGATGGCATTATCCACACTTCAAACAACTGGGACCTAGGCCCTTTTCTTGAAAGTACTGGTAACTTAACAGGCCCATGAAACTGTTCTAATTTTCATTTCAGATGGGGGTTTTGAAAACAATACAAAAAACTATCAGCTAAAGAAACAAAATGGACAGGTTGAGAAGCCACAAACTGCTTCTCTTTTGTTCCAATTTTGATTTTAAAATATGGTTTTGTTCCTGTTAACCCTTTAACTCCCAAGATCTCATTAGTAATTCTCCTTACTGTCTGTCAAATGATTCTCATTATGTTAGTTTGGAGAATTTGGTATTGGATCAATTAGTAATCCCATAATTGATATTTTTCTTTATTCTCATCACTTGTCTGCTTGATATTGTAAGATATAGTAAGGAGAAGTTCTGTCTTGGTCAATCATGCGAGTTAAAGGGTTAAGTTACTGGGACTTTTGAGAAATGGGCCCCTGACCTCTAGTTCATTAACTTGGACTAAGGAGAGTTTGATATCATTTCAAAATTCCCTTTGTTTAATTCCATCCATCCTTTCAACTGAATGCTGATCTACACTTATTTGTACACACCTCAGTATTATTATATGCACTGAAGTCTCCAAGAGCTATCATCAAACCTTGAAATACCACAACAGCAATGACTACAAACAGTGCAAAAAAAAAAAAAATGAGAATGATAAATTGAAATAGATAAGTATGAATTTATCACAAGATATATATGCTCTTAAATATTATGACAAAAAAACTGAAATACCAGTGACTGACTCTGTAAAATAGTAAATATATTTTGCAATATAGACATTTTTGTCCTAAGAGATAATTAGCATGTGGCTGATCAGGGTTTTCTCTTCTTTTACCCACCCCTCCCCCAAAGTGGTTGACCTCGTACATCTCTTCCAAAATAACTTCCTTCTCTAGTCAGAGCTGCCAATTCTTGTCAAGTAAAACTCCGAAGATTAATTCCCAAACATGTTTAATTAATTCAGTACCAAAAACAAACCTCAGGACATATTTTGACACAAAATTTAATTACAAATTGCAGAAATCCACAAAATAATTGTGAATAGTATTGAAAATAGTTTGATAATTGTCACTGTACTCTAACAATAAAGTGGTGATTCAAGATTTTTTGGGAAATCTTTCCAGCCTTCATTATTTCATAGACTGTTGAAAGCTAAAAGGTTGGCTAACTTGTCATGAAATACTTATTATTACGAGTTTGTGCCAAACATAATAAATTATATTCAAAAATAACATCTCCTGATTACAGCTTCTTAATATCAAAATTGCATGAAAGATCTTCCTTTTTTCTTAATCACAGGCAATGAAAAAAAAATAGCTCTCTTTTTTCACAGAATTTTCATATAATTTCACGTAATTTGCCAAAACAAATTTTAAACTTGGTTCTCAGCATGCAATTTACCTTTTAATTTGGGAATTTTGTCCAAAGTCAATAAAATTTAGCTTACTAAACGAGCTTGGAAAAATATTAACACTTTTCATTCAAGTCTAAAATACACCTGCCTCTTGACTAGCACCAAAAAAAATTTAAATTAGGACACAGATGCAATAACAAAGCAAGTGAAACTGTTGGCAACCTAATGGTTGACTTAATCATAACATGAAACTGAAATTGCTCTGACCTAAAAATTAAGTCATCAAGAAACATCACCGTAATCGAGTTTTTTTTTTTTTCAAAGTAGATCTGCCCCTATGATCAGTGTGTTTAATTAACCACCCAACTAAGTCATTAAAAATATTAATTTCAGCTCTATGGAAATAATGTAAACATCACCTGCCCTCTTTATTGTCATATGATTTTATTCGATATTTTGCCTGGAATTAGCTCTTGTCATGGCAATTTAGAAGAAACTGAAAAATTGTCAAACTTGACCTTACACAATTTCACAATTGAACTATACAACTAATCACGGCCACTGAGGATAAATTGGCGGCTGCCCAGAAACAAATATTGTTCAGGTTACAGTTAATCAACTGAATGCGTTGAAGCAAAACCTGAAGAACAATTCTTGTGAATAAAAATTGAAAAAAAAGACAAAGAACAATCGGGTATTTTTCTCTAGCATCAATAACTTACAAAACAAGAAATTGAAATATAGCTAAACTCCAACTCGATAGTTCATCGATGTAACAGGTTCCTAAAGTTAACCATTAATCGTAATTCGTAATTCCCGACACAAATATCCATAGGCTACGTGCGACACGATGCTTCGTATTCTCTTTTTTCAACCAAGCTCAAAGTTCAATGGCTAATAAATTTTTCGTACCTCTTTAAGAAACTTCTTATAAATAACCTCCGGTGTAAGCGTTCAAGCGGTTTCCATTGATTCTTCAAGGATACCCTTTTGTTTGCTTTAAGGATCTTAGTTAAAATCATAATCGTTTGTATCATTAGAGCTTTCGATGCGACACCAGAGGAAGTGGACATTTTTCAAGTGCTTAGGGGAAAATTTTTATCAGGCGTAATCAGGTTTTCACAGTCAATCCAGTTTAAATTAGCCCCATGAGGTTAAACACGCAGCAACATCTTAGGGTCACATCAGACTCTGTTTACTGAAGTAAAGATCCTTGCGCTGTGATACATCGCAAGCGTGTACTCGTAGCAAATTTGCTTAGTTGGCGACAGACTTAAATAAGATCCCAAAAATAAAAATACAGTAGCGTAGTAAATGGACCATGGGGATGTTTTGATCTTCAGCCATCCATGTAAGCTGAAAATTTGATCAACTCGATCGAACGTCAGATTGTGAAATACAAACTTTACCTTGGAAAATGTCACAGCCGAGAAATATTTTTGAAGCTCTCGATAATCCATTTTGGCTCTGTTCCGGTGGTCTGCGAATGTTCAGTACTCTTTCCATTTCCAACAAAAAGTTTCTGTTCTACATCAAAGACCGCACAAACAGATCAGGAAGTCTCAAAGTATTGTAAAACGGCAGTTAATTAAGTATTCCATGTTGACCCAATTTCTAACAATCCGTCAGATAGCGCAATCCTCCGTCGCTTTGATCGATGCCAACGTAAAGTTTACTTCATCTCTAGAAAAAGATTTATCCGTTGTAATTTCTTATTATTAGCGGGACGTCTTCCCCCAGAACATTACAGACTTTTGTAATCATTCCATTACAGATTCGAACAAAAGGCTCCTCAATTACCCAGAACTCTTGCGAGCGCCCTCCATTTGACCGCGCGCTAGGCGCGTGCAAAATCTCTGCTTCAGGTGGCGCGGTTAGAGTGAAACTAGTGTAGGGGTAACTCAAAGTGAATGGGTATCTTAGCTTTATATATAGCTTTTACATGCTCATAGAGTGAGTGGGCGTACCATCAGTTGCTATGATCAGTTTGCCACCAATACATGAGTGAAATAATTGGAAAAAAATCAGTGAGGGAGGAACGACGTGAAAGAAAGGGCGAGACACGTTTCTCCCATCAAGGCAGTTGAGAATATGAGAAACATGGGCGGGCGTCACTTTCTAAGACCAAGCATAAACCTCTACCATAATTTCCCAATGTGTCCTCTGTGAATAATGTCATCTTGTCACACGAATAGCGAGCTCCAGGTGCGGATGCATGCTCTGAATTATATTTTATTGACAGGATCATCTAAGTAGTCTAAACATTAGAGAATTACCTTCGGGGGAGTAGGAGGTACAGAAAACGGAGGGGGGGGATTCAAACACCACCTCAATGGCCTCCAACGAGTCCCGAGCGGACAATCGCGACAGTCTCCGAAGTCCGCATGATCGTGACGAATTCCTAACGATCGTGATCTACCCGATCATCTGACGGAGTGTTTATACATAGTGGACCGATCATTATTTATCGCTCTTAGGGATCTGCAACATTCGTTCTCCCTGAAAACCATGTGATCCTCCAAAAACTCTTTCCCCCCACCCTTTTGGTGATAAATTAAGACTGGTCCCTAATCGTGTTGATCACCGACTAGCGACGATTAAGCCGATTCGGTCGATCATGAAAACCACCCAAGCTTTCAAAACACGCTATCTGGGTAAAATAGTCTTTTTCAAAGTATTCTTTAATTAAAACTCTAAAAGAATCTATGATGTGCTTTCATACACTATGAGACCTTCTGCAGCGTCTACCTTCTTCCAGTTTACTAAAAGATAGAAGTTTAACCAACTCTCTATTTTTCCTTTTCCCTGGTCTACCATCACTAATGTGTAAACGGTTCTTCTCAACAACATCTAAAACACAGTTGATCACACAAGCCACAATCCCCAGTCCAAAAAGCGCCGGGAAAGTTGCAAACACGTGAAAAAACGTGCTTGCAGCTCCGTTTTTGCCTTGCCCTGTAACACTTTCAAAAAGAACATAATCTCCAAAACCGACAGTAGAAAATGTTACAAACGAGGCGTAAAAAGCATCCACGAATGTCCAGTGTTCCTGCATCACTTGTGTGACTGCAGTGAACGAGAGATACATTGCCATTAAATTAAACGCGAGTACAGCGCGTTTAATCTCAAGGTGTTTTACTCTTTCTGTTTTAAGAACTTTAATCTCCACGTGAGTTATCACACAAGTTAGAAATGTTGAAATAAGTTCGCCCGCAGATTTTAGAGTCAGCAGACATAGTGGAATTCCAAACATACAAAAAACGATACAGAACAGTTTCCCGTATGTGGTGATAGGAGTCAGACGACCATACCCTGCAAAAATAATAATTTAAAAAAGTTATGTACGATAACAATTACACGTACCCATAATTGCTACGGCACAGGTGGCCCCCAATCATTTCTGAAAGGTCTGAAAAATGGGAGGTATCGTAAAACCATGACAGCCAAAGAAACAAAGGAATGTCTCAAGGAGCCATTAAGAACTCAAATGGCATGAAGCGCGGGAAAACGCAAGTTATTGGTCGCGGTCGACACAAAAAACCACGACAGCCAAAGAAAACAAAGGAAATGTCACAAGAGCCAATAAGAACTCAAATGGCATGAATCGCTGGAAAACGCAAGTTATTGGTCGCGGTCGACACAAAAACCACGACAGCCGAAGAAAAAAGAGGAAATGTCACAAGAGCCAATTAGAACTCAAATGGCATGATGCGCGGGAAAACGAAAGTTATTGGTCGAGGTTGGTTTAAAGTGGAGAATAACATTATCTCCGGTATTTAAAAATAGCCTCCGTTTGGTGCTAAGTTACGCTCTATTAGTTTTCCGGACATTATTTTTTCAGAGAAGCGAACAGTTGTCCAAGAGTGAAGGTATTTAAAGGATTAGTTTACTTACAATTTTTTGGAATCAAATTTCACATGAAGTCTTTGTAGTCTAGTTGAAAAGAGCTTTTCAAGCAAAGTCATTTACACTTCTAAGCTAATTTTGTCGCTGTCATTTCTTTCCTTGAGCGCTCTCCTTGTTAAAAAACTCATAGCGTGTTGGTGTTTTTTCAACGATTTTGTCAATGGAAAAACTAAAGTTTATCTCTAACAAGGCGAATAATTTAACAAGGATAAACTTGTCAAAATAGGGCGGACTGATCCTTTTTACCAGAAGCTGAGAGAAAAATAGCTTTGTCAAGGATCAGAGACTCACCAATTGTGGTCATCGCTGTGTACGTGAAATCCACAGCCCTAAAATAGGTCCAGTCCAAAGACAAACCCGTGCGAACGGCGTTATATGAGGCCATTGTAAAATACTCGAATTCTTCGTCCGAGAAGTTGTGGTGTTTCGCAAAATTCTTCCTCAGTTGGTCTAACATTCTATCTGAGGTGGTCTTGTAATTTTCTCCACGCCTCTCGATAAGAGTAAAAATTGCAGCATTTACAAATCCGAACACTAAAAACAAAAGAGCCCTCTTTAAAAAAGTACTTCCAACTGAAGACATCGCAAGGTGGTCGCTTTGATTCCCGTCACAGATACAGGGCCGAGGAATTGCTATTTCTGTGGATCAAATCCGAGAAAAAAACCTCTGATATTGGCATTACGCCCCAATAGAAACAAAGCAAGACCACAAGCAGACCCCCTTTCGGCGAAGTCCGTCGCACGAGTGAAAAAAATCAGTGAAAAAATATTAAGTTGATGTTAGGGTGCCGTGCGGAACTCCGGAACTAGTAGCCTCAAATTAATTTTTTCCAATTACTTTATTACTCACGTGACGGACTTCACCGCTGAGGAGGGCTGCCCGTCATCTGAAACAAAATGCACACTTAATGGTTTAACCATGTAAATAAATAATCCTTATTTTAATTACCTAAACAGTAATTTTTTTTGGAAGCTGTTCTGACTGTTAATGTTTTATGAAACTTTATATAAACAGCTGTTTGTGAAACTCAACCTGCGCGTGAAAAGCAAACGGAGAAATTAAAATATTTATTGCAAATTTACGGCTGCTTTATAGAACATCTTCTTAATTCAATCAGAATTTGCCACTTCTGTACAGATTATTCCAAGGAAAAATATTTTCAAAGAGGAAGATGTACATAGCTAAGCTGGTGATATTTTGCGAATGCCCTTTAGGGTGTCTTAGTTTAAATATAATTTTCTTCTCGCCCATGTCTTCAAAGACGAATGTAAGAATTTAGAAATAAACTAGCCTGCATTTGTTTAGTATGCAGTCAAAATAAACTGGAAAAAGCCAGCATTTTTTCTGGAACCGCTAAGTCAACAAGCTAATTGCCAGGGTATGCGAATTCATCATCAAGAAAGCATATTCTGCAGAACTGCGGGGAGTTGGAGAAATAAGTGCGTTTTAACGTAAATGGGAAACGCGGGCGAACGCCTTTTATGCGAGCTAAACTATGGAATGGAGGTACAGAAATTCAGGTTTAAAGATTGGAAAATCATAAGGGATTCAGCTATCTAGCTGTCGAGATTTCGCGCTTTGAAACCTGCAATTCTGACTTGTTCAGACTAAAGTCACTTGGGAACTATTATTTTGCTTTTCTCGCCGACCTTTCCGCGACTTTAAAGCCACATTTCAATGCTTAGCGCCGGTTTTATCCCTAACATTAGCTTTGCGCCCTTGATAATTGAATGTAGGATCAGTTTTATCTTCGAAAGGACAGAAATGTGATAAAACGGAATAAACACAACGAGAAAATGTAACAGGAAATTCTAATATTTACAATTCACTCGCCAAGAAAAACAGTTTTGATTCCAAATTCACTTACTTTCAAAACATAGCGTTATCAAAAAGCGTGGATTACCACATGGCCGTTCGTATATCTTCCATTTCGTTTCGTCTATCTGCTGCCAAACTCCTCGAATTGATGAAAAAACATTTCTCGTGCTGTTGAAAACAGACCAACAGTTTGGCCTAGCGAGTTATGTATAATTAATATCTTTACAATAACGACGTCACACACACTTAATTAACTCTAAAATAATTTTCCATAAGCGTCAAGGGGCATTTTTGGTGCGTTATTATTTCATAAATAGAAAGGTTTTTGTTTCAATTTTATCAATAAGGAATAGAAATCGAGAAAACAGATAAAATAAGTCGTATATTTTTTGTGTCATGTCATATTCCTCTAAAAAAGAAAAATTAAACCCACAATTTGAAGAATTTTTGTTTCCATTTGTCTTCAGTTTCGATCGTAAAAACAACTTTGCGATAACATCTAATGTGATATGCAACTTCAAAGAGCTGTTTAAAAACACTTTTTCGTGTATTTTGCCACAGAATATTGCAGTCATAATTCTCTTTTTTTATAATTTCTGGATCTCTTGCTCAACATAAGAAATACCAAGTGTCCTTATTACTAGTACACCGATTAAATTTTAAATTACACCACAATTCAGCTGCATCATTTTAATTTATTTTCCATTCTATTCATCTGTTTTTCTTAATGGCATTTGGTTAATACATTTCCGAACTATTAAATTAACAGCGCCACGTTGGTAGAAAAATCAAACACGTTGGAAGCGTGGAATCAGAAAACGCACTACGAAAGGTATCCGCATGCGTACTTCTCACTGCACGCCTAGGTTAGTTGTTTGTCTATTACAAAAAGAGAATATGAAATTTATCGGCTGCGCAGGTGTTCAATTTGCGACATTTTGAGTCGCGACACTTAGAAATGGCTGCTCCAATTTAAAACATTAGTTAAGTGAAATACATCCACAAACCCTTGAATTGAGTACTAAACATGTGTGGCAAATCGTCTTTTGTGTCCCGAATGGCGACACTGTCACTGACTTATTGACAACTTTTGCAAGCCTGTCTTTGATCAGCTTTTCAAAATAAAAAAATTACCAGCGTTTGTGTAATGTAGTTCTCGAGAGTGACATTTTCATTTTTTCTTTCTTGATTAGTTTATTTTCCCCTTTAATATTATTACTCTGAATTCGCCAATTTTCTAATCTGGTTCACTTGTGATCACATGATCCAAAGGCATGTCTCTTTCTGTGACTGGTAGGTCGTCGCAGATCTGAGAACTAAAAGCCAAACCTGGAGAAGAAAGTGGAAAATGAAAGATAAGCGGAAAGAAATACAATATCAAAATACTATGATAGCTCTTCAGGACCAAGCGCATTGATAGTGATTTCGTTATGCAAACAGTCCAAACCGAGGCGAGGTGAAAAAAATGAAGAAAAAAATAACTCTTACCGATCAAAAGGGGCTTCTTTTTGCACGTTTGAATGCACTTCATGATGTACGAGTCATAATAACCCTAACAGAACAAAATCGAAAACAGTTTACACAAATAACACTTAATAACTCAAAACAACTTATAATTTCTCGGTCAACGTTGTCAATGGTTACCTTTCCTCTGCCAAGACGGAGGCCATTCTATGAAAAAGAAATGCAATGGAAACCAAACCGTTAGCGACATTGGCATTACACTACCAAGCAGACATGGATACGCTACATAAGCTAACCCACACCTTACGTCATCTAGAATTCATTTTCTTGGAGTAATCAAAGAGGAGGGTTGGAATTCTAAGATTATTCTCAGTTAGAGGAATGACTCCTTCCTAATTACTTGGCAAAATAGTTCCTCAAAGAATTGTTTCCAAAAGAGTTCAAATTAATACGCAAAAAAATACTTTAAATTGAATATTGTTACTACAGTACGTATTATCATTATCATCATGAATATTGTTTATCATTTTTACAACAATTATGATTATTGATTCAATAATGGTATCTTCATTTCAAGTGCTAAAATCTATTTATAATGGAATGTATGATTCTATATTTTTTTACATATGTCGATAACAATAAAATTTTAAATATAAATACATTACTAATATGTTTGCTAAGGAAAATAACATAAAATATCTTTAAAAATCTGTTGACTTTGATTATTGATTGATTGTTATATTTCATTATGGTTACTAAAGTTATCTTTCACTATCTTTTTTATTGTCGTCATCATTATCATCATTTAAATTATCACCATTATCGTCCACGTCACTGTAATCTTCATTATCATTACTATCATCACTTTATCATTACTGTTATTATTATTATTATTATTATTATTGTTATTATCATTATGATCACTTGTAGTGTTTGTTCCCATATTTTGATAAATACTTTAGAAATTAGATAATCTGTATTCGTTGTCTAGCACACCCTTAACCGTGTTAAGCATGTTAAAAGTAGCACCTTGTGCGGTCGTACGGTCGTACGGTCGTACATCCAAATTTTTTCGGCTTGATGGGTTATTACTATTTTGTATAATTATGGGGCTGCGCTCTGCGAGCTCCGCTATTAGTATTCCAATAAAGCAGCTGTGTAGAGCACTTGGTCTGATTCACGCATTACTCTACAGTTGTATATCCAACCCTTAAAACAAAAAATTAGCATCATCGCTGGTATTTAAATGCAGACCTTTGTGAAACCAAGTCCTGGAACAACGATAAGATCCAGTCCCCCTGAAGAGATAGCTTCTTCTCTTTCATCATCCTCTGAACAAGAAAAGGACCATTAAAGAAATCAATCCCAAAACGAAGCGACTTTGCTCTGCTTAAACACTGGACAATATTGAAACAGTACTCCATGTCATATTAGATCAGTAAAGTTGTTACATTATCACAGATAGGTTAATTAGACTGGAGCAGTATTGGAGCAGAGCCGTATAAGTACTGAAAAGTAATATTTCACTATTGCGCATTTTACCAAATTAGGGCAACGGAACGCACAAAATATGCAACGGTATTGCTCAGTAGAACAGGGCGAAAATACGAACGGAGAGCAAAATAGGCTCACTAAATGATCCAAATTTTCTTTTTTATCGTTTTTCGGGCTTGACTTTTAAAGTAACAAACTTAAAGTGCGACAGATTATTTTTGTGGTCGTAAAGAACGCTTTAATGGTTTCTTTTGTGTTGTTTTCGTCTTTCGCGCACACCTTATACGATCGATACGATGCTAAGATAAAGTCGTAGGGGAAACTAGACGCCAAAATACTAAAAAATGTAATTCTAAAATACTACGCAACTTGCTAAATGTCCGCGCGTGTTATACGTCAAACCATCGAATAAGTTGTAAATATTAAGTACTTAAAATTCACCTGCAGGTTGTTGTATATTCCAGGAAGTAACTGGTAAGGACATCATGTCTTCCATGGAGTGAAGTTTAACCATGTCCATGTTTAGGCCAATATATCGAGGAATAAAACATTCCCTGAAAAAAATATTTAAAAAATAAAAATAAAAAAGTAGGCTGTTTATCGAATTACATAATCTCAGAGAGATGCCGTGTGATTTCATTTTGAGTATGATTTTCTTTTCCCTCCAATTTTGAAGGAAACGAAACCAATTCCCGAAAACCAAAAAGAGCGTGTTTTCAGTTAAAAAACAAGCAGGAGCCTGGGACCAACTTTCGCTGCCTTGTCTCGCGCACGCTGCGTCATTAACGGTGTTGTGACGTCAAACCATCACTACGCTCTTTTTCTCGGATCGAAGCTGTGCGGGTTTTTTTTTGTGAGAAAAAGCGCGCCACAACAATGAGGAGGATTGTGATTTTGATCGCTGCGTGAATATGACATGTTCTGATTACCAAGAGTACAAACGGAAAGAACCAGGACTAATCGCTCGTGTGGGGACGATGGTAAAAAACACGTGGAGCTTTATGGTGACAACAGTGGTTGAAGCTTGGAAAATGTGTTCTAACGGCGTTGGAACAACGGCTAAGAACATTTGGAATGCATTGAAATGGTTGATCGATTTGGCTCGTAACATTTGGAAAGGAACGTTGGAGTGGGTCGGTAGAATTTGGAAAGGATTGACGGATTGCGTCGGAGAAATCTGGAACAGACTCAAAAGGTTGGCAGAATGGATTTTTGCAACGATGATGTGGGCAGATGAATGTGTTTACCATGGAGGCTTATGGGTGGCTGAGAGGTACTGGGTCTGTGCTGAATGGTTGGCCGCATGTGCTTGGAACGGAACGGAATGGATTTGGGATCAGATTGAGTGGTTGAACGGCGTCTCAAAGGAAAATGCTTCATGGTTAACTAAGAAGGCATGGATTGGTTCAAAACAGTGGGCCGAGTGGGCATGGGGGGAAGCGAAACGGTTGATCGATTGGTCATGGAAAACGATTAAAAGGAACTGTAAACCACTTGAACCTGCGCTTGAGAACGTTTTGGAGACGTTTTCACTTTTCATCAAGTTTTACAATGAATACATTCACGGTGAGTCGAAAGCCTTGTGAGAGATATCCCTGCGGACTGTGTGAAAATCCTTGGAAATATTCCTGTATAATCGAGAGATGGCCGAATCAAGCTTAAATTTCTTTAATGTCATTTTTTTGTTTACTTTCCTAACAGACCATCTTCTCAGAATTAAAAGCCACATTATTGTCTCGACCTGGCGTGAAACTGGTTACACGATCTCTGTCGTATTGCTAAGGAACTGTGTTGTGCTGGCTGTGTACATGTTGATTTCGTGGCCTGTGAAGTCGATCTGGCGAAGATGGTGAGTAGAAGAACGAAACACCGTATCAAAAAAAATTTGACTGAGGTATTTCAACACTTTCATATATCGTTGTTGTTGGCAGCTCTTTCGAAAGACCACTTGTTCTGGCTTCTTTACGTTGACTTTTTACAAACTATTCCGAAATGTACTTTCCGATGAAAATTTTAAAAAATGCGAAAATGCAACTACCCGTCGTTTTTTGCACGTTTCAAAGGTGCAGTCGCTTACCACCGCTCTTTTAACTGAATCCTTATTTCTATCTAAACTGACCCATTCCAAAAGAGTTTTTGTCATTTTGAATAAATTTCTCTCGGGTTTGTTTCTTTACTATAATTTTTCCTAACAGGCAAGCTTATAAAGAATGGAAAGAAGCCGAAGAAGCTTCCTGGAGATTACCACCAAGACGTCAGTCTCAGTCAAACAAACGAGTCTGGGAAAATCCCAAGAAGAAAAAGCTCTACAGGAATAAGAACTCATAATTCAAGACTTCATATCTGATTGCATTTGTTATGTGTATTTCAAACTACTTTGAACATAATTTTTGGTGGAAACATGTCATTTTTAATAAAATGGATTTATTGAAACCTGAAGTTAGTCGCTGTTTGTAACTGTTTCCTTTTTTCTAATTCCTTGTCATTTTCTTTTGCAGTCCATTTTTGGCCGGACAAATATTCATTACGTCATAGACAATTAATCCCCCTTTACAAAAAAAAATCCCAACTCAGTGCTGGAAAATTGATGCAGTCGTATTTAAAACCTAAACTTAGTTTGGAATTAAACTCTTCTTTACCTGTGTAAGCAATTGCACAAAATGTTCGGCCATTCAAAGAGTTGACCGGACAAAATCTATAGTGACTGGCCTTGGTCGATTGTGAGAGGAAGTGCCAACCTAACATATCTTAAAGGTTTTACATGTCGTTAAATTTAGGCATCATACTTACTTCTTTGCCTGAAAAAGCTCCTGCAACAGAGGTAAGAGCAGAAATATAATAAATCATAACTGAGATGGTAGAGAAGTAAGAGATAATAAAATGACTCCTAAGTCTCTGACCTTCAATATTCCTTCGGTTTGAACTTCAGAAGACATGCTGAGATAGACTGAGATTCGCTTGCTTGATTTGTATTCCTCCATTCGAAGAAGCTTGCGAGATAACACAATACAGTTAATCAATGGACAAGAACAACAGCGGTGTCCACATCAGCAAAGATCTTACAAACCAAATGAACAAAGGCTCCAATTTACTTTGTTCACAATCGAAGTAGATTCCGTTAGTTTTGCTTCATCTGTCATAGCTGCAATTCTTTTCTTCAACTCGCGTCGCAGAACTTTTTTAGCCTCATTAACAGCCATTTGTGACATTCTTCTTCACCAAAAATCGTTTTCCTCTGTACTCGCTGGCTGCGCGTTTTACTCGATGGCAAATACAAGATTTTAACCAGGCGTTGCATGCGTACTAGTGTTGTCGTTCCCAGTTTCCCTAACGCAACTAACGATACTTTCGCTGGTTCGTCCTCCGTAGTTACATAAAGATGTTGCCGATAACATGATTCCTATGGATGTGAAACAGTACATATCATGGACAGCAACGATTTGCCAGTTTGGACTTCTTTCAACAGGGATGTAAGTAAATTAAAATCCTTCTGTAAATATAGGCTAAATTTCTAACACATTGGTAAATTTGCAATCAGTGGCACGCATGGAGCCGCGCATTCAACCATTTGTTCAGCGTTTTGATCTTTTCTTCAGTTCATTTTCCTTCAAATTAACTTCTTAAGACCAAAAATTAAGAAACTTAGTTGCTATTTTGCTTTTGAAAGGAGCTTTTGTTGGCTCCCTTTATTTTTTTACCCTAGCAACTCTTAAGTAAAAGGTAATGTTCGCGTAACAAAGATTATTTGTCGTCTCACCATTGGCTGATCGTATTATTAATTAAAATTAGGTCTCTCTTAATTAAGGCCTCCTGTTGTTCCTTTTTGCAATGTACGGATCGCTTCACTGAACGTGGTTTTTTTTTTTAATAAGCGAATTTTGAGATCCAATCCTTCACTTTAAAAACGAAAAAAGTATATTTTACACAGTAGGCTGAAAAAAAAAAGAAAATGTTGTGAAGCTGGAATTTTTTTTTTTCCATGGTGATTTTGTGTTAATGTTAATTTATCAACATAAAGAGTTTCAAAAGGTGATGTTTCAAGTGTTAGCCCTTCGTCAGAGAAAATGATGAGAGAGTGAATGAAGTCAGAGCAATGACCATTTGCTATCATGAAGGGCCTATGCTTGAAATGCCAGCTTTAGATACTCTTTATGGTGGCCAATTTACTTAATCAACTCAATTGATAAACCAAATTATTTTGTAATACCCTATACTGATACAACACCACACTTTACTAAGAAAGTTACCCCTGTTATTCTGATGTTTTTCTACTAGGATGGTTAGTTGGTCGTACTATTTGCACCATAACTTTGTCAAAAACCTCAAGATATAGCTCAGGGTTACTTAAGTTCATAAATTAGCTCTCAGGCTGAGGGAAGGGAACTATTTTTAGAATTTCCTTCCCCAGGAAATAAATGTATCCCTCAGTTTTTGTGTAGTGGTTTGTAAATGGTTTTAATCAAAACTATAACAAAATTCTGAAATGTGAATGGTTATCACCAGCCTAATTTTAGAACTAATAGGATATTGTATGTGTTGTGCTTGTTATTGCTTGTAAATCCCCTGAAATTGTACAATTAAATTACAGTTAACCCTTTAACTCCCAAGATTTCATTGGTAATTCTCCCTACTGTCTGCCATACAATTCATGTGATGTTAGTTTGGAGAATTTGTAATTGGATCAACCAATAATCCCCTAATTGATATTTTTCTCTACTCTCATTACTTGTCTGCTTGATATTGTACTGATAATGTAAGGAGAAATTCTTTCTTGGTCACCAGTGGGACTTAAAGGGTTAAAGATTGATCAAGTTTTACATCCTTTTTCTAGACAAGTCTGTTTGAAAATAAAACGACAAGGCAGTACAAAGAACATAACTCTTTTCCCATTCTTGTCAACATGTTTAAGGTATGTAATAAATACATTTGTGTTTAGAGCGGCCCTGACTATTTTAATTTAGACTTTTAACTCCTCAAGGCTTCTGGGATTGTTTATCACAGTGCATCTTTCCATTAGGATTAAAATGAGAAATGTATGGATAGAATAAATCTTTAACCCTTAACTCCCCAACATCAGTATGTATATTCTCCATACTGTTCTCTATACATTTCCTGAAGTGCTGACCCGGAGAATTTGTTTAAAAATCAAGAGCTTTATAAGTTGGTGATCATTTCCTTGATTCTCGTGACCTTAATGTTTGATTCAGGGGTGATATTGTATGGAGAAATTAGAAGCTGGTCACTCCTAGGGGTTAAAGGGTTAAGGAAGATGCAGAAGCCTCACAGTCAGCATGCTGAAGTATGGGTCAGGAGATCTGGGTCAGAGAATTGGTCAGGTTGTTGTGTTGTGTTCTTCAGCAAAGCACTTTAGATGCTTTATCAAACTTAGGGAAAATGCATGGCTGTAATTGAAGTTTTTCCAAAGGAAACACCTCTTGGCCACCAAAGAGAGGGGGCAAGACTCTTTGAGATTTGCTTAATTATACCCAGGTGCCAAATCTAGATGTCCCAAATCTAGATGTCCCAAATCTAGATGTCCCAAATCTAGATGTGCCAAATCTAGATGTGCCAAATCTAGATGTGCCAAATATGCCAAATCCCAAATCTAGATGTGCCAAATCTAGATGTCCCAAATCTAGATGCTCCCCTTTGTTCTAATTAGACTTATATGAAACCCTTGCATGTGGCATGCACATCTTGACTTGGATAAAAAAATTGGAAACATGATGATTTTATCAATTCACATTGTTTTACATTTTGTTTCAACTTCAGTTCCATTCTTTGGACAAAGTATGGCATCCTAGTAGATGACACCCCTATTTACACCATAGGAATACTAGGAATGATTACACAGTCTGCATATCTACTATTTTATTATATTAATACAAGAGATAAGGTAAGTAGATGATTGTAAACAGAACGCAAAGGATGGTAAAATATATTCTTGATATGGCAAAATCAAGAAAAAATTTTTTTTGTATCACTCACAGACCATGGTATTCAAAATTTGCTAAAAGCTGAATTGGAAGCCAAAACAGGAAAAGAAGAAACAAAAGTGACTTTGGCTTTAGTAATGACATTTCTCATGGCTAAGAATGAAAATCTAGAACAATAATGTAAGCCACCAGCCTGTTTCGATGTGTAAAGGCCTATGGTGTTTATATGATAAACAGAATAATACATGGTTGTTTGTAGACGTAGATTTTCTCTTATGGTGTTCAACGCAATACCTCACTTATTTGCTGTACTCACTTGTAAGATATTGAGTCAAGAAAGTCCATATCTATATATTTAAATGGCAGTTGAAATATTTTTTATTGTTATTGTGGTTGATGAAGATTATTCTAAAGCATTACAAATTATTTATACTTTATTTCCACTTCCCAATTTTTTTCACAGAAGCTGCTAATTCAGAGATTAATGTATTCATTTTTTGGAGTATGTTCACTATTGACTTATGTTAAGTACTACACTACTGACTTTGATACAGCTGTCTTCCATCTTGGATTCATTGCGAGTGGTTTCACTGTAGCAGTATATGGCTCACCTCTGGCTTCTGTGGTAAGAACTAACATACTTCTCATATGAACTTACACCATATAACATGCATATAAGCTGCACCCCCAAACATCTATTCATCCTGGACAACCATACTGGGTTTTTTTTAGTTCTGTGTTAACTCTTAAGGCAGGTCTAAGACCACTCAATAGCAAGAAACATAAGCTTATGCTTATGAACAAAAATGGCTCTTTTTGGAGCCATCAAGCTTGCAAATTAAACTAATGATCAATTCCTATTCATGTATATCTTCATGAGGCCTTTGTTAGCATGTTTAACAGACCTACAGTTTTTCATTGAATAGTGTCTATTTATTTTGTTCTCACAGATAAGCACCACCCCTGATTTGTTAGAAAAAGTTGGGCGAAAAAAGTACAGTTTACACTCCAGTGTGTTAATTTGTTACTAATATTCTTCAGTCACAGTATGGGGGAGTGTTGAAAGTCTAGGACTAGTAGTTGTGAGGCTCTGAATTACAGCCTTATTTCTCACCATAAAGTATAGTGGTTTCTCTGTAATCCTAGGTTGAACTCCCAGACAATACTTGTAACTAGCTCACTGGTTTACCTCCTGCAGTTGAGACACAGTGGCTGATGGTGAACCTGCTGGACTTCATCTTGAGGTCCAGGTTTGAGAAGTAGCCAGGTCACTGTCTTGTGTTCTTGGACTAGTATAATGTGTATCTTAATTCTGTGTTAACCTTCATTTTTTCAGGCTAATGTGATTAGACACAAGAGTACAGAATTTATGACATTTTCCATGTGTCTAGGAAACTTTGTTGTGGCTCTTCTTTGGGCAATATATGGACAACTTGTCCAAGATAATTTTATTTTGGTAAGTGAACTGTCGTTACTCAGCACAGTCCTCCATCATAATTCCCAGGGTGAAAAAAAAAAATTGACAATAGTGCATTCAAGGCAAGGTACGATGCAATGTTCTCCCAGTATGGTATCTAGTAAGGAAGAAAGCTCTACTTATTTTGGTATAGGGCATACATTTGATACTCCAGGGTGTTGATGCACACTGTAAGAGAACAGTGTCTTGAGCAAGAACAGAACACTATGATTCTAGAAAAAGTTTCCTCCCAAACTGTGAAACTGTAATTCTAACCACAAATCATCAGATAAATATCAATTCTCTTTTTTTTGTTGTTGTTTCTTTTTCAGGTGCCCAATGGTACAGGTGTTATGTTGGGCTCATTACAATTGCTCCTTTTTGTTTTCTATCCAAGCACTTCACAGAGGACAATAACATACAACATGAGTTCAAAACCTGCTAGACAAGTTTGACTTGGATTAAAGATAGAAAGATACAAATATAGAAGAAAAATATCCAAATAATGTATTAGAATTTTATTTTAAGTGAAAAACCCTACAAATGAAATATATTAATTTCAGCCTCTTGTTTAAAAAAAAGAACCCTTAAATTAAATTTAGTGAAAAGAAAAAAAAATAAAGTTATGTCGCTGAAACATTTTGTTAGTGTTACTGCTTACTTCTTGAAGCATGATTTAGTTATTATTAAATAATATGGTGATGAATGCATGAATTTTGATTGGTTCTTACTTATGATCTGTAAGAGGAAAGACGCATAGCTATCGTCGCAGTAATGACATTTTGCTTTTTTTATTAAGTGAAACAAATATGTTGTCATGAGTCTGTTCAGTAATAGATATGGTGCCACTTTTTGGTTCTTACCAAATTTTGATGTCGTCTGTGATCTTTTTTCTGAACAGACCCATGGCAACTTGATACACTACTTATGATATATTACTTACAATATATTTAACTAATAAGAAAAACAACGAAACAATGTCAAATACATCTGTGGTGTGTAGTTTTGTCTTAAGTTAATAGCTACAACTGAAAACATGAAGCACTATGGGAATTTCTTTTTGAATTCAAGTGCTGGGAGGCTGGGGGACGGGTACAACAATAGGCTGGGTGACCTGACCCCCTCCTGCCTGCGGCATAACTATAACAATAGGCTGCTGTGCAGGGACTGAAGGCGATTGCACTTGGTTTGGATTGACCTGCTGTGGCATCAATATCACGACTTGCTGTTGCCCCTGCACTTGTGCCTGTGCTTGCCCGTCCACATAACCTTGCTGAGGTATCTGAACAGTAACTGTTTGTGGACTGGTCCCAGTCCCTGTGAACATGCCTTGGCTTGATGGAGTCTGGGGTTGAGTGGTTTGAATTAATTGGGTCCCAGGTCCTGCAGGTCCAGTTGAAACTGGGGGAACTTGAACAACCACTGGTTTTGCTGACATGGTTTCACACTTTGCTCTCTGGGTTTGCTGTGACATAGTGTCTTTGTTAATTGGCTGCATGGCATGGTTTACCCTCATGTGCTCATAAACCCCTGACTTCCTTATACAGATTGCACCACAAATGCAACAATGATAGTGTGAATTAAACACTTTGGTCCCACTTGGACGGGAACAGCCAAGTTTGCATCGTAGCATTTGATAACCTGTGAAATAAACAGGGAGAAGGTTGTATACAATTATTTTGCAACAGTCCTGAGTAATGTTGCTGGGTTTGTGTTCTCTCCAACTTAACCTTCCAAAACTTCTTTTCTTTCTGTCTAATGATCGACGCTATATTGACAGATGTCTGGAATGAGGCTTACAGCTGGGTAATAATGATTTGTTAACCATGGGAGCCATATTCTATTTGGAGGCTGGCTGGAAAGAGAAAACCCCAAGATACCCATGGCTACAACCTTGCATTTAGCAGCTGACTGAAAGTAAATGTGAAGAGAATATTATAATATCAAGTTTTTGGTACACTGAAAAAAAATTATAATTTTTTAACACTTTTCTCACCTTGGTATCTCACAATGAGATCCTGCGCATGGATTTTTTTAAAGTGTTCCCTTATTCTCCCTGGTTTGTTTGGCAAACAAGTGCACAAAGGACAATGGTACAACCTGCAGTCACAGTAAGTGTTCTTACATCTCTGGATGTCTAAATTATTTTTTTCGCTTAAAACAGATGGATGACAAAAACAACTGGTAGCAGGAGATAGGTTATTGAGCAGAACCTTGAACACATGATCATCTCCTTTGGGTGCTGTTGTAGCATCAACCAACACAAGAGTATCCTGCCGAGCAGTTTTTCCTCTCTGATCATTTTGGGATGCACTAGCACTATCATCCGTAAACAATGATTTATTCATTGGGTTAATCATGAGGAGTTTTGAAGAACCTTGATCCGCTATGGACTGCGAGGTTGAAGTCTGCACCACATTGCCAGGAGTGGTAGTACATGTAATTAATTGCCCTGAAGCAGAAGAAGACTCAACTGGAGAAAGTTGAAGATTATTTTGTTCCATTCCAGAAACCCCTGTGGCAGAGCTCTCCTGAGACATCTGGACATCAGTAACCTGCAGACACTGTTCAAATTCCACTGCTTCCTCATCAGACTGTTTTTGCAAGCCAGGCTCTGTTTCTGTGCTCTGCTCCATGTCAATGTCCCCTGTTGGTTGATCAGCATATGCTGACATGTCTGTGTTTACCCCACTAATATTATGAAGATTGCCTTGGGAGCTTTCTGTTGTAATTGAAGCATCTTGATTAGTTTCCTCACCTGAAAAAAGTTACATGCTGTTAAGGTTAAACAGTTTTAAGAGATGATCTGGCTAGGAGACAAAAAAGATTTGCTGTAAATATTTTACCTTGGCTGAGCATAGCTTCCACTTGTTTCACTGTCAGCTCCTGCTGCAGTTGCTGCTGTTCATTACCAAGACCAGAGGACACTGAAGTTAACACCTGAAGGCTTGTGCTTAAATCAGCAGCAGTGGACACTACAGTTGTGACATCTGACTGGGCAACAGACTGAGTAAGTTGTAAGGTGTCAGATGGCTCATCAAGTGGAACAACTGTCAAAGTTTCACTGTCCTGAATGGACTGCACAAAGACAACCTTGAAAGAAAGAAAATACTGTTAGTGGTACACACATGTAAAACCTTCATTATTACTGTATCACTGATAGGATGCATTCAAGGTGCTTAACAATTTTAACTTCACAAGCAACCACTCCTTGCTCAAAGAAACTTGCTCAGCAATCAGGCCACCTGCCTTTAACAATGCAGCCTCAATTTTATTTTTTCTATCCCTCAAGCAATCTGTTCGAGCATTAAGGCACTAAAACAGAAAGCATTCTCAGGTTCAGAGAAAGGCATTATCTAGCAGAAAAATGCAGATAACTCATTCTACCTGTGTGCCATCAGATAATGCAACAACACTGTCTTGTTCTGAACCTTCCAGTGCTGTGATCTGTGAAGTATCTAAAGCCGTATGGTTCTCATCATCATCTTCATCCATTTCTGCATCTTCCATGGGCCCTTCTTCTGTATCATCTTTTGCATCTAATAGCTCATCAATTTCACGCATGCTGCCGACCGAATGAGCTTGAAGATGGCAGTAAAGGTGTACTTTTCTTACAAGAACTCTTCCACAAAGACAGCAATGGTAGTGTGAATTGTCAGTTATGCGGCCATTAGCTTTGGTACATCTTAATTTGCAGCGGAGCATTTGGTGTCCTGATAAAATCAACACAGAATTGATCATTTGTTCAGTTATACTTAGTTACCGGTATATTCCTGTCAAATTATGCTCTCCACAAACTACAATGAGTTGATGGTTAACGACTTACTCTCACCTTCATGCAGAACAATCTGCTTTCCCGAGTGCATCTTTTCAAAATGCCTGCGCATGCGGCCAGGTTTCTGTGGCTTATTGTTGCACAAAGGGCAATGGTATCTCTTGTTTGTCTTGGTGCAGAAATGTTCACATGCTGGATCTATGCATTTGTAGATGTCTAATGTCTGATCATTCCCCAGAACCGATATGTGTACATTTTGTTCTGTATTATGACCATCAGCAGCTTCCACCACGGCTTCTCTGGAATAGTAGCAGAACAGTACATGAATTCTAATTATAGCAAGTTTATCTGACGAAGCTGTACACAGTTTCCTTTGCAGATGTCATTTGACCACTCTCATCACATTAACTTGTATGTTAAGACCAACCAACATCTGCAAAGGGGATCATTCATTTGCAGTAACAATTCAATCTGTTGTTCATCCCCCTTCAAATTCAATGATCACAGAAATACTCTGCCTTACCCTTTTAACCCCCTGGAGCGACTAGCATCTAAATTCTCCTTACAGTATCACCCCTGAATCACATATTAAGGCCACAGGAATAAAGGAAATGATCACCAATATGAGAAGCTATTGATTGTTGAACAAATTCTCCTTGTCAGTAAAATAGAAAATGTGGGAAGAAGAGTTTGGGGAATATGAATATTGGTGGTACTGTTGGGGTGTACAGGGTTAAATTCAACACATGGCTTTCTCTTCCTTCCTCTCAAGTAACATAAGCATGATAAAGTCAGTTCTCTCTATGACAAAAAACTTTGAGTACAAAGTGTCTGTCCTGGAATCATCTTTGTCTTTTAGTGGCAGGAATCAACTGTAATTCTATTTTTGGGAAGGTTTAGTCTTGCAGGTGAGGTATTTGGCTTGATGCCCCTTCTATGGCTCTTACACTTGCACACTGGACACAAAAATACATGCCATCATTGTTTACATAATCACAGACAGATAACAACATAAATATTTGTCATGAACAACGATAATTTGAAGTTAGATCAAGACAATTTCCTCATTATATTATTCCTTTTTTAGTTGTAAGAACTTGTTGGCTTGAAAGCAAAATCAAATTGTAACAAGACAGTATTAGACTAGCACCTTTGGGAGAAAAACGACTCAAAAAATTGAAGACAAACAACAGTTTAGAATTCCATTATTTTAGTAAAACAAAGTAATTGAAGCATCCAAAAGTATACAACTAGTAATGATCTGAAGGCAGCTCACTTTCATTTCTTTATTTTTTATGTCATTTATACCTAATGCACATTGATTCCTACTCTGGAAATATTTATATCAAGGCAGTACAAAACAATGTTTTTAATTTCTCATAAACAAATGTTACTGTACATATTGATTGCAGAAAGAGACAAGAAATGGACTCTTCTGAAAATTTTTGGCTTTTAAAAAATCTAACTAGTAAGAGGAAAAAACTAAATTGTGAAATTATTCAAATGGAATTGAATTTTGCATCTAATCAAACTGTACTCCTTTAGCTGGTTTTAATCTGTAGAAGAAAGGAAAGAGAAAAAATGAATTCAGCTCTCTTTCTTGTAAAGATGAATGGTTTGCTTTTCCAAAATTTTCATGTCCAACCTGCAAGTGTTCATTCTCCAAAATTTCTTGGCCACTTTTATTTTATTGATTTTTAAAAATTTTTTGGGGTAAAAATAACCACACTCTATAGACTAGCATGTTGTTCAGATAGAGTTAGAGGTATTCTTTGTTAAATTTTCTTTTTGCACAAATTATAAATAAAAAGTTGTGTTGACCAAAAAGTATAATTATACCAAACTTTAACTGCCATATATTTGGGATTAACAATTACAAGGAAACAGGTGTTCTTTTCTTGTCTTCTATCTTAACCCTTAAGCCCCAAAATATATATATAAATAATTACAATTTGAAATGACTAAAATGAAACACGCATGATTCCCTGTAACTCTGAGTTTTGTGCTTACGCACTCATCAGACAGATTTATTAAATCATTAATCATTAAATCTGTCTAATGAGTGTGTAAGCACAAAACTCAGAGTTACAGGGAATCATGCTTGTTTCATTTTAGTCATTTTGAACTGTGTTTCGCTCTACACTCACATGTATTGAGCACTTTCCAACAGCATTTGCTACAATTTCCCACAATTATGTATTCTCTATACCCCTCTCTATACATTTCATACGGTAATGAAAAGGAGAATTTTTTGAACAATGGAGAGCTTCTTTAGTGGGTGGTTATTTCCAGTACCCTTTTAACTTCAGTGTTTGATTCAGTAGTGAATGTATAGAGAAACTGGGCACCAGTCACTCTCAGGGGTTAAAGGGCAAACAGTTCAACATTTTCCTTGGCCCTTGACCAAGAAAAGAGTGGAGAAACATAGTAGCTGATCGATACAATTGCCTTTCTTAAATAATAAAATAAATGTGCAGTGAGTAAGGACTACAACAAATGACTTTTGATGCCACATCAAGTTCTCCAAATTGTGTTTCACAAGGGATTTTGAGACGAATTAGAAGAAGAATCTAACAGTCCATCAGGGCTCCATGAGGGCTTTTTTCCAAGCAGCCCCTCCAACAAAAAGGGTTTTTCGAGTCATGACTTTTAATTTGCAGATTAATAATCAATTATCTACATAATGTTATTAATAAAAATAGTTCTATATAATACTTACTTTCTGCTTCCTGGGTTAATAAGACTGCGACCTTGTTTTCTCTTAACTGGGACTGCTTGGGTTGTCTTTTTAGCAGGAATATCTAAAGGTGTTAATAATAAAATGAATAACTAACTGGTAATTCAGGAAAGTGTGTCTTTTTTTTTTTAATGAATCCTTTTACCGCCATGCTTCCTAACCCTACACACCTTAACATAAGTATGTAAATCCTCTATTCTGTTCTCTAAACATTTCCTAGGATGCTTACATGGAGAATTTGTCTAGTGAACAAGAGCTTTTTCGCAGGTGATCAGTTCCTTTATTCTCCTGACCCTAATGTTTGATTCAGAGGTGATACGGTAAGGAGAAATTAGATTCCAGTCACTCTTAGGGGTTAAAGGGTAAATATAGAGTTAATACCATACTTACCAAATGTTGATAATTCACCAGGAGCCCCATACTATGTTAAGAAAAATAAAAAGGAGATTAGTCTGGTTAACAACACGTACCCATCAACTGAGTGGGAGGGGAGGGTGGGTATATGTCTGGCTTGTTCCTTGCTGCACACAGTCTGTATATCATGGGCCAAATATTTTCCAATCCACCAAAACCTCTAACTAACTGAGTTCAAGGTCATAGTGTAAGTTAGAGACCAGGTTTTTCTGCTCAGATTCAAGGGCAATGAATCAGGCCCAGTTGTTTGAAGGCCAATTAGCAATTACCAAAGGTTAAATTTTAAACTAGGTTTCTTTACTTCTCTATTTAAGAGCCTTTTGGGGATAATTTTCCCTATTCTTTTAGGAATTGGGAAAATTATCAAATTGTAGATAAAAATAATTCAACTGAATTTTCTTTTAAAGCTTTCAGATTTGAAATCAAATTTCATGCTATCCCTGGGTTATCCTGACCCATCTTTGAACGACCCTGCCCAGAGGGTAAAAGGTGAGGTTCCACAACTTACAGTATGAACCTGGAGATTAGTGCAATATCTCTGGCAGGAGGGAGAAGATATAGATGAATACCTTTTGAGTCTTTAGTCTTTCCAGTGAATCAGAAGATACTGAAAAAAAAAAAAAAAAAAGAAAAATTATAGTAAATGTATCAGTATGATTAAATATAATGAATGATACTCATAGATATGTTATGAAAAAAGAATTAGGAATTACTTTTTTCAGTTCTGTAGCATTCCAAATCCTCTTAAGTCAATTATGCATAAGCTGTGCCTCATTTAGTAATAAATTCATTTACCTTTTAATTCTTGAGTCAGTTCAGCTACTTTATCAGCTAATTTGAAGAGAATTAGTTGCAACTCTGTCTTCTTTTCAATTGCCTTTGCCTCGCTGAGATCATAGCTCAGAGATGGAATACCCTCACCAACTGTTAGAATTACTTTGTTAGGTAACTGTGCCAAAGATATGGAGCCATTTTGAAAGCCAGACCTGGTATTACAAAAAAAGCAACATCATTTATCAGTTGTCAAAATAGTTAAAAACTAAAATGTCAATCTGGAACAGAGAGCCCAAGCATCTCCTTAAGCAATCAGAATAAGGAATCTGGCTCTTCCCCCAGATGCCATTCCAGTTACTCTCCATCATTCTATCAAGGTTCTCTCCTGAATCTGAAATGTGTTTCTTTGAATTGAGGGGTACCAATTGGTGATTAAACATTTTTTTCAGTCTCTAGATGGAAAAACCATGAAGGCAAAGGCCTCTTAACAGATTTAATGTACTAGTATATCTCTGGATGAGAGAAGTGGCCTAACCTGCTCACCTTTACCTACACTGTATCTCTCTGCCGTATATATTAAAACTGCCATTTGCTCACAGCAGGGTTAAGCAGAACTATTTGAAAGGGGCACAATATTTGACAAGAAGCAAATGAATAATGTAATTTTATAAATTTCCATTTATTTGCAAAAGGAAAAATGACATATTACCTGAGCATTGAAAAGTAAGCTTCATATTTGTCAATTTCTGCTAGCTCTCTCTGCAAACATTAAGAATTATTGGATGAGGTTGAGACTGATATCATGAATAACAAAAACCAACGTCTGAGTTATCTGCTGAACCAAATTTGAATTGTTTTATTGTAAATTTTTTAAAAAATCTGCTGAAGAAGACACATCTCTCCAATTTTGAGAACACTACCCATGTGCAAGGCTTAGAAACTAGGCAGACTTTGAACTCAACATGGTGGATGCAATAAATTGGCCACTGCAAAGAGTTCAAAAGCTGACATTTCCAGCATAAGCCCTTCATTAGAGCGATTCACAAAGGGCTAACCCTCAAAGCATCAGCTTTTAAACTCTTTACAGTGCTCTTATATGACCCTTACATGAGAATCCAGTTGCTCTAAGTCCAGTTGTGAGTGCCAGACATTGACGCCATCAGTAGCACTAAGTAAACATAAAAACAACAACAATAACAGCTGTTATTATGTACTCTTTCAAACAACTAAAAAGTATTTAATCAGGTTTTTCTCTGATATTTCATTGCTTTATCAATACAGTCATGCACCATCTGATTATAATCTCCTTATCAGCCCAAAAGAATTGGAATCATGCAGTTTGTCATTACATGGTGCAAAAACGAAACACCTTGCAGAGGAGCCTAATTGCATCATGGATGGTAATTTCATTAAAAAAATATTTAATTAATGTTTTGGATGTTCTAGTCTGTAATATCATCTCCTAGCTAGATACATTTGGTAGGATGTGATCATGGAGCAAAGCCCGCGCCCATCTATGCAAAGGTGCAGTGAAAAATGATAATAATGATAATGGTGAAATGATAATGGTGATGGCGTTGATGGCAAAGACGACGAAACATGAATTTTTTTAACCTCAATTCTTCCCTCTGCCCTCTAAATTCTGGTTAAGATAAAGATGCATATGACAATAATGTTGATGATGATGAGAATGATGATGATGATCAAATAAAAATGACGATAAAATCTCACAATTTTTACTTTCCAATCCCATACATCTGCATGCAGTTTAAAGGGGAAAATGGGATCAAATTTTTATCCCAGATTCTAAACCTCCAGGAAAGTGAAATTTGAAATTTTGGCACGAATCCGGCAGATCAGGACTAGAGTGTCTTGGAGTTCTTTGCTTACGGAAGATAAAATAAAATCGAAAATGAACGTTTTTCCTCCTCAGCGTCTAGGATTTTGCAAACGAAATAATCTATGAATGCATAACATTACTACTTTACACTTCACAGACATGGAATTTTATAAATCAATCCAGCCTAGTGATAAAAAAAAGAAATTTTGTCTATCACTAAGTTCTCCTAGCTAAATTGCGCATAAAAGATAAATCGCAGAATAGACAGCGAAACGTACTTCAAAATCCAGGTAGAACTGTCTTCAGGTAGCCGTGTCCACACAAGAAATCTCGTAGGTCCACAACTGGCAGTAGCGTGAAGCGCCTCCACTTTATTTGTCCTCATCAAAGAGGCCAAATCAATGGACCCTCCTGATGCATTCGCCATAATGGCTACTTTTCCGTGCACTAGCGTGTTCGGACACCCTCGGGGTGGACCTTACACGAAAAGGACCGCAAGGGGCTCAAACTGCCTTTGTCGTTAACTTTGTTGAATTCGCTCGTTTTACTTCACTAGATTAAAAATGCGCGTATTTTGACAAAAATATACATGGCTGTGACCCTTTTGTCTGGTAAAGCTACCAAAACGATAAGGGAAAGATAATTTCACGATCATAAATTGCCGTACGTCACTCGGACAACTCCGGCTATCGTCGGGTTGTTTCTACGCTAGGAATGCTGGGATAGCTTCCTCGCGGTCCCGCCATCTGCAGAGTCGAAAACTGTGTGGAAGATTGTAGCGAATTTTTACAATAGAAATCATCTTTAAGCGATCATGAGTGATCTTGATGATAGAGATGGTTCCGAAGAAAAGGTAAGTAGAGTGTTAGCTTGGTTGAGTGCGTAAGTCACAAACAAGTTTTTAGGGTAGTTTGAATGGCTCGTTAAATTTCGTCGCTCGTGTTGTTTGAATGAACTGCATTTTTCCTAATTCTGCATGTGTTTGCTTAAATCCACTGCAGTAGCATACTCTATGAACATTTATTTTGAGTGTGCCCTCGATTCAATTTAATTTGACTCTGTGCTAGTATGTTTCTGTAGCTTGCCTGTATGGGAACTTACAAATAAATCCTCGTGGACTTTTAGCCATGTGTGAAGCTTAGTACATTGGGAACTTTGATGGGTAGAACACGATTTGCATTACTTCAGCTCCGTCAGCCCTTTACACCCTAAAATCAATAAGCATATTCTCCTTACTATTATCTAAACATTTCCTATGGTACCAACAGGAAGAATTTGTTTGACTATCAAGAGCTTCTTTATTCAGCAGTTATTTCCCATTTTCTCAGTGTTTGATTCAGGGGTAATTCTAACTGTAACAATTAATTTGATGTGAGATACTCCTTGGGTTTAAAAGTTAAGGGAAGGTCAGGCTTTATTTTTTTTGTTTAGTCTTTTCATTGTGCTTGGCAGTGAGTGGTCTTCAACAGCTGAACATTGTTCAAAATATGGCAATGTTCAATTGGTCAACCTCATTAACTGGAGCATATAAACAATGAGCAGCTGACAATATTGCAACATTTTATGGAAGAGATAAGGGATCATGTATTATTACTTGAGTATTGAATGAGAATGAAAAACCAGGGCTGTTCTTTATCATTCTATAGTTATGTTATGATTATATTTTGAAAGTTGTGTTGTGTTCAACAGGATGTAAGTGACAGAGATGACGAGCAAGGTGCTGACTACAATGGTGCAGGCTCAAGATCAGCTTCACGCTCCAGATCTCGCTCCAAGTCTCGTTCAAGATCTCGTTCAAGATCCCGCTCAGCATCTCGGTCTCGATCAAGATCACGTTCTGGGTCACGTTACTCAAGAGATCGATCAAGGTCACGAAGTAGGAGCCGTTCACGTCGTAGACGCCGCTCGCCTTCCCGCAGCAGGTCAAGGTCCCGTTCACACACTAGGAAAAGGAGAAAGTCCAGATCTCACTCTCGCAGCCCCTATCACTACAGACACAAAAGGTAACTGGTGCAGTACATCGTAATTTCAGAAAAGTAACTTGCTCTTCCAGAAGCAGCTATTTTGTCAAGGAAGCTATCAGAAGATGTTGTAAGAAAATGGGCCAAGGAGACATTGATATGAGTTTCATTCAGAGGTAGATTTATGGTGGTCAAGTTTGACTTAGAATTTGGTTCAGCCTTGCTCTCAAAGAATTCCCATATCTCTTTTCTTTTTTTAGGTTTTTCTTTATGAGATAAATGTTGGCAAATATGTAAAAAGTGCCTTTGAGCACAGATTTTTCTCATATTTGTAACAATACATGTACATCTTCTCTTTTAAAATCTAGATCAAGGAGTGTTTCACCTCTCTCTTCAAGGAAGCGTCATGTTGGAAGCCGGGTAAACTAATTTTCAAATTTTTTTCTGAGAGAAGTTTTGCTTTTTATTGTTGAGTTCTTAGTGGGATGGCTTAAGGATTTTTCAGTGTGGGTCCTGGTGCCATCCTATTTGTGTGAATTGGGGACCCAAACATTTTTCCACAGGGCAGGAAGGGAAGGGGTTTTATACTCTGTGTGACTTTCTCCTTGAATAAACTGGTTTTGGTGCTATGAATAAGAGAGACCTAGCAGAAAATTCCATCTCCCAGTCACTGTCTTAGGAAATGTATGTAGAACAGTTTGGAGGATTTACATACTGATGTTAGGGTCTTAAGGCATAAGACAGTGCTGAGCTTGTATCAACCTTAAGAACCACAATGATGTATTCATTTTCAACAGTTTAATTACATTAATGTCATGAACATTAAAAAAAGAAAACTGTTAACCTTTTTGAAGCAAATGTACTGAATTATTAAAGGAACACAGTACACATTATGAATTTGGTTATATTTCTTCCTTAATGTGTTTGCATAACATGCATAATTTCTGTGCTAATGCAATTTCTGGCTTATCATTTGTTTGCTTTTGTTAGGATAACCCAGAAGCCAGTAACTGTCTTGGAATTTTTGGATTAAGCTTGTACACTACTGAAAGAGATTTGCGACAGTACTTTGAGAAGTATGGCAGTGTTGAGAGTATCCAGATTGTTTATGATCGTCAGGTAGGAAACTTTGATCTGTGTCAAATATAGAGCAGGGTTGTCATGAGGAGGCATCAGGCAGCAGGAGCCTGCAGGCTGTTACACCATCTTAAAAAAAAAAAAAGACAAGAAGAGTAAAGTGAGTCCAAAAAAAAACAAGACAAAACAGATGTAGACTGTTGTAACTTTTGTTGGATGTCCACAAGACTGAAGAAAGGTTTTCTTACACACATTATTACAAATCTCTGCTGCTTTTTTTAATTTCCACAGACTGGGAGGTCAAGAGGCTTTGGATTTGTCTACTATGAAAGTAGTGATGATGCAAGAGAGGTTAGTTACTTAACTGTGACAATTTCTTTGAAGTCACAGGGGATTCTTGCAATCTGATTACCTTTTTAACAGTATAGTTAATTACTGAATCACGCTTTTTTTGAGCTAAACTGCAATTTATTTTCTGTAGTGGTGGTGCATGAAGGATCTTATTGCTAATCGCTAATACTCCAAAACAGTTCAACAGCTTACCAAGATGACTCCTTATGGATGTGCTCACTTTTTTTGCACCCCCAGGCAAAGCAGTGTACCAATGGTTTAGAAATTGACAGTCGGCGCATTCGTGTCGACTACTCCATTACTAAAAGAGCCCACACACCCACTCCAGGAGTTTATATGGGGAAAGCAACACAGTGAGTCTAATTTGTTCATATTTCACCAATTTCACCCAGTAGTACATTTATAAAAAATTGTAACAAATGTGTCAATGTACCATAGACAGTTTATTGAGAGATTATAAGCCGGTAAAGAAATAATGATCAAATCCTTCTCTTGTGCTCTTCATGGTTTTTTGTTTTGTTTTTGTGTTTTTATTGGGGGAGTGGGTGGGTGCTTATTTGATGCTGGGTGCTTACTGGTAATCAAACAAAAACAGTAAGCCCCCCCCTCTAAGAAGTCCACTCATTCCACCATGTGTTAAGTCCCCTTTTTGGAAATTCTATAAATTAAGAGGAGGTGCACCTCTGAGGGTGTATCACAGCATTTCCAGTAACTTCTCTTCACCAGCTTCATACTTACATATTCCCTAATTTTTTTTCAAGGCACCGAAACTATCGTAAGAGTAACTATGATGACTACCCTCGGGACAGGGAATATTATTCAAGGGACAGTCATCGTCATAGAGATTACTATGGTAGTGGTGGTGGATATCGCTCCCGCTCTAACTCACCAAGGGGTAAGTTTTGGTAATAAATTTCTTCGGTGGCATTACTCCCATGTCCTGTCCACTTTGGAAATAACAGTATTTTAATAGAAAACATATCGTGATACCAAGACAAAGAAGCTAGAGTGATTATATCTGCACACTGCACAGTTTTGTGCTTAGATGTACATGTTTGTGATGATAAGTGATGGCAATATCTTGACACTTTGAGACACAAGAATTATCTTTGAATAAAAAAAAATGACTGTTGACCAGGTGAGACAGACATTTCAGGTATTTTATGGTGTTAATAAGGCATCATAGGTTGGAGAATTATCTCCCCCTACAGTAATGATATATACATTATCAAGAAGAGTAATGAGAAGACAAAAAGCTAGTGTGTAAGTTTGAATGATTTAATATAAAATTCTCGCGGCACAATTTACACTGAATGTATGGATGACAGTATGGAGAATTTATAAATTAATCTTGGGAGCAACATGGTGAGAGTCTTCAGCTGGAACAGGCCAATGTCTAATTTGCTTAGAATTTAATCTGACTGAAAGTTTTATGCTCCACAGGTCGTTACTGAATCGAGTGATGCAAGCTGAGTGACATTGTGTTGACAAAGCCTGTATGCTGGCAGGCTATAACTCTATCTAACGCGATATTATATACAACTTAGGCAGGGATGATGTTCTGAAGACCAGACAATTTATGTAGGATATATCGAGGATATGTGTCATCACTTTTAGATACCATTGGCCAGTAACACGAGCTGGGTTGATTAGAGGTTGATAGTCAGGAATTGAATAAGCATCGAGTGATTGTAGCACCCGAAAATATTGTTTTACATACTGTCCTTGTGCACTACACTAAAAGCACGTCGAGCAACTGTGAGTTAAATCTTTGTAGGAATTTGTTTTTAAGTTTTTTTGTTTTGCCTTTTTTAACTCTGTCAATCAAACTGTTTAGTGACGCAAGTACTGGAAGAGGACACAAGTTTGAAGTGATTCTTGGTTCAAGTTTGCTATCGCTCATGTAATTCTGATATCCAGAAGATTGCATCATTGTTAACATGTGAGATCAGTAGTACAACGAACTTATTTTATTCTCTCATTTTTAAGGCGCTTTCCGAACGCATTTAAGACGCGCTGCACATTCATCGAACCCTGCGAAGGCGCGTTCCAAACGCAATCTGAAAATGACATTTGATAGTTTAGCTTAATCAGCACTCTGATTTAGATGGACCCTGCAATTTAGCATTTTGTTGGTTTCATTAACCGAAGTCACCGAAATTTCACCAGAGCATCTTGGTATTGTAAATATGTCAGTGCTCTTCACGTGTGAGTGACTAAGATGTGCCACTTTTTGGGTTGACTTTCTAAGGCGTGTTTCACGCAGTATTTTAGTCAGTTTTTAGCGAAATAAAGTGCAATATTTAGTTCGCTTGTCGATGTTAACTTAGTTCTGTTTTGCGACAGGGTAGAAACAAGCATGAAAAATGAAGATTTCGAAGAGCGAAGACTCCTATCGCGAAATTTGCAAGTAGTGCAAGACAGAAGAATTATCGAAGATTGAAGCGAATAAATTCAGTTAGAAAAGATGGGAGAAAATGAAGATGAAAAGGGAAGATCGGGGAAAAGAAGGGAAAAGAAAGCGAAGATCGATTCGCAGAGAGAATGAAGTAAGAAAGAGGGGAAGTTTTGAAGAAAGAAGCCAGGTTGTGTAAAGAGAAAGAAAGAAAAATTTGTGAAGAAAATGAAGTTGAAGAAGAAATGAAGACAGGAAGAAACTTCCTGAAAAACGCCTCAAAGAAACCGAAAATTGACCAAACGTTCGAGAAGTAAAATGAAGATTTTCTGTTGAAAGAAAAATACAAAATACAGGCGAATCACGAGAGCCAGCGATTTGAAGAATGACTGAAGAGAGAATTTGATTTCTTGCAGGTAAGGAGCAAAATTCAACGCTTTCAATTTTGCTGAAATTATATTCTTGAATGAAAAAAAAGCACCGGGAGAGTTTAATTTTTTATCTTTGAAGAAATTTCCGATTTTGGACTTCGAGCGAAAAGGACCGGTTTTTTGGAAACGAACTTTCCTCATCTTTCGAAATAATTATTCGGTTCCAGCAAGCAACGTCCTTTCCTAACACTAATTTTTTGTACCGTCTTCATGGGTTGATTACAGTTGAAAAATTCGACGCTGTTGTATTTTAGGGTTTGTTTGTAGGGTGGTTAAGTATGAATACATTTACTTGTCTTCTGTGCAGCCATGGGTTGGTATTGTCACGCGAGTGGGTTGCGTGACAATACCAAATCAACAGCTGCGTGTAATGCCTCGTGTATGCGTAGTTTGAATTACAGATATCTTTTTTACTCACGCTAAGGAGGGACTGGAAGTGTCTGAAAATTTGGTTACGTAAGGCTTCCCGCGATGTCAGTGGTCATGCTTTTAACTACGCCGTGATCTTGGTCTTGATGATTGAAGATTGTTGCATGACTACAATCTACAAATTGTTTGTGCGCATGGAATACCACTGTTAAGTTGAGTTAACTTCATAACTATAACTTATTATGAATAAAAATACGTGGAAAGCAAAGGGCCTGTATTTGTCTTATTTTGCCGACTTCACTCAAAACTTTCTGGAAAGCGGGATTTCAGGCGCGTTATTTGCGGGTTCATGCGTGCTATTCAAGCGGGGTTCACGTGCCGATTCCGGCGTGATCTACCGGGGACCGGCGCGATTCTGGGTGATAATTGGCTTATCCTTGGAGGGATTTCCGATTGGCAATTACAGAGGAAATGCCTCGAAATCACGATAGCGACAGCTTGAGCAACACTGCGTTGCCCAATGGGTTTCTTTTACTGCCTGGACACCTGCATCGACTGCATCAGGCAATATGATCGTAGATCTAGGTAACCTCGGGGATCATCCAATATTTTCACCAGGGTTCGGATTTGCTGAAGAAATGTCCTCGTTCTGGCGAAAGACGCATACACACGTCGACTTTGAAGCTTTTTACGATGGCCAATTTGCGTTATCAACCCACTTAGTAGTGCCAAATTATCTTGTTATACCCCTCACCGACGCAGCACCAAAGTGTCTTTAGGAACTTAACCCCTTTATTCGTCTGGCAAAAGAGAGGCTCATTATCCGTCGGACCGATGCAACCCCTGCCTAAGCACATCACCGTTTCATGTCCCTCACAACAGTCACTAAATTTACCACTAGATCAATAGAGGACAACTTCGTGAAAGCATACCCACTGCTACTAATATTTGCAATTACTTCATTTCGTGCTAAATTCAGCAAGAACTTAATTGTGTTTTCCTGTCGTGATTTGGCAGTGGGGTAGGGAGGTTCAGGGGAGAGTGCAGATCCTCATCGGACCGAAACCAGAGTTCTTCAGATGACAGAATCGCTTATCAATACTCGACTAGAAGTATTTAATTAACTCGCTTTAAAATATTTCTTAGCTCATTTACGCATTGGTGTTAACAAAATGGTACGTTTTAGGAATCAAAGTATAGACCCCTCCCTCGACCTCCCCTATAAAACATTTCTTGTTCCGCGCATGACGGGAACCGAATTTTGCGCGAATGCATTTGTACCAAGTGTCTCGTCTACAACATATTAGAAGGTGAATATTTGGCGGTTCACATTCTTACATGAAGCCTCAAATATCTCAGAACGCTGTTGGTTGTTGCTCCAATGGCGTACTTCGATTTGTTTGTTAAGTCTCGAAGGGATTTACGCCGTCCACAGTTCCCTCTTTTGCATCTCCTCATGAGTTCCTATGCTTTAGCAAACTCGTGTCCCCGCAGACCACGCTCAACACGCCAGCTTCTTTTCATTCCAGTCGAGGATATTCTCAGGGAAAGTCAACGATTGTGTTTTAAATGTAATTAATTGAATTCTGGACTGGACTGCAATGTGCTGGGTTCAGTTGTTCGAAGGCCGATTAGCGCCAACCCATGGTTAAATTTAATTCTGGGTTTCTTTATTTCTTTGTTCAAAAACCTCTATAAGATAATTTTTTTCTACTCCTTTTAGAGCATCTAGTTATCAGATTGCAGACAAAAAATTGTACTGAATTTTCTTTTGGCTTTCAGATCAGAAATAAGGTTTCACAATAACCTTGGGTTATCTTAACCAGACTACAAACAACTCGGCCCTGGTTGCTAAATTACAAGAGCGCAAATTTGGCCGGAGCGCACGCATTTGTTTGCAATCACTCTGAAAGCGCGTTCGGTTGTAAAACTTTTGAATACTTCCTCCCGTTGTTGAAACTGTCCTTTCAAGTTACGACCCCTTGAGTCTTTATCTACAAATTTTACATCAACCTCATCTTTCTCAATGAGTTGATTACAATTGCAACCCTCGAATTCCTTTTGTAGACCAAAACGAGAGTTCTCTGTTGATTGTTTTAACGAAATTAACGGTATAACATACGTTAAGTTACAAACGCGCGCTTAAATGCGCCAAAATTGACGAGAGCTAGGAAATTGAATCACGGATGACGCACGAAAACACTGTTCCTATAACTGGCAACTTCAACGTTTTAAACAAACGGCTGTTACGTTAGTCATAAATATAAAGATGGCAGACACACGTAGGAGAGGTGGGTGAAGCTAAAAAGACAAGATCTGAAGATGCTTTTAATGTGCAAACTTTTAACCATCATTTTTCTCGATTAATGGTGAGTGGATCCGATTATATTCAAATCCATGACACACCAGTTTTGCATTTCGTTTTTTTCTTCTTCCGACAGCATCAGAAACAGCATAGCCGTCAATTCCTTCTGCTTTGAATCTCGTCCACAATTTGTACCACGTATCATTTATACAACTTGCAATGCCGTTGTAACAAATCACACTTCCTAAAGATATATGATACTGAAACAATTCATTTATTCTTGCTAGTTTTTCAGTTTCCTCAGTTGGACATTAGTTCTCATATTTTGTAGTCTGAAGAAAGCCTTGCCCTGTATCCCTTTACTCTGTTTAAAAAGACTTTCAGGAGCTCAGAATCGCGGGGAAACCAAGCCACCATCCACAAAGGAGAGGAAACGAAGGAAATCGAAACGGAGCAGAAAAAACAGCGTTGTAAGTACAACGAATGGGTACAACTCTTCAGTGGGAGGAGGGATCAGAAGAAGGATCAGCAGATAGAGGATCTAACACCGCATTAGGCTTACAATGTTGACTCGAATAAGCGCTGCAGCGCTTATGTTTATTTTACGCACCCGAAATGCAGAGCTATTCGAGGGTGGCATTTATCTGGTGCTGCACTTATTCAAAAATGAAAGGCGATAATGAAATGTTTTTCTTGAAATTTAACGGTACATTTCCTTCTGTGCGGAATTTGTGCTAAAACTGAACGAGGCATCTTTTGACTGTCACCATTCGTCTCCTCCGGCACTTTTCAGTTGCCTTATCAGAAGTGTCGTAACTCAACTTTGATCACACTGACCCATTCTTAATATGAGTCTACGAGCTCCAGCGTGGGAGTGCGCATACCCTTCGCACAAAATGATTAGCACCTGGTTCCCTCGAGAAATCCAAATGCGCACGAAGCATTGCAGCGCAGCTGGTGAAAGAATTCTTCTGCGCCTATTAACTTTTTCCCAGTGCAGCGCTTATTCAAGGGAGGTGCTTATTCGAGTAAATACATATATCTCATGAAACGTTTTGGTGTGTAGTATCGCTGAGTATGTTTACGAGTTGTGCCGTATTTTGACGAGCCCGCAAGGCTAAAACAAGAAGAAATACTCAGCGATTTCTCACACCAAAACGTCTAATAACTGCTTTACTTAATGCGCATTTCTCATGGGACGGTGAAAGTGAAGCAGATATATAGAGAGGCATAGAACGCGACCAGTCAAACATGTTTTTTTTTAAGTACAAAATAACCAACTGTCCAAGTATTGCGTGATATTTGTACTCTACCTTGTGTATTTGTACAATTTGGTATGTTGTTCAGATTCGTGAGTCTTTACAATCCTATAATGTAGGAGGGGTCACAGGCAGCGCCCGACCTCCCTACCAACGCCCTGACGTCGTGGAGCGTTTGATGTTGTAAGTTCACCCTTGCGACGATTATCAAAAACAAAAAAATGATGCTACAACGAAGGAATATTTCAATCATTTTTCCACAAGCGTGGAACAAAGACAATACTCGAATCCTCCACGAGCACTCGAACCTTTGATCTTCAGATTTCGCGCCTCGATGCTTCACCCCTGCGCGCTTCAAAGAACTCAAGCCATTATTAGGTTTATTTGTAACATTTAAGTCATTCTTTATTTCCCTTCTCTAGGACCGGTTAAACTGGGAAATGAGAGCTCGCTGTGATATCAAACTCATGTGGCAGATCTCGGTACGAATCATTTACCATCTAAAATAGAAATTTTAAATTAAAAGTGGAAATTTGTCTACGGTTACTTCGGTTTTGTTTTGCTTCTCTCAATGATTAGTCCAGAAAACGGGTGCCATCCTTCTACAAATCAGGTCTGACTGAGATGCAAGACTAAAACCATTTGCGTCTTGGTTGCTTCCGTTTTCCTGCCCTTTAGTTCAAGCAGCTTGGTTTTTTTCTACGATGAATTCTTATTGGCTCATTATGATGTCATTCTTTGTTCCGATTAGCCTGTATGATAACTTTGGGTTTGAATGTAAGAAACTCAGAAAAAACGCTTTATCATAGCTTTTTTTTTGCTTACAATTCCTACATTTGGTTTCTTTATTTCGGTCCGCATCAAACTGTTTTCCATTTATTTCATCTGTATTTATGTTCTATATTTCTATTCCAGATTGGCGAAGGACAAGATATTTGCCTGGATGAAGTCGACTATTTCTACGAAAACGATTGGTAATTTGTTGTTGGCAGATAATACAGTAACGGGAGCACTTTTTAGGATGGGCGTGGTCCAATTTTGATGTAGTTTTGATATTCTGATAGGATTTTGAATGAATGAATGAATTGAGTCGAAACGATCCTTTCATGTTTCCTATAGGACTCCTACAGAAGACGATTTTAAACTTTTTGATAAACAAAGCAATGGAGGAGGACATGGTAAGTCTTCGGGAACAAATTTTCTGCTAATTTGTTCCAAGTTTAAACAGTTCCCCAGTAAACGACAAGTCTATTTTTTGTCATCGTCTTTGATGATTTTGAAGGTCAATCAGCTTACTATCATCTAATCCGTAGCGCTTTCATGAACACAATGAAACCTGTTTTATGAAATTTATCTCTAGTTCCCATGGCTTTGCCCTCAAAAACTGAGAGAGCAAAAAGCTTTGGGAAAGGGTCTGGACACGGACGAACAAATTAAAAGTGTTTGTCTTGTACCGTATCAGGCGGACAGCTAAGTAATAAATTTGGATTCATTTTTATTGTTAGAAGTAAATTTTCTAACACTCGTTGTTTGGTAGGTTAATTCTTCTTTATTTTCTTTCTTCATAAATTGATACAACGGGGACTAGCTTCTATCTGACAGGGAAAACTAGAGTCTCCGCTTATAAAGGGGACACTGCGGATGACATTTCTAAGCCGTCAATCTTCTTGTGTCGTCATCGTACCATCTCAACTAGCGAATCACGCTTGACTACGTATTACAGTTCCCACATACTGAGTATGCACCTTCGAGTTGTTTACGCAGTTACAAAATCAATTTCTACCTTAATTTTCGTATCTTTACGGTTGAGATCGACCAGAACAGAAACGAGATCGATAATTACAAATAACCTTGGTTCAGAGCATTATTTACACCTGAAAGGGTATCTTAAGAGAAAATCACCTTTAAAGATTGTTACATAACAACATCTTAGTCAAAAGAGTTAAAGAAGAAAGGCGCTCACAAGTACCGCCCCCAAATTGCTTTTGGTTGCGAAACATGAGGGGTATCACCTGTTTACACCTTAAATTACCTCTGGGAACAAGAAGGTGTCGAACGCGACCTATTACCAGGGAGATTTACTCTTCCTAGACTAAGAAATTAACTTAATTTAGAACATGGCTTATCACGAGTTCCATGTCAACCTCACGATCACAACGAGGAAAACGTGATTAAACTCACTAGGAGAAAGTGGCCAAACTCACAAGAAGAACGTGACCAAACTCAACCTTTAAGATAAGACCACCAAGAAATAATATAATATAATATTTCCATTCCTTTTTTTTTTCGACACCAATACAAGGAAACCCTTACGATATTGTAGATTAACTATAATAATCATTTTATCATTTAACATTATATCGATTACATTAGTTCACCTCTCTCACCTAAGATTCGAAAAAGGATTGGGGCGAGGAGACGGCTATTGCTTTGAAACACATAAGTAATCCTGAATAAATAGATACCGCTCGGACTGATCTACTTGTTTCGCTAATCTCATTTCTTTATTTCACAGATTTTCCAAGTTTTCACCTACAGTCCGAAGCCATGGAGAAAAAAATGCGGGAAAGATCATTGTTTCTTTGAAGATGGCTCAATACTTTACTTGTAGCCCAAAAAAAACATTCTCTGTATAGTTCCACTGAATATGTGGATTATTACCAAAAGATTATAATCCTAATCTTTAATATCAATTAATATTTCTAAATTAGCGAAGTAATTTTGATACGGTACAGGAATTAAAGGATTTAAATCGATTAATGTAACAGTGGAATTGCCTCATCAGTCTACAAGTTTAAATGGAAAATGAGTAGATCACTAGTTTACTCAAAAAGGTACGGACTTAGAGCTAGATCATTTTTGGGATGAATAAACAAAAGGTCTTAAAATTGTAGAATCCGCGTGGATTTGTGAGCGGATAAATACCATCACTGAGTGCCACCTTAACTTCTTCCCTCTTTATCTCGAGATTCCCGGGGCGGGATTCTTGGTGCGCGAGCTATTAAATCTTTCCTTACGAACTTTACATCTCATTCAATCGATGTCAATGTATTTCGCTTTCTCACATCCATTTTGAAATCACTTGTGATCCTTGCAACCTGATTGGCTCTTACTAGTGCGAATTATTATCAAATCGCACCATTTCATGCTCTAAATCGCATCCTTTTCCTAGCCAATGAGACAGCTTCACTAAAACACTACAGCCAATCAAATTTAGAGGCTTGTTTAAAGAAATCAGTCCAATTGCAGAAAAATGAGGGACATGCAACTTTTGCATCTTTTTACAAACCAGCTCAATATACTGGATCAATAATATATTTGTGCTGAATAAAAATACTTGTGAAATTCGTGCCATGAAATTTAGTTTGAAATCATACATGTAATTTAAATTAAACTTGCGCTGTGCGCTCGTTTGATTATGAAATCATGCGTATAATTTCGGACCAAATGGCACTCCACTCAGTTCAATTATCATTATGAATTGAATGCACTGGTAATTGAATGATGACCTTCCCTCAAGCAGGACCCGGTTCGAAACTATAGAGAACGAACTTCAGTTACATGTTTTCGCATTTTCTTACTTTCTTGAAACACTGACGGCGTGATTCGTAACTCTTCATCCCAACGATGTGGGAAACAAGAAAACTAAACCCTAACTTAATATAAAACAAAATCCAAAAAGAACACCTCTCTATATCACGAAAGGAAAACACAGCGTCTCAGTGTTTCCAATTTTAGACATCAGGGTAAAATTCACACAAAATAGTGTCCGATTTTAGGCATTAGTGTCCACTTTAAGAGACAAGTGTCCGACTTTGTAGACTAGTTGTCCGATTTTAGACACTAGTATCCGATTTCGGACACTTACCGATTTGGAGTCTAGTGTCCGATTTTAAACAGCATTCAGTTTTGGACACTAGTGTTCCATTTTTAACACTGGTCTCCGCTTTTGGATACCAGTGTCTAATTTTGACACTAGTGACCAATTTGGACTAAAGTGTACGATTTTAGACACTAGTGTCTTAGGGAATGCTATAAAATATGATTTAGATGCGAATTTCGAGGAGATCTGAGAACACAAGCTAACTGCTAGGTTAAAGTGAGCGTTACTTGAAGCGTTGTGTGACCAACTTGTGTGACCAGTGTTTTTGTATTTTTATTGAAACCAGCATTTTAAAGTTTTCAAATTTTCAGTAGTGGAGGCATTTCTTATGGATATAAAGATACTAACTGAGGTAAATTAAGGTGGAAAGGATTCGAAGATAATATTATAATTTTGGCTTTTTTATCTGTAGTAATAATTTTCCTCAGTTGGTGACTCGTTTGAATTCTGATTAGTTTCCAATTCTCTCTTCACTTGCATGACGTCATCACCTCGCATTCGTTGGACTCGAAAATGGCGGCGGAATCGTCTGTATCCTAAGTAGAAAATTTTGGGTGGAAAAAAACGGGGTCAACTATCGTGGATCTTCTTGTTTAAGAACTGTTTCGTAGCTAATACAGAAGGAAGTTGTTAAGTAAGATGGCTGTCAGTCATACAGCGCTATCTTTACTTTGAAGCCACGAATCCTATACTGCTCTACCGCAATGCGGTTCGAAGTGGCTTGAAAGTGAAATATTGCGAGATCGTTCTTGGTGGAAATTTACTTATTTCCAATTCAGGTGCTCTACCTAGGAAACGGAAATGAAAGACATAGCATTCCTAGAAGGCATTTTAGCCGCTGTTACATCTCAAGATACCCAAAGAAGGCTGAAAGCGGCAGAAGACTTCTCGAATTATTTAAGTGTTCCTTCTAATGGAATTGAGTTCATTGGCTTCGACAAACTGCTCGATGGTCTCGTTGGTTGGGTAAACAGCAGCAATTTCAAGGTAAGAAATACGTTAAAGAAATTGTGTCTATGAAATCTGTTTTGCTCTTGTGCATAATAGATCGACATGAGATACAACGAGTTTCGCAAGCCTGGATTCAGACATTTGTATATTTTTTTTACACCGATCGCTCTTCGGTTGTGTCAGTATGTATATTTAACTTCTTTGTGTCCTACGTGCGCAGTAAAATTTAGCCTCGTGGCGGCAGTCTATTTTCCTGGCAACTCAGGGGTTTATTAATTAAGACTGTGGGCATCATTGCAAATTACTAAAATCGTTCTTTAATTTCAGCTTTGTTATATTGGCACCCTTTGATCAGCCTCCTGCCAATGGTTGCCGTTTACTGATTTATTACATTTCTCTCGTCCCTTTTACTCAAAATTGTCATACAAATAAATGATTACTTATATTGTAGATAAGCCTGACTGGACTGGATCTCCTTCATCAGATTGTCGATCGTCTCGGAGCAAATTTTCGAAGCCATCTCTTGCCAGGTTAGGATTATGTATTATTGCGACAAATCGCATCCACAAAGGGTAATATCTAATTTGATTTTAATATTTTACAACGCGATTACATGCTTCTCTGTCGGTTTTGTTGTCTGGAAATGGGATCTAGGCTCTTGTCAGTGTGTAAACTGTCAAGTAATCAAAAATATAACCAAAATCGGGAGAATATTTAGATTAGGAAGGTTATAAAATGTTGTATTCATTGTTTACACAAACCAAGTTTTGGGTCACTGAAGAATAGAGTCCCTCGAGAATTGGAGTTATTTACGAACAAACGCGACAAATTATTATTTGGCCAGCGCTGCATTTTGAGTAGTTTTCAATTCAGAAGCAAGCCGTTTGTGAAGAAATCTAAAAATTCAGATTAACATAAAGAGACATATCATAGGGTCATTAAATATAAATATTTTTTCGGGTGGTTAGAACTTTCGAAGACAAGCAAAACACCTGGTAGTGTATTGTTCGAGTCTCGTTTGAGATTGCTGTATTTTGCGCCAAGCTGTCGTAACTTCTGAAAGGCAATTTGTAGTAAACAGCAATCAAATGCTGTGCCAAGTGAAAGTATTACTTCTCAGTTCATAGACTGTTTATTCAATTCCTGCTGGGAGTTGTTTACTGACGCAGTGACAATTTGGTTAACTTCAAATTCACAATAGTCGGTTTATCACGTTAAAATTAAATAAAATTCCTTTTTCACTTGAATGTTGTTACAGTGTTACAACATTGTTTATGTTTATTATTCAACCCAAAATCACATGCCTATTATCTCAAAGATAACTTTCCATTTATTTAATTTTTTCTTTCTCAATCTTGGTTTTGTCAACAAAATTGCAAATGCCTTTCTTTTTCTCCTAAATTAAATTGTCCTTATGCAATCTTTCTTATTGCCCTGTTATGTGAAGTTGGGATATGTGTGTTTTATGCATGAATGTTATGTTTACTCAAGCGTTGTATAAGTGTATTTATTGCATGGATGGTCTGATAAGTGTCCTCAACTTAGTCAAAGCAATCACATGTTAATTTAGGGAAAATTAGTGTGCTTGATTAATGGATTGATTAATAGGCACATTGTAACAATATGAAAGTATTATTTGGAATTTAGTTTCAATCTGAACAACCAATTTTTTAAAATTTTTTTTTATAAGTTTTTGTTCCTATGGATGCTACTCTGTCTGGTTAAATATATTTTGTAATTTGGTTTGAATAGACAATTTTTGGTTTTTGCTTTGTTAGAAGTTAGGTTTTGGTTTTTAAGATTTTGGTTCGCCAAGGTGAGAAATTTTTACATCAAGGCATGTTTTTTTTTTTGCTTTTAAATATCATTGTACAATAGAACTTTAGCTTGTCTTCAAACCTAAACTAACCCAAGCTTGATTTTTCACAATCATACTTACAAAATTTTTGGTGAAATAATCTCATTTGACCTGAAAATTGAAATAAAAAAAAAAATGATCCTCACAGGTGATTTAAGCAATTATGGGAAAGAAGCTGTGAGTACATTTTGAAAAGTTTAAACAGTAGCAAATTCTTAATTTGAGAGTAACATTAGATTTTTGCTGCATTTATCTGCAAGTTTTATGAATTAAGACCCACAATCTTCATGCTGTTGCTGGTTTTTTCATCTTTTAAGATGTCATAAAATGTTTTATTTCAGCCTATGCCACTCTATCTAGAGTTTCAGTTTGTTATTGTATTTTAAATCATGGAGAGCTGTATTATTTAAGGGCATAACTCTTCAGTTTAATCGTTTGATAATGGGATTATCAGTGATTCTGTTATAAACAATCGTTCTTGAATTACATGAAAAGAAATGTTGAAGACGTCATTTGACCTTAAGCCAATTTGCCTTGAATTGATATCAAATTCAATTTAAAATATTTTAATCTGTCTGTTCCTCTTGAAAAAAATTTGATATGAGGTGTGCACTCTCTTCTAAAAAATGGTGCATTTTTTTTTAGAATTTGATTTCTTGGTTTGTATTTAGAGATAAAAATGCTATAACTGTGTGTGAAAATGTATTTGGTGTAAGTAGCAGGAACTAAACTTTGTTTTTGTCATAATTCCTTTCTGATCAGAAGGTTTTTTGATGATTTTTCAACAATACTTACAGTTAGATCAAGAAATTTAAGTAAAAATGTACTTACTATTTGATTTTCCTTTAGTATGTGTTGCTGTTCAAACATTTATCTGCCAGTATCTCACTCTGAAGCAGTTCATTTTGTAAAACACTGATCAAAAACAATGAAGATCTGGATGAATATTTTAATATATATGTTTTGTGCTAACTGTTACTGGAAACAGGAAGAGGATGGAAAAACAATCCTGAAAAAAATTAGAGAACTGTATGCAAAAGAAAAGGGGGCAACAAGGGCTTAGTCCGTTATTTTGACATAACAAAAATCTAATTTAACATTGTATTGAAATTTTTAAAAACTTTGAAGTCTTTAGAATATATACTTTACTTTTGAAGTTCAGCACAGAAATTGGCTGATATCATACTGTGTGTTCTCTTAAGACAGGATTAATAACATGCTTAAATCTGACTTAAGTTGATAAAACCTTTAAATGAAGCTGTCTTATTTGCAGGAGATATTTAACTGTGCATTTGAGTGAAAGGAAATGGAAAAGTCAATTTTCATGCTGTGATTAGCCTACAAATTTGTAATTTGCATAATAATGTTTCATGTTTCAACCCCTTGGAAGATATCAGGCTCAGATAAAAAGAGCCAGTTGGATCAGTTTCTTTTTGCACTTAACTGCTTGTAAATTGTATAATCAAAAGTGAAACATTCTATGGTAAGTTATTGTATTAAATCTACAGTATTTCAGATTGTTTTTCAGAATTGATGATATTCAGAGTCAATGACAGATGTTATAGTACATTCTGATTATCATTTTAAAAACTTATTCAAATAAATGTTCACCTCTTGACTTCAAAAAGAATTTCTTCAGAATGACACTTTTACCGCAGTTTTAAACTGTAGGGATTTTATCCATGTGCTGATTCTTGTGCTCTCCTTTTATTAAGAGATAAGATGTATTTGTGAAGCTTGATTTTAAAATATGTTTTCAGTCTGTGTGTTTGAAGTTTGATTTGATATTTAGTTTGGTGGGTATTAAGATCTTTCGGCAAATCATTCTCCCTTCCTTACTTACTGTAATTTTTGTCCAGAACCGGGGGAATCTTGGGATGAATATTATTTTTTTAAATTTTGAAAAAATATTTTAGGGCGTTTCCTAATTTTGCAGCTGTAGTAGTTTTATTTTGAGATAAGATAAAGTTTTTATCCTCCACTCAGTTCTTTCGTTCCACTTTATTCTGATTTCTTCTTTCCTTGTTTAGAAGTGTGTATATAAAAGAGTTTGTACACTGTGTTCTAGTGGTTACAATTTATCTGTCTTAACTCTTTCTTGTCCAATTTTGGCTATGTGGAAAAATAAGATGAACAAATCTTTATAACCTTGACACAATCTGTTTTCCTATCATATTGTATTGAGACATTTTGGATTAAAATTAAATCGGATTTAGCTAGCCCTGGAATTTTGTGTCACTGAGTGTAACATGTTATCAGAAGACTCAAGTTATATTGAAATAATACACTCCTTTCTTCTAGGCAAATGAATTATTGATCACATCTGAGCACTTTATTTGCTGTTGTAAAATGTCTTGAACAAATTTGGATAATATGAAATAAAAATAGTTGTGAAGTGAAGTGCAAACTTCAAGGTCCAAGAGGCAATATTGTGATGTTTAGTTGACTTCTGGCTGTGCAGACAAATTCCTTTAAAAACATTCACTGTCCACATAAGCAAGTTTCTCTATTGGCTATGGGATTCTAAACCTTTTTACTGATTATGGATTTGTACTTTTTCCCATTTCAGTTGTTCCTGCTATTGTGGAGAGGTTAGGTGACAGCAAGCAACAGGTGTGGACATTTCTCTCTTTATTGTGTATTGTTAATCTCTGATTGTGCATTTCAAAATCTACTGATGGAATGGTTAGAGCTCTTGTGTGTTTGAATCTGGATCAATTGACCCAAGCCTCTTGGCTGGGGTTGTTCTTTCTTGCACTTGCACCAGACATTTTTTCTCTAACACAGCCTTTTCTCATATAAAAGTACCACAGTTGACTAGCATTGGCAGAATGGCCCAGCTTTCCTTTTCTCCTTGAGTCCCAGGATCTGATTTTCAACTCTCTCTCTTTGTTAGTATATATTTTGTGGCAAATTACTCAAGAAAATTTGGTGTTAAATCAAGATGTCATCCTTTAACATTTAAACCCTTGAGAGTGATTAGTAACTAATTCTCTGGTCAGTATCACCCCTAAACAAACACATTGAGGTTATAGGGATAAAGGAAATGATCGCCAACTGAAGAAGCTCTTGATTTTTATTCTTGAGAGAAAAAATCTGATGTTTTAATTGCTGATGAGTTTCTATCAACCTATCATTGTATTGAATAGTTGGCATATTAGACATGTCATTTGATGAAAGGGTTTAGGAATTTCCTGCTATGGAAGCCAGTTTAAGTTTTTGTGATACAGAATATTTACAGCTTAATCAGTTGGTCCTAAGGACTGGTATTACTGCTTCATGTAGTTCCAGTGTTAGATCTCTACAGGTTTCTCAGATTACTGAGTAATTTATTGCCTGGCAACACTTCTGTGATGATGCAGGAACTAACATACTCACTATATATGTTATTGTCAAGGGTGCTGTGGTTCCAATGTTAGACCACCTCAGGTTACCCAGGTTACTTGGTAATCTATTGCCTGGCAACACTTCTGTGATGACGTGGGAATTTACGTACTTACTTAAGAAGTTACAGTCAAGGGTGCTGTATTGATGCAAGGGATTGAATACATTCCTTACGATATTAATTTTGTTATTGTTTATATATCTTGTGTTCCATTTTCTCTCAGGTGCGAGATTCTGCCCAAGAACTACTGCAGAAGTTTATGTACCCAGTGTCTACACCTCAGGTAAGTTCATCAAAATCTTTTCCTTTTTCTGGAGCCCAGTATACATCAAGTCTACTTTTGTCTTTCTTTTGGTAAATTGTAACTCAAGATTATTATATTTTTACATCTGTTGTAGCATGTTCTTGAACAACTCATCCCAGCATTTGGTCACAAGGCTTGGCGAGTGAGAGAAGAAGTGTTGCATTGTCTGATAACTACCTTAAATGCGTGAGTTGATCAAATTCTTTGTAAATATGGGCACAAGCTTCTCCTTTTCTTACAGTTTGTATGGTTGTTGTTCTGTAAATGTTAAATGTAATGTTTTTCTTATTTGTTTCCCTGTTATTCAATCATTTACCTGTCGAGTAAAAGAATATTTAACAAAGTCAGAGATGAGGAGAAAAACCATAGCGAACAGATTCTCGGAGCAATTTCTTGAAATGAAATAATGAGATATGTCTTTTGAACTTGTTTTTTGCTCATTTGCTTTGGTTAGGTTTGGCCCATCATCTCTCACAGTGTCAAAATTTGTTCCGCATATCTGCAAGCTTCTTGGTGATCCTAACAGCCAGGTAAGAGAAGTGAAATGTAGCTAGGTACAGTACTGCTTAAAAATTGAGTTAACAGTCAAACTATCAAGAATTGAGGATTAAGAATCAAGAATTGAAGATGGAGACACTCATAGAACTCTAAGGGGATCTTGATCTGCAGTTTCATGGAAATAGTTGAATTCTTGCCTGCAAGACAAGAGCAATGGATAAAGTGCTTGACGCATAGCTTCTCTTTTTGTTATAATAAACATGCAGGTTGCTTGCAGATAATGTAAATATTTTTATATCACATGAAACTGGAGAGCTAGGGACAGTTTTATCACTTGTTCATTTGATAATGATGCTTGGCTAGGCTGTGTCATGTTCCTCTGAAGACATAAGTTTTCCTCCAGGTTCGTGACAGTGCCATTAACAGTTTGGTTGAAATTTACCGACATGTTGGTGAGAAAGTGAGAGTTGACCTGAGCAAAAAAGGAATTCCATCATCAAGGTTAGTAGTGCTTGCATTTTTAGTTGCACAAAGGTGTTTGACTGGTCAATGTCATTGGCTGGGACATAACATGATGTTCAACAAGAAATGTCCAACAACCCCTCACTTGTTTTTTCTGATGTCAATAAAAGCTGTTAGAAAGTTGAAACCACTGGCTAGTCTGCCAACTTCAGCTGGTTACTTTGATCTCATTTTCCAATAAATGATGATAAACAATTAAACAGTAATTGAAATAATTTGAAAGAAATCTGTACTGCAGCAATTTACTTGTCTTAATTGGAATTAAAAGCACAATTTCATAGCGACAATTGGGATGTGTGCTTAGATTCCATGTTAAGAATTTTCTCAAAGGTTCATGCAAACTTTGTAGAATGATTGGGAAATTTTCACTGGATAGTTCCCAGTCTTCCTTTGATCTGAGAAAATAACATGACAGCCATGTTAGCTTGCCTGCCAACTATTTCTGATTTGCCTGCTACTTTCAAACTTATCATCAGCCCTGGATATGATGTTATCACTGCTTTTACTTGTTCAATGGTCCTTTTCCCTGAGGTGGTAAAATTTCACAACAATTTTTGGCTGCTAAACTTACATTCAAGCAATTTACTACTTGAAACATTGTTTATATTAATTTTATAGAGAACTACTAACAGTATTTTACAACTTTTGCTAAGATGTTTTAAACTGTTTCTCAAAATGACCAATTTAAACCACAGAAAACTCTGCACCTCAATGTGTATCCTTAATTTTAAAGATTTAAATATTTTTTTCATCATTCACAGGTTATCTATTATTTATGCAAAATTTGATGAAGTGGCTAGATCAGGGAATATGGTTGTCAGTGAACCTAATGGTAGGACATGTGAATATTTCTTCTGTCTTTATATATTAGCTGCATGCTCAAAAATAGAGCAATAGAATGCCTGTATTGTATTGATATATTGGTTCATGTTTCACGTAGCCCTTTGCCTCCCATGAGTGACCAAGACAGAATTTCTCCTTACAATATCAATACAATATCAAGGAGACCAGTATTGGGATTATTTAGGAAAATATCAATAAAGGGATAAGTAGTTGATTCAACACCAAATTCTCTGAATTCACATCAAAGTAATTGTATGGCAGACAGTAAGGAGAATTACTAATAAGATCTTGGGAGTGAAAGGGTTAGAGTTGAACACAACAAAATTCTCTGTAGTATTGTGTTACTTAACAATTGGTTCATACATCAGCATGCGTTCATCAAGATATGAAGCATGCGGGAAGTTTGGAGAGCACGAAAGATGCGTAAGAGTTGCTCAAGGCATAGCCGAGAGCAGCCCTAGCTTCTTGAGTGCTCTCCAAACTTCCCAAGTGCTTCATATCTCGACAAACGCACAGCTGACGCATGAGCCAATTGTTTTATAACATTTTCAACCCGATGGAAAATTTTTTTTCTTGAGGGATTTGTTTGCTGACATCATGAGCATGCACAATAGAAATATGAAGCACGCTTGCGCAATTGAAATTTGATTAGACAAATTTACTAGCTATGTTATAAATTTTGTTATGTTGCCTTGGGAGAATTTGCACAAGAGATTAGGAATATGTGAATTAATATTTTCTTTATAGACCCTTTTCACTTTTTAATGGCCTCTAATGGTTTAAGAGGATCTGAATGTTATTTGTTTTTCAAATATATTGGCTTTATTTTGTTCCTGTTGGAAATTAGATTAATTAAGCATTTATTGCCTTTAAAAGATTCACTGATGTGATAGAATATTACAAGACTGATATTCTTGAAAAAATCACTTTAATTTGCTCTATCAACCTATGAACAGCTGGCTATGCCTTAATTTGGGAAAAACAAAGACAAAAAGGAAATTTTACTTTGAGTGACCTTTGAATGTTCATGAATTTAAGTTAATATGTGCAGTGTATGTATTTGGAGGATTTAAAAAGATTCTGGAGAATTACTTTAACTTTCTATCAACATGTATTATTCTGAGTCAATACTGAATCTTTTTTTTTTAAACTCTTGTATTGTGGACACATGGGTGTATTGATGTGGGATTTCAAATGTTAATATTACACCTCATTCATTACTAATGGTACCTTGGAATGAGGTTGGTTTGTTGAATAACAGTGGCTGGTAGTATTTGAATTTCCATTTTCAAAACTGCATTAACTCTTTATGCCTTAACATCAGAATGGATATTCTCCATACTGTTCTCCATAGATTTTCAAAGAGGCTGAAAAGGAGAATTTGTTTAACAATCAAGAGCTGCTTTAGTTGTTGATCATCTTCTCTATTCTCATGACTTGCATGTTTGATTCAGGGAAGATATTGAAGGGAGAAGTTAATTGCTAGTCACTCTTAAGGGCTAAAGGGTTAACTGCTCAAATTTTACTCCAAGTTCTTTTCTAGTAGCAAGAGGGAGTGTGAATTGGATACTTAGAAAAGAGGAAAGCAATGAAATTTGTCAAGTTGAGTCTGATACAGCTTTAGGGGCATTTTTGAGGTTGCTCTGATGGCAACCATGTGAATTTGTTGTGAATGTTACTTATTATAAATTGCATTTTTTGCATTCCAACTTTTAATTATGAAAACAATGTATAACTTGATATATTTAATCCTCGAGTTACTGTCTTTTGTGGATAATACTTATCTAAGTAACTTTGTTAATACTTTTGGTGTGACTTATGTGATTTCAGTTTCTTTAGCTTGACACGTTTGAAAAGAATGTTGACATTTAGCATAAATTGCATTTGTTCTTGATCACATTCCAGTAATGCTTGGGTGAAAGAGAGTTGCTGTTTTCATTCTTTCTCTCCTCTGTTTACATCACTAATCTAAAGCTTTGGATAGTTCTATATTTAGATCAGCATGTAAAAGGTTTTATTTTCACAAAGACTTTATCTTCGTGCATGGCTCTTAAGTATCTTCAACATAATACTGGATCTTTTGTTTGCTCTTTGTCTTTCTCTATTATACTTGCTCAACGTTGTGTAAACTGCATGATTAAGTTAAGCATTTTTTTACTGAAGTCATGCAATCAAAAACACTGTGCACGAAGATACCAGTAATTAGACGGTCACATATCTGATTGAAAAAGCATGGAAAGAACATTTTTGTGGTTAAAGCTTGTTTCTGATCTTCTTATTATTCAGGTCAAAAATAGAATAATTTGTCACAGCTGATGATTTTATGTTGAGGCTTTGGGAGCCCATTTCATTATACACAGCACATACCTGACAACTCCATTTGTTACTAAGGATTCTGAACCATTTTAAGTAATTTTAAATGATTTCTTTACAATTCTTCATTGGAATTTACATAAGCTCTTAAAATAAAATGAATATTTTCCCTTGTTTTGATCAATAAGTTATAACCTCTGACAGTGCTCTCATAAAATATTAAACAGTGATGTGCTGCGATTGGCTACTGTCGCTTTTAAATTCATTTTCAGTTAGATGTAAGGTAGGCTCACATTTCACTTATTGGTTGTAAACTACGTTTATCCCAGAATATTACTTCACCTGGGTAATTATTGTTTTTAAGAAACTGTCCACTCAAGAATGCCTTTAGGGAACAGTGTTCCAGTATAGAACAACATCCACAATTGGCTGACAAGAGGTTGAATTTAGAAGTGTAATTAATATGCTGTTCCAGCAGACATTGTGAAAACCAACATGGCTTCTTCTACATTTGTCAAACAAGAATAGCTGTTATCTGGGAATTATGGCATAAGAGTTTGTTTATCTGGATCAAATGTTTCAAAAGCTGGTCTGGTGTTTCAAGGGGAGGCTGTGGCATTGATTAGACAGTAGAATTTAACCAGAAAGAGGCATGAAGGATTGAATGTTCTTGTGAATGTCTGCCTCAGAGTAAACTGCTATGGTGGATGATCTTTTGAGTTCTGATGGCATTTCTAAAGAATATTTGGTGATACTGAAGCAAATTGAAGATTACTGTAGCAGAGGGCCTGAGATAGACTTGGATTTTCAAAGGAACAGAAATGGTAATTTTTTAAAATTTGAATCAAATTAATTTGAAGCACAGCTAATGGCTGATACAAAGGCACACTTTCACATGCATGATCAGCTTTTTACAGATGACATTTGATTTCATCTGACAGACAGAGTGAGTTTATTTTCGTTTTCTAATCTCCTGTGTCTCACCACAGAATGGGAAGTATTCTCTGACAGGTAACAATTGCTACACAATTTAATTTTACTTGCTCAGTAAATTCTTAAATCAATGTTTGTGCCTATGCATGCATATAGATGGCTCTAAAATGGTAATTTCAGTTTTACATTTGGGAAACAATTTAGCTGTTTCCTTAGGCATTTAAGTTTTGCTCTTAAAAAATATATCTTCATTTTATAATTTTGCACTGCTATATTTTGCTGTAGGTTTGAGGTTTAGTTTAGAATATTTTAGCAAGTATGTGAACCTTTTAAGGCAATGTAAACAAAAAAGCAGTAAAAATGCAAATTTCAGACAGTTGGCAAGGAATATTATTAGGTTCTGTGGATTAAAATTATAAAAATTTCATCCTGCATGTCTCAGTAGTTACCTGTTGGTTTAGATATTGTATTGCTTCTTAAATGTATACAATTTTAAGGCTCAAGACATGGAAAATTTTTTGTTGAACAGTGAGTAAGATAAATCCCTTGAAACGCAGCTGTTTACCATGTTCTCAAGTAATTTACCAGATTGTTGTCTTGTGGTTTGTCAAATATTTTATCTGCCGAGGTGATGTATGATGTGTGTACATGTTTTGATATCTCTACATAAGATTTACAAGAAGTACATTTATTTTGGAGCCATTCAATTGTTAATCTTTGCTTAAAATCCCACTGTGAGTAATTGTTCTACTGTCTTGAATCAATTTGCCATGCTGTGATGTGTCACAAGTCAATTTTTCAGAAAAGTTACTTCATAAGGTTGATTTTCTTCATCTACAAAAAATGAACACTCCAAATTCAACTTCATTTTCAGGGTACTCTTATTATCGATGACAATTTCTGCCCACTCATCTTCATGTTATGACATGTCCTTGTCCTGGAAATCGCATGATATATATTTGCTTTTTGATAAGTGCTGTTGGGTCACAATCAGCTGTTTTGGTTTGGAATTTTTTTCCTTAGCTGTAACAAACTAGCAGCCATATCATTTAAGAAATAGTCTTACAAATTTAAAAGCTGGTCAGAGAGGAACTGTTGTTGTGCATCATATCAGTCATTTAGATCTATTTTGGGTAAATTCAAATGTATGGGTGCAAGACAGCTTCAGCTGATTTGAATATCAACTTCAAGGCTGAAATAAGCTGCAGAACAACAAGTTCCTTTCAATTGTGATGTTTTTGTTTTCAGCACTCAACTAGAATGAACTAGAATAAGCAAAAGATAATTTTATGAGTATTTGGTGTGATGATATGTGGAAAGGTCATCTTGATAAGATCTATTGTGAAACTCCATGTGCCTTGGGCTCTTGCCATTTAGATCTTTTATTTAAAAAAAGTTATTATAATTCAATAACTCAATTCTTTCTTTTACTTGCTGTTAAACTGTTTCAATTATAGTTATTTTTTGTTGAACAACACTCTCAAACTTTTTAGCATTAGAAACTCTAACTGAAAATGTTATCAGATTTTTTTCAAGTCATTGATCAAGACAAGTAGGTCATGTAACTCAACACTATGAAGTTAATCATGTCTCAGACGTGTGCTGACACACTTTGTCATGCAATGCATGGGAATTGTAATTCTTCAAGGATTACAAACCGTGAGAGTATCATGTACAATAACAATCATAGAAAACTGGTAGAAAATTGATACTTAATTTTAAGGACCTGAATCGTATCTGCCATGTAGGTCACGTTCATTGGGAAATCTTGCCAAAAATGAATACCTTTATTTGAAGGGAGAGCTAATGTTGTTGTGCCAACTTTTATCATAAATGTTGTCTGAAGATCTGTTAGAAGTGTTATGTGTAAATCTTAGGATTGAAAATATATATAGTTAAGAGATAACAGCTCAGTGGAAAAGCAAGATTTAGGGCTCAACTTGTGATGGGGGGGGGAGGGTGGGGATTTCAATTTCTTCTTTGTCTCAAATTCTTGGGGGGAAAAAGAGCCACCATTTTAAGGATTTTTTCGTTTGGGAATAACAAATTACACTTCATGTGTAAAGAAACAATTTTGAGAATGATTTTTTGTTTTTTCTTACTGTGGAAATAAACTGGTATTTGTATTGTTAGGAAAACATTCAAAGCCAGATAAAATGGTGAGCGATGAGAACTTGACCAGATCCTCTTTACCAAATGTTATGAATATTAAAGTTTAAAAAAATTAATCAGTTAATTTTTTTTAAAGAAGTGTATTGAACATTGATTCCATAAGTTTATTTCATGCTCATTTTTCTTATTCCTGTTTCATTTCAGGATCCTCAAGAGTAAATGGAGAGGTGGAGACAGATGGAGCAAAGGTGAGGGAAATGATGACCAGTGAATTAGCCTTGAAAAGCGAAGACTGTAGATGACAGAACAGGTGTAATTTTTTTTAAACTCCCAAGATCTGATTGTTAATTCTCCCCTGAAGCTGCTGTATGTTTCCTTGTAAGTTAGTTACATGAGTTTAGTGTTAGATCAAGAATAAAAATTCTACCAGATAAGTGTGAATATTCTCCTTACCTGTTTGCTGGGTACTGTATGAATTTGATAGGGTGAATTTTAAGTAAGTAGATGACTTCTTTACATAGCTGACCTCTTTTAAAGTCAAATGATTTTATTTAATTTGTTTTTAGTAATTTCATTGAGTTTTCAAACCATTGATTGGTAAACTTATAGCTCACACAGAGAACAGTTGCACAGGCCATGCTTTTGACACATGAACTTTCCTTTCTTAATGTTTGATAGTTTATTTTACAGCTGATGTTATCAGAAATAAGTAATTATTACATCACCATTATATTTATACTTGGTTTTTATTTTTCATTTATAACTTAATCAAATTTTTACTTTCTGACTAATGTGCCTGAGGTACAACACCAACCTTTTCTGAGACAGATAAAAAGATATGGAAAGATATTGCAATTTTTTTTTTGAAATGTAGTTTGTAGCCAGGTGCAAAGAAAGGTCTAGAAAAATTAGAAATGATATTTGCATGATGGATTTGGAGACGGTATGTCTGGAAACGTCTAAACAAACCATTAAACTGAATAATAATTATTCTCAGAGTGGAGACTTTTGAGTGAAACACAATGCATATGTCTGAGTGCCATATTAGAGACACATGGCATATGCATAAATGAGAAAACTCTTCTTGGAAAGGTCTTCTTGGCATGGGAAAAAATATTGACCTATTGCTGAGATGTTATGTTTGTGGGGCTGTTAAATTTACAATTCATGGAAAAAAATTGTCAGCAGGTATTGTTGTGGGTATACCTTTTACATGATAAAAGGGCTGTAATGATTTTGTGAAGTCATGTGATATATGATAGACTTGCTTACTTTCTTTGTGCGCCACCGTGCTCTGTTGTCTTTGCTCGCTGCCAAGCATCTGTCATTAAGTCTTAGTGGCCGAATTTAGGAGTATTTGTGTTCTTTCTCCGAGCACTTTGGTGATTTTCTAGTTAGTTTTTTTTAGTAGGCACAAAGTGGTTGATTGCATTTATCAGTTTTAGATAATAGGGAAATGTTTTCCTACATAAATTTAAGTGATTTATCAAATATTATAATACGCAGAATATAAAGTCAAAAGAAATTGTCAAATTTCAGTTTGCCGTTATTTCGAGTGCCTTATTTTAGTTTTCATGTTACAGAAAAAAATGGTGCATGCTCTTACTTTATGTTTTTAGATCGTCATTGATTATTTCTATCAAATCTTAGGCATTTATTCCCAATAGTGACCAATTCGTAATTTCTCCCTACAATATTAGCACAATGCTAAACGGACAGGTGCTGAGAACGATTAACCACATCGTTTGGAGGGATACTGATTTAAAACCAAATTCTTCCTACTAACATTACCAGAAAAGCGTGGCAGAGAGTAAAGAGAATTTATTTTGAGATCTTGGGAATGAAAGGCTTTCTGTTTAATAACATGTGAGATTACCAATTATAATCAACTGGATTATTAGAGAGGTGAGCTTATTAGAGCGGTGTAATTAAAATTTGTTTTTATATTTGTTTCTTTTCAGCTTTCCACACCAGCGCCTTCCAGAACAACATCGGTGAAAAAAGGCGGACCACAGAGAAAAACCAGTGGGTCAAAAACTTCAGGCCCATCATCTAACTCAGGTTCAAGAGTTTTGCCTCTTTTTCATTCTATTTTTTTGTCTTAAAGGTAAACTTAGTTTACGAGTCAGACGGCCCATCATGCCGAGCTTATTCATTTTTCAGAAGCGTAAAGTAGTAAATAGTATTGCCACTCCTCCCTAGATGGGATGCTTGTCCATCACACAGTTACCTTCTTTCTTCCCCCCCCCCCCCATCAAAAAAAAATCGCCTGTACCGATTTATTTTACCCGGGTGGAGAAAGTCACTGTGATATAGTAAAGTATCCTGCCCACCAACTCAACCCAGTGACGCAGCCTTGGTTTGAAACCGAGACCCGTTCCTCGAGAGTCTCGCTGACATCACGTGCCAGTCGCCACATTTTAAGGAATTGTAGTAGGGGTCGTAGCTCAAAGCCAGCCAATTTTGTTCAGTTCGGTGAGATTTCTATTGTTTTAACCATAAAGACTATTAATATCGCGATCTCGAATTGTAGTTTTCATGCCCATACATAGTAATTTGGTGGAAATGTAGAGAAGTGAGAAGTAAGACCTTGACGAACACTGTTATTAAAAATTCTCAGCTTCCATTTGAATCTGATTAAAAAAGAAAGCGGACTCAAAATTCCTTGAGGTATACTTATTTAGTTCTTGTAGTTGTTAAAACCGTTGGTTTTCTTCACAGCGTCTGCAGGAGCAGTTGACGAGGCAGACTTTGAAAATGCATTTCATGACTGTCCTGAAATCAAGGTTTGTAAAAATAAAGTCATAACGAATACAAAGACATAATCAATTAAGTGATTGAATGAAGTAAGAGTGAAGTGATTACGAGCCTTCTTTTGGCGCGAAAATGTTTTCTCATATTTGTCCCAAAAGACATCATCTGTTCTTCGAAGCACACAGTCTCTCTCCGAGCTTCGCTTTTGAAAAACTGTTCTGGGTTTTCTTTTCAGGTTTATAGCAGTAAAGAACTAACAGAAGAGATGGCGAAGGTTCAGTCCGTGTTATCGGATGATAAAAACGATTGGGAACACCGGGTAGCTGCGGTGAGTTTTGCATTTTGCAACTTTCCTCTCTTGGAGAGATTCTCTTCAAAGCAAAACCAAATTGATCCCAACAGCCAATCAGAACAAAGGAGAAATCACAGAAAGCCAATAAGAAGTAAAAGTAAAACAAGTAACTACCTGAGGCGCGGGAAAACGCCAGTGACCCAAGTCACGATTGGTTATGATTTTGTATCTGATTGGTTGAAAGGTTGGCGCGAGTTTTCTCGACCAATCATGAAGCGAAGCTTAGTAGAACCACGCAGATTACACAATTGCTTTGATACGAACAATTTGTGTTTACTTTCAAACTTTGAGGTTCTGGCTTTTTTATCTCTGAGCACCCCGTTTTCTTCAGCTTTCCTTTTCCAGTAACAACGAATTCCCTTTGAATTTTGGTCACGAGGCGTCGAGATTGTTAGAGGCTGTGCTAACCTCGAAGTTGTTGTTTGCGCAAATTTTAAACTTCACTGTACCTTTGTGTCCTCTTCCAGCTCAAGAAAATTCGCAGCTTAATTAACGGAGGGGCTCTAGAGTACGATAACTTTGTGTCGCTGGTGAGGCTACAAGAGGGGGCATTCAAACTCTCGGTAAGTAACTTTTTGGTTTTCAAAATCATCGACTCGACATTTTGGAGCAGGATTTAGTCAGATAGAAAATGAATAAATGAGTGTTTTACTGCACTTTTTTCATAACAAGCGAATTATGGAGATCCATCTTTAAAGCTCACAGTAGCCTTTTGTAGGCTTACTGTCAATGTGCACGAGCAAGTATGTGGGCGCGCAAATAAATGGAATTACAGGGGCCGTTTCCTGACAACGGCACCCGCTGCGCCAGCCCACCAGAATTCAGCGACTCGGCAAAATAGAAACTGTTTGTTAAATTTGTAGCCATTACCTAAGTGGTGACGATTATTTTTGGCTACTTTCAGACAAAGGATCTTCGATCGTCTGTCACGAGAGAGGCTTGTGTAACCTTAAGGTGAGTCACAGGTTGAAATTTCTGCGAGAACCAATCTCTCGACTTGACCTAGAAAATAAATTGACAATATATACATGTTCCCTCTAGCTACCTGTCTACCGTTTTGAAGAATCAGTTTGATCATACGGCAGAAGCTGTATTGCCAACCCTCATCAACTTAATCACCAACAGCGCCAAGGTAAGAAAACTCTTCTTTTCACAAAAGATACACCTTACTCCCCTCGTTCCCCAAGGAATATGACGTATCCAGTGACATCAGGCCGATATCATTGTGGTTGGTAGTTCTTGGGCGTTTTCTTATTGGTTGACTTGAATCAAAAGATCCTCGTATACCACCCAAAACTACAGGTCTAATGGAGAATTGCCCGAAATTTTGTTTGGAATAGAAGGCAGCCTGACTTGCTAAACGCGATTGGCTGGCTGCTTTTCTCCTGTATTCTTTCCTTTTGTGATGAACAAACCCTTAAGGACTTCGTCCAGCTGCCATGTCTGCAAAAATTTTTATTGTCGATGCGAGCGAAAGTTTCTGTGGTTTCGAGCTGATCACGTGCGAGTTGGAAGTTTTTGTTACCCCAGGCGTTTTGCTCGCCCCTTAGGAGTGAGTGAGTCTTGACCTATGGCACATGATACGTCCTCCTCCAATCAGAAATCGTTTTTGTCTTTTTTTCCTGACAGATCATGGCAACGTCTGGTCACGCTTGTATCAGCTTCATTCTAAAAGTGAGTTTTAAATTTCAGCTTGTTTTCTCGTGTTTATAGATCGTGTTTATAGATCCTATTTATATAGGTTGACGCGAAGTGATTTCATTTTTTTTTTTTTTTACTGTCAAACAGAACACTCATTCTCATCGGCTTATTCCAGTCATCACCAACAATATGACATCCAAGTCAAGTATCATTCGACGGTAAATATTGAACTATCTAAAACGCGTGCTGTAAGAAGTCATTGAAGTGGACCTTACGACTCTCTGCGCAGCCCGCTCAAATTTACAGCTTTTTTTCCTTTTATTTATTTATTTTTCCATTTTTCGTCTAAATTGTTCATAACTTTAATGAGCAAATGAAAAGTTTAACTTTTTGCTTGCTTAAATTGTCAACTAACGAGGTTAGAAATAACACTCGGTCATCTGACGTTGTCCAAGCAAATTTTGAAACTTTATTCTGGTTATTTCCACTTTACGATCGGATTTGATGTTCAGGCATTTCACCCGATTATTTTGACCTCCTCCACTGAAGTTACCGTCTATTGTTAAAAGTGTCTTGACAGATTGTTTAAGCCATATTTTGTTAAAAAGATGGATCATGGGGCAAAAAAGGTCTTATTTCTTTTACTTACCAAATGAGATAGACCACGAAAATGACCCTTGAAACCTTCCTGTATTGCGGCATGGTTAGTCCCTGATATGTTCCCACAAACTCTCGCGATTTAACTCACTTTGCAAAGGCAGTGGCTGGTCATAAAATGGCTGCTTTTGTGTTCCCTTATCGAAGTGATTGAGTGTTCGTAAGCTAATTCATACGTACGCTACATTTCTTACTCAGCCGCTGCTGTGAGTATGTAGACCTGTTTCTTACTCATTGGGAGACGCCCACGATCAAATCGTAAGTACACACTAAACTTGCAATGCTGCCAGGTTTTTTTTTTTTTCTGTGTCAAAGCGGCAGATTTTTCCCCAGATTGCCACATTTTCGATTAAAAAAAAAACCGGATCATATTTCTCCTAAACAACGATTTTTCGAATATTTCCGAAGACGTTCCGAGTATACTCGGAAGGTGTCCTGAAGAGTTGCTCCAACTGCTGTTTTTGCCCTTCCTTCCAGAACTGAACGTTTCAACTAACATAAGATCATTCACATCAACTTCTGTTCACTTTCACACTTCATATTTGTCAAAATATGCTTCGGCTAAGGCAGCTAAAGCTTAAATTCTTCCGCTTGGCGGGGAAAATTTCTCGGCAAGCCTGAGTTATCATGAGATCGGGGTTGCGATGCACACCCGTTAGAATCACTCCGAATGTTTCAGAGTTGAAAAGTGCAAATATATTAGTGCTGCAAAGCTTAGGAAATTGTGAATGGAACTTTCCCTTGTCTAGTTATCAGAGTGTCTATTAAATGCCACAATACTTTTTCTTTTCTTTTCTCAGCCGCGTTAGTGAAATAGAAGAAGCCATTCGGAAAGGAATTTCAGATGCTGATCCTGAAGCAAGGGCAGGCATGCGAAGGTAGATAGAAAAAAAAGATCGGCTTTATAATATCTCGGGAATTTCCCTTTTCGTTCGGAAGAAACTGTTCCATGCCAGGGTTTTGGTGAACAGGGAATTGCTAAGCCTGGCTGCTCACCTTTAGAGCTTTGCAGTTGTTTTAAAATGCGGTTTGTCGACGTTTTTGTCAATAAAATCTCGCAAATTTTATTAAGAACTTTAAAAGGTCAGCATTTTTGTTTGATCTGTAATTGAAAATTGATTGTAAGGCCTTTTATTTTATGTTGGTGCGTAGAAATAGCGTGGCGGTATTAGTTCGGGAAGAATTTTGTTGAGTTTTACCCAAGGTTCTGCCTGTCTGTCACCATTCCCTTGCAGTAACTTGTGTTCCAAGGTCAACATTACTTTTCCAAATCAGAAAGCGGAAGCTGGAATTTATGTTTTTTAATTTTTTGGTTGGACTTGACTTTAATTGAGATGTTGTCATTATTTTAGAAGTCGTGCTACTGCTACATTTTTTTTCTTTAAGAAAATTTAAACTAGAAGTTTCCGAAGATTTCTCGTCGAGATGGTCAACTGAATTGGTTTTGAGACTCTGTTTTTCTATCTCTGGATACAGAACTGGGCTCGATGTGCCGTGTTGGAGCCAATTTTGTTTCTTACTACTCTCAATTAGTAACTGTTATTCAAATCAACTGACAAAGGGTGTGTCGCACCAGGAATGCGCTGATCAGGAAACCAAAATTTTCTAGAAAAGGCTCTCAATAAGAATCTCAATGTTTTGAGACTCTGTTTTTCTATCTCTTTGGATACAGAACTGGGCTCGATGCGCCGTGTTGGAGCCAATTTTGTTTCTTACTACTCTCAATTAGTAACTGTTATTCAAATCAACTGACAAAGGGAGTGTCGCACCAGGAATGCGCTGATCAGGAAACCAAAATTTTCTAGAAAAGGCTCTCAATAAGAATCTCAATGTTTTGAGACTCTGTTTTTCTATCTCTTTGGATACAGAACTGGGCTCGATGCGCCGTGTTGGAGCTAATTTTATTTTTATTATTATTCTCAATTAGATACTGTTATTTAAATCAACTTACAAAGGGTTTGTCGCACTAGGAATGCGCTGCTCAGGAAACCAAAATTTTCTCGAAAGGGCTCTCAATGTCATTTTTAATGGTTTTGAGAACGTGGAAGTTTCCATGATGCTAAAAAAAGCCAGCGCAAGGGATAATTTCGTGTTCGCCAAGTAAATTTTGTTTCTCTGTTAGTGAGGGTAATTGAAGCTTAAAATAGTTTAACACCCCCCAAGAGATTGTGCTAACAACATACAACTCTTTTCTTTGGAAAAGAAAGAATATAACTGTAAATGTAAATGTCTTAACTACTTCCCAATAAAGATCGAAAATTAACAGCTTTACAGAGCGTAGTTTTGTGTTTGTTAATGTACGATCTTCTCGATATTCAGGGCGTTTTGGCATTATCATGAACACTTTAGAGACAGAGCAGAGAGGTAAGGTTACTTTATATTTTAATCTTGGCCTTCCTTTCAGTTGCCGAACAATCTTTATGAATATTCATAACTGGTTAATTAGTTGTGCAATTCGGCAACAGACCAGAGTCATGTGAGGGTCGGCAACTTAATTTTTTTTCATCGTAGTTTTGTTCTTACCGGTTGTAAAGTTTTGAGTTTTTGAGGCTGGCTGCCGTAAACTGAAGCAAAAATATAGATTGCAACTAGTTTCGTCAATGAATTGCTGTCTTTTCTTCTCACAATGCCGATAGGAGTTTGGCGAAGCGGTCACTACATAGAGGACCAACCTTCATGGCTATACTACTACAAGTACAGCGCAACTCTTTGATTGCCGGATTTAATTTCATTTTAAACTTCATAGTCTATTGAACATATTAATTTTTTTTCCCCTTTCTCCTTACAGCTTGTTGAAATCGTTCGATGCCTCAAAGCAGAAACAGCTCGAAAATGACCGTAACCTTTCCAATCTTGGCCCTGTAAAAACTTCATCGTCCGGACGATTCGTTGCTGTGAAACCGAGCAAGCCAATTTCTGGAAACAGAGTGCGCTCATCCAGTGCGGCTAGCGAAGATGGCACGACAAGGTAAGTTTGCAGAACACATGAAAAGAAATAAAAGGGTTATTTATATCTTTAATTTCGCGATTTCACGGCTGGTAATTATTGCTTAAGGGTATGGAATCATTAAACATGTCTCTCGAAGTGTTCGTTGATACATTGGGTTTTTATTTTTCGTGCAGATTTTGCTGTTCGAGGTGTGCGCGTCGTGTACAATGGCGAGTAATCTTAATTAGAACTCTTTGTATAGCTGTTCAGTTGAATAGCTCAATGTTTGCTCCTGCTTAGCGTAGAAAATACAGCAATGATGTATCAGCAGGTAGCAACGTTATTTATGAAGCTATTTTGCATTTAATTTTTCGTAGTGTATAACGCATTTCCTTTGATGCGAAAAATGTTTTGAATCGAATCTCGTTTACTTTTTATGTTAAATTTTCGAACTACGTTTATTTCAAGTTATGGTTCGTTTCACGTGGTGTTATTTAATAGACATGCATGAATTCTGCGGTTGAAACAAGAAGTATTTGAAGCAGTTCTTTCCGATATGTGCGCCAAGACACGATATTGCAAAGTTAATATTTATAGGCTTTGCAATGGAAATCGGCTGATTTAGAAATTCTAGAACATCGGTTTTCTTTCTTCTTCTCTTCGGCAATTAGGTAGACTTTGTATGCTTTACTGTTATCCTGGATTAATTTACAATAGTTTACCGCAAAATGATTTCTGCTGGTGGTGCGGCTTTGAGGAATAATAGAAGGATCGAATCTATTGTGTAAATAACTCGCCATGTAAATATTGTTGACGTATATCGATGGATATCGACCGTCGAGCAATGTTTACAGATACATTAATTTAATTCAATATAGTCTCAAATTTTTTTAGAACCATGTCAAGTATGTGTTTGAGTGATGGGGTTGCCGCCAGGCGGTGAATATCTAATTACTGGTTGATATATAGTGTACGGAGAGCTCAAATATCCCAAATTACCTTAAGTAGGATTGAGTTTTCCTCACATGTTGTTATTTACAGCTCACGGCACACAGCACCTTCCCGTCAGACAGTGGGAGCCTCGAGCCGTGCCGCGAGAACTACTCACAGAGAAGGTAAGATAAAAAGTGTGGCAGTCTGAAGGCGCTGGGTTACAAGGAAGTTCTCTGGGAAAATTCTTCAAGAATTTAAGGGTAGATGAGGAAGTTACCAAGAACATGATATATTCCTGCTAAGGACAGGAAGTATTGTTTAAATCGCTATGCAACTAATTCTATGTTGAGTTACCTGTTTTTCAGTTTTATAGTTTTGCAGGTTTACTGCTTTACTTAGTTTACTGTTTTATTGAACCTATTCAGCTCGGAGGCTGGTATCCTTAGAGGCCTTGTATCAAAATACAATTACGACTACAATATATTGAAACTAAAATTACGTTAAAAAATCTGACTTCTATTAAGTTACTAGAAAAAAAACTCTAAAAATTAGAACCGCTTTAGAAAATGTTTGCGACAGAACGTCTGTACGTCTCTCAGGGGCATTCCGAATTTCAGAAGGCATCTCATTAAGAATTTTCGCTCCATTAAGAAGGAAGTGTTTTTTTCAAAATTTGTGTTTGCCCTCGGTGACGATGATCTAATGTCCTACTTTGTAGAATAGTTACGAATGCTAGAAAATCTAAATCTCAACTGGCTCTAAGGAGGGTTTAAAAATAAAAAAATCTCACTTTATCAAAAGTACTGCAGATATTGAGGAAAGTTTAAATTGAAAGATTGGCAGTGGAAGAGTTAGCGTATACTTTGAGTTGCTTTAGTTACACTTTTTGTGATCTTTTTTCTTAGATTCCCGTCATGCTGTGGCATCCAAGGCAACAGGTTCTCTTCTCTCTCCCATGGCTTCTCTCGGTCGTTCCCTCAGTAATATCGACCAGCGGTCGGCTGAACGGGCCAGTGCGCGTTCTAAGATCCGCGCAGTACCTCGAACGTCACCTCAAAGCCATCACGTGCAGCAGCGCCAACTTCGACCCCAGTACCCCTCCAGGGGCACTGTTTCTCAACGTAAGTACGAAAACGAACTTTATAAAGAACAATGAATCTACTTATGAAAATTTTAAAAATTAATAAGTAAACAAAATCTAACATTCATTTGTTCTTTTTTTTTTTTAGCTGGAAGTCGATCCCAGTCTCCCGAACGATTACTGTCCACCTTCCCTCCTCGGGAGAGGTCTGAGGTGTACTGTCGGAGAGAAAGCATAAGTAGAACCAAGATACCCACTCCAAGGTAAATTCATAGGTATAGAGATTCTCCTAATCATTGATTCAACATACTATAGATGTTGTTAGGGGAATTTGGCTTTAGGTCAGAGGTTAAAAGATAGCTATTAATACTGCGACAAACGTGGCGCCGACTTAAATATAGAGAGAACGTTTTCATTGGAAATTATTATTTCAAACCAAGTCGTTTCCAACAAGGTATCGTCTCTGGACTTGATGAAAACTCTTTCTTCATTCAATGCTATTTGTAAGTCGGGCGATCAGTTTTTCAGTGAGTTAAGATTTTCTTTCGGGTCCTTATTCTGCAAGAGAAAGTGTTTAAGTGGTGTTGATTCAATAGAGCCCGGTTACCAGTGGTCTACTGCTGCCCATAAGACCTCTTATCGCCGTCTGTTTAGCCTGCTAACAAGCTCTCGTGTTTGGATCTCGCCTTACGGCTCTTTTTCCAGCCGCTAATGAAAAAAGTTATTGAAATCCCTTTAGGTGCACAGAAGTATAAACCAGTTTCATGTGGCAGATAGTCTCTTATATGGATTCACAGTTGTCATGTTTTTGTGTTATTAGTGTTAATTAATTTCGTTGTTGTCGGTTCTCTTCCAGTGTTTCTAGGCATGGCAGCAACGAGAATCTGGCTGGTATTGACAGCCATACACCCCACTCCCATCCCTCTAGTTCTCCCTCTTTCCTCCCCGTTCGTAAAACTCTGTGAGTACAGTCCATTGTGTTCTTGATGTTGTATCCAGTCGCCAACAATTCATACGACAACATCGTTCTTACAACCTTCCTCGAGTCTTTTTACCTTCCATTCTTTACTCCTTAAACGGCGCACAACTAACGCATAATCAGTTCTCCGTTTACCTTATTTGGTTATAATTTATGATAATTTATTTTACGTTCTTTTCCAGAGTTGCTCGAAATTGCAGCAACGAGAGTCTAAATAGTCCTAGGAGCTACTCGCCCCAACCCTACCCTCCTCCCTCTCGATCTTTTCTTCCTGTTCCCAGTCCTAAACTTCAGTAAGTACTAACTTTTAACTTGTAAACTACTTTTATAACAGCTCTAATACAGAATAACATAATCTAAATAAACAGCTTATACTAATTACTAATCCTAACTGTATTTATCGAAGCTAGTGTAACAGAAGGCTTTTTAAATCTTAGCTTACTAAGAAAAAGCACTTGTTTTCTTGCGTTTTCAGTTTGCTTTTGTAAGATTTTTTGACGTCTTTGCAGTACAGCTTTTTCTTTCGGTTTTGTTACTTTAGCTACGGACTATGGATTCTACTGATTATCTATCGACTTTGCGTTACTTTCTCGTTGTGATCGCATCTTTTGTTTTTCCAGTTTTCCTAACAACTTTTTATCTGATCTGTCCATTAAAAAAGTTTGTTTTGGTTACGTTACTGTGCGTACAGGTTGTCTATTCCGCTGATATTCTGTTGATTTTCCTCTGCGTACTCGTAACTATCAAATCTTTTATTGTGCTTCTTTTTCTGTTAAACTTTTTATGCCACAGTTCTTCTCGTCATTCTTGCGAACGAAACACCTTTATTTTCACATTCATCTCGTACTCTGTCCATTCTCATTCTTATAATCTTCTTGAACAACTGATCGTTGTGGTCTCATTGTCTTTTATTGCAGTCTTTCTCGGCATCTTAGCTTCGAGTTTCTTCCCAGACGGCCTCGTAATTCTTCTGTCTCCTACATTCCTGTTCCGAGCTTGTGAGTAACCTCGCTTCTCCTGGGAATTCTGTGACAGAACTCTTGCCTTGTCTTTTAACTCAGTTCTTGTCCAAGAGAGATTGCTGGAACTAACACACAGCATAGTCCGTTGTGCATATATGAATTTTTTTATTGTCGTGAACAAGCAACGAAAACTTTCATTCAGTTCTAAGAAAGGTTTTTTCGCCAATGATTGTAACGATTGTAACGATTGTAACGCCCGTGATCAAGTTAATGCTGAAGAAGAAATGCGTTATTGAATTTCTCTAACAGGAATATTTCGTCGATTTAATCCTTAGTTAAGTTATATTCAAACCCTAGTTCATTGCCCCTTTAAGTGCTACGTATGCCTTGGTTTGTGCTAGCTGAAGTCTAATTGGTCCTTAATGGTCATGCTCTCTACCTTAACCAATCAGACAAAGGGTTGATTATCCATTCAGCCAATCACCAGTTATATATCGGTGCTTCGTGACGGTGACTTTTCCCATGCTTGTATTAAAAGCTTCATTTCTTCCCGCGCTTGTTGCGGTACTTTCCCGCGCATTGTTCTTTAATATGCGTTCTGATTCGTTCAGTTTTGCTACTGTGGAAATCATTAAAAAACTGCGCTATATCGATAACATATTACTTTTAATAATAACTCTTACTTTCATCATACTTCAATATCCCCCATTTTAATCACTTCCAGACGATTACATCCAAAAGACGGTGACTGCGTCAATTCTTATGTCAGATTTAATCTTTTATTTCCACGGTTCTCTTCCACAGTCGTGCACGAACTGCTTCTCAATGTAGCTCACGCGCGAGCTCCCGCGCGAGTTCGCGCGGAGCGAGCAGAGACACCAGTCCTGACCGGAGAGGGGACAGGCGAATGAGTTCAGAGCGAGGATACAGTCCAAGTCATTTACCGGTGATGAAGAAGACAAGTCCGTTACACAGTGAGTAGGGCTTTGACTTTGGGCGGGAAACAAGGAGAGGAAATGTTACTTTTTGCATTGTGCAAAATGGCCTTCACCTTGAAAGAAATTGCAAATTATTGGCTCGTTGAGATAGAACAACACATGGGAAGTAAAAATAACCAGAGCAAAGGATGGAGAAGATCTAAACAGATTGAACAAAAAAGAACGTGAAAAGTCATTGCTTGAAGAAAAGAGCTGCTCAGCTAGAATGGCTCTGACGAAGGGCTAACGGTCGAAACGTCAGCTTTAGAAACCCTACGGTGGCCAATTTACATTCTCATCTCAGTTGATAAAACCAAATTATCATTGTAATACCCCAACATCGCAGCACTGCAGTTTCTTTAGCAACTCGCCCCCTAAAATCAGCAATGTCGAGAATGTCTTGAGTGACTAAACAGGAGAAAAGATGACGAGTCATAAGATGGTCTGCTTGACCGGTGATTTTCGAGCGCTTGTTGAAAATGAAGGCTACCTCGTTACGAAAATAGGAAGTAAATCTTCGAGGAATTTTTCCCTCTCCCTGCTTCCTCAAAACATCCCATAAACAATTATCTACCCCGTGAGATTGCGTGAACGATTGGAGGCAGATTTTTAGTTTTGCCTCTCTCTCCTCCCTTATCGCATTCTCAAAGTCAAGAACCTTGGCCATGATCAGTGCGTGCTTGCATTGCTATTCAAATAATGCTCTCTTTCCTTAACCTCTTAGATCCACCAATGGTGAAACAGTCAAGTCAAGGCGAGTCCACGGGTAAAGGTGTCACTGAAGAAGCGGTTTGGAACGCTTGGGTAAGTCCCTCTCACAATATCTTTAAAAGCGTTGCATTTATTTCTCCGAAGGCGAGCAGGCGAGAGGTATGTTATCAGTACCAGACCCCCAGTGAACCTCGCGACTTGTCTCCAGTCTTTTCGCTGGCTTAGAAATCTCGTTATGCAGAGCTAAAATGAGGGCTTGTTTGGGACGTTTTCTTTTGTCCCTAGGGTGTCCTTTAACCGGAGATTCCTCTTAAAAGTAAAAAGGAAGAACTCAAGTAGGCTTTGTTGCTCTCCTAAGAATACTAATTTATTTCCGTCTAATTCTCATTTAAGCATAAAAGCCCATCCAGACGGAAATATTCGTTTGGTTCTCAATGTTCCGATGACGATGATAGTGACGTGGCCAGTATATCATCTGAGAGATCGTATGGATCTAGAGGCTCACGGAATCACCCCAAACACTTGGAACCTGGAAACGTAAGTTGATTGAAATTTATAGTTGAAAGGGGATGTGTGTTCCAGAAAGCTAAAGTTTTTATCTCTGCTTTTAAAAAGTATATGTGAAATCGTGACTCTGGAAGTGTTTGCAGATCCCAAAAAGTAACTTTTCCTTTCGGAATCGATCTTCTTGCTACTTTGAATCTTGCTTAGCAACCTGGCCGCTTGCCTTTTACATCACAATGAATAATCTGGCGATCGCGTTTGCGTTTGCCCAGGGGGCTTAATTCAATTTCTATGGGTAAATCTGACAGATAATTTAATTGTAGCTTTTTATCGCCTCAAAAGTTACTAGAGTGTTCGCGTTGTTTTATTTGAGGTAATTACTCTTAGACAATTTTCTTAAACGCCATACTTTGTCGAAAACGCCACTATACTTGTGATCTCGAAACTTTTTTTTAACGACTATTTTTCTTGTACGTGCGGAATGCATGACCAATCGAGCGAAGAGCTTCAGGTCACGACATAAATATTGAGCTTTGATTTCAAGTAAAATCTCGAATAATCTTTACTTAGCTTTCACATTTTCCAACTCATTGCCAGGTACGAAGCAAGACGTAGTGTGTAAAATTCAATGAATGAATGACTTACAAGCGTGACAAAAAATTAATTTTAGTGATACACAAACCTTAGCTGGGCAGAACTAAATATTTTTTTGTATTTAAAGTAGTTCTGTTATGTAAATGGTACCTGTCGTTTATTTTGGACAAGTATTTCTTTATTCACCAGCGATACCGGAAAGCGAATAGATTTGACGATAATTTTGACATCTTAATTCCGTTCACTGACATTCAAAGTCGCCGAGGTGGTGTGTTTATGTATGAAATGAAAGAACAGCGCTTTTAACAGCTGTTTCAAGGTTTTTTCCTTTATTTACAGCCGTTCCTATCAATTATTCATGAATGTTTGTGTCACCGTTGTCGTTCAACCAGAAGCAAGTTTTTTAACTCAATTCCTTTATTACTGTAAACATATGCAACCAAACACTACTCTGTCAACATTTTCAGAATTTGTATATGAAGTAATAGGTTACTCTTTGGACCGCTTGACTACCCTCTTCTTGCTTCGAAAATTCAAAGCGACTGAAAGACGATTGGTTCTCCGGTTTATATGGTAATGCGCTGAATAGATCGAAAGGAAACTCATGAATTACGCATAATTATCTCTCACGCCTGGTTCCTGAAAGACGAGGCGGGCATGTGAAAGAAAATGCGTGAATCTGTTTGACAGGCTGCGCGAAATTTACCCTTTTAAGTAACCAAAGCAGAAGTTAAAGAATTATCACTACGTTTTCGCGTAATGTGGCTTCGAAAAGGAGAAGCAGCGAGTACTAAAGACATCATGGATGCACACAAGGTTACGACCGCAATCTGATTAAAGCTGCTAACAACATGCGGCGTATTAAGACAAAGCACCGAACCACTTGTTCATGTCGCCGGTTACGAATCGAAGTAGTCGTTTACAGACGTTACGTGGTTCGAACTGTTTTTCCCGGGAATCCCAGAGAAGAATGGTTGTGGTTTAAATTCCTTCTCAGGAAAGGGATGTTCATCTACATACGTCCAAGTCATGTTACGTTATTTCGACAGGTAAACTGTGTAACTTGTTTTGTTTTTTTTGGAATTGTGTTTTTATCGTGTCAAGAAGTTGGATGTTATATTTGATTTTGGCGACTTTCTCGGTTAGCTGCTCTAAAATCTGTCGTGTTTTGGATTAACTTTGGAGGGAATGTTCAAATTAGGGCACTGAACTGTGGTCTGTCGATCTCTGTTCAGATTTCTTGCGTTTTTATCTCAAATGCGGTCTAGCCTGACTCATAAAAACGTAGCACTGCAGTGGATTTTAAATGTCACGAATACCGCAGTTTATTTTAATTACTCTCTAGAGGCATTGGGGATCAAATTTAAATGATGCACGCGAGCAGAAGCTAGTTTTTTCAGGAACTTTCCATGTCGTAAATCTTTTGTTATTGCGACAATTTGGGTGGCTGCACTTTACCATCCGATTGTAATGTTGTACTAAACCTTCAACATAACTACACTTCAAGGCGGCCGTTTTTCCCTTCAATTTATGAAACAGTCCTGTTTTTATTCGTTACGCTCTGCAATTAGTGAATTGGAAAGTTGTTTGTCTAAATGATTATTTAGATTGCAGAATCGCTTTTTCTTCAATCGAATTCCAAGAAAATTTAACAATCGTACTTAGGTCAGTTCCTTTTAAAGTCATTTTTGTCTAATCTTTCCTCATGTCGCTTCTATTTTCCATGAACTCACCATTTTCCTTAGGAACATTTATTCTGTCTTTTTCGTTGATGCATAATGTTATTAAATTTATGTATATATTCCTTTCCTCCTCAACGGATCTTTATGACATTCATTGTTTTATCGATGTTTACGTTTTTAAATGGACAAAACCAAGTTTCTCTTGAATAAAATTCGCACGCTGATAAAATATATTAAAGTTCACGAACACAAAATTACGATGAAGAAAAATGTAAAGAACGAAATCGTGTTCAAAATGCATGAAATATGGCTTTAAGCTCAACGCACGCACACAAATGTTATTTTCCGCATTGTCAATTTTTTCAACTCATTACATTTAATTTTCCTAGCTCAAGTTTCTCTGAATTACAAAAATCATTAAACCTGGATGTAGTGTAAATACTTTGCACTTTTAACTTTTTTCGTGCGAAATTGATACAGACTTTTCATCTTGCTGTTTACATTGTAAATGAAGTTTGTCTCAAAACAGAATTGCTAAACCTTTTGTGCTTTCTGACTTTTTTTCTCTGTACCAAAAGGGTGACTGAAAACAGCTGGATATATGGGGCTTTAAACACAATGATTGTTATTGATAGCTATTTTGGAATCTGCCCTATTTTTTTCCAGACATTGATCCCTCAGTTAGGCTCCTACTTGTTATGCAGTGTTTTTATTGTTTAGTTACTTTCAGGTGTTGTGAAAAGTAATATGAAGGTTGGTGGACCGACTGAAACAGCGGGAAACCAAAACACATCATTGATTTACTCCTCCATGCCCTCCTCGCAATTGTTATCGTTTTACGTCAGATATCCGAGTAATAATGCAAATATTTACGTGGTCTTCGTTGTCAAAAACTATGAATGTGCCGTTTTCTTTTAGCAGAAGTCTAAGGGATTGTCTCGTTCGTACGGGATTACCTATCTCGTCTCGTAAAAGCTTAATTCTTTGGCGCTGCCGTTTTATGAATCTTTCTTTAAGTGATCTTTTTCGTTCAGAATGTTGGTGTTGTCCTGGTTTCTTTTTATTGTGTGACATCGTCACTGTGAATCAAAACTCATTTAACCCTTTACAACCTAACATCAGTATGCATATTCTCCATACTGTTCTCTATACATTTCCTAAGGTGCTGACAAGGAGAATTTGTTTAATAATCAAGAGCTTCTCTAGTTGGTGATCAGAGCTGAATGATGCGCGCATTTTGATTGGTTCGTACTAATGATCTTTTGGAGGATGGATGCGTAGATGACGTCACCATTAGAAAAATTTTTTTTATCGTTGAAATAAATAGATTCCATGTTGCCGTGGGTCTGTACAAAAAAAGATCACAGACGTCGTCAAGATATTGTAGAGATATTCAGTGACGCACTCGACTGCGCGTCGTGTGCCACTTTTCTTGTTTGTTGCCACATTTTGACGTCTTTGTGTGATCTGTCACTGAACAGACCCACGGCGGGCGACATGGAATCTATCAGTTAAAGAAAAAATAACTTGGTCACCGATTTGAAATTATTGGAAAGACAGAGAGAAGGGAACTGGAAACGAGTTAATTAGAAGAAACAGAACGCTTAAAACCAATGTCATGCAGGTTTCATTAATACTTTTACTTTTAAACCAATAATGACATGTTTCCTCAAAGAATCTGTTCAAACTTGTTCATTTTACACAAAAAAAAAGATTATAAAAAGCGGACTGTCAATTTTTAATCCTGTAGAGCTTTTTCTTCTTGGGATTTTCCCAGACTCGATTGTTTTGTCGAGACTGACGTCTTGGTGGTAATCTCCAGGAAGCTTCTTCGGCTTCTTTCCATTCTTTGTAAGCTTGCCTGTAATGAAATATTGCAGGAAGGAAATTAGCAAAGGTTAGTTGGGAGAGAAAGCATTTGTCAAAAGTAGACATAAAACGTCCATTTGGTGACTTAGTTAAAACTAATAGGCTGTTTAAAGAGTTTCCTACGATTTCGATGTATGAGTTTGTTAAAATACCTTAGCCAATTGTTTTTTTATATCGGTTTTGTTTCTCTACTCACCGTCTTCGCCGGATCAACTTCACAGGCCACGAAATCAACTTATAAACAGCCAGCACAACAAAGTTCATCAGCAATACGACTGAGATTGTGTGACCAGCTTCACGCCAGGTCGAGATAATAATGTGGCTTTTAATTTTGAGAAGATGTCCTGTTAGGAAAGGAAACAAAAAAATTACATCAAAGAAATTGAAACTTGATTTGGCCATCTCTCGAGTATACAGGAATATTTCCAAGGGTTTTCACAGAGTTCGTTGGAGTATTTCTCTCAAGGCTTTCTACTCACCGTGAACATATTTATTGTAAAACTTGATCAGAACTTCTCCCGTCTCCAAAACGTACTCAAGCGCAGGTTCAAGTGGTTTACAATTCCTTTTAATCGTTTTCCATGACCAGTCCGCTAACCGTTTCGCTTCCCCCCATGCCCACTCGGCCCACTGTTTTGATCCAATCCATGCTTTCTCAGCTAGCCATGAAGCATTTTCCTTTGAGACGCCGTTCAACCATTGAATCTGATCCCAAATCCATTCCGTTCCGTTCCAAGTCAGCCCTGTCAACCATTCTGTATAGTGCCAGTACCACTCGGCCACCCGTAAGCCTCCATGGTAAACATATTCATCCGCCCACATCATCGTTAAAAAAATCCGTTCCGCCCACCTTTTCATTCCGTTCCAGATTTCACCGACGTAATCTGTCAATCCTTTCCTAATTCTACCGAACCACTCCAACATTCCTTTCCAAGCTTTACCGACCAAATCCATCATCCATTTCAATGCATTCCAAATGTTCTTAGCCGTTGTTCCAACGCCGTTAGAACACATATTCCAAGTTTCAACCACTGTCGTCACCGTAAAGCTCCACGTGTTTTTTATCATCGTCCCCACTCGAGTGATCAGTCCTGGTTCTTTCCGTTTGTACTCTTGGTACTCAGAACATGTCATATTCCCAGGGTACTCCGGTAGTTCTTTGCACTTGAGAATCTAACAGATATAAATAAGACCGAGAGAAAAGAGGATAAGACGAATTAGATAAAACTCGACGAAACAAGTAATTGTACAGGACTTGAAACGTGGCTTGAGTACCTTTCCAAGATTCGGTGGATCGTTCCCAAAAGGTGGACCGTTCAAATCTCGAGAGCCTCTTTTGCCGGGGAAAACAAGTTTCATATCCAGATCCAGTGACAACACTCGAATCTTTATCACGTATTCCTATGACAAAAGGAATGAAAAATACGTCAACATTCACATTAACCATTGCCCTTTTTTTTTGATGCACGTCCTCGTGAAAGACATCCTATTATTATCTCTTCGATTGTCCGCAATTTGAAACCTCATGAAGTTTTTCAGAATTTTTCTGAAAAAAAACCAACCTTATCGTTCCAAGTTCCGACCACGAAGGTTTCTTCGTTAAAATCTTCGAAAGGTAGTTTTTGCCATTCAATGGCTTGAAAATTATCTAGGGAAAAAGAGAGAACAAATAAATCACCATCCTTTTTTATAATTTTGTTTCCTATTGATCTATAACAAAAAAGTTTTCCAAGCCACATATGTTGTTGATTTTTTGAGTAACTGAGAAGTGACCGTTATTGTTGCACTTCAAAAATATACTGATTAAAGCGCGTGTGCTTGGTGCGTACACGCTAGTCAAGGGCGCACTGCCCAGCGGATGCGACCATGGCAACCACGAACTTGTTAACTCTTCCGATGAAGTGTGAAAAGGTTTTTTAAAATGCCCCATCGGTAAAGCTTTCATTTTTAGATTCCCATGTCTGACACGCTTTGATTTTAGCAAATGTTAACTTAGTAAGTCCTTGCGTTGTAGGGAAAAGTGAATTGCTTGCCGTGATAGTGAAAACTTTTTCACGTATTATCTGATGCGACATTTCGCGGGCGAAAGAGAAGTTACACCTTTGAAATACTAGTAAAACAAAGCTGAAACTTACCCTCTTGTTTTAAAGCCTGTGTAACCGCTGTCAATTGAAGCAAAATTGCAAACGCAACGATCAAAATCACAATCCTCATTGTTACAGCGCGCTTTTCCTCTCACGAAAAAAAAACCGCACAACTTCGATCTGAGAAACAAAGCGAAGTGATCATTTGACGTCACAGTTACAGCTTATGACGCAGCGTGCGCGTGAAAAGTTAAGAAAAGTCGTTCCAAGGCTCTTTCGTTTCCTTTTTTTCCTTCGTTTGTGATTCTATAGTTATGTTTGTTGAATTTTTTTAGAGTTTCGTCGGTAAAACGTTCAACTTTATTCTCGTGCGAAGTAGAATTTTAGGCATTAACAATACGACAGTCAAGATATATTTTGATTTGGATTTCCTGCGCTTGCGACCATCTGGTTTTTTCCAGCACTTCGAGCTTAGTACATGTCTGCGCTCGCTTTTCTCGGGTTCATATTTTTCTCGCGCTTTCATAAGTAAAAAATTGTTTATTGGTGTTATGTGTTACTGATAAAGCGCTCTGTATTGGTAGCTAATCGGCTTCCCCCTGACTTACAGTTTTCATATTTGCTTTCTAGGAGGTAGCTGAAATAGTTCGTTTAACCAGCAGTAACGAATGGTCCGATAGACGGGATGGTGTAATTTGTCTGCAAGGTTTCCTTCTTAACTCGGGAGTTCTCAGGTGTGTCCACTGCTTTTTGTTTTTTGATATAGTCATCTCAATAACTCTTTGATTTGCTTCTTCGTTTAAACGTTACTGCATTAGGTTGTAATGAGTTTATCTATGTTTCTTTCTCAACAGTCAAATAGAACTTGGACGAATAAAGGACTGCCTCACAAGATTGTTTTTCGATCCACATAATAAGGTAAAATCATTTTCTCTGTAAATTTTCGCCGTGATTTGTTAACAAATAACATTTACTAGATGAGTCACAGGTTGCGACTTAATCACGTGCAAATACATCGAACTCGTCCTCTTCCAATCAGATTTTACTTACCCACAATTCGATCACATGCGTCTTGCATGGTACGTGAACCAGATTTGTGTTGCTGTTGGCTCATCGTGCGGTTTGCGTTGACTTTTTTTTTTTTCCTTTTTCGGAAAACCTCCTTTATTTTTCTTGCTGAAATCGCTTGATTTTCTTGCAGGTTTACAGTCTGTTTCTGGACGCGTTGTGTGACTTTATAGTCGTAAACAAAGTCGATCTCCATGACTGGCTGTTTGTTCTGTTGTCACGCCTTCTCACCAAACTCGGTACAGACCTGTTGAGTTCGTTACAGTCTAAAGTGGTCCGAGTGCTGGATGTGATCAGGTAAGGCTAAAGAGAGATATTCTGTTCTCGTTTAGAATGTGTTTTTCAGTTCTACAATTTCATCGGCGAAAGATCCATTTTGCAGTAATTGATGATCACTATAGTCTGATTGGCATTTTTCTCTAAATGAAGCACTAAACAAAACAACCAATCAGATTTCAGAACATTTTTTAAATACCACTGCTCACATTTCCGGAAAATTCTAATTTTGTTAAAAAAAATGGACGTGAAAAATACTTGCGATTTCAAATAAAGTCGTACCCAACTCAGATCTGTTATAATTGCTAATGGAGTTTTGATTTCTTTTGATCATCAGGGATTCCTTTCCATATGATCTTCAGTTCAGCATTTTAACAAGATTCATCACTGATCAAACTCAGACGCCAAACCTTAAGGTATTGATATCCACAAATTTTTTTGTTACTCTTTGGCCGTCGTATTTCTTTGTAATCTGCTTTTTTTAACGTTATTACTTGTGTTTTAGGTGAAAATAGCCATTTTGCAATATTTACAAGGACTTATCGGCCTGATGGATCCTAGCGACTTCACCAACTCTGGTGGTATCCTTTCAGCATTTTAAACTCAGTTATGACATTGTTTCTTTCTCTTCCCTTCCCTCCCCTCCGATGTGAGTCGCGACCTTTTGACATATGGACTGTCGGACGTCTTCGGCAGATGAGGTCGACTAATCACGCGTCACCCTCTAAAGCACATCTGCGATTGGCTAGTTTAGACCTTCGCCATTTTATTGATATATTCCTCAAGGGTCAGCCGTTGCACGACTACTCTGTCGTTTGGGCATTTCTGTTCACTGTCTCAGTCGAACAGACACTCGCACGTGGAAATCTCTTAAGGGGGGAACTCTGGCTAAGGCATTCAGGGGTAGTTTTCACCACTGACCACTGACCACTGAACATCACCCCCTCCCTCCAGCTTCCATGGGATCACCCCCCTTCCGCCAGAAAATGTTGAGTACAAGGAGTCAATAAATGTGGTTACAATTTTGTACGGTTATGAATCTCAAAATAGTTTTTTTTTTTTAATGAGGTAATCGGATTGTGTGGGGGGGGGATTTCAAAGGAAACCAGATAAGAAGAAAGTGTCTTGTAGAATGTGAATACGATCAGAATAAATCATGTATTTATTTTGACCTTAACGTGATTTAGAAACACGTTTGGCGGTCTCTCGTATAATCACTTGGACCACGGAACCGAAGAGCGCAGACGTCAGAAAGGTAAACTATTCTATGATGTACCATAAATTTGTAGAATTTAAGACTGCTCAGAAATTCTGGTGAATTCTAATGGATGGTTTCTCATTTCAACCCTCTATCTAATTTACAGGAATCAGCAGCTGTTATTGTAGCTCTATTTGAACTGAACACTCCAGAATTCAGCATGATGCTGACCGTTTTACCAAAGTCATTCCAGGTAATAAGATGAAAAACCAATGGTTTTTTGACAACAATTTTTTGCAACGGCAAATGAAAGGTTCTAATCTCAACTCTTAAAATTCGTTATTTGGCAATCCTAAATTACTAAACTGTTGCCGAAATTTCCTACTCGATTTGGCGACCAAAACGACCGTTGCTCGCACTGCTGTCAACGTGCATAGTTTAATTAAACAATGAAATTTTGTGTTTATTTTTACAGGATGGTGCAACGAAGCTGCTCCATAATCATTTAAAGAGTAGTACACAGGGTAATGAGGTAGGAACCGTTACTTAACTTAACTGAACTGACACGTTGCAGTGTATTGTAGCACACTCAACATGTATGCGCATTTTTTAATTTAGCACCACTTTGTTTCTTACAGCCATTTGCTGCTGGCCGTGGATCACCTTCGTCTGCTAGCTCTAATTTTGATGACGTCGAGAGCGAGCGACCACGGTTAAGACTGGGTTACAGAACACTCTCCTCGTCCTCCATGAAAGGACTCTCTCCCGGAAAGGACGAAAACCCGGGCTCGCCTGAACATCACACAAAGATACCGACACCAACGAAAACAGCTCAAAGCCCTCGAGGCGGTCAGACGAGGTTTGGTTTCTCACCGCGGACAAATGGTAACTCAGTTAAAAGAGACAACAGCTTCGAGGCTGAAGCGATCAGCTCCAGTGAGTCCTTAGACGGAAGGTTCGCTTCGCCCCCACCGCCACACCGTGGGGAAGGCTCTTCTCATCCACCGGAAGACGCTCCAAGTGTTTCATCCGGGTACCACAGTGACGATATCGCATCCGCTAACGTGGAAAACACTGCTCAAGCAACGGCAGCTGGCCCGCCAAACTCGAGTGGATCCGCGGGACAAAAATATGACCCGAGACAATACCAAGACCAGCAGAATGACTTCCATCCAGTGAGTTAAAAAAAACTTATGGGCAATTCTTCCTGTCATATTCCATTTTGTGTTTTGTCTTTGCAAGTTTTAGCAGAGAAGTCGTATTTTCAAACGCGCTGTTTGAAGTGCCTTATTTCCTTTGACCTTTTGCAACGACTTGTCGTCTCAACCTTGATATTTCTGTTGTGATTCTTTCTCAGGTTCCTGAAATAAACGGTTTTCTTACCGCTGGCCGGAAGAAGAATGGTGAAGTGGAGGACGAGCTGGATCGGTCATTAGAAGGAATGGAACACAGTGATAACCACTTTGATAAAGGTGAATAAATTTAGATTTGTAAGGTAAAATCAGTGTACGAACCTAGAGACCAATTTACTCGGAAAATACACTGGGATTCGGTGCTCGAAGTGGCTCTGAGTATCGCTACCCTTTCCAGCCATGGATGGGTTTTTAGTACATTTCAGGCTCTGCCCTTCCCCTACCTGAGGATTTTGTCAGGTGACTTCAACAGTTCGCCGATAGCAATTAATTCTCCTAGACTGAGGAAAGCACTGAGAGGGTAATACTTTTACTTCGCTTTCCGACTGGTTCAAAACTCTAAATGCGCTTTAATTTCAATCCTTCAGATGTGTCTCTAGAACACGCAGATGCACTCTCTCCTATCATGGTCCCCTTGGGGGCACCGTCGGGTATGCAATCCGATGACAAGAAAGAGGCGCTGGGAGAGTTGCTGAGGATGACCCGAGAGGACACTCCTGTGTTGTGGGAGGAAAACCTGAACACTTTGTTGTCTTTGCTCATGAAGAATATCGGAGACGATGAGGTAATTCTAGTGAGAAGCGCCAGTTTGCTAAGTGTTCCTTAGTCTCTTATTATCGGAAACGCTCTCTCCCCTCCCCTTCACGTCTTGAACTTCTAGTTTCTAATAAGCCCCTCCTACTCAACCCCTCCTTTCCCTTTCCTTGTGGAGTAGAAGTTTATTGCTATTCGTTGAGGAACAGGTCGCGCTTCTGTTTAAAATATTCTTGAACTCGGGAACCTTTATTTGTATCCCTTGAATAAACATCTCAGGTTTTGGTTTTTAGCCAAATATATGCACATTGCATCTGATATTTATTGAATTTAGGCGATAATCTTGAGGAAAAGAAAGGTTTTGAGAGCCCCACGTTCCCACCGATATGCCCCTGCCTGGAAACTCAGGATATTAATAAGCCAGTCGAGGGCACTTCGTAACATTGCTTCAAATCAGTAGTATGCTGAATTTTCTATTTTGCTGTCTGTAGCCCGCAGTTCGACAGCTGTCGCTTCGCGTCCTGAGAGACATGGTACGAACTAGACCCCAGGCCTTCAACAAGCAGATTGACAAAATGGTGGAGACAGTTCTGAACGCTCACAAAGATGTACAAAAAGAGGTAGACATTTAATTTTTTTATTTTATTATTATTTTTTTTACATTATCACTCTTATCATTATAGTGATTTTTTTTATATTCATGGTTTTCTCACGAAAACGTTTCTATGATCCTCTGTTCTAGGTTGCTCGAGTGGCTGAAGAAGCTGCTGGGACGATCGCCAAGAATCTTCCGCCGGAAGTTTGTCTTCAAGCTTTGTCACCAGTCCTGCGAGAAGCTGAGTTTCCCGTCAATCTTGCAGCTCTTAAAATGGTCATGAAGGTACAATTATCGCTCATTATGTCGCGCAGTGTCACGGAATTCCCCAAACTACAAATAATTCAAAGAGCATATAGCTCACAACCATTAAGGAATAAATTCGAGAATGCTATGTTATGGAAGGTTTGAAATATGCTACGACTTTTTTTTGCCTAATTTTTTTGTGTGGTTCCCCAATCTTCATTTACTTGTTGAAATATTCCAGACAATATAAATGAACCTTTTTTTTTTGTAACGTCGTCACACATGAATATTACGGCCGAGAAATGCTGTAAACGTATGGAAAACTTATTCCATGTAGTTATTTCTATTAACCCATTAACCCCTGAGAATGACTGGCTTCTTATTTCTCCTGACGGTATCACCCTTGAATCAAGTACAAAAGTGATGAGAATTAAGGAAAGGATCAACAAAGCTCTTTGTCAGTACCATAGGAAGTGTAAAGAGAACAGTGTGGAGATTATGAATATTGATATTAAGTTTCGTCCCTTATTTCATGACGTCTCCTTTTTAGGTGGTCGAGGACATTGATGGCGAAACAATCGAGGAGAACTTGGGAGAGATCGTACCAGGGTTAGTCAGGGTAGGTGTTCGAAAACATTGTAATGCGTTAACTTTTTATCTTAGAAGAAAATTAACAATGCGCGTTGAATTGCTATGAATATCGCTGTCCAACGAGGTACACTATAGCGCCCAAAAAATGGCGGTGAATATGAAAAACTACAGTTTGCGGAGAAAGAATAGAACTATTTTTACACCTGTTCTTATCAATCTGCAATGTGTTAATGGTGCATCTCTACCCATGTAAGAGGTTTGGGTTGAAAATTCTCGAGAATGAAAACTTTTCTCAGTCAACCCACGCAGAACTTAACGTTCGTGGACGTCAACGTCACTAAATGCTTACAGTAATTGACGCAAATTTGGGAGACATTCAACACTTCAATATTGTATTTCGTGTGAGTTCTTTAGGGTTTTTGCCAAATTTATTCAATGTAGTTCTGCATTTCTGTCATATTCCAGTGCTATGACCATGTAGAGAGCAGTGTCCGTAAAGCCAGTGTGTTCTGTCTTGTGGCAATACATGGTGTGGTTGGCGAAGAAACTCTGATGCCGCATCTGGCTGAGCTCTCCGGAACGAAGGTAAAGTTCTTCTTCACTGCAGCTGTTGATTCATCTGTAAATTCTCAGCGCTGCTTCTTTTTGTTTTTATCTTTGCATCACAGTGTTATTCATCCATGTTATTCCAATCATCCTACCTTTTCACTCAAAATAATTAAATTCATGAGAGGACGGCACTAAAGCAATATTTTTTTTGTCATCCGTTTGTTGTTACCCAGATGAAACTGCTAAACCTCTACATTAAGAGGGCCCAGGCTGGCAACGGCGGAGGGCGTCCGTGAGATCCTGGTGATGAGTAAGGAGATATTTTCTTACATTCCTCTCTCGAGAGAGAGGAGTTCAGCAGACCCAAGCCGAGTCTAGAGATTAACTTTGGTTGCACTGTGGTCATCACGAATATTATTGAAGGTGCAAGTGTCAAAGATTTAAGACCGAGCTTGGTGTCCAGGCTAAGGTGTTGTACTGGATCACCCGACAATTTTTCGGCGCAATAATGGGAAATTGCGACTGAGTTCACTATTGCAAGGATGGCTTTCGTGTATCGTTCTGTCGGTCTAAAGACTTTGAAACTAAAATCATTGGAACCCGTCAAACCACGATGAAAGAGTCCTGGAAACTGCGGGCTTTTAACGATTCAACAACTGTTGACGAATTCCGTTTAACATTTTCCGTTGACAATAGATCTTCTGTTGGCCAACTGACCATTTGACATATTTCCGTTGTTGGCGACTATTTTTTTTATGTAGTAACGTACAAATGAGTCGTCTCTCATTGTTTACCTGTTCAGGAACTGAGTCATAACTCCGGCAGCGCCGCGGTGGAGGCGCTTCCTTGCGCTAAAACGCGCAAGGAACGAGCTTGTCCTCTTGTAGGAGACACATCGTTTTAAACAGCTCCCGCATTGTATGGCAATCTCATGTTAGGAAAACTACCATATGGGCGAACTTCAGTTAAGAATCCTTTCCTGCTTACATGGCTCGTTCCATAGTGATTGGAATCTTTAAATTTTTTGCAATATTTTAACGGCTAGCATTTGTATGTTTTTACCGTTTTCATTTTGTAATGTTACTTTCTTTTGTCATTTCTACCGCGCACAAAAAGATTAACTCTTGATGTTGGCTGTAAGCTTTTGACTAATTACCATTGGTTGTCAGTTGCGTGACTGAAATGAGACGTGACGTTCGGCGCGTCACGCAACACCGTGTCGGATATGTTTGCGATGGAAATAATATATTTATTTTTAATATAGAGTTTGTTTGGGTCGCAATTAAATATCTGATAGTTTTATGTGTGAAGTAACATGAACTAAACCGGTAAACATTTATTAAGCTTGGTAATTCCGACTCCAATGTCGGGAAATGGAAATAGCGAAAATAATAAAAATCTTTATTTAAAGGTACAGAGTCTTTTCTCTGAAAGCTCCCAGCATTAATAGCACTTATTTTTCTTACAAACTTCTTATAAATAAAACGATTTTTGCCATCACACCATTTCATTAAAAGAACTGAAAACATTGGGGTCTGATACGCTTAGGTGGCACTAATTAAATTATCAAGAATTTCCTCATACACAGAAATTACCCCCTCAAGCATCATGCTACATGACCCGACTCGATCCGAACCTCCCCTGGTTTACCTCACTCCTCTATTATCGCGCTTCGTTTTACTAACTGAACGCATGAGAGGTTACCCCACCTCCTCCTTCCACCCAGTCTCCGACATCTTAGAGCTTTCTCTCTCTTCACAGGAACTGACCGATGTGATTTGGGAATTCTGATTAATGTCTGAATTTCTTCCATGAACTGACTTTTCTGGACAGACAGCCTTGACTGATGCATAATGAGTTCGGCTTGAACCTTTTTGTTCTGTGTTTTGTTCTGAGCTTTGGTGAGTTTGTTTTCGTTTCGAGGGAGCAAATTTTTACGGTTCGAGAAGAAATGATTAGACTTTTAATGTTTTAAGAAATGATTAGGCATTTAAACTTTATTCTGGTCCAGGGGTACGGGAATTTTAACAAAACCAATCCTCAAAAAATTCAAATGCCCGGATGGGGGGAGGGGTGCCCCGGGGGGCACGGGGATGTTGAAGCTTCGATTGATGGACGCGTAACATTCCATATTCCTAGCCGCGTTAGACTGGGCACAGGTTGAGATGTGATATGGATGCATGATGGGTAAGTCTAATTCTTTCTCTCCACTGCTAGTCGAACGTGTTAGTAGAATCGTTCATAGCACCGTAAAAAGACATGGGATTCGGTGATCTGAAGTCAAGATCAGGCTTAGAAGCCTTGAATAAATACCTCGAGGATAAAAGCTATATCGAGGGGTGAGTACTTTTAATTCATATGCGTTTGTGTGTCCGGAAAATGCCAAAAATAAAAGTAACTAGTGTTTTAACCTATCCACGTGCATGACTCTAGATTTTAAACCCCGTATAATCTTTTGAGATGAGTATCTTGACAGATCACCAACGTTTAAGTGTAACTGATTACATAATATTCTTCTTACGAGTGAATCAATGAGTGATACCAACAACCACGTACAGATTTCTTTGATTATTCGTGTTTAAGTCGTTTTGCTTAGAAATTTTTAAATTATATATAATTTTTCCTTATGAGGAGTCAGGCAGTTCTACCGATCAGCAAATATGAAGTTTTCATCAAGAAAATTTCATGTCAACTCATTTTACGTCGTAAATCGAATGTGATGTATATTGGCTGCTGTTAGTATAATTTCGTACATAATGTACAAAAGTGTAGCAACTATGAATTTTTATGGCTTCAACTAATGGGTCCATAACTTTGGCAAAAACGCTAAAGCGGCCTGTTAAACTTAGTGAAGATATAGTTGAGTCGCAGTGATTTTTGGGTTCAGAGGCCATCACTCTGTTTGCCTGAGCCAATGATAAATTGCTGATGCTTTTAAGATTTATCAACCACACAGAATGGCACTTGCTAGCATTTATGCTCACACTGTCAATTCCAGTGCGGGAGAGTTAGATAATTACTCTGCTGTAAAGCTTACCTTATGTGTGAAATAGTGTCATGGTACTTCTTGAAGTTCATCTTTTCAATTACAGTCTTAACATTATTGACAAGTGAAATATTGCCTTTGCAGCTATGTTCCTTCTCAAGGCGATACTGTGGTATTTCAAGCATTGTCAGCCTGCCCATCTGCTGATCTTCCACATGCCCTACGCTGGTACAATCACATTGCTTCATTTGGTGTTGAAAAGGCCTCTTTTCCTGGCAGCAAAAAAGATCTAGGCAGCTATGGTTCTGCAACAGTCTCAAATGGTAGTGCTAAAAAAGATGATGATGAGGACGACTTTGATCTTTTTGGTTCAGATTCTGAGGTATGTGATCCTGATCTAGAGGTTAAGTCTTTAGGTATACAGGGAAACCTGTGTTAGGTGAACATGCACAAGACAAAGCTTCCATTTAATAGAGGCATTGGCTTACTGAGACTTGTGTTTGGGAAAGTACAAGAGAAAAATTGTGGCCTCCTGTGACCTGTATCTATTTGACTTTGAAACATCTTCCTAAGAATATTGTTTAACATTTAAGAGCTTCTTTAGTTAGTGAACATTTCCTTTAACCTTTTGATGTTTGATTCAGGGTGATATTGTAAGGATTAAATTAGATGCTAGTCATTCTAAGGGGTCATAGGCTTAATCCTTTAACTCCCAGGATCTGATTGTTAATTCTCCCCTCTACCTACTACACATTTCCTTATAAATTAGCCATGAGAACTTGGTATTGGATCAAGATAACAACATCTACCTGATTAGTTTGAATATTCTCATTACCTGTTTGCAGGATAATGTAAGGATATAAGGGGGAGAAGTTTCATGTTGATCACTTCTGGGAGTTAAAGAGTGAAACTGTCTCAAAGGGTTCTTTTGTATTACAAAAACAATATTTGTTTGTCATCACAAAAATCATGATATTAAGGTTAAGGAATTGAACATTTTGGGCTTGAATTACAGGAAGAAGATGACGAAGAGACAAGGAAACGAAAAGAGGAAGAGTTAAAGAAATACCATGAGAAAAAATCCAAAAGTAGGTTTATTTTTAACAGAAAGTTTTCCTTAGCTGGACAAAAACCTTTTTTATCCCTCAATAATCCTTCTGCCCTAGTTAATTTCCTACTTTATTAGATTTATAATGCTTTTAGAATTTGAGTATTGACACAAGACACTCTGCAGGCTGTGGAGTGCATCAATTAGCCACAAAGAAAGATTGAAAATAAACAAACAAAGAAACTAACTGGTATGACTTTCAAGCAATAACTTTCCAAGTTTTCCACAATCCATTCAAATCCTGTTTATTTTCAACTATCCAGTCTACTCACCATTTTTGTAAAATCTTGATACCTTTTTTTTTTTTTTGCTTAGAAAAACCTGTTATAGCCAAATCGAGTATTATTCTGGATGTAAAACCCTGGGATGACGAGACAGGTATTAATGTTACAGGAATCTTCTACTACTTGTGATAATTACCAGCTATATTAGATGTTTAAATATGCCCACTTAAATATGATACCTTAGGACTGACAGACTCTTGGGTTGTTTCAATGGTAACTGATAACTTAACAGTTGGTGTTGTTGTTGAACAATTTTGCCTGGCTGGGGAAGAGGGGTTTTAGAGTGAAAGAGTGAGTCCAAGAATGTGAGTTTTATCCAAAGAGTAGGCATTCTACCAAAAAATAAACATCCAAATGGCTCAAATTATCAGAAAATTCACAATCTTAACTTGGTCATACCTATGGATACATTCTTGACATGTTAGACATGCTTTAAAAGGTCTCATCAGTTTTCATATTCTATGTTACATTTACAGGTAATCTGCTGACATTTTCTTTTAAAATACCAAACCTGGCATGATGAAATTTTATGACCACACTATATAACATTCCTGTGCAATCTATACTGGGTGGTTGTTCAAAGCCTTAATAGTTCCCCCATCTTACCCCATTAACAATTTGTATTCTAGACATGAAAGAATTGGAGAGGCTAGTTCGCTCAGTGGAAGCTGATGGTCTTCTTTGGGGTGCATCAAAACTCGTTCCTCTTGCATACGGAATCAAGAAGTTACAGATCAACTGTGTCATTGAAGATGACAAAATCTCAACAGACTTCTTGGAAGAGGAGATCACCAAATTTGAAGATTTTGTCCAATCTATGGACATCGCAGCCTTCAATAAAATCTAATGTCAGAATTTTGGACTAGCATTTAAAAATAAAGTAAAAGTGAAAAAGATTATCTGTGGATAATTTTGTTTTGTTGTTTTTCTATATAAGAAAGACAGGTGAAGTTTTCATGGCATCCTGTGAGAAATAATTTGTTTTATTATATTGGGTAAGGTATGCACACTTTCATTGGTCAATTGAGCAGGCCATATTTCACTGTATGGCCTGTTTAATTCAAAAACTTGTTTGAACTGGAATCTTACCCTTATGTTTGAACCCAGAGATATAATAAATATCTTGCTAACTTTGTTTTCATGGTCCTTGCTGTGATTTACAAAACCTCATTTTATAAATCCAAGCGGAAAAGCTTAATCCATGACTCACAGTACAGACCTTGAACTCTGTTAGCAAGAAGTGTAGCATTGTTTGCACATTTCACTGTTTTTCTTTAAAGAGAGAGATATCATACCTGATAGAAATGAATGTAGCTTTGAAATGGGGGCATATGAAAAGGCATGCAGGATTCCTAATTGAGTGGGTATTTATCAGAGCTAACTCATCCAGAAGAGACATGGCCCTTCAAGCTGTTTTATGCTACGGAAACTGCCAGGGATAAACTTTGGCAGTAGCGGGCAGAGATGTGCCAAGGTTTTGCTCTGTCATGCAGAGCGAAGCTCTGGGTGAGTTTGGATGTCACATCTGTGTCTCCTTCTCTATCTCTTTCACCAAAGGATACAAGACAATTTGGAAGGAGAATCTACATGTAGTAGTTTCATAAAGGTCACAAGCAGCCTTGTTAACATGCACCCCTTCAGTAATGGAGTAAGATTTACAGAGAACAAAACAAGTTGAATTCAAACATTTAAGAATTTCCTATCAAAATTAGGTTAATTATCATTTGTAGTTCCAGTAATGTTATTTTGTGTCATTTTCTTCTGACATCTTTCTCTTTTTGCTGCAAGGAAAGACAGCTTTGTAAGATGACATGGTATGGTAGGGGAGAGACGGGGATTGGGAAAATGCCTATGTTTTGTGGCTCCGAGCCTGAAACATCCCACTGGCAAAATATAACTTGATCTGATTCTCTTCCCATTAAAACTGTCAGATAAATAACAATTTTAGTTGGCCTCACTATAATCTACTGCATTTTTGGGAAGTTCCAATCAATATTTTGCATGAGATAGTTGTGTTAAGAGGAACAATATCTGCAAGAAAATAAATTAACTAAAATTCTCAGCGTAAAAAATTGACTCTAAAATTCAGTTTTACAGCCTTGGGTCTTCTTCTTTTTTAAACAAAAAGTTTTTGATTTATGCCTGATCATTATTACACCATTTGGTTTCAGTTGACCCTTTTCCCCCTTGAAGTGATTGACATGTAACTTCTCCTTATAATTCCCATACCTTACCCAGCAAACAAGTAATGAGAACACTCAAGTAGAGGTTATTTGATCTGACACCAAATTCTCATTACTAATTTACATGGAAATTTGTACTAGCAAGAGGGAAGAATTAAGATCTTAGGAATAAAAGGCTTAAGAAACCAGATTTAATCATTCACCTTACCTATTTTTTCTCTGCTCCTGTATCAATTTGTATTGAAACGCAAAGAAGTATAATAAATTGTCATATCTTCCATCATATTCCCTGATGGAAAAAGTTTACAGCATATAATTACATTTTTAAAAGATTGAGATTTGAGCATTTATGATAGTAAATTGTGAAGAACACAAAAGTTTTAATATTCCTTGCAACACTTTGCCACATGGTTGGTGTAAAAAATGTTTTCAAGAAAATATACCTTCTTGGTCTCACTTAGTTTACACCATGTGATATAAGCTGAGGAAGCTAACATTTGGAAAGAAAGAGATCACCTGATTTTTTTAATTTCCCTGAAAAGAAAGCTGTCATTCCAACAACAATTGATGTCTAACACGACTTTCTTAACATACAAATAATTGATTAAAATTTGGAACTTTCCGAATCAAAGTCATCATGGCATACACTGAGCTGTGCTTTTGAATAATACCTTTTTAAAATATGCTGATCATATTCCTTGAAAAAGTAATAAATAGCTTCTATGGTAGCAAGGCATGTATCTGGCTTCCTTTGAGGTCTGTAAAGTCAAGCAAATATCTCTTAAAGGTGTGCCACATTGCTGAAGCTAATTACTAAAAACTCACAGGAGACGAGTAAACAACTTTGGGGTTCATGGTAAATGCACTGGACTCTGTGTTGAGCGGTCCTGGGTTTGAGCCTCAGCAGGATCATTGAGATGCTTTTGGGCAAGACACTTCCCTCTCACAGAGCACCCTGAATTACTGGTGGGTACCTAAAAAACGTCAGGGAAATCTAACAAATACAAGGGGGCAACAATGTGATGAACAATCATAATACAGGGAAGGTAAATGTACTCCTAACCACTTCATGCAACAGAGCATTAGCTGTTCCTCATTTGCTCTGACGAAGGGCTATTGCTTGAAATGTCAGCTTTGAAACTCTTTAAGGTGGCCAATTTAGTTGATAATACTATATTACCCTGTCATACACTCCCACTGCATTGCACCACAGTTTCTTTAGAAAAATACCCCCTTTAGACTGTAGCAGTGTGAGGCTATCTGACCTTAGAGACTCAAACTAAACATTACAGGTTCAGTCACATCCCTTTGATGGAAATTCTTTAAGCCCTCTATTTCCCTATCAGCTGTCATCTTGTCAAATATCTAAACAAGTCATTTAAAAAGGTTGCAAGATTGTACGTACCTCCAAAAATGTGTTACAGCACTCTCAAGTTTAACTCTTTTCAGTCCTTTCAACTTTTTGTCCTTAAAATAAACTTTCTTGTTAAAAAAAAACACTTTACAACAAATTATCTACATTCAACAAATATTTCATTGCTGATTTGTCAATGATATACATTCAAATCAATTATAGAATTACTACATGGGGCTTCAACATTGCATTTAATCAAAAGTGAAGCTTATTTTAAATGATAAAACAATCAATTTCTCATTCAAAACAGTTTGATGAACTTAAAGTTTGGTTTGTCTGAATCAATTATTGCATTTTCACTGAGCTGAGGGTGAAAGGGAAGCATTGTTATATTATGTTGTAAAAAATGTTATAGGCAAAAATTGTTAAACTGAGTCATTTGCATTTTGCAAATTACATTCAATTGTGATTTTAGGGAAACTTCTTTAAACATAAATCAGTGATTGTTACAGCTACATTATGCTATAATTAAGAAGCTTGTGCTAACAGGCTTACGGTTATGATCTGATGACACTGCTGCCATGTGCTATCAATGAACACCACTCTGTGTAACAAGGCACCAGCATCTGAAGAATCTGGATTCTGTCTGTCCTGGTTTAATCTGATCTTCTCCAGGGTGACAGCATCCTGGAAAGTTGATACAGAATTTACACCCTGATTTGTTATTAAATGGTTTATTAGCCAATTTGGCAATTTTGATTGTTTCTATATTTCATTAGTGTTTGTAATTTATTCCTAATTACTGGACCATTGTTTTAGTGCATATATGTTGAATACCTTTGATGTAATAGTCTGGTGTTCTTTGTCATCAACTTTATCATTGTCATCATTATCATCATCATCTTTAACTTTCAAGCATAAGCTTCACTGTAAAAATCATCTTAGTTGTGCTGAACAAAATATATCAAACTGAACATAAAATATAACTTCCTGATAACATTTTTATTACTGACTCACCTCTGCTGGAAAAACAATTATGACCTGAAATAAAGACAATAACATAAATATAGATAATACAATGAAAGAAGTATCTATCTTTAATTAGTAACATATAATGGTAACAATTGTTATATACAGTGAATTACAATTAATCAAATGTTTTTACCTTCTCCTTCTCTTGAAAATCTGGGACTTCCTGGTGAAAGAAACAAAATGAGAGAATAGAATATAATGTGAATAAAAGAAATAAAAAATAAGACAAAATGGATAACAGATTTTTCGGGTGGTTTAAAATACAGCATAAACTTACTGGAAAGTTATGGATGGACACATTCCCAGGAGCTAAGATACATGCATGAGTGGCTGTACTTTTCCCTACCAACTCTTTTTGATGTTTTATTCTGTTGTCAAAAAACATTTTGTCAATTGTAAGATGGTAAGTAATGATCCAAATGATATGTGGATGACAGACAACAACTATGTATACAGAGGGGGAAATAGGGTGAAAAGTTAGAAAAATCACCTTTAAAAAAGAATAATGAATTGGAGGCTACTGTATTTATTATCCATCATATTTTTCAAACATTTTTTTAAAAAAAGTTTTCCTTCTGCGTTGAATAAAATTTCTAAAAAGGCTTTGATCATAGAGGACATAAGGTTTGAAAATTGGGGAATACTTAACAATTATTCCATGAGCGTGTGTTTGATATGATTTGGTTATCACCGCTCTCGTATCGTAAATTTTTGATGGATTTTAAATTTCCCCGACCACATGCAGCTAATTTATTTTAAGGGAAAAAAAGTAACGCAGATCCTGATTAAAAAGGAAATAACGACAGATTAACACATCGGGTCAAACATTTCTATTTGTGTCCCTATTCACCCCACAAAGAAAATGAATAATCTCACATGTCCACTTTTATAGGTAGATGAACTGTCGGAATCAGACTTCTATCAAGTCCAACTGTTATGTAGCATGTGTAACAATAATACTTTCTCGAGGCTTGACACTTGGGGCAAGGTCTTCTTTCAGCGCCTCTGGAAGAAAATAAATAAATGAACTTTATCGGTAAAGAATCATTACACATACTTCATTGTCCGTACAAATATTTTACGCTTACAGAAAGCATTGAAGAAAATAAAAGAATTCCGCTAGGACTGAGCTGTTTTGTTCCACGGTGCTGATTTGTGTTTTCAAAGATTTCAAAGGCTTAAATTGGTCTAACAATGTACTGTATGAATGAAGCGTCACTAGAAGTAGGTAAAACGTTTATTTCATTATGGAATGTCAGTAGTATACCTTAAGACTTCATGAGATGCGATCTTCAGTTCTGAAAACGGTGAAATGTGTATTTGCTTTATTTCGTCCACCATGTTGAATTTTTTATTACTCCGTCACGTAATACAAACTATAATGTCTTTCTAAATGATTATGAATATGAAAGATATATTCGCGCGTCTTTTTATTTGACTGTCTCGTGGTGTTAGTTTGATCACACCTAATCAGAGATTTGAAACTTTTGAAAAAAGACAAGAGTCTATAATAACACTGACCTTTCCGTTTTCGGCGTAATTTATTTCTATCTTGAAAAGTAATTGGCGATGGAAACGTTCATTAGGAGACTGGGTGTGTTCGTCGAGGACCATTTCCTCGATATTTCTCCTACACATTATAGTCGGTCGACCGACCCACTTCTACGAAATGGAAAAGGAAAAAACTATTGGGGGAAACGCGTGGCAAGCAAACTTCATTAGATCCTCAACATTTGGATATTTGGAGCTTTTCCAGCACTGCAACAATTGGTGCAACAATGCATTTCCATAAGGAGACTCGAAATATGAGCTGACAACCGGACTTGAGTGAACTAATCAAAACACCAGAAATGCAATATCCGGAGTTAAAGATTTAATAGAGTGGTCTTCGATGAAGGTCAGTCGATTTTGCCGGGACAACTGCGTATAATTGAATAATGTTCACAGTACATTCTGCTACCAAGACAACGTCCCAGGTTCATAGCTGTTTATTTGTTATGTAAAATATGTTTTTAAAAAGCATGAATATCATTTATGTGACGTTCTTGTAAACGAGAATTGTTAATTTAAGATCTAAATTTGTTCCTAGCCTATTTCTTTTTCGACTTTTATATCGCAAACAGGATTTGATTCGTAGCCTATAGTTCCTCATGAAAGAACCTTCAAAATTGTCAGTGCTACGATTATGGCGCAGATGATTAACTATAATTACACAGTACGGACTGCTCAATTATCCATCAGTTGCCGAAGGATTGGGTCAAGAAACGCCTTTCGTCTCTCTTGTCTTTCAAATTCCAGCTTCTTTTGTTGGTTACATTCGCGCAAATTCATACCAGTCGCTTTTCCTTTCGTGGTGATAATGATACAGCTTTGGAAGTCTTAATCTTTCAGCCTCTAAATTAGCACCAATCGCTCTAAAAAGTAAAATTATACTTAGTTAACAAAGTAACAGAAAGCCGAAAAACAGGACATTTTAATGCCTACCAATTTTTCCGAATCAAGGGCTTTAGATTTTTTTTCTCAGAGTCAGAATTTTCGTCGAGCACCTAATCATATCCGAAGAACTTCGAAAATTTCCGAATGTTTACGAAGGCGTTCCGAATACATTCCGTAAGTGTTCTGAAGAGTTGCTTCAACCATTTCATGGCAGTGGTTTATCCTCCACATCCGAGATTTTCGGATATATATATAATCAATCTTATGCGCTTTTTTTCTCCCACTGTTTAATCAAGTCTCTTTTACGATTGAACTTTTTTTAAAAAAAAAATGTATCAGTTAAAATGGTGATGGCTTGATTGTTGGACGTGAGCTGGTTTAAGAGTAACGAGAGAGTTGACTGGCGTACATTTAGGGAGGCCTGGGTACGAGATTGCGCTTACCTGTCCATTAGATCCCAGTCTTCACCGCCCCATCGTGTGGTGAATTTGACTTCGTCCATTCCTCCAAAACTGTCCCAGTCCGACTTGTAAGCCCCAAACAAACCATAGCCCATCATTTCCCAGTAGGCTGATGAACGAAATAAGGCAAGATATCTGATTTTACACACACATGAATTTAAGACTCGAGAGAGAAAGCATTCTCTTAGTTACGGCATTAAGAGCGGGAAAGCGCGCGCGAAAGAAATTACCACAGGCCGCAAACGTGCGAAATTGTTAATTTAATGGAAAGAGGGGGGAAGAAGTGAACAGTTGGCAAGTACGCTAAGAATATTAACGAGTGGCAAACGCTGGTGAAAGATCAGCCAATGGAAAGCGCAGAAATAGTTACCCGGCAAGCGGGAAAAAATTGTTATAAACCGCAAGCGCGGGAAAATGATGAATAGTGAAAAGCGCGTGCGAGAAGAAAACTTGCTAGTGGTAAGTACGTTAAAAATTTGAACCAATCGAAAACCTAGGGAAAGGATCTACCAAAGGTAATTTCCGAGAAAGGAAACCTTGTAATGGCAAGCGCAGGAAACACGAGAACAGTATCTTCATTAATAGAAAAAAAGATTGGAAGGACATTCAAACGACCATTGCATGGTGACGGACGCTTAAAACACTTTCCAAAGTGAGAGAGCTGGACAACTGAAAAACAGGTGTATGTACCTTGTTGATGTGTAATAGAGTAACCACATTTCAATTTGAGAACTGCGGGTGAGTAGAAACTTCTTCCCTGAATCGCGTGCTGTGTGAGGAAAGACCGAAAATCTCAGCAAATAAAGAATACGTTAAGAAAGAATACATTAGCTGTGAAACTAGCATATCCCTTACATTGCCTTAAAGAAAAACGAGCAGCTTAAAAAGTTGGTACCATGTGGAATGTTACCTTTCTTACGACGTCAAATATATTGACTGGGAACTTGATGTGCAGATCCGCTGTAAAGATGATACTGTTGGGATCCTGGTATGATGCAGAAGAAACCAAAAAGAAGAAACCCTGCTAAGATGGCGCCTAATTGATCACAGTTTAAACTCTCGTAGCTCATTATATCAAAATTTATCCTAGAGATTTGCATCATTGAAAGTTCGCCTCATACCACCTCGCCCCCAAATGGACACGTTCAACCCCACCTTCACTTGTTCACGCCTGAATCTTTAACTCAACCATCATGCCAAGCAAGGTATAAATTACCTTGATGTAACGTACTCCGTCATTCAAAGCCCTCGTCTTGTGAAATTCAGTAAAATGTCGAAGAATGGCGACCCTTGGAGATAAAAACGTCCAGCCGCAAGGGCCACATTAGAGAGTAACGTTTAAACGTGTCTTTTCGGTGATTCTTATATCAACTGACAAGATAGATCTAGCAACTTTTCATAGGGGGTTCCAAACTTTGATTCAGAAAAAAAAAAGAAGAGTCTGAAGAAGCCAATATGTATTTCAAGGTAGGAAAATTGCAAATACGTGGAACTCAAGTTGGGTAGTAATATGCGACCCTGTCGTTAGACATATCTTGGTCTGAGTAAATGATACATTACATCCCCAGGTCTGATAGAGGGGGCCCACACCCCCGGAAATTCACCCTGGATCCGCAGCTGAATGGTTGTTGGTTCCTGTAAGTGCCACACCCTTACCGGTCTTTGATTCCACTATTTTCTCGGAGTTGAAAGAGATCAATGTCACTGCTATTGAAATCCACGATGACAAGGAAGAAGTTACTGTCATATCCTTTCTCGTAAATCTGAGGAAAGATATCTGTATCAATTCACGATTTATCATGCTGTGAGAAAAAATATGTCAAAGGGCAAAGTTAACAATTTAAGGAACTGGAACTTGGGTTTTAGAGTCTTTTATTTGTTTTTGTTTTTTTCAGTAATTATTTTTTCGTGTTTTGACCATCTTTAAGACATACTGTGACAGTGTTTTGTGCTTCCATATCCAAAGGAAAACTTAAAGATCGATTTGAAAAACCGTGGATGAAACATAATATTTTCCACGAGAAAGACCATGCATCGTCCATAGAACTCCGTCGTGTCCTTACCTGAGTTAATTGATTTATTAGAAATTTGATCCATGGTCCATAGTTCTTAACTGTAAAGAAGTCAAAAGTTAGCAAAGATGTCTCAGTCTAAATACGAACATTGGCATCAGAAATTTGTTGCAATAAGTTGGTACACAGGGCGTACATGAACAAAACACATCATTCTTCACAGGAATCGCATGTTGCAAAAACATTAAGTGTTGCTCACCTGTTATCACCATGGAAACTGTGACATTTCTTTTCCACTGGAAGCCGTCTGGGTCACAAAGATCCGTGTTGTTTTTTACGGGTCTGTAAACGTATTCTGATAAACGAACAGAGTGTTCTGCAAAAGAAAAAAAATGATTAATTGCACCATACTTGCAATTGCATTACAATACAAATTTTTTTTCATCGCCAGCTAGATATAGAGCGGTTTAGCTTTACCTAAATGATTGTCAACTCAGCAAAAAATTGAGATCACAATTTCGTAAAAAAGGGTTGTGCTTATTCATCGTTGTTTTCATTTTAGGATGCGAAAAAAGTTAAATAAAAAAAAATCACCTTTGTATTTGTCCAGGAGTTCCTGCAAAAAGAAAATGAAAAAAAAAACTTAAAAGTTAAATTCGTATAAGATGAATGAATATTTAAACATTCTGGTCCAGAAAAACTAGTACAAACATGTGAAATCTTTTCAGGGATTATTGAAGGGTTTAACTAAATTCTCTCTTGCTATAGGGAAAAATAAAGTAAAGTTTAAAGACTTACAGGCGGTCATAAAGTGTTGGATTGATTGTCACTCAAGTCGTAATAACAGCTTACCAGTTCTAGCAAATAACGGGTTCCTTTCTTAGGATCATCTTTTGCTTCCACGTTGACGATCTCCTTCAGAGCGAATCTGTCCCTAAAAGACGAACATGACAAATTAGTCAACCATTTTTCTCGCTTTTTGTGCCCCTCTACACAATCTACAAAAACGCACTTATCTCTGGGGAAAAGGAGTTCTCGTTTGTTGTGTGACTTGCTCTCATACGAAATATGGAAGAAAAAACGTAAGTAAGTTAAGAGTCCAGTCTAACGATGCAATAGTAAAATTACTTCAACATTCACACAAGCGCATGAAAGATGTCCGATCAAATCGCCTTGGTGAGAGTAGTTGTCTGACGTTGTTCCTGGGTTCAAACAAATAACTGTATAAAAGAAAAATTACACTATAACTCGATTCTTACCCTTTCTTCTTAGCGAGGGCTTCCATGTAAGAAGATACAATTTTCAAAGCGTCCTGAAATTAAACAAGACATCGTTTGTGTTTTTAAGTTGAAAGAGAGAACTGTAGTAACTTGAGGTACACCATCGTCAGATTCCTAATCAAAATCATAACGATGATATTAAACATGGAACTTTTTTACACTACAAATAGTAATTTATTACATTTTTTTCAAGCTTTTTATTTCCCCAGCTGATGTGGTTTTTAACGTCATGTGACATATTGACATCCGTTCGATCGTTTGGAAAGACTCGAGGATGTTGGATCTGCAAAAGGAGAGGAAATTCTTATAAAATTTTTCATCTCATCCATTATGTTTTTAGAAACTAAATGATGAACTAGGAAAATGTCAAAGTTTCTGGAAGCTTCATCGGGCAAATCTTTCAATCAGTTCATATAAGTAACCATAGAAAATAAATCTAGAGTAGAAATCCCAGAAGATTGAAGGCCCACGATCAAGAATCACGGGAGGGAACACTACATATCGAAATGCACCAGTCACTGCTGTTGGAAAACCTATCAACCGCAGAGCAACCAGTCGAGCTCTCGAATTCCTGACTTGAAAAAGATTAGTAGAATGCAGCTGTGTCGTCACAATCCACATTGGAACTATTGCGCCATGAGATAAACGATTAAACTTAATCACCAGTTAGTGGAGAAATTTCAGTATCGGCTAGCGTAGTAATTAAGCAGTTTAGTACTTACAAAGTTTCCAGTGAAAGCCTCATTTTCATTGAGTTTTTTCGAGACGACATAAGACGGTTGATAGGCACACAACGGAAGGACATCTGAGACTTCGGAGTGAGGAAGATCTTCAACTATATGAAAGAAAAATATGGTAACCAATGACCTAATCTAGCAGTCTAAAATTCACCCAACACTTGCTTGGAAATGAGGCTCGTAAAATTTTACAGTTAACTTTACTTGTATTTCCATGGATCAGTATCACCCTACAGAGGAAGTCCGAGTGTCAAAGCAAACGTGGACTGCAATGGTTTTACCTAACTACGCGATATGGTTGATCGAGAAAACTCGTGTCACGCCGGCGTCGAAGCTAACCAGGTGAAATAATTAACACCACCGCAACTTTGCGTTTCCTCGCACTTCAGCCCGTTCATTCGTTTTTACTTTGCGTTCTCATTGGCTCGCTTAATATCACCTTTGTTGTGATTGGTCGCTGCGATCTCTCATGATGATAACTGTCAGCTTTGGTTTTACGACGCTGAATTGAAATGTATTTTATTAACAGAGGCCAGTTGTAAAAAAGCAAACTAAGTGGTGTCTTACCTCGAGAATGAAAGTCATCCCGCAAATCATACTGTTCACGAGTCATGAACTGAACATAAAAAAGGAAACTTTAAATTTCAGATCAATTTTCAAGTGCTTGTCGAAAGTAAAATACGATTGCTTTGGTTTACTGGCCTGTGATTGGTCTAGAAAAACTCGAGCCATCCTCGCAATTAATCAGCTAGGGAAATAAAACCGACCGCGGCATAGTCACTGATGTTTCCCGCGCTTTGGCTCCTTGTTTGGTTATCCTTTCTTCGGATTGGCCCTTAAGACTAGTTTGATTTTAGCTTTGCGACCCTCACACAGAGCAACATGCTTTTGTTGATTGGGCAACAAGCCTTCTGACGTCTTGAAAAATATTACGTAAAACATGGTCTTTACCTCATCATAAGCAAATAGCAAAGTTGGGTGATCTTTACAAATGCACAAAAGTCTGGCGTTGATTTCTGCCTTCTCGGCTGAATAATCTGTTAAAAAAGAACAGCAGGTACATCATTCCAGCGTCCATAATAATATGCTACTTGTGAACTGCCGTCGACTCCAACTTACCTATGTACTGGGAGATGTACTGTGAGCCAATAATTTCAAGACTCTCGTCCCCTGGCATTTTCCACTATGAAATATTAAAACATGGAATCGTCAGAGTACAACATATCGAGAACACTTTGAGCGGTATCGATGTTTCACTATGATGATGCATTTAGATTCAAGGACAAGTTTGACTGCTGGATCGAGTTTGAGGCGAAGTGCTTAGAAAATATTTACCTCGTGAAGCTTCATTGTACTCTTAATGAAGCACAAAGTTTGCACAGTTATCATTATCTGACGAAATTTAGCCATTTTCTGACTGAAAAACATTACTATAAAACAGCTATCATTTCGATATTTTGTATTTCCCACAACGACATTTTTTTTTGCAAAAACTCGTCTTAAAATACTGACAATTAGGGCGATTTCCCCCCCGTTTTCTGTTGCTGTTTCCCGCAATAGAACACACTTTATCGATTGGAAAACCTCTACTGAAAAACAGTCGCACTCGACTGGGAGCTTAAAATTCTGCAGTGACATGCAGAGAAGCAGAAAACGTATTTTTTAAGTTACCGCAACTTCCACGTGATCTTGGCTATACTTTTGCTTTTGAAGAACTTCCACATAATATGCTTTTCCTACTTCAAGTCTGGATGAGACAGAGAGAAAATCAAGTTCAGTAATTACAGAGCGACTACAGTTACCGAGGGTGAGACACGCTAGTCCAGTGGTTGGTGCTCTTGACTCCAGGTCGAGGGGTCTGGGTTCGAGATCTGGCCGAGTCATTCTGCTGTGTTATTAAGCAAAACACTCAAATCCCATCGTACCTCTCTCCACTCAGGAACATTAATGGGTACCGCCGAATTGTCAAGGAAGCCTGATGTGAAAATGTTGGGGGGGAACCTCACGATGGACAAGCATCCCATTCAGGGGCAAAGTCATACTCCTAGTCGCCTCATGCTCAGGAAACCGGGATAAGATTCGGTTGGGGTAGCCACTCGGCTTGAATACAGACTTTACCCTTGTTGTTACCGAGATCGCTCACAGAAAACTGACAAATCTGATCACAATTTAATCGCTATGAATCTCTTCTAAAGACCTTTTTCGCCTTTTTTGTCTTAGTCTTGGGCATTTTTTGCTACAAATGGATTTGGCTGAAATCATTGTCACTGAATGAAATCACTGGAATACCTTGAATCTTTTACCTGATGGCCTCTGAGGCTTGGGAAGCCTTGACTTGAAAATTTCCGAAATGAGTACTGGCTCCATATTGGTTACCAGGCTGTTTTGAAAGAAGAGATATTAAGGATTGTCATTAAAACTGTTTTCTTGGTTCGAAATTTTCACTGAAGTGTTAAAAATTTCAGTAGTCTTCGATTTAACACTTACAGGGCACACGTGAGGTCAGGTTTAGCTGCAGCACGTGACCTGTTTAGACCAATCGCTGAATAAACGAAAAGTGCTTTTTGCGTGCGCTGATTTGTTAGCTCGGAGGCGATTAACTTAGTACTATACATTCACCTGAGCACTATGCAATTCACCTGCGCGCGACCATAGCAAACAAAATGGCTTCCTGTTTGGCTGCTGTTCCCAATGAGAAAATTACTCCGATAAACGAGGTTGACTCCACGAAAAAATAGTCAATACAGGCAACAAAGTTTTGTTTGACCAAACAAATTATTCAGTTTACTTACTTCTCCAAGATAGGCAATTTTCTTTGAATTTTTTGGGTCATCATTTGAACTCAACCAGAGCTCTGAACCGTCAGCAGAGCTAATGGCGAAAACGAAGTCACCTGAAAAGTTGGCGTAAAAAAAAATTGAGATGAAACACTAATTAGTGCTGCTAATTTTCTTTCTTTATTTGGCGAGTCAGTATTCAGTTTGCTATCACGTTTACTGGTTGAGAGCAAGCTGCAAAGTTCAAATCTTAGCAAGAACTGGAGAAAGAGCGACCACCAGTGAAAGCGCGGGAAACCATGAAATTTAAGACAAGCGCGGGAAACCATGGACACAGTGAACAAAACGCGGAAAACCAGGAATTAGCGACAAGAGTGGGAGAACTTCAAATTGGTGGCGAGCGCGGGAAAGTAGGAATCCATTTACAAGCGCAGAGAAACAAAGAAACTGGTGAAAAACGCGAAAAAAACGTTAAACAAGCGACAAGTGCGGAAAGCCATGAATACAGCGACAAACATGGATAACTGAAAATAGATAAAAGCGCAGAAAACCACCATACCACTGATAGGCGGAAACCATTGGCCAACGATAGTAAAAATTAACATTTTTGCGAGAACGGGAGAACAAGCAACCACCAGTGAAAGTGCGGGAAACAGGAAAGTAAGAATAAAGTGCTTTAAAACGTGAAGTCAGTGAGAAGAATCCGCACGGAGAAGATTCTGATGAAAAGCGCGGGAATCAGTCATAACATTGCCTGAATATTTTTTTTCACCTGTGATTGGAGGATGAACGTAGCCAAAAATACGTTTTCCGCTCATTGACCTTTTTGTTACATTTGTAGCGAACTTTTCAAGAACAGTGTTCACCTGATAAACAAAAAAATTATTAAATAAGTATTATTTAAAAACGTACACGGACCAATTCAAAGATATAATCCTTCGTAGATACTTAAATTCAAAACTTCCCAAAGCTTAAAATTACTATTCCAGCGATGCATGTTGGGTTGGAAACTCGAACCATTCACGTCACGAATGAACTGATAAACAAAACTGAAGTTCATCTTCTGTTTTTGTTTTGTTGATTTTTTTTTTTTCATTCGGAATGGAAAAAAGACCCTGTAACAGTCAAGTGTCTTTCGCAAGAGGTCAACGCAATGACTTATACAAAGAAAATTTGAACCTGGACTGGACTGCGACGCACGAACTACTGGACCACTGCTTTATTATCTCGTTTTCCGAAAGTCAGTGTTTAAAAGATGAGTTACTGATTTCTCATGCTATGAACTGTTACTACCAATTATCAATTACCAATCATACTAATTACTACTAATTATCTTGTTTTCCGAAAGTCAGTGTTTAAAAAGTGACTTCCCGATTTCTCATGCTATGACATGTTACCACCATTTAGCAAAGGAATTCAACATACTTGTGGTTTAAAGGGAAATAGTGGTTCTCTTCTAAGATCATCAACAGCGAATCCACACCATCCTCGCCATTCATGCAGGTTCAGATGACCATTTACCTGTAAACAAAATAATTCATGATCCAATACTGTTCAATAAATTACTTGAAGAATGTATCTTTAGTGGGCGTTAACAGAATCCCGCTGTACTCACAGACGTCCTGTTTCTGAATTGTTTGCAGTTAACTCCTGTCACTTCTTCGCCATCACTCAATTCTCGACCTGTGTAGGAAGCTTCTGAAGTTTGCGAATCTTCGTTACTTTTAGCCACTCCAGTTGTTTTTTCAAAATTCCTTGTATCTTCATTCAGTGTGGGTTGCGCATCTTTTATAGTGTAATTCGCTCCACCCTCCTCTGTACCTCTCTCTGTATCTGTTGTTCTTACGGCTGGAGTGTTCCTCACGTGTAAAAATAATCCGCGATTACTTCGAAGAAAGGCTGGATCGGTCAACTTCTCACTGGAAATCTTTGGCACTTGTAGATCGATAATTAAAAAAAAATTGGTAAAAAAAATGAAGAGAAAGACAATCAAAGAAAGAGAGAAAAAAAAATGAAAAAGGAAAAAAAAAACAGTTCGTGTCAGAATCGAAGACTAAAGAGTTTCTAGAGCAGACGTTTCGAGCGTTAGCCCTGCATCAGAGTAATGACGAAGGTCTCACCAAATTTTCATGTAATTCATGATAACGCCGCTTGGCTAATTATAACTTTCTCGCTGTTCAGTAAGACTCCTCCTCCTTCTCTAAGTAATTATTACCATACACTCAATATAGCACAAATTAAAACATCATAATTTCGTAGAGACGGCCTTTGAAATAACCTAATAAAGTTTTGCGTGAGGTTCCGAAACTGAGAATTAGAACTTCGATGCGGTATCGATCTTTTTTAGAAGTTTTGAGTTTTTCCTGTTATGTTATCGATGACGAAGAACAAAACTGGTCAACAACGATGGCGTATTTCATTTGGTTTTCGTTCTTGTCGATGGCTTTAGATATGTCTGGTAGTCAAATAATATATATCAATAATTCTATGGTAATATTTCTGCAGTAAAAAGTTCATCGGCGAAAATTTCTACTAACAAATTCCACCGAAACGAAAGGGAACTAGTGAATGAAGGGGGCAAGTTTCCAAAGAAACTGTGGTGCTTCGTCGGTAGGGGGTTCTAAAAGATAAAGTGGTTTTATCAAATGAGTCGACAATAACGTAAGGAGTTTCTATAAAGCTGAAGTTTTAGGCGTTAGCCCTTCGTCACTCGCTCTAACCTGTATCTCGGTTTCGTGTCCTGTGAAAGGACTTCCTTCATAAAAAATTTGAAGGCAGACGGTTATATTTTCCGCTTCATTCCTGTCATTATCACAATTGTAAAATTTTAAATTGACCTCTCCGAGGTTAAGATAGATCGAATACAATGATGTTTGACTATATTTTCAGTCCACGTCATTTAATAGGACATAGTGGAACCAGAAAGATGGAATCCCCTCATAACTATCTTACCAAGCAATAAAAGTGTAATTTTTTAGATTTCCCAATATAAAATTTCAGTCATATCATTAATCTTGAATATGGGATTTATAACCTTAAGGTAAGATTTTTATAATACCCGAGTTCTTCGTTGTGGAACAATCCTGTTTGGCAACCTGGGCGTCCTTCGATCGAACTTCATCGACGATAAATGAAAAGAGAAGTTGTAACAAAACTACAACAATCACGAGCCATGCTACTGTTGTCAATCGGCGTCGTGGCACTATCGAAACCAAAGTTTTAAACATAGGGTTCACTCTGAGTTTAAATGCTCCGGAAAGGAATGAACTTTCTGATGGAAAATGCGGCTGGATATACTGTCAACGGCGTTTTAACAATGCTCCTCATTACGCCGATTCTAAACGTCTGCCAATAGAACAATCAGTTTCTTTTGTACATTGGTGTCGCTGATTTTCAAAAACAAAATAACGTGGTTCTGTTGCCAAGCATTTGTAAAGGATTGTAGAAGAATGTAAATCTAGCCAAACAGGGAGCTCATATATCGTGTTTTCTAGTAACAAACTAGTGAGGATTAAGGATGAAAATTATGTGAAAAATAGGAGTATAGGGAGCTTAAAAGACAACAAGGCCACTGCAATTTCAAAGACGCCATTTTTAATTTCGAACAAGTCGTTGTAATATAAAGAAAAAATATTCAAACTTAGTTCCTTGCATATAAATGAACGGCCAGCAAAGTGACAATATTGATTTTCATTGTCAATCCTTTTGGTAAATTTACTACGAAGACTGCATGGAACCTATAAAGATTCGACCATATTTTGGTAACGGAAACTTAAAAGAGAATTTTGTCATCTTCCTTTCTCGTTTTAACAACACACAAAACGTTTTTGATTCATTTTTATGTGGAAAATTCGGTTTAATAATTTTCATGATGTTTCGTCAACCTGATATAATTAGCTGCGACAAAAATACAAAATTTTTTCTCGGAATCTCACATTGGCCAACGCTTACCTGTTAATTTGTTCAGAGCTAACTACTGGAAAGAAAATTTTGTCGGAGTTTTAATTTGCGCATTGGATGTGTTTTGCGATAACATAGTGTTTCAGCAAGAGATGAATAAAATTTGCGCCTGGAACAACAACAACAAACCTTTTCGACAGAACATTAAGGGGGAAAAAAAGTTATCTAATTTCAAAATTCATAATGAGGACGGCCAAGCGGGATTGATAATACGAGTGAGCCCATATCCGCACTGTATAAATTTAAACTAGATTCACAAGTAATTTTTTCTGCGGTTAGTTATTTTTGCAGAACAAGGATAACCTGCAAAATTCGATAGGCCCAATACCAATCAAGCTAAACAGATTGGGATATTTGCCTAGGGTTACACTTGCGAAATTAGTTCTGCCTATAACCAAAACTTCGCTTTCCTCCCCTTCCCCTGTCCCGTAACAATTTTGGTACACATACAAAGCATACTATTCAAATCACTTTTTGTTCGCTCCACTTAAAATCAGCTTCACCAGAAAACAGCAAGTCGATATGAGAAAATATCTTTCAAGCCCACGAAATTAAAAACCATAACGAGTAAGAGCTCTGACTGGCAATTTCAAGAAAGTTTAACTGATTACAAATGTTCTAAAGTAGTTTCGGAAACGAAACCTCCTCTGTGTTTCGCGATCTTCGTCTCCCGCAAAACGGACTTCGTATTAAATGCAATCCCCAGTCACTGGCGATCATTCTCAGGACATTCAGAAAAACAACGCTCCTTTACGAAGTCCATTGCTTTTTCTTGTCATTACATTCCAAACGTAAAGCTAGACAAAGAAAACAAAACATTGTAACAAGGGTGGGTGTAAGGGGGAAGCGAATAATTATGCATATGGGCAGGAAAAAATGAAGCGTCCAAAGACTTTTGCTATGGATTTTTCGTTAACTCCATTTTTTTCTTCCTTCATTGTTCTTCCTTCATCTTTTCTCTTAACTCTTGTTTTGTTTTCTTTAGAAATCTCTTTAGAAATCTAGATCATCATAGGAGATTGCCCCTGAAGCTCGCCTGGACACTGCAAAGATTTCACTCTCTTTCTCTGCCGGCTGGGTGTCGTAAAAACTTGCAAAGATCTTCGCTTTCCTTTTGATAACTGGTTTGCGTTTATTGTCAGCTTTCCATGACTGTTCAGCTGCAGCTCCCGAGTTAGATTTTTTCGTTGCAGGCCCCTGGTTTTTTCCTTTTTTACTCTTCTTTCCCTTTTTGCTTTTCTTTTTGTTTTTCTTTGAAGTATTTGCCGCAATCTGTTGCGCCTCGGCTTTTGCCCTCATGGCTAATTCTCTGTCCGAGACAGGAGGAAAAGTGCACGGGATTCTCTTTTGACTGATCTGCCACGGCATGAACAAGTTACAATCTATAGCAACGTAGGTAATATCTCCCTCGGTGTAATTCGTTATACTAACAGGCGCCCTCGTTTTGTGAAGATCATACGAAGATTTTACAGACCTCGATTGCGAATGAACGCTTTTGTACAGACAACCGTGGATCTCTCCTGATTTGTGAGACAAAATGTAGTTGGCCTCAGGCAATCTCTTCAACGCTTGGAAAACCTGAAACACCGTTTTCATTCCCTGCGCTGGATTAAAACCCGTCCCTTGCTGCAGAATATCGTTGATGGAAAGTTCGTCAACTCGCAGCAGTTTTGAATTGTAAACATTAATTCTGCCGCAAATGATTCTGGTATTCTGGCGGATGTAGCTATTTAGCCAAAACCGCCCAGCCTCACTGTGCGACAATTTTTCGTGACCGAAGTTAGGTTGGTATTCGAGTTTTGGAAGTACACTGTAAAAAGTGTAACACTTTGGTTTATTTTGTTCTTCTCTGTAGGCATCCACACTGCAACGAATCAAGACTTTTAACTTCCCGAATCTCCACAGATTATAAACGAAGAATTTTTCATCGTTGTTTTTGCACGTTTCATTTACGTCGAGATTCTGAACTTTGGAATTTGAGGCACCATCAGACAGTTTTGATTTCTTCGCCTCAGAGCACTGCTCCTTTTCATCAGTAACTCGACGCTTTCGTCTTTCGGAAGTTGTTGCCACGTTGGAAAGACACTCTTTACTTCCAACATTTTCCGCCGCTCTTTCCACCTCCGTTATTTCAGTGCCACTTACACTGGAGCTTATAGTTCTTTCTCTGTCGCAATCACCTGTTTTATTTTCTTCGCTGTTTTTATGACACACTAACCTGCGCAAGGCACGCTTGTAAAACTTCACGTTAACATCACGAGGTGTGACCTTCTGTGGAGGAAAAGGCTTGTCGACAAACACCACTCTGTGAGTACAAATTTTTTCCTGGCCGTCTGTGCGAAAAAAAAAAAGAAAAAAAAAGCAATTGCCATCGTATAAATAAATTTCGCAGCCTGCCATCAGATGTTACGTGTTCCAAAATTAAAGGGTGCTGTCTTGCATATTTTCAACACAACTTAGTCTATCGAATATGGCGTGTGGGAAAAACAACAAAGTGTTTACTCCCGATAACAATAACTGCGCACATCTTGTTGCTAATGAAGAAAAGCTTCACGAAATATACGAGTTGCTCCGGGTTAAGCCTCCAGAACATTTCTTATGCATCTTTCAAGCTCTCCAAACTTTCCACGTTCTTCGTATCTCGACAACGCAAGAACCAATTGTTTGCTGTAATTCGCAAGTGTTGCACCTCAGTTTTATACAAACCTTCTACTCGTTGAACAGAGACAGGCAGCTGCCACTGCCTGCCATAATCAGGAGGCTGATTATTCAAGAGAGTGTCCAGTCCACTTGATGAGATCACAATGTCAACTTTGTGCTTCCTGGCCAGACTGACAGCAATCGGGTCCTCACTCACAACCTGTGGGGGAGTGGGTGAGTAAGTGTACTTGAACAACAGGCTCCACAACATGTATTATTTGTAAATTAACATCAAAAGCTAATCCAGTTGAATCTAGAGGGTGCCCCTTAAACAGATAGGTGTAAATTAGGGATTATAAAACATGGCTGGGACCAAAAGTTTGTGTCTACCAATGAAAGGTACGTGCTAGAGCAATTTTCAATTGACTACTGAAAGGGAAGCTAGGATTACATTGGTTTTGCTTTGCTTTGCTTTGCTTTGCTTTGCTTTATTCTGAGATTCTTGCTACCCTGGGAAGGGCCCTGAGAAAGTAACGTTTCTGATGCCCAAGAACAATAAGAACACCACTCTGGACCTCTTCATATGAACTTCAACCTTTTGAAATTGTAGTGATCTCAACTGCCCTCCTCCCCTTCCCTTGACCCAGTTTAAAGTCATTCTGTTGCTGAATACCTTGAAGGACTTGGTCTTTTCTTGCACTGACTTCTCATCTGGAACAGTTAGCCCCACCTCCAATAGCATAATGTCTGTGTCTTCAGGCAAGGAAAGCTTTGGAATATTCCCCTGATTTAGGAAAAACATAAATCTACTCATTACTTGGAAATAGTTTAAGAAGGAGGAGGTTATAGGGGGGAAATAAACCAACTTCCTTTGTTAAGAGGGCACTACACCTGAGGTCAAAATGCTCTCCCTCAATACTGCCAAATCTCTTATAATCCCCAAAGGAGGCTAATTTCTTTCAATCATTTTTCACACATTTGATACCTTGCCTTTATTTTGCATTGGTTGATTGGGCGGGTAGGTAGGTAAAGTCTGTACTCAAACCAAGTGGCCCATCCAGACAGAACTTATCCTGCCTTCCTTAACATGAAGCAACTGGAAGTATTGCCACTCCCTCCTGGATGGGATACCAGTCCAGTGCATGGTTTCACAAGCATTTCATTAGGCTTCCCCAACTATCCACTGGTACCCATTAATTCTCCTGGGTGAAGAGAGGCACAGTGAGAGTCAAGTGTCTTGCCCAAGAACACAACACAATGACCTGGCCTGGTCTCAACCCTGACCTCTCAGCCCAGAGTCCTGTGCACCATGAGTTAGGCCACCATGTCTCCCACAAAATCTGAAATTTAAATCTATTATGTCTTGCCTCATACTTACCACTTGCAGTAGTGTTTGCTCAAAAGTGAGAACTGCATCTGATTTGAAAACAGCTCCAACAGATAAACCAATGGTTTCATGCAAGGAATAGTAACGCTGCATAAAAAGAACACAATTACTGGTGAAAACATGATATGTTTCATTCTCCTAAAAAAAAATTGTCCTTGTAGTAAGATCTTCAAAACATCAAAAATTGAGGTAACTTACCTGGCACTTGTTTACCCTTTCTGTCAATCTTCCATCAATATCTACCTGAAGTACCATACAAACAGCAAGGGGTTATTGCCCATTGAATTATATACTATTAAGAACTATTCACTAGGAAAATTTGTGACCTCAAATTTCTCTTTTTTTTTGTAACAAATTGTTTGATACTGAAACAAAGGTGAAGAATAAAGGGGGTAAGTTTCTACAGAAGCTAGGGCAGGTGTTATTACAAGGTAATTTTGATTGGTTCCATCAACTGATTTTGATAACGTAAATTGGCCATCTTATAGAGTTTCTAAAACTGATATTTTGAGCATTAGTCCTTCGTGAGCAAATTATAAAGGGGTAATGCCTGAAAATGCCAGCTTGAGAATTTCCTTACAGTTGCCAATTTACATTATCAACTTACTGGTATTTTGCAATTTTTCAGGTGCGTGAAAACAAATCTGTATCATAATTTTACAAATTCTGCTAATTTTTTTGTCATGGTTAATTAATTAACCCACTCACTCTTAAGATCTCATTAATAATTCTCCCTACTGTCAACCATACAATTCTTATAATGTTAGTTCAGAGAATTTGGTATTGAAACAATTAATAGTCCCCTCATTGATATTTTGATTTATTCTTATCACTTTTCTGCTTGATACTGTATTGATATTGTAAGGAGAAATTCTGTCTTGGTCACACATGGGAGTTAAAGGTTTAAATTTCTCCTGTTATCACAGCTTCTTACCTTGAAGTCATCCCACACATCAGGGTGGACAAAGTTGTACAAGTGATGGTTAGCTTTCGCATGGCTATGTACAAACTTTTGATATTCCTCTTGTTCTAGCAACACTGTATTCTTAATATCCTAGCATGAAAAGTCCATTGAGGAACAGTGAGAAAGTTTTTCTTTTTCCACAGTTTACATAAGTAATATTGTTTATAAGTGAATATCACTTTGGATAAAGATTGTGATGCTTTGAATACCATGCTCCTCTTTTTAAGGAGGTAGAAAGCACTTAGAGTGTGAAGCAAATTTTTATAATTTCAGAACTTCTTTTGCAATAAATATTCCCTGCTTTCCCATCCCCTTCTAACCCACCAGCAACTATATTCAATGCTGCACTCCAGTTACAATGGTAGATAGAAAAACTCAACATTACATCTCAACATTACATTAGCAGGGGGAGGAATAAGGAGAAGGGATGGTGAACTCAGAGACAATGATGTAGGAAAGCAAATAAGGGTGCCTTGACTTTTGCCACTTAACTGTTTAAACCCTAGTATATCAGTAAGCAAATTCTCCATACTATACTCTATAAACTTCCCAAGGTGCTGACAAGGAGAATTTGCTCAACAATAGAAGTTTTAAAGGTTGGTGATCATTTCCTTTATTCTCATGATCTCAAATAATAATTAAGATGTATTGTTGTTAGGAGAAATTAGATGCTTGTCATCCTTAGAGTTTAAAGGGACAAACAGTATAAAGTTGGTTGCGTTTGATAAAATTTACCCCACTGTGACTGCTTTGTCTCTGTTTTTGCTATTTCAAAGATACATTATTTTCTTCAAAGTCAGATCACCAAACAAAAAAAAAAGTATGTAATAATAACAAGTCACATGTTTACAAACCTGAACTGCTTTCATTTCTTGCAAATCAACTTTAGCCAGCTGACCAGATCTTAACATCTCCAACATCTCCACAAACATCTTCTGACTTTCAAGGCTGACTTTTGACAAAGCAGGGAATTCCACTGATGGACCCAAAAAAGCTGGGGCACTCTTAGCTCCACCTTTCTGAGCACCTTTGCTTCTGGTTCCTTTCTCAGTGATTGCAGAATCTTCCTGGATCCTTGAGATGGAGACATCTGCTCTCGTGTCATCGTGATTATATTCAACTTTTTTTCCTTGATCTTTTCCTGATTTTAGATGCTTCTCTAGATACTCCACGAACGATGGGCGACAAGAGTATTTCTTGTAGTTTTCTTGAGTGAAAAACACCTCATCTTGCAACTGACGTGTAGGAGACAATGATGTCCTAAAAATTTTAACATAAAAAGAGACAATTGGTTGTACTTAGAAGCACTACAAGCATATATTCCAAAGTAAATATCTTGCTCATGCCTTACGTTTATTACACGTTAATTTTTTTAATAAATCCAATTGAACGACATCAAAAATATCTCGCTTAACTTTGAGATAAATTTTTGTCTGACATAAAAGCGCGTCGAGGTGAGCGATATTTTTCACCCGTTTATGCTGTAAAATTACAAAATAGCTTTCCCTGTCTTCTTACTGTTTGTTCTCCATATTCCACCGTTGAAGAAAAAAGGGGCTGTTAAAGTACGCTAGTAGTTCGCCTTACATTCCGTCCGCCATATTGGAACACGAGAGGGATTGGTGACTAGTGTCAAACCGATAAACTACGAGAACAGACGGAACTTTCCGAAATCGTAAGGAAGCGTTCGGAATCAAACGATAGCCTCCGGAATAGAGAAAAAGCTTTTAAAATCAGACGAAAGCGTCCGAATTCGGACGTTAGCGTCCAAAATAAGCCGACAGTGTCCGAAATTGGACGAAATAGTGCGAAAATGTACGATAGCGTCCGAAATCGCAAGGAAGCATCTGAAATAGGGCAGAAGCGTCTGAAGAGGGAGGCATCTGACATTGGTCAGTTTCGTTCAAAGTGGACGATAGCATCCGAAGTTGGACGATAACGTCCGAAACCAGTCCAAAAAATTGTGACTAAACAAAAATATATCTCATCATCCTCACATGTTAACCTGCGGGTACATGTAGGCTTTCATAGGCGCTGCTACTCTTGCAACATTCTCGCAAAGTGCGCGAGAGTCTAACCGGCCCACTTAAAGGGCCACTTTGTTCGCCCGCGGTAGGTCTACGAAGAGGACACCTCATGTAACTATTGCAGACTTTGCGTGAAGCTCGTCAGGTGTTTTTGAAACAGCGCCAAATAAGGGGGGCTCACATGTCATCCAACTCATATGTCTCAAGATGGTACCAAGAGATTGGATTCCCATTTGATGCCTGGGCGCTGTCTCGAGAAATTAACTTCTTTCCACTGTTTAACATCGCGAGTCAGGCTCTGTCGACGTTTTCGTCGAGACATCTCTCTTGGTAGCCAAGTTTGTGCTAGTGGCTGATTTTAGGCACTAAAAGAATTGACTTAAGATATTTTCCGTTCAACATAGTCATTGATATTTTTAGGAAAGTACAGTGTTGAGCTTCAAATGACACCCCAGAAGTTGTATTTTCTTTTCCTTCGCGCTCAGTCTTGGTCGATAGCGTCGATTTTAGGAGCTAAAACAAGGGTTTTCGTACTGATTAGCGAGGGCAAAAGCACGCCAAATGCACTTGCTTTTGTCCATCGCTTTCGTCCGTGCTTTAGCTCACAATAATAATCACTCCTTCTCTCGTAACATTACGTATTTTCGCTCCTGAAGTGCAGTAACGTGCTGGTTTTACCAACTGCCGTTTTTGATGGTGAACAGTTCAATACAACTTTCCTTGGTGAACACAAGAAAGGAATTCTCTCCTGCTGAACATTGTGACGACTTATCGCTTGTACTCCCGCTTCAGAGCGTGTTGCGTTTCAATGAAAACAATCGTCTCAGTTAGATGCAATCAATTTGAGTGTTGATACAAAACTGCTATTGAAGTTCACATACACCAAAATGATCCTTTTTTTGCTCAAATAAGCAGATTTATCATTAGAATTAAAAAATCATCGCAAATAGATGTCACAGAATGGAAGTATTTTCTGTCATTAGAATTCAATGTTGCTGCTAGAGTTAAAAATTGTCGTGAGTTTAGCGTAGGACGGAATCTTTGGTGTATATCATTATGTTCTCGCCCTATTCGTCTGGCCATTATAACATACATCCAGGCACAGCAAAAAATTGTACCTTCAAAGAGATACCCGAAAAAACACATATGAAGCATTGAGTCAATAGAAAATTAAATATGTGCTTCATGTATGAATAATTGCAGCTGTACTTTTAGAAATACAGGGGTAAGCACAAAGTTCTTCCAGCGAACATGAAAATTAAAATCACAGAATGGTTCATTTTACACTATAGTGCAATAAATTTTCGTCATATTGTCCCACGATCACTGAATGACTAAGGGCTTCTTTGTCACTGATACACACTGACTCTGTGCCCCTGCTGACATAACATTACGCCGAATGTATTTAAAAATAATCTTAGTGTGGCATGGGTGGCACTTAGCTCTCTAGAGGTTTGTTTGGTTCTGTCAATTTTTCCTAAATTTATTCACACGCTACCATAACAACATTCCTAAAATTATGGGTACAGTGTTTCTGTGTGAATTAGTTGATGAGTTTATACTTACTAGATAGCCAGGTAATAATCATGTCATGTCAGAAAATTTTTCGATGAGATATCCATCGTAGCTTACGACCTTAAGCAACCACGGCAGCGACGGCAACAAGGAAGTGGAAAAACGACTAAGATCTAATGGGCAGAACAATAGCTCGGCACGTGCGCTTCAAGGAAAAACTTTGTGCATTTCCTAGCACATCAGAATAAAAAGGTAAAAGAGTGAACAGGATGAAGTTTCCTTCCAAAACTGCAGAGAAAAAAAAAGTTTTTCACAGGAAGCCGACAAAATAGTACAAAACAGCATCCTATGTATGTAAGAAATTCTAGTGGACACTGAATATTAATTTACTTTTGACTGGCTGCAAGCCAAATGTTTCTTCACTTTCACAAGGAATTTTGCGATGTTTGCATGCCTCTATAAAGCCCACTTCACAGTCGCTTGATATTTGCATGATATTGCAGTAAACCCCGTTTACAAAGTTCTAGGAAAGTTAGTGCAGAAATTGGGGTGTGTCTTATAGCCAAGTATTTTTGCGCAACAAAATCTCAAGATCACAATTTTAGCAGAACTTATAATTACAGTTATTAAGTCAAGAAAAGGACAATGACTGTTGAGAGAAAAAAGAGAAAAAGTAGAACTTTTTGGTCTGAGGTGTAGCGAAGATTGCGTCGAATTCAATCCTTTAGTCCTAGGAATTAAAAAGGAATACTGCTTTTAGAGCACTAATCAACTTCTATAGAAAAGCAAACAAATGGAAATTTGCATACGTGCTTAACAGCATGTGCTCGGTAACATGATATCCAACTCAGGTTCTTCGGTTGGTAGCGTTCCATGAATGCACACTTTGCTGTCATCCGCAGCTCACCAGAAAACAGGACATGTTGCTGGTTGTATCATTTTCTCGCCATGGATTCTGAAATCCTGTATTCATGGGCAATTTCACGATTGTTTTTGACTGCCTCGGCTTCGGCAACGATTTTCACCTTGAATTTGAGGTCATACGAGCGATGGCGAGTGCTTGGCATATTTGCGCCGAACACAAAGTTGAAGTTTGCGATGAGAACGTATCAGTTAATTTTGCAACTGAGTTTTAAATCAGTCAGTTGATGTTATTAGAATGAAATCGGATCATTGAATATTTATTATTTAATTTTGTAAAGAGAAGCATGTTTCCTAAGCAGAAAGACTGAAATAAACGAATATGCGTTTTGTGTTTCTCATAACAGGTGTGGAATTTAATTTAGTCTTGGTTTATTTATGATAACAAAGAGTTCGCATGCCAGTTGTGTATAGACAATTGTTCTCAGTTCCATCACATCCTTTTGTTAACTCTCAACCTTTTGGTGCGTCATATAACCGAATATTTTCACGTGATTTTCAGTTTGGGAACTTGGCTTTACTAAGTTGCTAAGTTTGGGGTGCGTCTTATAACCGAGTGTGCCTTACAACCGAGAAACTACGGTATTTCAGATTTATTAATTCATTTATTTTTTTGTACGATAACTTCTCCTTTAGATGAGTGAGATATTCAGATTGCCTCCACGATCGCCGAGCTCAACACCAGGCCGACATAGAGCGTTAGGCAGAAAGCGTAGTGCAGGTTTTGGTGTCAAGTATGAATCAAGCAGAAGAGACCCGGAAGATTATCTTAACTCTAACAGAAAAAGAAGACTTATAGTGTCTTATTGGAGCTCTTGGCAACAGATTTCTATCTCTGAACCATTCAATCCATGGAGATTGCTGGGACTCCATTCATCCCAAGCTCCCTTTGGAGAAGTTAAAGCAGCTTTTAAACGATCCATAACGCAGTCAGTTCCTCAGCAGCGTGCCTTGGTATCTTTAGGATATCATATAATCACCTCATCAGGCGAAAGGTACAAGCGAGTTCACGGCACGGACGAGTACGTCGTAAGAAGACGGGACCACTTTTTCCTCGCTGCATGTGGCCATGTAGAGGAGCTTTCACGTGTGATCAGTGGCAAACAGTATCTTGTGGAAGATAAGGACGAGTACGGGAGAACTTTGCTGTACACCGCAAGCAAGTCTGGCTTTTACGAAGTATGCAAATTTCTCCTTGAAAAAGATGCTTCTGTCGATGAACCGCAAAGAGATGGCAGTACTCCCCTTCATGCTGCAGCATACTTCGGCCATGAACGCGTCATCAAACTTCTGCTGCAATATGGGGCTAGAACCGACATCGTAAACAAGTGAGGAAATACAGCCCTACACGAAAGCGCCTCGGGCAGGATAATGGAGTTGATCCAATCGGCATCATTTTACCAGATTTCATCTCTAGCCGCAGACCTCAGAACGAAGATGATAGTATCAAATGTGCGTGTCATTGAGCACATGGGGAAGGTTATCGCAAAGGAATTGATTCGTAACGCTTTGGTACTTGACGCACGCACCTGAGCACAGTGGAATCAGATCCACTGAAGTTGGGAAATACCGGTACCCAATATAGGAATTTGCAGTCTATACTAGAGAGGGGCCTTCTCCCCGCTGGTTCAAGAGGCATCACGCCGGTAAAAGGTCATTTTAAACTCGGCGAAAAGGTCTTCGGTGTCCAGAACTGGGCAGCTGCAATTTTTGTCTCCCCGAGCATCCTTTACGCATCACATTATTCGCAGAGAGTCTTTTCAGAAGGCCAACTGTGGTGTGTCCTAGTCAAGGCTTACTGTAGGGGAGGAAGTATGAAATCGTACGACCCAACCCTTCTTATATACAGAAGTAAGGACGATGAACCAGAAAAACCAGAATATCGTGTACTTGTTGATGAAGAGGACAAAAACGTCATTTCGCGCGTTGAATCTGCGCGTAATGTGGTTGTGCATTCTGTGATGTTTGTCCGTGTCAGCTTTCTAAAGGAGCAAGACCTCAACTTTACGAAAGCCTTGACCCTTTTGCATTAAGGATAAACCGAAAAATTTCTGAAAAATTATGATTTGCCTCAACTGCGTTCCAGGTGTAACTTACTGGATCCTCCAAACGATTTATGGTAAAGTTTACAACGGCCATGAGTAAGATTCGACCAAAATATGTACTAGAAAAATGTGACTAGGAAAAAATACTAGATGAATGAGTCTCAAAGTAATCTTCACTCAGGGTGTAAGATCCAAACACCTCGTCATTATCAGTTTTATTTTTCTTCTGTTTCGCTGTTGAACGTTGTTTTTACTTTGAAAAGTAGTTATAATCTTTCATCGCTCGTAAAGAACGGTGTCGACGCAAAAATGTTGAGTAATTTATTCGTTTTAGTATTTAAAGTTAAACTTGATCGTTTGCAGTTTTTGAGCGGTAGTTTCTCAGTCTTTGGAGGCAGTGGTTCGATCGTAAATCACAGTTCCAGTCGCATCCACTGCAGTCTAAAATAACCCAGCAACAAATATAAGTGTTAATTGTTAAGTTCGTTCTTTTTTCTCCAGCATAATTTTTTTAGCTTGTGTTTATATCTTTCTGTTTTAATTTAACCGCTTGAATGGAGGCAAGCTTATATTTACGTTTTGTCTAAAATTTAACACCAGCGTGTGAAATCAGACCCTAGTGTCCAAGATCAGACACTAGAGTCTAAAATCGGACATCAAGGTCAAAAATAGAACACGAGTGTCTTAGATGGAACATTAATGTCCTAAATCGGACACTAGTATCTAACTTAGCAACAGGCGTCCAAAATCAGACTCTAGTGTTTAACATCAGACACTAGTGTCCAAAGTGACCACTCCATTGTCCGATTGTGGACACAGCTATCTGATTTTAGACAGTAGTGTCCGATTTTCGACACTGAAGTTCGATTTTAAAAACTAGTTTCCGATTTGAGATACTTGTGTCCGATATTAGACTCTAGTGACCTAAATCGGATTCTATTTTCCAATTAGACTTTTCTGACGATGGAAAGCAAGCAAACAAACAAACAAAGTAACACACACAAACCGGTTTATGACTTCGACCGAAAAAAGATACTGAACAGAAATTAAATGTCTCAAATAAATAGCTAAATTAGAGATAATTTCTAGATCATTTTCTTTTTAACTTCTCGATGTCTCAGGAAGCATACACTCCTGACTTGAGATCTTGTCTCCTCTTCCTATGCAAAGTAGATTATTTTCACGATCGGATAAAACTATCATCTTGATACCTTTCCAGTCGATTACTCCTATGGAAATATTATGAGTTTTCGAAAGTGAATAACCAAATTAAAGTCGCTTTGTTTTCGAATAATGAGTGTGATTTGCCTTGGCTCTCGGCGTTATGAAAATCATTTGTTTAACCTCGTAAAACTGGAAGACAATAGATCTTCGTTTACTATTTATTTTTTCATTGAAACTCTAGAAAAAGTCAATCTTCTGATCATTCAATACAAGTATAGCATTCCAGTTTCAACCAGTTCCGTTTCTCTTATTGATCGCTGTCGTTCCTGGTTTTCGTCTGCGAATAATGCTTCCCAAAGACGGCCACTTATTTGTTTCATGAACACAAATTGTGCAGATTTTCTGAGTAGGTTTAGAGCTCTCTTAAAATCCTCATGCACAAACGTTGGATCAACTTCTGAAACGTCGAACGCCAACTGGAAAGTAACGATAATCAGAAATACAAAATATTGAGCCCAGAAGCTCGCTATTACACACTTGAACAGAATAATGAGGCGAGATTTGCTTGTTATATCGATATTGTCTTCAACCAACTCCAAGATCTTTATGAAAGATAGCGTGCCTGCTATAATTGTTATTGCAAAGGCGTCTAGAATGTACAAAGCAATTATAGCTTGAGCTGTAGATGATAAGTCTGGTACCCAGTAGAGTATAGAGCCAAGACGCACCTCACAAAGAATACAGATAAACGCTAAGAGCCACATTCGAGAAACTTTACATAGCTGTTTGAAAATCTTCCACATGCCCTTCCATCCTTTTAGCTTTAGAAAAAAAGAGATAAAAATTGCACGGCTGAGAACCTCTGAGCAAGTAAACGACAATTCCACAATCATTGCAGTGTTGTGGTTCACGAAGCTACCATTTTCGCAGTTGAAATGAGGAGTTCTTGTGTTCTTCCCGCAAGAAAAGGTTTGTAGACAATATAAAACCAAACCAGGGAAACCGACAAGTTGAAGAAACACAAGAATCGCGAAAGGTACAGTCCGCGGTGTGTAATTTGGCCTCGTTCTTTCAATTAGTCTACTCTCCTCTGTAACTTTACTGACGCGAAACATTTTGAGTGAAGTGTGTACAACAAACCATGCAGAAAAAAAATATTCGTTTCTGGTGAAAATTTTTTAATGATATTTCATTTTCAAACTTCGGTTTCCGGTTTGCGTCAGTTTCGAAACTTATTCCCATTGAAAATTCCTATACCACGCGATTAGGAAGATTTGACACTAATGACTAGCTTGCGCTAGCCGCCATATTGGATGATTTTTGGGCACAAAAACAATCGGGTTCGAATGGGTGACTCAAGGTGGGTTAGTTTCAAAACTCCACTTCATTCAATTAAATCCACCTCTCAGAATTACCTACAATGATATTTCCACGATCGACAACCAACAAACGTGACCAGTATAATTTATCTAAAACTTTGAAGTCGCGTGAAGGGAGGACATCCTATCGCGTGGGTTAGCCAAAATATCAAGAGCTCATCTTCAGTCACCGATCCGTGAAAAGAGCAGAAAAACACTGATTTTTCTGACTTCATATTTTAAATACGAGTGCATCGTAGAATTTAATTTGCGTAAGTTAATTAGATATCCTGTAAGGTGCTTGAGGAGGGCGACTTATTACTTTTCTTTCGCTGTCTTTCAATAGACTTTAAGAATCGATGTCGAGTGTCGTGATAAAAATCTCTGACGTGTATAGCTCAATTTTCAATTTTCTAAGCACAAAGGATTTTGCAACATGATTGATATTCTACCCGGGTTCATGATTGGAAATTGTAGCTGCGTGTCTTCGATATTTGATTCCATGAGAATATGATATATTTCTAATTACTATTTTCTGAAAATGTGCCATTTTCGCCGCAATCATATGTCGTCGCCAAAAATTCAAAAAAGTTACGAGAGCCTTTTACATATATATTGGATTTTTCTAGGTATCCGCTAAAACCAAAAGTTTGAAATGATGGTTTAAAGTCTTCCGGTTAATTTACAATGATTTCGTGCAAAATTTATTACATAACACACGGGAAAAAAATTACGAAATATATTGAACCTATTGACTCTGAGATTGCACTGAACAGCTTCCTTCCGTAGCAGTCGAAATAATTTTGCTATTTTGTTTTATTTACTCGGTTAACGTGAAGACTTAATTGCTATATGACTTCTGCACAAACGATATTAACAGTTGAACGCTAGCTTCTGAAAGTGAATCTTATATTTGTTTATTTTATGTGCTAGTTATCAGAAAACCTTGGCCCTTTGCTTGGGTGATCTGATTAGACAAAAGTGCCGATATTCGTCCAAGATCTTCCTCGATATCTGTTGCTTTGTTACTGTTCCCAGCGCTAAACTAGGCTTGAAGGTTTGATCTGTTTACGATTATCATAAAAGAAACGGCGAATATGTACAGGGCAGATTCCATGCTGTCGAAAATTTTTAGAATCCTCCCTTGCCCTTCCTGATTCCAATTTTTTCCATTCAGTGAAAATCCAGTATTTTTTTCGATTCAGTGGAAAATGTTATGCAAGGTCTGATTTTATCATGATGTTTGGCATGACTGCCTACGGAAAAGAAACCCTGACCGCAAAACCGTTGGAATTATAGGAGAACATCGGTGTCTCATAAAAAATCCGGGTGATCCCAATGTTCATGGACACTTATGTTATAAAGTTTTTTCAAAAGGGTCGCTAAAAAATGTAAGTGGCTTGAGTGATGAAAGACAACAGCTTCCTGAAATTTGCCTGAGGGAATAACTTGCGTAAGGGAGTGCCTGTCGTCAGAAAATTTATTATAATGTCACTAACTTTTAAGAGAAAAAATTATTATTTCCCAGTTCTCTGCGCGTTTACCACAAGAGTTTTGACCTGACAATCTGCCATCCCTCTAATTTCGAAAATATTTTCTTTTGATGAACTGGCGTAAAGTCAAACTTTAAGAAACTTTGACCTTGGTTTAGCGTGGTATCGAAATCGCATCACGCCACTACCAGATGTCACACCCTTCTATGACGCAACATAAGTGGTGATTAACTTACACGACGGTAGCTAATTTCAACACGGAGTATGTGGATCGCTTTCGAAGGAGTTTTCCCTGTACATAGGTCGTAATTTTGAGATTGAAGCCATAACATTTGCGGCAAAACGATGAACCGTCTCGCGAATTTTTTTCGTTGTAAGAAGTCGCAAGAAAAAGCTCGTCTAGCCGTCGGTCAGAAATTTTGCTATGGCGTTGGGCACATTCTGAATGACCTTGCTGCTAACACATGGTTCAGCTATCTTATCATTTACCTGACTAAAGTAGTTCGACTGTCCAACGGTCATACAGGACTCGTTGTCTTGCTCGGACAAGTTACTGACGGAGTTTGTACACCAATCATCGCAATACTGAACGACAAGACTGTGTGCCGATATGGACGGAGAAAGATATGGCATATTGTAGGGTCACTCTGTGTCAGTTGTACCTTCCCGCTTTTATTTACACGGCTCATTGGTGATGAAGCCAACGACTCGCTAAAGCTTGCCTATTACATCAGCATCGCTGCCTTTTTTCAGTTTGGCTGGGGTTGTGTTCAGATCAGTCATTTATCTTTAATCCCTGAGATAGCCATTAGTGAATCCGAAAAAGTCGAGCTGAATGCTATAAGGTAAGCAAGAGGCGCTTGAAATTTTAAACGCCGCATGGCGCTCAAATTATTTCAGTTTCGTATTATCTTCGTAGAGCTAAAATGACATGTTTTTTCCATGTTTGTGGAGTTCTTATTTGGCTCACTGTTCAGTATTAGCTTATAATATGTACGTATAATATATATTTTCACTTCAATGAATTCACCTCCTGCTGTCTTCGTTCGCTACTTTAGCAAGCTTAAGGTTAAGCTATGTTACATGTACGTTTTTTGTTTAATTTTCTGAGCTTTGTTCTCCATCACCTCTATGTTACGTTGCCCTTTGCTCTATCAGTAACAGAGTTTCGAAACTTAGGTTCAAGAAACTTAAAATCTCTCAGAGAGTAGTGTATTGATTGAGGTGACGATCGAGAGTCCATTGAATTATTGGCCATATTTTTCAAATTTCGGATCTTGCCGAACAAGGGGTGATGCAATCGTAAATTTCCTTCCGAACGAATACGCTAATAATTTTGAAGCAAAACATTTTGTTTCACCGAGGAACTGATTTGTCCCGGAAATTCTCGCATCTTCCACTTGTCACTTCAGGTTTAGTCAAAGTTCTTCGCCGGAAATCTACTGAAGTTAATCAGTCATATTTTTCGCCGCTCACCCAGCGTGCGGCATTTGTTTATATCAGTGTCCGAAAAAAAAAAAAAAAAGAAAATACGTGACTCGGAAGTTGCGTTATAATTAGCGTTGTTTTCGGTAGAGTTTCTTTTCTGTTCAATTGACGCCTTAATATACACGAATCTGGTCAAAAAAGGACTCGGATCGTATCTTGCCGCGATGATTCGGTTAGAGGTTTCATTGTTAGCCGCTCAGTTGACTGCCACGCGAACGAAGTCGCCAATTTTTTCGAATGAAACTATAGTATTCTGTCAATAATCTCAAGTTCAAGATTTTTCTTGCGTTCAAACCCATTGAAACTAAAAAAAATGAATTCGCGTGTGAAATCATTGAAATGTAGAAACAGTAGTTCACTGATGTACGTGATCGATTAAAACATCTGCTAATTTACATACTGTTGGATTATAATTTATCAGGATAATCTTGTTAGTTTATCACTCCACTCCCTGTGTTCTTATAGGGGGGGTCAAAGTGCGAAGGTCGGCTTCTTTAAAACGCCATAAAAATAATAAAATGTGAGTTAGCACAGTTTTTATTTTAATTGAAAATTCTCGCGAATTACCCTCGCTTCAATTTTTTTTTTCTTTCAACAGATCGGCTCTACGATTTATTTGCGGTATTTTTGTGTTTTGCGTGACATGGGTTCTATTAGGAAGAAGCTCAGAGGCAAGTATTTCGCCCTCTATGTGGCAGCAGTTTATGGTAAGTTGCTTGTTTGCATATTTCTTTGGTAGGCTTTTTCGAAGATGTGACACAATGCTTGCACAATACTTTTCTTTTGAGTTGCTGTCGCGTGACATCTGAAAGAACGGCTACAGCATGTCACGCAATGTACTTCCGCTTATTTTGTAAGTCAGCTGTTATTTCTGATGTTTTCTTGAACAAATTTGCGCGGGAATTTGCAGCGCGGCCGGCCAGAACTGATCCCCTTGCGCATGCCTGACATTTATCATCGTGTTTCGCCGGGACAATGTCAGCGAAAACTGAAGGAGTGGTGGAACGTTACCGGCGTTTGATTAAAATCCCATCCTGGGAGATAAGTAACGTATTTTCTCAATCATGATACTAAAGCTGGAATAAATTTCTTTGAGACTTGAACCTTTTCATAACTTTCTTCTCAGTATCTTGGTTTTATTATCGTCGCAACTGGCACTGTGTGTAACGTTGTGTTCCATGTTGGAATCAAAGAGCCTCCTTCTGATGCTTTACTGAAGTGGTTGGAGGAACGTAAAAGTGGAAATCACAAGTTCAAGCGGAGAGGAACCGAAAAAAGAGGTAATTTAGCAACAGTCGAAGCGTTAATGCCTAGATGACATCAACATGTAACTTCTTTTGTCAATTTAAGTACATAATCCAGCAAACAGGTGATACGAATTGACAAACTGATCAGTCAAAGGGAACAATCTTCGCATAAGACCAACTTCCCTTTAAAAATTTATCAGCAAAATTTTAGAGGTTTAGAGTGTAAAGCACTGAGATCTATGGGAAGGGAAATACAAGTTACAATTGAGCGGTTAAACACCAGAAAGTGCAGACAGAACCTAATAAATCGAACGTATGGTAACACAGCAAGATTCCATATCATGCAAAAATAGTAAGAGACTTTTGCCTCCTGTGGTCGATGGTCCTTTCGATATTTTCTTCATGGATGAAAATAAATCAGCCCAATAAACTGATGAACAAAGTGCCAAGAGTTTCTTTCCACAACTTTTAGTGTACTAGAACAAAATCGCCGATCCAGAGAATATACTACATTCGAAAACTATGCGTTAAGAAATTGAAGGACTGAAAAGGTGCATGCAATCGTCCAAATATAATCCTCCGTCACTTTTGGGTTCCAAATGGGTTTAAACCAAACTTGTCACAAGCCTGACGTGACGGTTAACTTCGGCTTCGTCGGAGTGAATGTTTGGTTATAGAAACCACTCAAATAAAACGTTTTTGAAGTTCAGTGATGCAGCTTTGCATGGATTTGAAACTGCAATAACAAAGCAACCTATGACCCAATGTGCAGACTCGTTGGGTCTCACCCCTCGCGACAGTCAGTGCAGTCCCCACTTTCTGGTCACGTACGGAAAGTCCAAACTTTTCCTTTGTACACAGGTCTTTTGGCTCGGGCCGTGTATCCACCGCCATCTCCAAGCAGAAGAAGTGGAGCTTCGCCTGCTGTGGTGATGACACTGTGCGAAAAAGAGAAGAAAAGAACGGCAGATCCTAACGAAAGGACAGACTGTCCAGCATGCCTGGAAGACGGGGAAGCACGGAAATCCTCTATGGATATTACCGATAAAACAGCTATTCCTGGCGGAGGAAGGAGCAAGCGACAGTGGATGACATGCCCTGGAATGTATAAAGTGAGTGTTGCCGCAAGAACTTCAGTGAGGTCCCGTTCTTGCCCATACTGAATTTTATGGGTAACATGTTGTATGTTTACTCTCATTACAGACTGGCTTGGTGTACATTTGTACGCGTTTGTACGTGAATGTTTCACAGTCATATTTGCCACTTTATTTGACGGAGACAATGCGATTCGAGAAGGTAAGCCATTGTCTTAACAAATGTTGAATATTTGTATCATTTTATCTGCAGTGCAATCCTCCATGATGATCTTACCTCCTCAATCACACATGGACAATAAATTTTATTACCTCTTTAAACGTGCTGATAAAATTATGTTTGTGTTTGGAATGTTTATCATAGTTTGGGAATTGCACGGAGAAGTTATTTAGAAAATGCGGAAAAAAAAGTCAGAGAAGCCTTATTTTCTGTAGACTAAGTGGGTCTCCAGATCAGGATGGAATTTACAGCCACCTTAAGCATTTGATTTTGTCAGAGGAGAGCCGGTTTCCGAATTCAAACCCGAGAAACTTTAGTGTAGAGCTCTGTCACTATTATTATTAACTATAATATTCTTTGCAGGAATCTATTGCTTATTTTCCTTTGGTTGTGTTGGTGACGGGAGTTTTGGCAAGTACAGCTGTCAAACCACTCAATAAACGCCTTGGAAGCAAGGTTGGTTATACTGTAAACTCTCTTTAGCAGCTTTTAGTAGAACAAAATCAGTCAAATTTGTTGGATATGGGAAGCCCTAAATCTCCTTTCCTCGAAATATACGGTAAAGGAGAATTGAAACAATTTATTCGTGCAGAAAAAGGGTAAGCTCTCTGGAAACATTAACGAATTTTGTTGCATCGTTGGCCTGTCCATTTGTTGGTAAAAAAAATTTTTTTTAGACTTTGGAGGTGCGCTGTGGGAAGACAGCACCTTGCTCACACCTTTCGAGCCAGAATTTAGTACGCACCCAGCCATTATATCTCTCATCCACTTTCATACACGCAGCGAATCTTTTTTTTCTTTTTTTTTTAATTAATGGATCCTTCTTCTAACGTAGCTAGTACTCTTCATCATCCACAGATCACATTTTGTCTGGGTGCCATGATGGCCGTCAGTGCTAGCTTCTGGTTCTTTGTTCAAACAATTGACGCACGGACTGCCGTGTATGCGACCTCCATGCTTATGGGTAGTGGTGGTTCTGTCATGCTTGTGACGTCATTTTCCTTAATCGCGCAGCTCATTGGCCACGACAAGGTAAACAACAGACGTGATTTTACATAGCAGCTATAGAGAGAAGAACGTGTAGTTTATGCAGTTTGACAGCGTATCTTTTTTTTAAATTGATGATTGCTTTTTTTTGTTGTAGAGATCCGGAGCTTTTGTGTACGGTTTTATTGGTTTCTTTGATAAAGTTTTCAGTGGCGCGATATTCGCCATTATTCAGCAACTAAATCCTCGTAAAGATCAAGGGTAAGCCGAGTTTTAGTTGATTCCCGCTATGTAGCGGCTTTCATCTCCTTGGTATTGATCTCCATGCTTCTTTCCGCGTTGAAAATTTCTAAAAGCAACTTAAAATTTTTCTAAAGTTGCTAAAACGTAAACAACGGACGCCGCCATATTGGAAAGGTCACAGTAACCTGGCCTTTCTCGCGTGTTGTCGCAGACTTTCATCCATTTGGCGGGAGCCACAAAGCGTGGTCCACAAACAGCATTACTCTAGTCATTGCAATTGATGTTTTTGTTACGTCTTGAATCTGTTAAAGAAAGAAGTATATGTCAAGCACAAGGAGAATTGATATTTGTATATGACGTCTCACGGTAGCTTTCCTTTTGCAGAGTTGAATGCTCCAAGTGCGATGAATACACGCGTCACGTGCAAAGCATCGTACCAGGCGCGGTTGCTGTTCTGGGACTTGTGTCAGTAATGGTGTTCTTTGAGTCGATTTTCGTGTGCAAGAAAAGAGGTGAGGAAAAGTTATTTTGAAGTCGGATCCCTATTTTTTCTGTTTAAAAAATTAACCAGAAGAACGTAAAAATCTTGGGAGTGAAAGACAGTTAAGATAATGAGCGAATTTGATAACATTTAGGCAGTAAATCGATTCTATGAGAGGAACTAATCCAATTTTGAGAAATTTATTGTGTTTTCTGTTGGCCAAAGGGAACAGGGTTTTGAATAAACGATGGTTTTTTTTTTCACTTAGTTTTCTTCCTTATTAACTTGCCCCCTTTATCCTTTTAACCTTACTTACCACCTACTCCTTCTTGTCTTCTAGTCCCAATTTAGACTTTTTCAATGTGAGTCCCCTTGTTATAATAAGCGATTTAATTATCATCACCAGTCTCAGGAGAATAAATTTCATAGTTGTGCCCTCCACGCCCTTTGTTTTCCGTGCCCTATTCTTTCCTATTTGGCCGTCGACTTTTCATGATACACATTATAATGCTATTTTGTTCATTCTAGCGTCGACAACAGACGCCGCAGTCCAAGTTGATTTAGATGAAATCCTAGGCGACGGTGACAGCAGCTCAAGTGGTGTGGATACATCCTCTATGACAGAGAATGCTGACAGCGAAGTTTGCCACATCGGCAGTGCGGAAAAGGGAGCATGTGCAACGCAAAGCAGACCTTTTGATTGCTCTATAGAATCGCGGAACTTTCATCCGAAGAAAACAACAAAGCAGAATTATGTCGCCATACGACTGGCGTCTGTATCGCTACCTTCTCCCGTGTTAGATCGAAGAACGATTATATAGTCTGTTCTGTATACGCTGAGTGCTCCGTATGAACGCGTTGATATAACGTGGTGTGGGGTGGGAATTTATTTATTATAAACTAACGCCAAAATATTAATTTATTGCACGGCAAGGCTTATATGTGAATTGCAAGAGCATTTTTGTAGTGGGACGGAGAAAGGGCTTGATTGCTCGAGCCGGTACTCTTGATTTTCTCATAATTGTGGCGAGCGTAAAAATAAGAGAAAAAATTATGAATAGCACTCGTAAAGGATGCAACGTAACCCCGACAACGACAAGGAACATGATGACAATGACAGCGACCAAACTGATATTTCTGTTGGCTGGGAGCGAGTAACATTGTCATTTCGTGTTTTGTTGCTCAGCTTTTGCAGCTAAACTCGCTCACTCTTCAGATCTAAATAATAATTCTCCGCAGTGTCTACCGTACAACTCTTGCAGTTTACCATTGAAGATTTGGTGGTAAATCGAACAATATTCTCTAATTAATATCTTTTCTATCTTCTCGTCGCCGTCGTGTTTTAAAATGTATTGGTATCGAAAGGTTGATTTGAAAGGGTTAGGCAAGCAGTAATGAATTGTCGAGTGTCGAGTAACCTCGGCAAAAATAAATTTAGACACTGTGTGTCTTAGAAACTTAAGTCGTCCTTGACGAAAAACTTCAAATGAACTACTTATAAGTCCTCCTAAATTTTTCTCAAGTTACTTCAATTTCCACGGTTCCAGCGTAACAAAGATGGAAAATTTCTTATATGTATTAATAAAAAATTTGGGACAAATAAGGCACATAAGGGTGGTTTTATCATAGATACATCCAATAATAATAGTTTAAACTTCTTACGATCTAGCAAATGATTTGCTGGATATATTTCTTCTATGCGTAATATCTTACCATGTTTTAACCATTATCTGACCGTCATGAAAACTATAACAAAATTCTCGAACGTGATTGGTTATTACCTGCCCGAAATTAACACTAAGAGGACAGTGTCGGCGTCATACCCGTCAGTTTGTGTCTCAAATTTTAACTTAGTTTTGATCAATTGTTAACAATTTTCGTCCAGTTCTGCGTGTAGTCATACTTATGATTGGCGATCGAAATTCCGCCTCGCGGTCGTTCCATTTTGTTAATCAGTCGTATGATTACGAACTGAATTGGACTTCACTCAGTCCTTTTCACCCTTGTCACGCCGCTCTGTTTTCAAAGCGGGAAATCTTTGATATTTCAGCGTGATGCATTCAGTTATTTAGGAGACTCGCTTTTTCTCGGAAACCATCATGATTTGTGTTTATTTTATTTCTGCTGCTACCGTTTCCATTACCAAATAAGGATGTTACATAAGGTTAAAATCGATTTTACGGTGTAGGCGTAGGTATATCACGGGTCAGTCACAAGACATGCTCTTACTCAGCTCTATGCATTGAGGACAATGACGCATTTTAAAGCCGCATTTAATTGAAACAAAGATCGCTTGTAATCAGAGTAAATCTTTAATTAGATTTTAATTAAGTCATTTTTTCGCGTCGCTGTTTTGCAGTAACCTGTTGCGGCTATTTTTTTTAGAACATGCAAACAATTAACAATATTTTGCTTATAAGATGAAAATATCAGAGCTTGATGCAGTAAAATTCTTCAGCCACTCGATCCTATCTGACGGTTAACGCAAACACGTATGCCCCCTTATCAAATCAAACGTATTGATTGCTGAGCCCGGAAATTCCTGTTTTCTCTTTCAAACCACATTTTGCAGCCTGAAGTATGGCTGTGTTCAAATGTTTGGGTGCCGGTGTAAACGAGAAGGATTCAACCTTTAAAAAGGCTAACAAGAAAGAACGGCTACCCATTGGGCAAAAGTTTTCTCATGGCGTGGGCCATATTTACAACGATTTGACTGCTAACGCATGGTTCAGCTATTTAATAATTTTCCTTACCAAGGTCGCAGGGTTGTCAAATTTTTATGCCGGGCTGGTTATACTCGCCGGTCAAATAACCGATGCGACTTGCACTCCATTCAGCGGATTTTTAAACGATCGCACAGTGAATACTTACGGCCGGCGCAAAACCTGGCATTTAATTGGGACAGTATGCAGCACGCTCGCCTTCCCTCTTTTATTTAACCGATGTCCCGGTTGCCAGGATAGCAGTGAAGCAGTAAAGCTCACGTACTACGTCATCTGTGGTTGTGTTCTTCAATTAGGCTGGGGATGCGTTCAAGTCAGTCATTTGTCGCTGATACCAGAAATATCCAAATCAGCCAGTGAACGAGTCGAGCTGAATGCCATCAGGTACGTGTCCTAATAGCAGTACCACTTTACGAACCACGATTACAGTAGAAATTATCTTTTTAAAAACTCTTCATAGACATTTCATAACAGGTTTTAAGAATCAACGGCTCAATCAGAAACTAGTTTTGAAAGTAATAAAAAAGTAAATATTGCTAAAACCGTAAGTCAAAACAGGCACATTTTGAGGGGGAAAATTTTTTTGTTTCATTTGCCACAGTATTTACCATATCGTTTTAAAATTTCGTGTACTGCTCTTTGAAAATACACTGTGTTGTCTTTTAACTATTGTCGCTGTTTAAGTTGAATCAAAGTTTACATTTTTTGCTTGCCCTCGTGAATATTTTATTCAAGATAAAAAAATATGTTTTCGTTAGTCTGGCAGGTACTTGTCGCTACACTCTTGAGATATTTTCCGGAAACGAAACCAAACTCTTGCTGCGCAAAGCAACGTGGTAGATCACGTGGCCAGAAAAATTTTACAAAATGTCGAATTATGTGCGTTTCAAAAACAGTATGCAGTTGAATAGTCGTAGACAATTCCAGTACGGCTGAAAACGGATAAATTCCTGGTTTCGGGGATAAAAATCAAACCAGATTTTTCCCGGATAACATAACTTGCGTGCCAGCCTCGTTAGCACGATGTCCTCTCATTATTATAATCTGCATAGTATTTCGATTTGCCCCGGCGGTTTAAAATTTTTTTCTATTTTCCTCTCTCTCTCTCTCTCTCTCTTTTTTTTTTTTTTTTTTTGCGGTCGGAGTTTCCGCAGTCAGTGAACCATCGAGAAAGAAGCCTTGTTAAAGTATTTCAAAAGCTGTTCTTGTGTCACGCGACTTTTCTCCCAGAAACTAAAAAAATGCTCGGTTCAGGGTTTTTCACGTTGGGGCACGCTACGTCAACAGATCGCCGCTAGCAAAGTGAAAGTCCAAGCCGGTAGCCTTGTTCAAGTTTGCAGCTCGCTGCAACTGCTTCTTTTATATTGTGAAATTTTCTCAGGAAAAAAAAGGATTTTTAACTTAGGGCTGGGGAGAGAAACGGAAGGAAGTGTCAAACAGGTTTAGCTGTATCATATGCGCTTTAAATTTCATATCGTTATCGAAATGCTTTCGGTGGTTTAAAACCTCATTTTTTATTACGTAGAGGAAGGATTACTACTCCTCTAGAAAGAACTGCGTGGGAGGCCATTTTGTGCGAGTGTTGGATCAGTTTAAAACTTTTTAGTAACGCCAAATTCTGCTTCATCATGAAGAATGTGTATATAACCCTCCAGACGACTAAAAAAACAATTTTTATTTGAAACTGTTTTTATGATAAATAATGCATCTTTTTTCAATACTAATAATGAATAACACACAGTCCATCCATGCACCAGGGTTTTCATTTGAGGCCGGAGGCCGGACGTTTCGTCCGGTCGTTTGCCATTCCACGTCCGGTACTTTGAGATCAATATTGGCGATTTTTTTTTACTTCTGTAAATGGCGTTTCTGAGTATTCTATTTTAAAAATTTCCTGGGGGAGCATGCCCTCAGACCCCCCTAGGTGCTTGCGCCTTCGGCGCTCGCGAGGCGCCTGACGGCGCCAAGAAAACATTCACGTCCGGTGCTTTCAGAAGTATGTCCGCTACTTTACAAAACAGTTGAAAACCCTGATGCACGCTTTAAAATCATCCAAAATCAATTACAAAAGAGCAAAATATTATCTTGATAAATGAGCTGTGTTCCAATAAGGACGCCAAAACATGGGACCCTTTTGATTAATCATTAATTTTGGCACCAATATTCTGAAATTCAGTTTTAATGAATCACAAACGATTAGTGGTTTGATTTGGAGAATTTAATGTGGTAGGCAGCTTCGCTTTAATAATTACTAACATTGGATTTACAGTAGAAAAATTTGAATGCCCCGTGTATAGAAAAACTGTACAGTGCTGTTTTATTACGTAACAATTTTACGAACCAAATCGGGTCGCTAGACGATCTTCAACAACTCGTGATTGGATTTCGGAGATCCCTGGGGATCGATTCGGCGTCATTCATTTTTTTAAAGGCAATTTTGGCAAGCTCATATAAGCTCCTGGTAAACTGTCCAAGACAACGTACTTTAGTTCCCAGTTAGGAGGTCGGTTTCTATGAACGCACTCCGTTGGTTTTCCGGCTTCACGGAAAGAAACACATCCAAGAAAGACAGGCTTTCTTTAACACAGCGATTGTGTTACTCTGTTGGTCATGTTTTGAACGATTTGGCAGGTAATGCGTGGTTTAGCTACCTTCTGGTATTTCTTACCAAAGTAGCTGGACTCTCAAACGCCAGCGCAGGTTTTGTAGTACTTTTGAGTCAAGTATTCGAGGGTATCTGCACGCCTGTTGCTGGGGTATTCTGCGATAAAACAAAGTGCAAATATGGACGGCGAAAATCATGGCATTTCATTGGAACTGCTTGCGTTACGACATCATTTCCTTTCATTTTCAATCGATGCTTGGGCTGTGCGGAGAGCAGCAATGCTGTGAAATTTTTATACTATACCGGGTTTTCTATGGTATTTGGGTTTGGTTGGGGATGCACTCAAATTGGACATTTATCACTGATTCCTGAAATCAGCAAACGGGAGAGCGAAAGAGTTGAGCTTAGTGCGTTCCGGTGAGTGTGCTTTTTTTTTTTTTTTTTTTTTTAATATATAGCGCTATCCAAATACTTTGGTTCTCTTTTTGCTAGGTAGATATATATATATATATTTTTTTTGCATTCACTCTCAAGTAAACTTTTCTGTGGGGTTTGAAAGCAACTATAGTAATTGTGCAATGATGCTGAAAGTCGTGATCGTCTAATTCCAACCACAACTGAAGATTTGTTTGACAATGAATTCTTCCTGTTTTCATAAGATAATAATAAAAAAACGGCAAATTCAAAGCTAGGGACGGAGAGAGCTGACTCAAGATTCAAAATTTCGGAGAGGAAGGAAAAGTCATTTAGGTTTAACATGGCTGGTGTTTCTATTTTTTTTTCCCTTTTGGTGAGGAAATTTAGTAAGGGCTTCTGTTAGGAGACTAGGACATATGCTTTGTTTTCCTATATAAGAAAACCTAGATTTGAGGATAACAATTTTGTTTAAGTTTTGGGTCTGAAATGTTCTCAAGAAGTTCATATAATTACATGGAGTAGTATTCTTTTTGTTAAGTACAGATTAAGCCGGCCTATAAACAGATCTCCTTCGGTGAATCTTGCGATGGAAACATTTGTTAAGTACAGACTAAGCTGGCCTATACATCAAAGAATAAGACGTCTGGGTGTTTGCGTTCAGTGCCACACCCTCTGGAGGTTTTATCTGTTGACCTCTTGACCCCTCGTAGCATCTAATTTCTCCCTTCAATCACAAATCAGTCAGCACAGTAAGGTCTCAATGATAAAGGAAATGATCACCAACTAAAGATGCTCTTGATTGTTAAACAAATTCTCCTTGTCAGTAACTTTGGAAATGTGTAGAGAACAGAATGAAAAATAAGAATATTTATGTTAGGGTGTGAAAGGTAGCAGATACCCATGTAGCTACTATAGCCGAGCTCTTTTGGAGTCTTTTCAGTCCCTCGGGCACCGTGAATGTGGGAAAAAGCCTGAGTCCATTGAAGCCATTCTATAGGAGGTCACAAAACGCGAGTTTGGGGGCGCGTTGTGTGATGCCCTAAATAAAAGCTGCGCAAAAGTGGGCGTGCAATAACGGCGCGGCTGTTTGTCCGTCCTTTGTTATCTGCCCGTTCTTTCGCTCGTCTCTACAGAGCTGTACAGACTGAGAGAGGGCCTGGAAGAGGTTAAGCTATTATGGCGTCACTAACAACAATAGTTTCTCGTTACCAGGTCCGCCCTTACATTTCTTTGTGGTATTTACGTTTATGGAGTCACGTGGATTCTTCTTGGTCAAAGCAAAGAAGAGACACTTTCTCCGAATGTTTGGAAGCAATTTATGGTGAGTCACATGAGTGCTGTTCAGGTAGCCTTACTTTTTAATTCTCTTCTTGTACATTTTTGCTCCCAAAGAAACTGTTTCTTTGATATCATGGCCATTCAACCAGGAAAACGAAGATTTATTTCCACGGGGCAATAACCTGGCAGGAAACGCAGTGGCCTGGTGGCATCGAATCCAAACGCACCGGAGGTCAGATCGATAGGTCTGGATCCGAGTCTCGGCTGGACCAATGTGATTTTGAACGAGACACTTTACTCTCACAGTGCCTCACTCGATCCAGGAGTATAAATGGATACAGGAGAAACTGCCAGGAAAATCTGACAAAATGTCGGGATGGGATGGGGGCCGGGGTGGGATGGGGGCAGGGGTGGGATGGGGGCAGGGGTTTACCGGTAATGGACTCACATTCTATTCAGATGAAAAAGCAATACTCCGACACTGCGAGTCTCCTCTAAGCTCGTAATACTCATTGTTATTCTTCACAATTGTCATAAATTCATATTTCTCTCATTTAGTATCTTGGTTTTATCGTGGTGGGAACTGGTACGTTGTTTAATATCATTTTCCACGTCGGAACGAGAGAGCCTCCTTCAGAAGCCTTGCTGGAACGGCAGAAGAAAAATGTTCAGGGTACCAGTGAGAAAAAAGGTGAATGTTCTGGAAGCCTTAAAAGGCCACGTTTTGCTCGCTCGAGTTTGTATTTAATACTATTTAGATGTATTTAAGGCGATCTGCTGAGATTCGTTTATAGTACACATGTGAACATTAAATTTTTACGGTAAGTGAAATCATATTTAGACGAGTAGATCGGCTTATCATAATTTTCCGAACTTTCAATTTTTAGAATGAATCAAGAGAATAATCAAGCTTTGGCGCCCAACCCTCGGATTTACAAGGAAATAAAATTTTCAGATTTAAAGCACACTCTAAATAAGCTACTTAGCACTTAATAATAATAATTAATTTCAATTATTGATTTATGATTATCAGCAATTATTTATAAAGATTTTATTTTGCACCAGCTCTTCTCAAAGTTGATTGTGATCCTTCCCCTTCGACTCGTCGTTCATCTCAGCGAGTAACCACGTCTGTATGCGGCAAATCAGAGACAGCATCATCCTCATCTTGCAGTGACGAACTCACTTCCATTGAGTCAACGTTGGTAGAAAAGCAGGCGGAAACTCCGGGTCAATATGACATCATTGATAGGAGTGCCTCAAAAGGAGGCCAAAAGACTTGGAAAGACTGGCTAAAAGACCCCGCCTTTTATAAGGTATGTCCTTGAAATTGATGACGTCATCATGACAAGATGGCCTTATTTTCGTATTATTTAAGCCTAGGGTTTTCTACGGAATAGATGAACCTTTCGGCTCCCAAGATCTCAATGTTAATTCTCCCTTCCAACTGTTCCACATTTCCTTGTAACCTGGTCACGAGAATTTGGTGTTAGATCAAGATAACAACTTCTACCCGATAAATATGAGTATTCATATCTCCTATTTGCTGGATTAAGTATGGATATCATGAGGAGAACTTACATGTTAATCACTGCCAGAAGTTGAAGAGTTAAGTGAGCGTTAGGCGGGGTGGCGAAGCAAAATCCGTCCCACGTGATTTTTTGGCTTTCTTGGCGCGGAAAAAATCTACATTTACTTCACGCGTTATATTAATGTTTTGGCGGAGAAGGAATACATCAGCCGCACGGGTTAAACAAATGCGCTGAATTTGCCGCACGTGATTGGACGATGGACTTGATGAACGTAAAATCTCCGCAACCGGGAGTGGGCCAAGACATCTTACCCGAGGATAAAGCTTATATGAGGAATTGAGCATCTTAGCCTGCGAGCACGGTTAATTATTAGTGCTTATTGGCAAGATTGTTTCCTCGCCAGCGGGAAAGTATATGGCCTTGAGAGAGTCTGGCACTCGTTAGATTTTTATTAGTGCCAGACCACACTCTGATTCGTTTCGAATCTTTCCACGGGCGGAGAAACGCGCGTCGTGTAGTGCTTATAGTGAAGGCGAACTCGCACGCTATCATCGTTATATTATAATACCATTTTTTAATGCTGAGATTGCGAATTAATTTTTTAATTTGAAAGCTTCCAAAGATACGAAATTGTGGTTGTTATGGGGGTTTTTATGATAAGATTTACTCAGAGTGATAACGCGTTGAATTCTTGTTCCTCTTGTTCCAGGATGCGTTTGATCGATTTGAAGAGGGCTGCTCAAATCTTGATTTTCTGTTCTTCCTCTTTGCAGACTGGTTTAGTTTACACTTGCAGTAGGCTTGTTGTAAATGTCTCTCAGTCGTATTTACCACTTTACCTGACAGAAACACTCAAATTTGAAAAGGTTAGTATAAAGCTGGTCATAAATCGCAGAGGTTTAAATGGCCTATTTCAGGTGTTCAGTTAGAAAAATGTTGCGAAGTATTAAACGGCACTATGGTAGCGGCAGAGCGAAAACGAGGGAGTCGCGACTCGAACCAAACCTCTTTTTTTTCCGCGCCGCTACCAGCGCGCTTCGGATTATTAACTGAACTCCTTGAACCGGATTAAGTTTAAATGAATTTTTCGCAATTCGAAGGCAATTCCTTGATGATGAACGAGCTGAATTTGTGATTTTTTTGTAGGAAGCTATCGCCTATTTCCCTCTTGTGGTGCTGATCAGTGGGGTATTTGCTAGTGGAACAGTCAAGCCGCTGAACAAAAGACTTGGTAGTAAAGTAAGGTTATTACATGTAAACAATGTTAAGGATTGGTCTTTTTAAACCCATATGCAAAGCCTACACTTGAGCCCATCCATCCAGTTTATCGTCCTTTCCTTAGCATGAGACGACTGGGAGTTAAAGCAAGGTTGCCCTCCCTTCCCCCCCTTCCCCCAAACATTTCATCAGGCTTCCCTGATTATTCGCGTATACCCATTTATATTCTTGGTTGGAGAGAGGCACAGTGAAAGTTAAGTATTTTGCACAAGAAAAAACACAATTGACCCAGCCAGGTCTCGAATCCAGACCTCTCAACCAAGAGTCCAGTGTACTGGTCACTAGTCCACCTCGTCCTCTCCCTCTTCTTAAAGTGGCTCCTGAAAGCGTGATGTTAATCATAATTTTTCCCTCTCAGATAACATTTTCCTTGGGTTGTATGCTGGCCTTGAGTGCTTGCTTTTGGTTCTACGTTCAGGACATTAAAGGAAAGAATGTTATTTACGTCACTGCGGTTATTATGGGATGTGGAGGATCTGTTATGCTGGTGACGTCATTATCTCTCATAGCAGAGCTGATTGGTCATGACAAGGTAAACGGAAATGCGCAAAACGTGATTTCTCATCAATTTTGTCCCAAAAGCCACGATCGTTTTTCTCAACGGAATGGATTTTATGGAATAAGTTATATTTGTAAAACAATCAGACAGCCAAGAGCAAAATAACATTAAAGCTAGAATTATCACGCAACCTTCAAAACTAATTTTTTTTTGAAGACGTTGATAGAAAGTTTTTAATGAAAAAATTATGACTTTTGAACAAAATTATGTCCATCAATTACAGCTGGAAACCTGCTCGTGACGTGCATTTCTTCAAAACATTGCTGCTCATGTAAACAAAAGCACTTAACTATTTTTAATCTCGCTGCAAAATTTGTCGGAAAATGTTACACTTTCTTCTCAGAAGTTTAGAAGTAACAATGTGAAGCATGCTGGAATTATGAGGTATTTTAATATAAATTTAAGTTTAATTTTTTCCTCTTTTTCCCAAGATTATAAATTTTTAAAAGCTATTACTCGCACCTCTTTTAAGTTATTTAACTCAGTGTTTTTCAAGCTGGTTGTTATTATGCAAATTTATAATTTTATTCATTCCTAAGAAATCCGGCGCCTTCGTTTACGGGACAATCAGCTTCACAGACAAACTGTCCAGCGGTGTCACCATTGCTATAATTCAAGAAATGAATCCGCGTACTGACATGACGTAAGTAGTCACAATTCCCTCTCTATGAGAGTTGGGTGCAAATTATCATCCGACGGGTTTAAGTGACTCTACCCAAGGTCCGTTCAGGTTCAATCAGTAAACTGTACACCGGCTGGCTAGTCTGTAAGTCAGGCCAGTCAGTTAGTAGTTCAGAAAGTCAGTCAGTCGCTCAATAAGTCACAGTGAGTAAGTCGTTGAGTTGATCGGTTGTTCGGTGAGTCAGTCATAGCCAGCTACTTAATCAGTCAACCAGTCAGTCATTCAGTCAGTCACTCACTCACTCAGTCATTTGGCCAATTGGCCGTCCAGCCTGCTAACTGGCTAGTGCTTCAGTCGGTCATCCAGCGAGCTATATAGCTAGTACGCCGGCCAGTCAGTCAATCAGTTGATCTGTCAGTTAGTCTGTCAACCAATTTCTTATCGACAATAAATTTATTTATGAGTCATTTAACAACAGGGTCACACTGAAGTTTGTAGGAAATGTTAGTTAGGTTACTACTTAGCTCGCAGAAACTTGGATGGCACAAAATAAGCTCTAGATTTGAGTCTAGAATATCCGAGAGTAGGCCCCTTTGACAAAAAATTGTTGTATTTTACCATCAGTGGAGCCTTCTCATAGGTTTGATACGTTCTCTCCCTCCCTTAGTGCGGTTTGTCCATCCTGTGATGAATTTGTGAGAAACGTCCAAAGTTTCGCTCCGGGGCTAGCTGCGCTGGTTGCTCTAATTTCCATTATGCTGTTTTTTGATTCAGTCTTCGTTTGTAAGAGGAAAGGTAAGTGTTCAGTTTCACAAGCTGTGCTTAAGCCTCTTAGGAATCAGATAGTGGGGTACAAAGACAAACAGTGAGAAGCGCCATGGCCTGATGGTTGGTGCGCTGGACTCAGGGTGAGAATTTCGGATTCGATACCTGGCTAGGTCATTGTGTTTTGATTTTGGAAAAAACACTTTGCTCTCACTGTACCTCTCTACTCAGGAGTATAAATTGCTATCGGGAAATATTCAGGGTAACCTTTTAAAATTTCTGGGGTGTGGCCATGCATCTTTGCACCTACCCCCCCATCCATGGATGGTAATATGTAGGGGGTGGTAATAACACCATGGAAACACCATGGAAACCGGCATAAGCTCCGCCTACATGAACCACTTGGCTCGAGTACTGACTTTGTTGACAACCACAACATGGGATGGGTTTTGAGTCAGGAGGTTTGTAAGAGCATTGCTACACTTGAGAACTAGTTTGTCATGTTTCCATGAGAATCAACTGGTTAGTACCCATTAAAAGTCCTGGGCTGAGTGAGAGTAGAACATTTCGCTCCAGTATCATATCCACCTGGAGCATGAACTCGTCCAACCCCATGGACTCTCACCACTTGGTTCTCATTGGAACAAAGGAAATATGTAACAACCATGGTGTAGCGTTTTTTTTTTTTTTCATAACGAGCTAGTGTTAGTACTTTTACCTAAAAGGTTTTTATTTTCGGACCACGCGCTGGACTTCATCGAAAATGAATTGGGAGGAGACGAGTGGGAATAGCAAGCGTGTGTTGAGGACTGCGTCGTTAGCTTCACGCCTTGGAGTGATTTGGCAGATGTAGACTAACTATGGTATCGCATTCAGCCATTTCTGGCGGTAACTGTAAAATGATTTTTCTTACAGTGGAAAAAGTTGATATGGCCGTACAGACTAATGATGGAAGTTGTGAAGAAGGGAGCAGCTGTAAAATCGCACAATTCTACGAGGAAGTGGAAAAAGAGAAAGAGAAAGAGTGTGAGAAGTCTTTGAAATTGGATCACGATTTCGAGAAGAATTCATCCAGTGTAAGAGATGTTTATGGGTTTCCCCGAGCCATGAACAACTATGCTGCCAGTAGGTTGGCTTCTCCTCAGCTACCGTCTCCATTATTGGACCGACGCACTGTACTGTAATCACCCTATCGCCTGTTTTTCTCTAATTATTGCAGAGCACTGTTGCACAGCGGCTAAATAACAGCAGTACGTTATTGTTGTCCATGATGCATCAAGCATTGATCATGTGCAACCCGTTGCCAGGGTACACTATGTATTATATTATTACTATACATTAGTGGTTCTAAACCTGCACAAGGAAAAAACTTGAACATTATTTTGTCCGGTCAATAGGACCCTAAGTTAATTACTTTTTTTATCTAAAAAGTTCAAATTAGTCTTAAAAAAACTTCTTGGACACTTTGCGTCGGGAAGCCTTTACAGAGCCATCTCAAATTTTCTTAAGTTAACTAAACCGAGAACAAAAGGCGAAAGTAAAAGATCCTGAAAAACATTCCTAAAAGGAGGGTAACCAGTTCTCGCGACAAAACAGGTAAAAAAAAAAAATAATGATAAAATCGACGTATACATTGAAATAAGTAGACTGGAAACAATACCATGACTTAACTTTGGTCTTCGTATTCAATTTGTTTTGTAGTTCTGAGGTAGATTTCTGTAAGGGATGAATAATAAAAGTAAAGGGGTTGTGTAATATGACGTCATTGACAAACACTTATGGTATAGCCTACCAATGCAAAATTATGAGGTGCAGTCGGTCCAGTTGCCATGACAACCAGGCGGAAGTGCAGCTTCACTTCGTCTAGATACCTCAATTATGGTTTTGTTTTGTTTTGTTTAGTTTTATCTTCAGTTTCGATGTATTTCCATTCCTCTCTACGTATACCTGTTACACATTGCACAGAGAAAAATGGTTTAATGGAAAGCTTATATTTTCCCAGTAATTAAACATAAGCAGCCTCTGACGTCTTATTCATTTGAAAAGGTTGTTCTTGCTGGGTGATATTATTTCTATGGTTAAATTTTTTCATCAATACCGAAGTGCACATAAAAACGCTTTTATTCCACAGGTTTAATTTACAACACAGAAATTTACATTGTTTAGGATCAGCAAAAAAAAGAAGTATGGAGACTTATAGCGATTTCTCTTGACTAATACACTTGCTCTGTTTTTACGCTCACGGCAGCCACATATATATTTAACGTCGTAATTCAAATCACCTAAAAAGAGAAAAAAGAGGCTTATTTCATCTTCATCGTGTAGAGTTGCAAGTTGCAAGTTAGTAATCCTAACCTTAACCCTAACACCACTGCATTTGAAAGGTTCATCGTTTGTTACACAGTGTAATAACTTCCGATGTGGATAGTGACCCTTCGACTGTATACTGTTAGTCCCTGAAGGCGACGAGATCCACTAGTAACGTGACAGCATATAGAGCATCATGCTTCGCTATGACTGGCTGGTTATTACATTTTTTACAGGTGTATTAAGATAATCTGCTCCCTCAGCGGTCCGCTGTCCGTCCAATCCAATATAAAAGTGACCACATCATATGCCAAACGATAAATACTTCATTTAAAATTTTAATTTTTTTTTGGAGGCCAGGATGCTAGGGTGATTGTTTTATAAACAAAGACGACGTTTTCATGCCCACCTCAGATCGTCTATCGTGCTCAGCTTCTAACCGGAAAAACTTTTTTTCCCTTGACTTCCCCAGCGGCATATTGAAGACTTACTATTTTCTGGATCTGAGCAGTTTTGTTCTATTTCAGGAATCTAATGATGGAACAATTGAATCAAATTCAGTATCTGATCAATTGCGTACCTACCCCTCCCCTGACCCAACATTAACCCTAACTTGCTACCAGTTGACTGTTGTTGGGTTAGGGGAGGGGTAGGTGCGTAGTTGCTCAGATATTAGCATTGATCCGAACAATTGTACGTTTATTGATGGAGCCTAAGTTTTCCCAATGATTCCCTAAAAATCCTCCCCACAAATCAGCCAAATTTTGTTTTATAAGTTACGGAAAAGAAGCGGAATCCACCATTTTAAGTCTCCAAGTAATATAGTCAGAGTCATCTGATACATTCTTCTGTGTGTCTTCAATATTTCTATGTCGTTCTTTCAAAAATAATTAAGTCACTTAATAGTCCTTTCCAAAAAATAATATCAGAATTCCCCTTAGCATGCAGTTTATTTAGTGCTTGATCACACAGCGTATTGCATATGCTCTGCCTCAACTTGGAGAAGCATGTTTTAGAAACAGGTGTTTTTGTCTCCTAAAGTATATATATTTTTTTTAAAAAAATCATTATTTACCGCGTTCTGATAATTTTCAATTCGCAAAGATTCGACCATGGGGACCGGCATTTTAAAAAGCTTAACAACCTGGCCCTACATGCAAAACCACGACGCGTGGTTTACAAATACCTGCTACCTCAATAGTTACGAAATCCTGCAAGCTTACAAAGCATTCATTCTATAAACGGGAACCCGAAGTTAGATGATTATGCCTTGGTAAGCCCGAGTTTCCACTAGGGGTCCTAAGGAACTGATAATTGTAAGCAATAGCGAAACAGGAGGAAAAAAAACGATCATTATATCAGAAGTTGCAAGGTGGACAGCATCGGGCACACCCTTGAAAAACCAATGCAACTTGAGAAGATGTCGCACAATAAGCCGAGATGATGAGCAGTTTCCATGGTCTAATTCCCCGCTAGACGTGGAAGGGAATAAGTTAAGCCTGGGCGGGAAAGAGTTGTATGGTAATGTAAGGACAACTTACCGATCGCTTTCGTCCAGCTCCATTACCGTAGCAAAACAAGTCTGCCGGATTGGTACAAGCTTTTGAGTTGGTGTCTGAGGTTACATCACCCATGCTATCCTCCTTCGGTGCAGTAACACGGACACCTTTCTTAACCATAAATTTCTTTTTGCCACTTGGGTTGAAACGACAGGTAAATTTTGTGCATCTTGGATCGGGGTCTTGAAGCTGTAAAGGATTCGCAAAGCGCTCGTACGTCTTTCTAGAGAAATCAGGCCCTCTCTTGCCCATAAATAGTTGACAGTTTAGCCGCTCTTTCTTCGGGAGTCTGCCACATTCGACTTGGCGCTTCTGTGTAAGCGCATTCGAGCGGCCCACGCGCTGCCGCGAGTCGTACTCGCATTCCTCCTCATTTTGACAGCCGTTTAAGGAGGCTTCATCGGCAGGATTCGGACTGTCAACGAAGTTCAAATTCCTAGAAGAGACTAAAAGTACGGTTTAACAGAACGTGAATTAAGATGATGGTAATAATAAAAATTCTTGAATTAAGAATCTTTCGATTGTCTCAATGGTTAGATTTCTAGTTTAACTGGTTTGAGATTTACGACAAATAAGGACGCCCACTGACATTCGTGTGAGCGAGATTTGAGAGAACATGGAGCTCAGCGCATGAAATGAGGTTCCATTCAACCAATCGCACGTACATTTATTTGCAGTGGTGATCACAAATTATCAACGATTTTCGGAAGTAAAATGGCATCAGCGGGGTGTCAGTTGAAAAAGAAATCATTAATGTCCGAGTCGAAACTCAATTTTAAAGAAAATACACGGTAGCATTTTAAGTTCTGGAGCTGCTAGAACAATAAGAAGGAAGTTGTTGATGCATAAAAACAGCCAAAGAGAAAGTTACTTAAAGGTCAGAAAAGGTAAAATTAACATAAATGTCTCACCCGACTGCAGAAAAAACAGAACTACAAACGTAGTAAGCATTTCGCACCAAAACGAGGCTCAGCCGTCGATATCAATTCTCTGGAATTGAATGAGACATTTTTATCAAACAATAAAATTGTTTCTAACTTAGAACTGTGATGGTGAAATCTCTTTTCGCTAAAAAAAAAAAGACAACCTTTCACATTCAATGTAGCAAACCAACTCTACGTTAAAGTGTTTCCTCACAGTAAGTTTAACATTGTTGATTATTGCACTACGAGGGCCTTTTTCACGAAAGAAATATGTATAAATAAACCCAAACTAAATGGCTACACAGTGAAAAAGCATAGAACATATTGCTGAAATTGTTCGCAGAATGTTAACGTAGAGAATCACTTAAATTTAAATGGACCCTCCCCGTGAGTAAATTTGGAAAACAACCATTTCATTTCAGATAATATTGTTTGTTTGTTTATTTACCTAGCGTCCGAAGTCCGCAATCAATTTTTCAACAGATTCTGTCGAAAATAACGGTTCTTACTGATTAAGATAATGTAATTGCATTCTGTTTTCAATTTTTGAGTGAAGCCCCGAAAAGTAAAGGTTGCAACTATCCGTTAAATACCGTGGTTACAAGATCTCGATTGTTTTCATTAGAAGTAAGACTCCCTCCCAAAGTATTGCTTTGATGTATTCTTGTAAAGAACACAGAATTTCAGTCAATAGTTTTTCGTAGGTTCTCTCTCTACGCATTGATATCCGACGTGAAAATGAAATACGATAAATCTGATTGGAATACTTAAATTTCACTCTATTCGGTAGGAATAAATGCCAATTGTTGACAACCTTAAGAAAATTGTGAATTTTACCTAGATTTTACAAGAAGAGTAGGGTTTTGAGTATTTCTAGTGTTCAGTTGCTTCTAGTAATGTCTTAGGGTAATGTCAGTTCATAGGTAACTTTGAATTGGGGATCTCTCACCTTGATAACTCACCTTGCTCTCCCTTTTGCTCTTTAGCACGGGTCGTATGTATAAAATTGAAAACTTGATCTGCTTATATTCCTTTTAGCGTCATGTTGTCGGAAACAACTATGAAAGATTACTGCCATCACTTCCTTCTCAAAGAGGGTTTATTCGGCGCTTTGAGTTCCTTGTCGTAGGCGGGGGGAGTAAATGATATCAATATTTAAACACTTATCCGACAATTAATCACCCAAATGAACCATAGACTTGAATGTGCGACCGTTGGCTCGTCGCTGAAACAAACTCAAAGCTAGTTAGAGGATCAAATTCATGACCTAAGACGTTGCTGGAATATTTCAGTCCCCAGCTTTTCAGCTGGATCAGAGTTTATCTCTTCATAACTTCGTGTAAGCCTTTTTATCATCTTTTTCTACTGGGTAATTAATGCTAGATATAGCCTTCATTGTCCTAGCTCCTGAATAAATGTGTCCCATAGGACAAAGAGGCTCCAGGTATTTTTCACCCTTCTTTGAAACCGAGAGGCAAACATTGCTTCTTGAAGCTCGCCCAAATATTTGTTTTACCCTCTTCCCGGAGAAATTCCGCATTCTTCGGCCTGGCCCATATCTTTCAACATTCAATACCCGATCTTACACATATATATCATAATAAAATTTGTGATTGTTCTTTGAACTTGTTTCTTTCTGTGTTACCCCTCTATCCGCGAAACGGTCTACTTCAAATATCTGAGCTAATAAAGAAGAAAAAAATTATAATAGGACATTTAATTTATATCTTCTCTGAGACATTTCCCAAAAAATTTAATTTCGACAGAAATTTGAATTTGCAATTTTATCATTTGAATTTAAGTAATTAACGATTGAAAGCAATTGCGACCAATACTTCATACAATTGTTTATTTGTCACTTTGAAAAAAAGATCCCTATATCATGAAACCAAAATTTAAAGGAATTGCAAAAAAAAAATTGAAAACAAGGATCGAACCACTTGTTCTAAATTTCGATAATTAATTAACTGCCAGATCAGAGAAGCATTTTCTTTTTTTGCTCTAGCATCGCTCAATTAATATTCTTAAATGTACGCCAACACCGCTTAAGTGTTTTCAATTCAGTTCATATTATTAATTTGCTGTGCGAATCCTGGCACCAAGAAAACGTATTTTGTATGAAATATTACACGATAAAAATTTTTTTCAAGTTCTCATTTTTTTTTATACCTTTTTTCAGACCTATTCATATCCGTGGTGGCTAGATTTGTATTTTGATAACAATATTAGTTTTTTTTTCTAGAATCTATTGTTATTTAGTATTCTGTTCCCATTTCTTTTTAAACATTTTCCTGATCCAGTTTATGTAATGATTTTCATATTTTGCGATAAATTTTATTCAGCACATGTTTCGTATACTTTGGAATAATTTTAAGTGTTGTAATATTTTTCTGCGAGAAATCCTTGTTTCATAACAATATCCTCCAAGCACTGATTAAAACGATGAACATTTTACTCTACACAATAAATCATAGTCTTTCCTTTATAGCGGAAACAAATAGCACGATCTTCAAGGCTCAATGTTAATCTTCGCTTTCGTAACCATCTTTTAGTCCTTCTGAAAATTTATCAATGACGTTCATCGCGGTATCTGAAGTGTAGTTTATCTTTAAAATTCACAGCTGTCACATAAATTCGCTAAACTGAGCGTGGTCGGGTAATTATTCGAATGCTTAAAATTTTTCTTTTCAATGACAAAACAACTCATTTGAGATGAGCTGTCGGAAGCATGACTTTCAAGTTTTCCGTCGTCCTTGGTCTCTCGGACTTGTTTTCCAAAATTTGATCAAAACATTTCCTCAAGGGTTGGAAAATGGAAATTTCTATTCAGTTTCTACTACAACGAGAAATGTGAGGCGTACTTTAGTCACTTAGTAAAATAAATGAGAAACATATTCAAGAAAAAACAACAACAACAAAAACGCTCTTCGATAACTTAACTGGCACAAAAAAAAAGATAGCGGTAATTCTTATCTTACTAAATTACTCAATTATTCCGCCAGTCAAATAAGTATGCATAGCTCGTTTTAAATAACCCTTTAAGATAAAACACACTTTCTGCATGTTGGATAAATCCTATTCCCATGAAAAGAGAAAAAACCATTTTTAGTTACAATTGTGACTAATCTTTTGGTTGGAAAAAAATGATCCGTGGCTCGCGACGACTTGCGTAGCTTTTGTAGTGATAAGTGAGCTACACGTAACGGTTTTAGTATAACGGTGGACAAGCTTTCAGTTTTTGACGTGAAACGATGTAACTCGATATCAACAATTAAAATGAAATATGGACGATGAACTCAGCTTCAGATTTTGAGAATGTTTTTATTCAACTCTATTTTTCTTTTCTTTTCTTCTTTTCGATTTTTACTACAACATTTCTTAGACGGATGTGAAAAAGGGTTCCATGATTACATAACAGATCCAGTTGTGATTGCTTCACATAGGCCGTGCGAATGGTGTGTCGGTGAACGACATCAATGACGCTTGTGAAAGCTGAAGCCATATTTTAAAATAGAAGTAGTTTCTATTACTCTAACCATTCCCTTTTGTTTCTTTAGGTGACATTTTCATTGTGTAATTTTCAAAACTTGTGAAATCCCCATCTTGAATGAAAACACAACAGCTTTACGAGGCCTTAGAAAAACGGGCCCAAGCTGGCCCTAGAAACAAAGGCACAAGAGAGACTCAAAAATCTGCGTTTGAATTCCTTCTTCTGCGTGAAAACTATGTCAAATCTCCCAAAATCCATGTAATTTCCGTAATTTTACTGTTTTTGTGCGTCAGAAACACATTATAATGTTACGTCATGCTGTATGCCTCACAGCAACGTATGCTGGGAAAGATATGCCAAGAAGGAATCTCATTTCGTAACACTTACATAACTGTAAGTGAATTGGTATTTTGATGTTTGATGGATCACACATCACCTAAATGTTAGACTCCTGAAAATTTAGTGAAACTGCACAGCAATTTCTTCACCACAGGCTCTGATCAAATGCATTATTTATCTTTAAGCGCTCTGAAGTATTAATCGTCAATAGATATCGTCCTTGGCGAGCTTGAATTGAAATTTTATGACTGATACTGAAGGAGGAAGATATCCCCTTTGATTAATGAGTTTGTTGAATTGAAAAAAGATGTGTTCTTTGCACAGTGACGTTCAAGTGACATAAACATGATATGATGGCCCTTTAGTCAGTTTAAGAGACCTTGACAGACAACTACTTCCCAATAAAATTAAATAAGAACGAAAAAAGGGCCACTCCATTGAGTCATTGAAGCCACATTAAAGGGAAGAGGGAAGAGGGCGTGAAAGTGGTGATTCTCGAAATTTTTTGATGCTGTTTGAATCATAGCCATGTTTTAAATATACGTATGCACTCAAGGGAGTAAATCACACCCTCCACCCCCGAGAAGAGGGCGTTCAGAGGAAAACAAGGTGATAAGAATACAGGAAATTTTAAATGTTTGTTTTATTTCATCAAATTAACACATTTTATTGTTTCCTTCGCATTGAAGGTAATTTTGCACATCTCAACAAACGACTCTACCAAATCGTGACCATAGCCTTAAACTTGTTGGTTTTGTGGTCGATTTGTGGGAGTAGCACCCTAGGGTTAAGTTCAAATTGGCGACAAACATGTGCGACACGGAAATGTCCACGAAAAGAAAATGTCGTCATTCTCACGTCATTATGCACCATTAATTTCAGTGCGTCAAGTTGTGAATACTGTTCACAAGAATTAATTTCTTGGAAACAAAAGATTTTTTTTTAGTTCCTCTTCCCAGTGTTTTACCCAAGGCATACTTTCATAGGGTTATCACACTGAATAGGATTAATGACTAGAACTTTTAAAGCTAGAGAGAGTGCAAGGAGTTCCTATAACGTCAAATGTTGTCGTCATGACAACGAATTAAAAAATATCTATACACCCTTTTTTTTCTGAGAAAAAAGTTACCATGATTCTGATACTCTTCTTCTGTCGGGAAAAACGCACAGCAGCAATGAAAGACGAGGTTTTTCGAAAAATGGTGTAGAAGCAGAAGAAACCTACACACGCAGGCTAACAGCTTTATAGTTTTTTCAATAAAAAAGGCCCAAAAAAACAACTGTATAAATTTGGAAGCAACAAAGTAATAAGATTATAGAACTTCACAAAGGATTTTTAACTGTGATATTTTGCTGATAATTTGAATCAAAATGTCGCACTCAAAGTCGAAATCCCCAAAGGATCAAAATGTTTCGTCTTAATCAGAGACAAACAAGATAAAGAAAAAGCTGCCTTCGCTGACCAAAAATCTACAGAAGCACTCGATTATACAAGGTTACAAACAAAGTTCAAAGCGGCTGGGACTAAAGCTTCGTGTACACCTACAGGAGGCGTCTGGCTATAGGAAAAGTCCGCTAGCGTGGATCTTTGGCGGAATAGGGGGAGGTGGACGGTGGGGGGGGGGGCATAAATCCCTATGCCAAAGTATCTACGAGGTTATCAGAAATGGAAGGCATTCAATATTCACCTGATTTCACGTTTATTTCCTTCACCTGTGTCAATGTTTAAAGTCTAAATATCAAATTTTGTTAACGTCAAATCGCTCAGTCTAACAAATTGATTTTTACGAAAGTTAGTGCCTCCTACAGTTCCTTAGATACCGCCTTATCGTATCATTTTTCCTCGTGCCTGCATTTTCTTCTTCAAAGCACGAAATTCTTCGGATGTGTACTGCTTTTTGACTGGTTCCTGAAAGTTAGCAAACAAAAGGAATTAAAAAGAGCTCTGGCGTCTTTAACATCAAATAGTGTCTTTTTACCTTTTTTCGTTTGCGATAATTGAAATTACTTGTGAAGGTTCACTCGTGTTCCTTTTGCATCATTTGTATTGATAACCAATTTAATTTCAGATACTATTGATCCGGGCAGATTTCTATTACGCATCGTTCTCAATTGTTTCACAAATTTTTGCGTCATTGGTATTTTCGCTTGAATTAAAGCACTTAAAACTTACCTTTGAACATAGCTCTTGTTAGTCGTTCATTTGAAGGTAGTCGCAATTTTAAGACACTCGGTAAAAAATTGAAATTTTATATCTGTATATATTTATCGAGAAATGGCTAACTGCCGAATTATTCGTCGTGAATTCCCTGAAGTTGGCTCTACAAATCAGAGATAACTTATTTTAAAAAGAATAAAAAACAGGGGCAAGGGAGCTCAAATTGTTTTATCTGCAATAAAGTGGACGAGATATAATTCTTAAGACAAATGATCGTTGTATCAATGTTGAAGATTCCCCTCTCTCTGAAACTCAAACCCAACTTGAAATTTTATTAACAATTTTTTTGATGTTATTTTAGTTAAAACAGGATCTTTCAATTGACTGAGGTACTACAAGCGCCCTGATTGGTCAAAAACCTATTGTTTGTTGATAAAAGAGGTAAGTTTCTAAAGAAATTGTGGTGCTGCGTCGGTGGGAGAGTATAGCAGGTAATTTAGTGTTGACAACTGAGTTGAAAACGTAACTTGGCCACCGTAAAGGGTAACGCTCGAAACGCCAGCTTTTTTTACCCTCTACGATGGCCAATTTACGTGTTCAACTCAGTTGTTAACGCTAAATTACCTGCTATTGTTTGTTGCACCGGTATAAACCCATAGAAAAGTGAAACATTTGGTTTATTTGTTTTTAATTTTAATTCATAAATGCAATAGACCGCATTTTCTATCGGTTTACTGGCGTAATAATCAAGTTGGGATGTTAGGAGAACACGACAAAGTGTGTAAATCACTCGGCTGCGGCTTGTGATTCTACGCAATTCTTTGCGTGGGTGATTGCACCGGTAAGCCGATAGAAAGTGCGGTATATTGCATAATAAGCGCTTTAAATGTATATTTTCATCAATACCTTTCTATCGGAGCGCTTTTGGTCTCTTCTTTTCTTTTCACTGAAAGAAAATATCGAATAACAAGTGCAGGAATGAGATGTTTAATTAAGGAAAGCTTTGTATCAAGAGCTAGCTGTAAAAGAATCATTTTCTGAAGTGATCTATCATTGCCCCGCCCTCCCTCCCACGCATTTGTAAATTGCTTCTCTATGCCTTGATCCTCACTTATCTTGAAATAGTCAGCTCCAAACTTTTAATCACACTTTCAGAATTTCGTCCTTTGAAGGCAGCTGAGTATATCGCGTCTGATGCTCATGTACTGCTTGATGAAGATTTCCTATCTCACAAATAAAGACCGACAATTCTTCGAGTTCTTAGGGTTTTTTTAGCTACTCACTGTTTGCTAAGTAATCCAATTGGATGTTAATGCAATTCGTTGTTAAAAATAAATCAATGTTTCTTTAAAAATAAAAATCAGGCTACGTGCTCGACTAATATCAAAAGTAAACAGTCGGATTGAAAGCATAATACGTAAGCCTGGATCTGCGCCAACGGCAAACGCTAAAAATGAACTCTGATTTACAACGATCCCCAGATCAAGCCTGAGGTAAAGAACAAAAACCCTAGGCCTTTTGTTCAGCACTTCTGTGAATATAATCGATTTAATGAACAAAAGAGTGAAGATAAACCGCCAGAAACTCTATTTTGCCGTTTTTGTAAATAAGTCGCGCTTTCTATAGAATTGTGAGGATTCCAGAAAAATTCGATGATCGCATTAAAAAAAAGATTGATAGTTTTCCCAAGGTCGTCTAAGAAAGTCTTCCTGTAATTTTATACAGGAATTAAGGTTTACTCAGGAAAAACGTCAATGCAAAACTTCCGAAAACATCTCATTATCGTGTGTGACTCTAAAGATCATGTTCCGGTGTTTTGAAAGCTGATTAACAAAAACTGAGAATAGGGAGCTGAGTTTATCGAGTAAAGTTTCTATATCACTAACTTGTCAAAGAAATAATAGTTGTTAATCCTTTGACTCCCAAGATCTGATTGTTAGTTCTCCCCTTTAGCTTCAACCCATTCCCTTGTAAATTAGCTACGAGAATTTGGTGATAGATCAAGATAACAACTTCTACGAGTTTTCTCATTACTTGCTTGCTCGATAATGCATGGATATTACAGGGAGAAGTTACATGTTGATCACTTTTGGGAGTTAAAGGGTTAAAGAGATATGAAGACTGACTAAAGCTTTCTTCGGCAGCTTATGCGTGGTCATCAGACATGACAGAGCCACCTTAATGCGAGTGAAGACAGGCGGCCAACATTTGAACCGAACCTGAATGAACTCGACAAACCATAATATGAACAGAGTAAAAGCCATCTTTCCTAGAGTGATTCTGCTGGAGTTACTTCCTGAAAGCTCCTTTTTGAATCCCTTTTCACAGTTTCTTTTGCCATACGCTTTTTTCCAGAACACCATTGCACAAATGGCATATCAGTACAAAAGTAAAAATTGACCTATCGGTCGATAAATATGTGTTATTGACCAAGCATGACATCAGTATGCTGGATATTGTCCGAGTTCTTTACTTCTTTGCGTTTTAATGGACTGGGACGATGCCGAGGTCCATTAAAACGAAAAAAAAAGGAAGGAGGCTAGTGACCAGCCATTTTGATCGAACAAGCTTGGTCAATAAACGATTCTCTAAATAGCACAAGTATTTCTGAGGTGGTTAACTCTTATTTGAAATGAAATGGAGAAATCCCACGTTTTCTCAAGAATCAATGATTACTTGTTTATTTTCGAGCCCTGGAAGCCAACAGTGATGGCTGGTACTCGTTTATGTTTTCTATAAATGAACTGTCTTCTTCTTGTCGACATTGTCCACGAATTACGAACTTTGTATGCCCGCCTCACGGAGGATCAAAGCGGGCGATCCCGAGCGGGCAAGATGGGCTCATGGGCTTGTGGGCCACTTGGCCCGAGTGCAGAACTTCGCTTTACATTTTATTCATATATCGAATTCTATACTTATTTCGTTTTGTTATCTCACCTCGAGGTGGCCTCCTTATCCTTGTAACTAACTTCACCTCTCATGTCCAGAATGGTTTCGCTCTGTCTGGCCGGCTGCCCTTCGGACAAAAATGCGGCTTTGACTGTTTTCCATCTTCCTCCCTTAGCTAATGGTTTTTTGATCAGGGGCAGTAGGGTGCTTCTTCTCCTCAGCGCCTTCGATGTTTCTTTATTAGGCGCCGCTTCAGCACGATCGAGCAGATATTTGAACAATGGTATCTCGTTGAACTTCTCCACTCGTAACCTCAGCTTTGTGAGGACAACTCGATGCAGTAGCGCCAGTGTTTCTGGGCTGCGCCGCGCTAGAAGCCGCTGAAAGCTTGCTTTGTCCAACTCATACACCTCTAACGCCTCGACACACTCTACGCTCGCACAGTACTCTGGGATATCAAGAACCAACTCCACGTCACCAATGATGTCATTGGGCCCAATGAAGGAGGCTTGTATTTCACGGCGCCGTAACCTGTCTTCCAAGGCAGTAAATCCGTACTCCAATCTTCTTCGTCGTTTTTCAATAACAGTTAAAGGCTTAACCAGATCTTCTAATGCGTTTAGTTCAGTCTTTCCTTCTTCTCCTTCTTCTTCTTCTATTTCTCCGTGGTTTCGTTCTTTTTTCTTCTTCCTCTTTTTAGGTGCAAAAGCTTCGAACTGTTCTTTGCACTTTCTGGGGTCAGATAATACCTTAGCTGCACCTTTAGCGATGAAATAAACCGCATTACACGGCGAGCCCTGCTTCACTACCCGATTTCCAAACTGGATTTTGTGCATTTTAAGGTTTTCAATCAAGAGAGCTTTTAGTGCTGTTGGCCATGAAGCAAACAGTGGGCAAGCCAAAGCAAAGGCAGACTTTTCTTTCCATTCAATGTTGTACGCATAAAAAGCCCTCTTGAACAATTCCTCATTGATAACAATCAATTCCGTCATCTCATCGGCGATCACGGTGGCATTTCGTTCCTTCTTGTCGCTCATTAGAACCATCTCACCAAAACTCTTTCCACTTTTCAGATTTCCTAGCTCATTTCCAAAGTACGCTACTCTTTCCTGGGCGCCGCGGACTGCACCCATGTCATGATGATGGTGATAATCGGTGTGATGATCATCTTCCTTTCTGGCGTAAATTGACACTGCACCCTTAAGAATGACGTAGAAACTGCCAGAGAGTAATCGCATATTCAAATCATATTTTATTTCGAAGCAATAAATGCAAGTTCATAAACTATTCAACTGATGGATAGCGCGGAGCAGATAATAGAAGTAAATCAATGAACATACCCCTTATTTGATGGTTTAACATATTTTTGGCAGATATTTTCCGTTACGTTGTATTTTCCAAGGGGCGAGAAAAAACACGAGCAATGAGCCGGAAGAGCCCTGAGAACGACCCTGAAGAGTACTCACCAGTTTCCCTTCTCTCCCTGTCGTACGATGACATGATCTTTCTTTACTTTGATCAACTGCACATGTTTTATCAAGTTGACTAAAGTCTCTGTTAAAAAGGAACAAATAGTCTTAACCCCAACTCAAAATCGGAGTGTCTAGAGTACATTCTTCAAACAGATAACCATATAAATGTATACTTCTTACTAACCGAGTTAAATGTCCGTACTGTAAGTTACGGATCCAGTTTCTTACTCTCGTATTTATGCATGTTAGCCGTCAAGGAGGTTCCGTAATTTACAGTACAGACCCAGAAAACGGTATAAGATATAAGATATAAGGAAAATTTTTATCTTGGTAACCCATGGGAGTTAAAGAAATTTTGTCTGTTCCAAATCACAAAGAAAATGGGTTCATTTCCAGCTGAAAAAACTAAATCAGATCTATATAAAAAGAGTCTGTTGAGAGTGTGAGCACAGCCATACATTTACCATCTTCCAGGTTTTTAAACAAACTACTCCTGTGTCGAATCCACGGAAGAATACGCTGTATGTCGTCGATGCTTCTCTCTTCTGGTCTTCTACAGAGTAACTCCTCGGACAACTGCAATGTGGCTTGTAACAGAGGGTCGTTCGACATGACGAGAGTACTACAATAAAAGGATTTCTGACTCGACCAGCGTTAGGCCTTTTACGTCATAAAGATACCAGTCGAATTGCGCGCGCAACATGCATACCTTCCATACAGTTTTGCGGATGAAAATTAGCCTTGGTGCACCCGCTGGAATAGTTGCTATTTCTGTCTACATTTCAAAGTGGATGAAAACAAAGTATTATCATTCGACTCACGGTGTAATTACTTCACATGTGGATCGGGACCTTCTGACTGCTTACCGCTGGTCTTTCTCGTGAGATTGATTGGTTGCTTTTCAACGACTGTGATGCGGATTTCGCTGAAGCCTTCCCTCTGCATATTCACAAAGCTTTACTCTCGGAGAAAGATGAGGGAGGGGAGGGCGAAGTGCGATCGTTTTGATGCAGACCTCAAAGAAGATTACCTTTCTAAATTAATTCCCTCACCCTCCCCTATAAAAGCCACTCATGAAGGCTATTAAGGTACAAGGAAGGTATAGCTATAAGTTTTAGCCCTAGTACTAAACTTTATGACCAACCTAGGCCGAATTAATTGAAGACATTTCACCTTTTCTTCAGTACGTCAAAGTCAGTTGAGTTCGACCTCTGATATGGGTGGCGTAAAGTTTCGGAAATTGCGCAAGTAAGTGACGTGTCTCAGTGTCGCTTCAAGATTTTTCCACCATAAAATGAATCAGAAACTAAAATATGACTGAAAATATAAAATTCAAGGAAAGTAAGTTTCTTTCCTTGTTTTCCTTGTTTTCCTTGCTTTGCCACAGAAAATTGTTAATACTTACCCAGTCTTTCCTCATCAAATAAAAGACATTAACTCCACTTTTTTCTTCAGTACGTCAAAGTCAGTTGAGTTCGACCTCTGATATGGGTGGCGTAAAGTTTCGGAAATTGCGCAAGTAAGTGGCGTGTCTCAGTGTCGCTTCAAGTTCATGTCAGACATGTCGAGTACCTACTGTTTTGGGATTCCCAAAAGCCAGATATACCCTGATTAGCTGCCTGCTCTTGACCCAGAAAACGAAATAAAATCGCGTGCATTTTTATCATTTCATTTCGTTCAAATCGAGTTTTTGGCAGCTAAAGTATTGCAAGTCAGGCCTTGGCGAGTGTAATTTAATTAACACGTGTTTAGGTGAAAAGTTCGGTACTGTAAATATTCTCAGCATACTTTAAGGAAGTTGTTTTACTAAGTATCATTATTCTAAGCCAATTATTTTTTTTGGAGTCAGAAAGTGCCAGAAAGTGATCACAGTTTAATCCTGTGTTTTTCCATATCCACATATTTACTGATTTTTTTTTAGAGAAGCGTTTGAGGGCTTTAAACCAGCGAACGGCAAATAGCACGAATTTGTTGTACGCTTTATTCGCAGTTTTCACAGCATTCATTTCAATGGCAAATGGAAAACGACAAAAAATATATCTGATTAACTCAATATCTTATACAATAAATCACATAATTAAAGATATATTTTTTTTTTGCATTAAACGCAACAATCATTACAGTCCTTAAACCCTGGTTTAAAAAAAGGTTAGCGATTAACATCAAAAAATAACCATACCATGGTGAGTCATAACACACTACATCGGTGGTGGAGCCAGGTTGCCAAATTGAAGTTACAGTGTTTTTATTTAAAAAATTTCTCACGTTATTTTAGGAAGACTTTTGCACTTACTATGACATGATGACACTTCTTCCGGTCTACAGCGTCTGGTAATAAATTACACACACGCGCTGCTATTCATTAAAAATAACAAATCCTTAAGTATTCACTCTGCTCGGGTTACAGACTGAATAGATTATTTATAGCAAGCCTCACGCGGGTGAAGAGAGAATATGGAGCCATTTAAACAGGAGGAAGGTGTTTCGTTCAAACCGGTTGTTAGAAGAACTGCGAATATGAAATGCTTGATAATTTTATCTGTTTTGTTATTCACTTTCCTTGTGATTTCAATCGTTTTCATCGCGCTATACCTGACGGAAAGATCCAGAACTTCGCGGCCTGAACAGCAGTGCAGCTCAACTTCACAGAAATACTGTGGATCAAAATCGTGCCTCTTCACTGCCCAAGGTAAGATTTATTGTATTTCAGGACATGAACATCACGTCTTCGACAACGCAGAATTGCTTGTTACTTTTCACGTAAATTACTCCCCAAGTTGCTTAAGAAAAGCTCTCGAGATAATTTTCCGTGCGGATAATTGAGTGATTCACAATTGATGTTTGTTAACTTTAAACCAAATTGGTGAAATTACCATTTGACAAGCTGAAAACAATCATGATTTATCGACTACTTATCTATGGAGGAATTTTGGCCTTGAACTTTGTCTGTAAAATGTTTATCTTGATTTAAATTTAATTAAACATGTTTTGAGGTCATTCGCGTTTGGTAATTTCTTGTTGAAACCTATCGATGCGGGTGTTAAAACTTAAAGAGTTCAGAACCTCTTGCTGTTTAATACGTATTTAACAGTCGGTGTGTAATTTTGATTTGAAATGTGTATATAACCAGCAGTACTCACAGTATGAAGAAAGCAATTTCTGCTCTTGCGTTTAGCGGTAAAAACCACATATTTTTCTCTCGTACAATGAAGCGATGAAGCGCGCTTTCTATCGGTTATTTAATATTCTCTCAGGGAGTTGGAAAACACGAGAAAAACTTGTAAATATAGATTTGAAAGGCGAGTGACCTACAAATATTGAGAATGTTATCCTAACATCCCAAGTGAGTTACTACCCTGCTGTGATGTTTTTTCTTTTTAGAAATAAGAATTAGCTTATTGGTATAGAAAAATTATATATTTTTGACCAATCAGAGTGCGCATAGTTTCTCAGCTATGTTAAAAGGCAACATACCTTGCACTTTCTGTAGATTTATCACGCGGAATTTTGCCAGAAAACGAGTGAAACTTGTAAAACACGAGTTCTCTTTTGACTACTTAGAGCAACTATCGATAAACCGATCGAGGGCGCCGTCAAGTAATTCTGTAAAATAACCACGGCTTTCACAGATACGAGAAATGACGGCTTTTTGACCATTCACGCCAGACAATTGAACTTTTCAGTTCAAACGGTTATGTTTTTTTGTTCTTTGTCTTTTTTTTTGTTTTTTTGTTTTTTTGTTTTGAGACAATATAATATAAGTATTTATTCTCGTTTTACTTACTCCAATGGCTAGTACAGCTAATACATTCAGAAAAATAATCCCTATCTCCTGTAGCCTGTGAAACAGGCGTAATTTTATTTTACCTGAGTATTATTGAAATCGGTGGTAAGCACGAAGCGAGTGCGAGGCAAGTGCGAGGTGAGCGATGCAAAAAAAAGGGGCTTGTCCTTCATGGTTTACTGACCGGACTTTTCTTTTCTTCTTGTAAAGATGCCTTTAAGCAGCTGAATCAGCGTGTTGATCCTTGTGAGGATTTTTACGAGTATGTGTGCGGCGGATGGGAAAACGAGAACCCTTTAGGAGATAGTGAGACGTTTGTTACTGGCCTTACATTGGCTAGAGAGAGAAGCTACAATACACTCAGGGCCGCTTTAGAAAATGCCAACAGAAACTACTTTCAAGTAAGTAAAATTGTGGGCTGTTTTTCTTCCCTCGTTGTGGTCGTTTCTGCTGACTAAGGCATATCACGTTCATTTCCAGAATGAAGCTGTTATGAAGACATTGGGTTTCTTCAACGCCTGCAATAACACAGCGGCTGTCGAGGCTCTGGGAGATGATCCGCTCAAGAAGTTGATTGACCAAATGGGGGGATGGAACGTGACTGGTAACATGACTCCCTTGTCATTGATGAGCATCACAGAGAGGATTGCTAAAGTGACGAGAGAATTGTTCATCAAACCTTTTGTTGACATTGGAGTGTCTGTAGATCCTCATAACTCCAACAAACACATTCTGCAGGTCAGTTGTTATCTCTAACGCTCTTGAAAGAAAAGTAGGTTTAATCTAAAGGAATATTAAGTCATAACTTACCACTTTTGACATTCCTAAGAGTGACCTAATTTCTAACCGGTCGGGAGTGGTCTTTTGATGCGTTAAAAATCTGACTATGGAGGCTGCCATTTTGTGAAAAAATAACTTAGTAACCTGGCTGCACAATTCACCAACGGCTGCTGCTTTGGTTATTGCGAATAGGAAATAAAAGCAAAATCATTATTCGAGCCAAGATGGAAACACTTCTCGACCAATTTCAAATAAGAATGGAAATTCACGCGAGTGGATTTTGAGTAAAAGAACAAATTTTTATCAGAAATCATTCGCTTGAGTGAAAATGATTTGGAGATTAAGAGATTGTCCTAAGAAAGGGAACTTGCCCTAACTTCATAATTTGATTTAAATCTATTGTAGTTTCGTGAGGGACAACTTGGTATGGTTAAATCCTATTACGCGAAGAATACAACCGAACATCAAGCTGTAAGTACACGCATGCGTAATCAAAGAAACCCTTAAGGTTAGTGTACTGTTATTATCAGATCTCTCGTCGGACATTGCGCACACGTTGTGAGGACATCCAACGACGTTCACTGTCTTCTAAATGGTTGTAGTTGCTGCAAAGATGACTTCGCGTTGCCTTTTATGCTACTACTACAAAGCGCTCTTAAATTTGGTGATTGTTTTAATTAATCTTTTAATACTTCTTTAAAAAGAATTTTTGATTCTCCGAGTGCCAAACGAGCCAGAGCTATGGAGTCAATTAAAGAACGATTGAGTTTTTCATTCTTATTAAATCCATTCTTAAGGTTTGGAGCACTAATATATTAGCACCAAGGAATATTAAACAAGATTGGGACTTGTTGTATGTGACTTTTTGAATTCGCGTTCTGTATGCGATAAACAGCTCATTATTAGAATAAAAAAGCTTGTCTGTTAAACTTCCTCGCCGCCCGTGAGAGGTATAGATTCTCTTTATCTGATCACTGACGTGGTATTCTTTTGGGTTTCAGGGCCGGGAAGCTTATAAAAAGTATATGAAAAAAATAGCCAAGTTTCTCGGTGGAGGCCCTGACTCAGACGAAGAAATGATGAAAGTGTTTGACCTGGAAACTGAATTAGCAAAGGTAAGAAAAATAATTCATATTTGAACTGTTGTTGGTTGCCATTATATCTGGGATATTTCCATTCACTGAGCCCTCAGTTCTTTTGTTGGATTCAATAATTTATTGAGCGCATATTGACTCATTATCCATTTATTCCCTAACATTAAAATGTATAGTCTCCACACTTTTCTCTTTTTATTTCCTGGAGAATTGATAAGGAGAATTTCTCAAACATTCGAGAGCTTCTTCAGTTTGCGATCATTTCTTTTGTTTTCACTACCTTGACGTTTTATTCAGAGGTGATGCAGTAAGGATAAGGTAGATGGCAGTCACTCTCAGGGGTTAAATGGTTGACTAATTCAGCCATTTTTTTTCCGCTTAAAATATAGTTGTATAAATCGCTAGACGGAAGCTCCATAATAGAAACTTTGCAGAGAGAAATGCCTGCTGGAATAGCTACCTTTGAGCTAAGGACAACATTGCAGCGATTCAGCTCCGCATCAAAATTAAAAGTAAGTTGACGATAACAGAGTCACGTTAATTTGGATCGACACTTTTTTGCATCGGGAAGAATGCCTGAACATCATTAACTTGGCTATTTTTGTTCGCACACTTGCCAATCAGCTTTCATAAGATCGGGTTAAGACTTTCTGCCTCAGTGTTATTTTGTGGCTATACTCTGAGCCAAAAACACTGATATTCCGGAAGCATATCCCGTAATCCATGTTTTTCTATTGGGTAGCTACATTTGTCGATGTTTCCGATGCTAAAGCAAAGGCCACAAGCTTGCCTAAGAGCGATTATATCTATAACAATTGCCTTGCTTGATAGCCTATTGACATTTCTGTTCTCTAACTAACTCAACCCTCATAACTTTCCTTATTGCTACTGCGTTTTCATTATCAATAATTTTTTTTCGTTATTTGTTAAAACGTTTTCCAGCTTTCCTCGTTATCGCGCGTATTGTTCGCTTCGCGCGAGTCGTAGCGTGCGAGGAAGGCGCAAGTAGCACGATAGCGAACATAACGCGTGGCCTATGTCACTTTATTCCTTGTCTTTTGAATAAAGATGTTATTGTGTTTCCTCATTTGAATTTCTTTCTGTGTTTTTCCCCTCGTTATTCAGCTCCAAAACCTTGTGGACTTGGTAAATGCAGTTTTTAAAAAACAGGGTCGGAAATTCAAGAAAGACGAGTTAATTGTCGCGTATCCCATAGATTTTTACGTCAGAATTTTCAAGTTTTACGAGGAAAAAACAAGAACGTAAGTGTTTGGGATTTTATCTTGTTCAGCATTTGTTACATCATTCAGAAAACCGCGAAACGGAAAATGGTGTCCATGTTGGATTAATTAATTTACATATGGTAGTCCTTTTACTTCACGTAATTACATTTTGTGTTAACTGACTATGCAGCTGAAACTTGCGATAAAGATGAGCAATTCGTGAAATACAGACGGCGCGGTTTAAACCTATGAAATTGCTTGCGGATTGCTTGCAAAAGAGAAAAAAAATTTTGGGATGAAGTATGAAAGGTAGTTCATCAGTACCATGCACGGTCGTTGAATGAAGAGAGATTTGGTGATTAAGTTGTCACGAGCGAAGGACAAAGAAGAAACGTGAGCTTCCCACGAAGCTTGGAACCTCAGACCTTTTGTTTCGCGGTCGGATGTGATATCAACTTGATAAATTTTAATGTCACCTACCAACGAAGCTTCGTTAATAGCTTAGTGTCCATCAAATACAAATCCATCATCTTGATAGCTTACATTTCAACAAATAAGAGCTGTGTAGAGTTGTAGATTGAAAAGGTTAAATATTGCATCACGAAATATTAAAAGAGCGGTTAATTATCCCTCACCAGCCGAACTTTTCCAGCAGTTTGCAATAACTTGTAACTTGTAACGTGACGGAAGAGCGCTCAATGTTTCCTAGTAAAGTATTGAGCGAAATTTTGGATGTGAGTTATCGCTATCTCATGACGCGAATTTACGCTCCCCATGGTGACTTCTACGTACATGGCTGAAATTCATTTACAGCCGAAATAACGTATCGACGCCGAAATGTCAACGTTTTTTATTTGGTCGAATGTAAGGGGAATTCGTTTTCTTGATAAGGTCTTTCTTAATTCGAACTGAGTGTGACCTATCAGATTTTTGGCGTCTCCACTTGGAAATTCCTTTCGTGACCCTTTGAGGTAAGAATACATTTACATTTTCCTGATTTCTTTCATCATTTAAATTTGCATGCAGGGATCCCTTGGTTGTTGTTAATTACATCATCTGGACTGTTATCAATAACTTTATCGAAACAATGCCGCGAAAATACCGAGAGGCCCGGGACGAGTATGTGACCGCCATGTCAGGAAACAGCACCAGATACCGCTGGAAAGATTGCATTGACAGAATGCAGCCAGTATTTGGAATGCCGCTGGGCTTGCTGTTTGTGGACGTAGCATTCGATGAAAAAAGCAAGGAAACGGTAAAAAGGATAACTCAAAAAGTTAACCCCGGTATTATAGTTTTACCACAATATCCAGAAATGAGAGAAGTTAGTTGTCTGCGCATGCGTGACGGCAGAAATGCGATGACTTCGCAATAGCATGACGTCAACAAGGAATTTAAAACTCGTAAAGAAAATGTTCCACTGAATAAGTTGCCCTCTTCCGTATGTTTCTGATATTTATTCTATACTATTTAATACTACAGATATTATCCTAGTCTTTCTGTCATTTGTTACAATGATGTAGTTGTCACTTCTTCCAGATAACGCAAATGACCAGACTCATAAAGGATGAGTTTTTCAAGAGTGCTGATGCTCTTCCTTGGATGTCAGACGAGACGAAGGCAAAGGCGAAAGAGAAGGTTAGAAGTTATTAAAGTTGTAGGATCTAGGTCACGAATTAGTTTTAAATTGTGAAGCTCGTCATTTCCATTTCGTGTTATTCTTGCAATTTGAGTATCGAAAGTAATCCGGGGATTGCTTTAGTTTTGCTTTACTTCGCTGTGTGATTGGTTCAGGAAACCCGCGTCACTTTTTCATCCAATCAGATGCAAAGCTAAAACCGATCACGACTTGAACACCCCCATTTTCCCGCGCTTTAGGCAGTTCGGTTGTGTTAAATTTGATTGGCCGTTGTGATAACTTTGGTTTTTGTTTTTACCACACTCAACAAAAAAGCTCTCAATACATTTTCAGCCATCCCTATGGCTTCTTGGTTTTTTATTCCTCTTTTTTGTTGTTGTTTTTTTTTTAACTCACTGAAGTAATATTTTTTAAGGCTTCAACCAGCAAGATGAAGATATTTTGACAGGGTTCGGAAGCATGATGTAAGGAGTGACTCGACTCAACTCAACTCAATTTTCCCAGTTAACACTCTAACACTCCTTTTTTCAAGGTACTAGTCTTTCTCCTTTGCAGGCCAATGCTATTGCCGAAGACATAGGTTACCCAAGCTACATCAAAGACCCGTCAAAGCTAGCCGCTACGCTTAAAGGAGTAAGTTGTTCTTGATCAAACTGGAGTCCGAGTGATGCTTTGAATATATCTGATATTATGTTTCAGAAAAAGCTTCGACAGGCTCTATTACATATCAAAAACTTTTATGTAATTTAAACAAAAGTGTAATTGAGAAAAAAAAGTGTTTGCTCAGATGACAAAAACCTTTTCGTTGGATACAGAGTGTCAACTGGCGAGACCTCTTTTTGACTCCGACCGCTGTACCTTTTTTTTTTTTTACAGCTGAAGGTTGGCGATAACCTATTTGAGAACACCGTTAGTGCCATGGCTTTTGCCGCTAACCAATCATACAGTTTATTGGACAAACCTGTGGACAGAGACAAGTGAGACTACGTTACATCATAAATTAGCTAACAATGATATCCCTTGCGTAGTCATAGGGTGTGGCCAATTTAAAAATTCCTCTGACGTCATCGCTGCATAGTCAAATAAAAACGTTAGAATAACTGAGACCATCTACCGGAAATACGTTTATTGAACGAGTTTATGGTTAGTTGTAAGTGGAATTAGAACAGAACCTTCATCTAGAAGGGACACTCGCAGGAATAGAAAAAAGTGTCCCAGGAATAGTGCTGTCCAACTCACTCATTAGAGGTAACAGGTACAAAGGTTATACAGTGTAACCTCCATTCGAGGGACATTTTCGGTACTAAAAAAAAAATCTTCTAAGACGGAGGAGGCGTCTCAAAAGATAAATTCCCTATTAGTATTTGGGCCTTAAACGGTTTTGTCTTCCTTTGATTCCCGGCAGGTGGTTCCTAGGCCCCTCGCAAGTAAATGGTTACTATTCACCAAGACAAAACCGCATTGGTAAGCCTCACTGCAAAAAGCATGATCAACAAATAGGCAAATAAATAGGGAAGTTACGCAAGAGCCTTTTCTACCTGGTTGGACGAACTTCGGTTGTTACCTCTGCAAAACACATGCAGTTTTATTACAAACTGAATGAGCACTAAAAGTTTGTGACATAAACAAAATACCGAAGCATGATGAAGATACTTTTAGGCTGTATCTGTACGCTGTAAGCATACAATGATATTATTTGATTTTGTTCTTTGATGTTCCAGTGTTCCTGGCGGCCATTTTACAACCCCCTTTTTACAATCCGGATTACCCAAAGTAAGTACAACAATAACGACAAACAAACCAAAAGGAACCTCTTAACCTTCTTGAAGAATCGAATCTGACCAAATACAACTGACCTCGATCTTTACCTAAGTCTTTACTTAAGTAATTAGTCAATCTTCAATTAAATCTTTATTATCTCGAATTGCTTTGGCTTTGTTTTACTTCGCTCTGTGTTGGTCCAGAAAAAGTGCCACTCTCTCAACCAATCAGATGCAAAGCCAAAACCAGTCACCCCTTGGTCACTCGCTTTTTCCCGCGCTTTACGCAGTTTACTCCTTTTTTACTATACCTTCTCATTGGCTCGTTATGATATTTGCATTGTTCTGATTGGCTGTTGTCATGATTTTGGTTTTAGTTTAACGAGAATCAATCGAAAAGCGCTCAACTCCAGCAAGGGTAGTGTTCACGTGCCTTAAATTTGCCTAAGACAGTGCTTTTAATAAAGTGACCCCAGGAATGATTCTTTATCAACACACGCTTTCCTGTTGATAAATTGTTTTTTTTTTCTTCAGGTACTTAAATTATGGAGGGATCGGTATGGTGATTGGACATGAAATAATACATGGATTTGACAACAATGGTAAGCGTAAGATTAAGAAAACTAAATCCCAAAAATTGTTTGGAAAATGCTGATCAGAAGCTGGCTGCACAAGCGGGAAAGATGAAGCCGGAGACTCTTCTATTCTGATTAATTAACGAGATCATTTTTCCCGCTGAGGTTACACGTTTTCATCGCACAAAAATTAAAACCAAAAAAGAGGCTTGTGTTCGTTTTAGTTTGGGACTTTTTGAGGAATGGTGTTTACTCGCTAGTAAAAATATGACCAATATCCGTAAAAATTTGACCGATATCCATATTGAGCTCACATCCGGTCGATAACGCGTATCTACATCTACATGATGTTTAGTTTGACTAGAACGTTTAAACAAATGAGTTTTTCATATTTTTCAGGAAAATTTTTCGATAAGGATGGTAACATAAAAAACTGGTGGTCCATCGTCTCTCAGTTAGGTTTTAGTAAAAGGACAGAGTGTTTTGCTAAACAGTATTCACAGTACGAAGTTTATGGTAAAAAGGTAAACTAATTTTGCTCTTCTTTTGAACATTGCATAACAAGCGCTAGATTCAGCGTGAGTCATCTACCCATGCAAGCGCGAGCGAAATTTCATGTGCGCATGACGTTTCTGCTCTTTCTTGTGCATGTGACGTTTTTGAAGCGACAGAGCTGTTTAAAATCTGGTCAAACCACATTAGAAAAATTAGTTTGGCGAAAAGCATCGAGACTTGTGCGTATCGATGCTGGTATTTCGGGATAAGTGTTACACGTGATTCCTAACTCTCATATCAGCGAGAAAGTGGAAACTTCAGAAAGCCCACAGATTGTTTTGTATTCTTAACCCAGGTCCAACCTACCGAAATGAGCTACAGAGTAAGACGAACTTATTATATATTTACTTTTTTATTTTTTATCTGCAGATAAATGGAAATAAGACAAAGAACGAGAACATCGCCGACAACGGAGGGATCAAACTGGCATACAAAGTACGACTATTCCACAATTTTGAATTCAAAGCGAACCTAAAATAACCCGGCTAATCTTGAAATAAATATATTCCATTTTGTATTTGTTCCCTCTCAGGCGTATGAGGCACTTGTCCAAGAGGAAGGAACCGAGGGGGCTTTGCCAGGACTGGGACTAACAGAAGAACAATTGTTTTTTGTGGGTTTCGCGCGGGTTTGTACACCACAGTTAAACTCTTTACGCACTATTACAACAGAGCTTAGCTGAGGAATCGAGTCTCGTTACAATTTGTTTTACCACAAGATCAAATTTCCCTTTGGGCTACGCCCCAAATTAAGTTGGCTGCAATAGACTTGAGAGGAGGAAGCTACAGTGGTGAGATCGCACGCCTCCGTCCGCGAAGGTCTGGGTTCGATTCCCGAACCTGACGTCACATATGGAGCCAGTTATTATTTATGGATGGCTCTTGCCCTTAATCCAAAGTTTTGTTCACATTATTTGGTTGTTCTTGCTACACACGAACAAAAACTCCAAATTCCGAATGCCTCTCGGGGAAACCGTGTTTTTTTAATCAAACGAGAAAGCATGCCCCCAACAAACGAATGTTCTTGTATAGTTTTTAAGCTTTACATTTATTCATTTTTAGCCGTGGTGTAGTATCTACAAGAAGAAAGCAGCGCATCTTCAACTTGAAACTGATAAACACACGTTTTCTAAATACAGGTAATGACATTTGTCAGTGTGTCAGAACAGGGGGAATCCCACCGGAATCAAGCTGATATCCCGGCCACCACTGTGCCAGGAATTCCAACGGAAATCCCGTCAGGGATCGCGCCGGAATCCTGCTTGAGATTGTGTTGTGAATCCCGCCTCGGATCGCACCCGGAATAGTCCCCAAAGTTCCTCCCTGGGTCGTGCTGGGAATCCCGTTTAGAATCATTCCTGAGGTCCGTTCAGGATCGCGCCTGTGATCGCGCCTGGGTTCTCGCCTGGGTTCCCGCAAGAGCCCTGCCTGCGATCTTTTCAGGGTTACTATCCGGGATTGCGCCGGGAATCCAGCCTTAAGTCCCGTCCGGGATTGCGCTGGAAATCACGCCAGGAATCCACTTTAGTATGGTGCCTGTTATCCCATAGGGATAAGAGGAAGATACTATAGTAATAATAGGATACTAACTACTACTAATAATAATAATAATGATAATAGTGATAAGTAATAATAGAAGATAATAGGAGCCGTAATAGCGCCTGATGACCTACTAGGATTTTTCTGGATTTTGCTTCAATTTAGTCGGGTGCTGGCCAGATTCGTGCCCATATAAACTAGTATTATTCGTCGTTCTTCTTATAGAATTATCGGCACGCTCCATAACTATGAAAAGTTCGCTGAGGTTTTCAGCTGCAAGCCAGGATCCGCCATGAACCCCCAGAACAAATGTGCCTTGTGGTAATCAAGGTATGATTGAACACAGCCTTTTACTCGCTATAATCGTGGTAACATCAAAGCGCACTGCAAACTGGAGCTGAGGAGCAATATATCGGAAAGGTTTGGATATCGATAACTTTTCAAGTGCTGATGCAAATTAGGCCTGAGCCCCTAATCTCATTTATACCAGAACAGCGCCATCAGTACCGATACTGTAACCATGGAACTATTGAAGAAAGAGAAGTGGCAGTGATGCAGTAGTTAGAACATTCTCTGAGAGAGGAAGAGCTGCAGTTAAGGAAAGATCAACAAAGCCAAAAACTGTTGATATTACAGCAACAACAGCAGATGAATCAAGCATTGCTCACCCTCATGGAAAAAATATTGCCTAAAGAGAGGAATTAACTGTTTATTACTATAACTTAATTTGTTGTTGTTAGCCAATGGTCATGCAAAAGCTGGTACGAAAAAAGACAAATCAGGCTCAAACATTTTGTTGTTAATTTACTGGTCAAAATTGTTTGACTGTGCATGTTGAACATATTTTTATAACAAGTGTCTGAAATTTTGTGCCTCACAAACCCTGCTACACTCAACAACCCTTGACCATGATAGGTTTATATGCATTTTTTTTTTAATCAGCAGATTAGGAAGGGCCACTCCTCAAATTTCATTGCATATCATAACGTTATTGCATATCATAACTGTTTCAAATTATAAATTTTCATAAGAAGATAAAGTTCTTTTCTTCAACACATCAACTATGCAAAAAAGTCTTGCAGGGTGGGAGGCTCAAAGTCAAAAAATGTTGCAGTATGGTTGCCATACAAGCAACTCAAAGCATTTTGCAGAAGTGCACACGCACAAACAATGTACATCTTTCCAATGCTGCTCATTCCTATCTTGAGATTCCTTTTGAAATCCACGAACTTGAAATATTCTATGATATCTCCAAATAACCACTCTACAGACACCCTTACTGAACTCATTGAACTGTTGTATGCTTCCATCAAGGGAGTAAGGTGGGGGTTCCGGAATGGCCCCTGAAGATGGACTCTGAGGGGGTAAGCAGGGTCGCCATATAAACACATTGTTAGCCCTGTTACTGAGTAGGCATAGGCTTCCAGGTCATGAAGTGGCCCAGAATCATGCAACATTGCTGCATCATGCCTCTTACCCTCTAAAGTAGAGGAAAAAAGCAAAGTAATAAAACTTAATAAACTTAAGCTACTTACTATATTGATCAACTTCCTAATTTTAATATACAGCAACAGAAGTGATAGTAGTGATGTTTTGTTCTTATATTTGCTCCAAACTTGTAAGATCAAGCAGTTCTTTTTATATACTGCCTTATATAAGCAAATGACTTTTCATTAAATTTTAGCCATGACCTTTAAAAAAAAACTGCATCAGGTTATTCAAATCAATGCTAGCCATATTTTTGCTGATGGTGTTAAAGTAATATTGTTCAATTGCACTTACCCACAGGGCCAAACATATTGGCAATGAGCCCATTAGGTATAGCAACCGACCGAAACTTGATAGCATGTACTCTCTTGTGCCCATTGTAAACGATTCTCTGCATATCTCCTGGTTTGGAGACCGGTCGTACGGTACCATCAACAAAGCCAAAACAGTTGTCTAGAGCTTCTCCTTTTTCTGTGATGACAGTGGCATATTGTTCAAGCAATCCGGGATTCAGTATGGTGTCATTCCACTGAGTGATTCGGTGGCCATGTGCATCATAGATAAATCCATGACTCGGTTCGTGATCATGCACAGTTCAGGAACAGGTCTTCCAAAACGCGCGATCATATCGCTGTAACGACAAGGATAAGCTAGCCGTTTTAATAGCATGCGCAGCCCTTTCATCCCATCGCATAGTCCTCTGTGGGCATTTGAAAGTGAGTGGAATCCCGAGTACTTCTCTTAGTGAAGGAAGATCTCTTTCCTCTACGCGAAACTCAGCTTTGCAATCGGCTTCATGTATGTTTTCGAGGTCGAACGGACCATAACTATCTAAGGAAAATCTGGGTTGCTCGACTGATTGTTTTCCCATAAAACGAGAAATTCATCATCGGAAGTAAAATTTCAGCATAAAACAACAGTGTTAATTCTCTCGTTTCTTTAAAAGAAGTAATTTTTTTCTTTGAAAAGCCACGCTTCTCTGTCTGAATGAACTTGCCGCTTAAACACTTGAATTTGGCGGGAGGCGACGACCACATCGGTCCCCGCTTCCCTCTGCCACTCCGCTCGCCGTCGCCCCGAAAACTTCCATTACTTAAGTTTCCCACTGTTTTCACTCAGCGGCTGGTTAGTAATCACTTTTATAAGGTAAACATGGCGATCGCTTCTTGATCACCGTTCTTGTCGATCCGAAAATCAAAATACCAACGTGATATTGCCTCCAAGATGAAGCAGTTATGTTATTTGATTCGTACTTCACATTGGAGTCGAAGCTTGGGTGGCACAGATTATTTCTTACGGTGGGATCGACGGGGGGAATTCGAACACTAATTGTAATGTTTGAATTGTTGGAAGAAATGGTCGTATGGGGATGTAGGAATGGTAAGTTTAACGAAAAATTTCAGTTACCTTTTCTATGGCACCTACTTCCTAGCCATGTTAATTGGATCTGTGAAGAACGCCTCACTTTTTCAAAAATTTACCTTGAATTTGATCGGTTTTCTCGTGTGTGACTTAAGCGAACCGATAAGGTGTTATTCGAGTCTTACTGTTTGCTTGATTGAAACGTGATGTTCACGAAAGTCACCTCGCTGAATAAGATAGAGTTAATATACATGGCTGTGGTAATTTTTTTTTTTTCGCTGAGTTCCGTAGTTTTTTATAAATTGTCCTCCAAAGTTGTCACAAATTAAAGTATTGAAAATTGTCACCACAAGCCTTCGCTCGAGTGAAATTTAAGTTCCGTAAAACTCTAAAAAATAAAGAGATCCGATCAAACGGATTGTGGTTTTAGTATAGGTACATGGATGTCTTCAATAAAAGCGAAATAAAAAGCAAAATCGACCGGACCGCTCTTACAGAGACACTCTCTTAAACAGCGAATCACGTTTGTAGGACGGAGGTATTATAATAAACTTAGTAACAGAATTAAAATCATACATGAAAAGATGTCTTAAGAGAAAATAGTCCTTGAAGGTTGTTGCATAACAGCAGAATAAACACAAAATTGAAGCGGAAAGGGCGTACCCAAGGCACCACCTCCAAGAGGAGCTACGTGCTAGTCGTATAAGATATCTAATTACAAATTCAGTGCGGAAGAGGAAAAGTACTACATGTTTACATTTAAGTCACCGCTAAGAAAAAGAGGCGTCCAACGCGCTAAATTAAAAACCGAAAACTATTTTCCTTATCGGGAATCCGACATGGATTTAGCCTAAAAACGAGAGTAATTAATGGATAAAATTATAAAGGAGGGTTATTTCCAGGAAATTCCTGTACGGGATCAATTTCATATAAGGTAGAGTCATTTTCTTAGTAATTAATTACAAGAATAAATTTGTCTATGAATCTGCTGGCAAGTAGAAAGAACCACAGCACGATAAATTGAGGAAAAAGATGATATCTGTGTTGCAAATGAGGTAGATATAATAGTCCTAAGGTAATTTCGGGAAAATTTTCGGGCAGCATATTTAGAGATGGAAAAACTAAAATTTCGTTGTTCAGACGATCATTTTGAACTTGGTCTGCTAAAATAGCCACCATGTTTTGTTATTGTTTCGGTTGCTTCATAGTTACGGTGTAACTGATAAACGCTTCGTCTCCGAAAGCTAGGTAGTGGATGGTATAAAAGTGAATTTCAAAGCTTGGAATTTGCTTAACTTTGGATCGTTATTTGGGCAGTCGTAATTTTCAGAGTCGCATGGAAGATTACAGCGCCTAAAACTCGAAGTTTGATTTTGTTTCCTACGGTGTACGAAATCTTGGTAGCTCTGTAAAATTCGTTTGCAACCCAAGTGTGGGAAGTTGCGTTCATACCAGTGATTGCCTTATACTCCTAAAAATTTTGCTTTTCGTCATACTCTAGTTTTTTTTTGTTTTTGTTTTTTTTTTGGTTTGTTGTTGTTTTTGTTCACTTGGTGCACCATCCAGTTTTCTTTTATATTTGTTTATTTGTTTTGGCTCTTTCTTTTTTTCGAAATTGTATGTTTCTGCGTGACGCGACAGCGCAGAAGGAAAACCAATTGAAGGGAACTTCTATAATGATTGATGTAAAGTTTTCGGAATGACTATATCAGTTGCATTATCTGTTCAGTATTTAGTGTAGTGATTCCTTTCGTTTTGGCTATGGTCGTTGTCATTTGTTTCTTGGTTTGGGTTGCCAATCGATCTAACACAAAGGTGTTGCAACAGTTTCTATAGTGTACATAAGTTTTTATAAGTCATTATAACATAGCCAGTAAATTTGTGTAATTAAATTCAATCGCGCGAGCGTGCTTCATATTCCTATTGTGCACGCTCATGACGTCAGCAAACATCCCTAGAGAAAAAAAAATTTTCTATTGGGTTGAAAATGTTATAAAACAATTGTTCATGCGTCAGCCGTGCGTTCGTCGAGATATGAAGCACTGGGGAAGTTTGGGTAGCACTCACGAAGCTAGAGTTGCTCTCGGCTACGCCTCGAGTAACTCTTACGCATCTTTCGTGCTCTCCAAACTTCTCCTTCGTATCTCGATGAACGCACGCTGACGTATGAACCAATACTGCGATAATGTGCGTTGGGCGAATGCAATATGCTTTAACTCTGGAGTATTCTTCATTGGTATCGAACATGTTCTTCAAAACCCTTTTTTGTTTTTGTTTTGTTGTTTGGTTTAATATCTTGCTGCAGTACTGCATTTGACCTCGAATTTCAATTTATTTTGGATTAGGCCTCGAATATTTGTGTCATTTTTATCTTCGCTTGTATTCAATGTTGTCGACATGCTCTGTATTTCTCGATATCGATGTGCGCAAAACTGTAATTTCTCTTCAAAAATGTTGCAACTTTTTCTTTTTCGAGGTCGGCCGACATATAATTTATCATTTGTATTTTCTCATATATTCAATAATGTCGACGTATTCTTGTATTTCTCGACATCGATGCGCACAAAATTATGATTTCTCTTCATAAACTGTTGCAAATTTTTCTTTTTCGGAGCCGGCCGGTTTGTTTTATTCATTTGCATTTTCTCATGTATTCAATTGTATTCGGTTAAAATAGTTTGCTTTCGGTTTTCATACGAATAGGTTCGATATAATAAATATCGTATCGGCTTGTAGAATTCATCGCCGTAGTCGGTACGCTGATATATGATGGTTTCGAATATCTTATCAACTAGTTGAATTCGGTTTCGTATTAGGTACGCTGATATGATGGATTTCGAATTCGTTCGAAGAGTTGTTATCGGGGTTTGTATTGGGTATTTGAATGTGCAGATGTTCACATATATCGGTAAAAACCTTTTATTTTTGGTTTGGTGTTACCACGTGTTACTGATTTTGCGAATTTGGTTGTTTGGCTTTATAATATCGCTGGAGTGATAGCACCTGTAAAAATTAAGGTTTTCACGCGTTTATATTGCGAACGGTGATTCTCCCTCCCTGTGGGTCACTGCTTATAAAGGTGACACTTATGGAGCTGTCAATCTCTGACCTTCGTCATGTTTTTAAACTTAAATAGCGAATCACGTTGGGCTACGCAGAACGGAGTTCGCGCGCATACTAAGTAGATAACTTTATATATGACAATATAAAAATTATAATAAATTTAGTAACAGAATTAAAATCATACTTGAAAAAATATCATAAGAGAAAATAGTCCTTGAACGTTGTTGCATAACAACAGAATAAACACAAAATTCGGAGAAGCCGGAAAGGGCGTACCCAAGGTACCGCCCCTAAGAGAGCTACGTGCTAGTCGTACAAGTTATCTAATTACAAATTCAGTGCGGAAGAGGAAAAGTACTACATGTTCACACTTTAAGTCACCTCTAAGAAAAAGAGGCGTCGAACGCGCTAAATTATATTTTCCTGATCGGGGATCCGACACGGATTTAGCTTTAAAACGAAGGTATTAAATGGATAAAAGTATAAAGGAGGGTTATTTCCAGGAAATTCCTGTACGGGATCAATTTTTATAAGGTAGAGTCAATTTCTTAGTAATTAATTATTTTTTAGCAACATAATGAAAATATACCGATATCTAGGTGCAAACCGCAGTTTACGCAAAAACATCTGTCTCTATGTCAAATTCACGATCATAACAGAAAAAAAGTAACCAAACTGTATCTGTAAGATAAGACTGCCAACATAATGAAAGTATACCGATATCTAGCCGCAAACCGCAATTTACGCAAAAACATCTGTCTCTATGTCAAAGTTACGATCATAACAAGGAAAAGGTAACCAAACTCTACCTGTAAGATAGACCGCTAAAAGGAATAAGAAATGATCAACTGGCTTATTATAGTGTCTACTGAATGGCTTGTGCCAGTATATTTTTTCCATTTATTTCCACGTTTAAATAAGTCAAAATCACCTATAATGAAAATTCTTGCTAGATGCCAATTTTGTCTTCTA